CGCCCGCCCCCCCCCCCCCCCCGCCCCCGCCCCCCCCCCCCCCCCCCCCCCCCCCCCCCCCCCCCCCCCCCCCCCCCGTGACAGTGGGTAGCTGCATGCCAGGGAAAGGCGGTTTCGGAACAACACAAGACTTGGATTTGATAAGACAAAGCACACAGCTTCCTGATTTTCGACCCTCTGCGCCCTCCAAGATGTAACAAGGAAGTGTCTCCGTACCTTTTGGTGTGCCAGTTGGCTATAGAATCGTGAGCTAGGGCTCTACGGGTATGTGGTCGTCGTCCCTGTGACCCGACGAAAGATATCGAGCCGGCGATGAGGGAGGGGGTTGGAGAAACGAAGGAATCGGCAGGCGACGACGAGGGAATTATGTCGAGCACCGATCAATGTAGCGATCGTCCTGGCAGCCAAGCAGCGGGAGCAAGTGAATCAGTCCAGAAGCGATGAAGCGACAGGGCTCGAGATGGAAACGGGCGGGGGAGAGTCCGGGAGTGAGAGGTTGTATCTTTTCTCTCTTTCTCTGCAAAACAAGATGTATATCGATCGACCCAGCAGACCGTCAATGCATCTCTGCACGTACCGAGAGCTCGAAGTTTGGGCCTCGAGACGGATTGCGCTCTGAGGTTGTGCCTGTTGTGGAGGAGGAAGAGAAGAAGAGGCAACTCTACTGCGTAGAGTCCAAGTGCTCCCCCCAACTGCCAGTGCCAGTACCAGTGCGCAACAACGCTTTGCTTCTTCGGATGTTGCAATCCACCCCCAAGCTTGGGGTACGTACCCGGGATACACAATATTCGTGCGGGAACTGCCCGGGCAGCCAAAGCCACCGACCCGCTCAGCCAGTGATGACGAACGAAACTAGCAGGGGTCCAGACCAAAATGGCTGGGATGCCCCACTGTGATCCTTGCAAGGGCATGATGAATTGAGGCCCGCTCCCTGGTCTATCAACGAAGAACCAGAAGAGGGGGGAAAGCCAGGGTAGCAATCGGCAAGGGTGGGAGAATGCAGGGGTGCAAAAGTATGGCCGGCCCTAGCAACACCCCCGCGGTGTGCGAGTGTGACTGTGTGCATGGTCACACACACTGTAACTGTTAGGGAGTCAATGCTCAGCCCAATGTACTGTGGTACTACGGTACAGTAAATCTGTATTTCCCTCTCGTCCCTCCTCGCCCTCTTCTTGAATTGAAGCATCAGCTGACATGGAACCATGTATCCCTTGAACACCGCCTTTGGTGAGACAGGACATCGGCCCAATGCCCAATACACCCACCAAATACGTTGATCTGGGGCTAATGTGAGGGCGACTTTCTGGAGTCGGGTAGAGAAGAAACTTTTCCCCAAACGCAAGCACAACGCTATGCTGAGCTAATGCAGCAAAGGTTACACTGGGAGGGCGTGCAGGCATTACCGCTAACCGGCTCTCAGTCTCCGGCAGACCGCTGCTGCTGTTCGACTCGACTCTCAGGACCTCAACCCATCTTTGGAATAGCGGGCACGGGCGGGAACCGCTCACAATCCCATCGAGGTTCGAATGAAAAGTGACAGGACACCAACATGCAGAAAAGAAAATGGATATTCGTTAGCTAGGAGCTGGTACCATGCACAAGCCTCAACCCGCTTTTCCACTTTTCTCCTCTGTGAACACCGGTACGGAGGTAGACTGTGGTTCTCCTCGTCAGAGGAGAGGAAGGTAAAGGCGAATGCCACATGTGTGTTTGGTAGTGTAGTAACCCACTACCGACGGTCTAACCTACCAGGGTTCTCGTATTATTGTGACCATCCATTCTGCTACCAGATTGGGAAGCAATCCCAGGAGGCCAGTCGGTCTGTATCCCCTGCACAAAAGGGTCCAGAACAACAACATGCGCTGTTAGTGTACTATGAAGGGCAAGTTATCATATCATGTTCAAAAAAGTTGACCAGAATGGTCGACAGAGTCGGACGTTACTGCTTTTTTGCCATAACGATATCATCATAAACGAGAAAATATCCCACTTCACAAAATACATATAATGGTTACTGGAAGTAGGATTAAGCTAGGATGCTCTTCGATTTGTATCATCACGATTGCCCCAACGCATGTTTACATGTTTCACGGCGTGGAGGCCCTCTCGAAATCCGATAACTGACGTATACGCAGTGGTACACATCGAGAGCCTCGATTTGAGGCCTATCAACAAGAATCTTGATTGGCCAAGATACAGAAGCCATTGCCCCCAGGATCTGAAAACTGGGGGGGCCTTGGCTATCTGATTGTGATGTTTGAGAGGCTGCTTCAATCGTGCTTCATGCGTCATCTTCTCCCCAGTCCACGAGCGCCTCCGCGGACCCGGTTTTGGCTTCATCCTTCGGGTTATGCCTCGTCCTCCCACTATGTAGGTATTCGGGAATACCTTTTGGAACAACAGGTTTCCATCCTTTCAAGGATTGCGAATCTCTCAATTGTCCCCCCCCCCCACCGAGCTGCAACGAGCAAATCCCCCACCCATCTCTGCATTGAATCTCACCCGAACTATCTCATCACAGTTGGTTGTGACGTTGCTTGTGACCTCGGGGGGTGAGATGTGATAGCAAATACGCCGTATGGATACAGTCTGTGAAAGTTCTTCCCCATCACGCATCACGCATCACGCATTGGTGGCGCAACAAATGCCCCCCTATCGCGCTTATTGAGGATCCAGCTAGCTTTGGGGACGCCCCCGCCGAACCGGACTCTTGTCTTGGAAGCGTCTCTCGAAGGAATATCCTCCGATGCAGGCATCAAGCTGTGTGCCGTGACCAACAACAAACCAACAACTCCAGAGTCTATACGTGCATAGTAGACGCGCTCCAGGGGCGCAGTAGACGGCCGCGTTGCCTGGGAGTCGAATCAGCCTGGTGGGGGAAGTCAACCAGCGTGCCAGGGAAGCCAACCAAACTGGTCACAACAGTGATCATCAATACGCATGAAGTCCCAATTGACGCATTTTCTTTTTCCTCCTCATCGAGAGGAGCTTCACTCCCCTGATGCTGTAGATCTACAAGGCTACCGCGTAGGCCCAGGTTACCCGGCCATCATCATCTTCACGTGGTGGGCTGTTATTCTTTCCAGGCCTCAGGGACCCCTATCCAAGGCTAGACATAAGGACGACTCGTTTCTCGATAATCGATCGGTCATCAACGATCAGCGCGGGGACCTAAGTGGGAAACCCGGGGCTGAAGCTGGTCGAGATTCACAATTTCATCGTTGTCCAGTAGACTCGGGCTCTTTGGTTCTCACATCCCATGCCAAGCCAATGTTTGTATTGTCCCCCCACTGTGATTACTGAGCTCTCGACTTTGCACTGCTGCAGGCGTGCGAACTGTGAGGCGCTCCAAGTCTGCGGTTGGACGCCACTGTCAGTACACTACTGTGCATTCGAGATTTAGTGTAGAGAATGCGTCGATGATCATTGAGATTCGTTGGATCTCTGGGTTGATGGATCTTGCTTCCTTAGTGTACACTGCACAGGAGACAGGCTCTTGGATCAGCAGCTATCACAGTAGCTCTTATTTTTCCATCCCCCTGAAAGTGACGTATCATATTTACAGTGCAGTCATCGTGATCCAGGCCGCCGGGCCAGAAACACCGGATACCGCGGAGGACGCGACAGCAGGAGCAAAGGCTCCCAAGAACCCCAAATTCCCACCGCAAACACCGCTACTGACCACACTACGCCGCCGATCGTCCCCGAACTTGGACGGGACTGCTGGCGCGCGGGACAATATCTCTCTCACTTAGCCTCGAAAATCCCCGCCACATGCTTTTCATACTAACGTACTGGTAGCCATCTCAGGAAAACTTCTCCAACAGCCATATTGCCAAGTCTAGCGGAGCTTCCCCGGTTCCCCTCTAGTCTGCCGTTCCGCCCCGTGGCTTTTTATCGACACACACCCTCAGCCATGGCCGACTCGTCGAGGCCACACAACTGCAACTGTTCGCAGGCCCTTACTGCTAGACTGGCTGGCTGGGCAACAACCGTTCTCCTGCATACGAAGTCGGCCTTGTGCATCGCATACTGCGGTAGCTTGTCGCCGGCCAAATGTGGAGTGGATAGAGGTGGGTATAGAGTGGATCGTGGACCCAGCAGCCCGTCACTAGCTGGTGACTAAAGTATTACCGGATTCCCTGGTCGCAAACATCCTTCTTCAAAGTAACCTGTTATTCATCGAGATCTTTTGTCTTATTAATTTCCCAAGCATGGGAACCTGGTTTTAAGCGACCCCTTTGCTAATTACCCCACCACTCATCGCCCCAAAAATCCTCCGGGCCGAACCCGCCCCCCCGCGAGCAATTGCCACACCCCCACAACAAGCCGCCCGTCCGGCCCGGGGCCGCCAACTCTCGGCTCCGTCGCCAGGATCCCCTGGCCGCCTTGGGCAGCCAACAAGCAGCAGATAGGTGTCTCATGTTCGTTGTTTCCAAGCGCAGGTTGGTTGAGTGTTCGCTCCCAAGGGAAAACAGAGGAAAGGGGGAGCTGCTGGACCCCAAGTCCTACGGGTTGACACTGCAACCCATGGAAACTGTGAAAAATGTCCGACGGGGACTTGGCCTATCGAGTGAACGGGTGACTAGAAACTACCGGCAAGGCCGTGGTATCCACAGGAAAAACACCCAAATTGACCCGGAATTGCGGTAATGAGGAGCTTGGCGGGCGGGAATTAAGGCATTGAAACAGAGGACCTTGGATCTTTCTTTAGGAGCCCTCTGGCTCAGGAAGTTCAGGTAATGCTCTGTACCACGAAATATGGAGCCTGGGCAAACCTCGCGCCCCTGAAGCCGGCGGGCTTCTGAAGAGATCATTTCTTCATGGGCCAAACCTCTCCAGCAATCTGACCCAAGGTTCGCTGGAATCGAGCATCGACACGATGGGGACGTGAGCAGCACGCAATGCGGGGCTTCGAGAGCCGGAGCGATGTCACGTCATTCCCCAGGTCACACACAAACACACACACTCCCAAGGCCAAACAAACTCGACACGAACTCACGCTAACGTGGACTTACTTGACAAACCTCCTTCGCGTCTTGCAAACGCGACGATCATTCCCAGGTCAGTCAATCGACATCACCCGCTCCCTCGGTGACCATTTCGGGTGTAGGGGTGGTTGTGTCTGGCCGAGCACGCCAGTGACTGGTAACATGGCGAGGTCCTTATTCCCAGCACCTATAGCGTCGACGTTCGACACATGTCTCACCCCTCCTTTGCGCGCCAGCAATTTGGAGCAGGACAACTACCACTGGCCGCTCGTTTTGATCCACTCGCCGACCCGAGCAGTCGGTCCCCGGGAACGCCGATCTGACACGCCTACGCCAACCAAGCCAAGACTTCACGTCGCCATCCCTCCCCACTCGTCGGGACTACTCAGTAGAGCTCGGGTTCCTCGCGGCCAGGAACCCCGAGAGGCGCAACCCGGCACCGGCGAGTATGACCGACGTACGAGGACTAGAAGCAACCATGGTCTTCAGAGTCGCGAGTTGCGATTTCGGACCAGCTGTCCTTTGGATGGCTCTGCTCCTGGCGCCATTAAGTGATGGCAACGGGTCAGGTAGTCGCAACCTGGTTCTGGAAGCATCACGCAACCAGGTAATCAACCAGGTGCATGTTTGGCCCTAAGCTGGAGTGGCATGTTGAACCCCCCCATTCCCTCACCACATTATGGGGGCACAGCATCCATAAGTCGCAGTTCACCGGGCAGATCGGCCAATCAACCAGACACGTTCCCAGAGGGACCAGAGCCAGCCTGTCAGGACCTCTCTCTCTCTCTACCAGGTGAAACGAAACGTGGTTGTGGTAGGAGAAGGAGGGTGAAAAGATTAGGCCAACCGTGTCTCACTTGACCGGGAAAACCAGGAAGCCATTTTTTAGGGCTTCATGCGGGCATTGCGCTAGAAGACCTGGATCACCACACGTCCGGCAAAGGGGGGCGATCACGCAGCGAGCCCACGCCGCCCCGGGGATTTCTTGACCAGGAAATATAGACGATGGGAGCACATCGTCGAAGATTCTTCGACCCGAGACAGTCGGGAAGTGTTCTCGAATATCCAGACAGCTTTCGTGGCGTATGCACCGCCCTCCACCTCGATGTCACTGACTCACGCGATGACATAGGCTTCTTCTTGTCAAGCCCTTGTCTACGAACATAGACAAGGCCCCTCTTCTCACTCCTCGATCTCGCCGCAATCTGGCTGGAGCTCTTTAACGAGCATGTTATTATCCGGGTTGTATATGATAAGCTTCAGCCTTGAGCTGAGCCCTGTTCCTGGACGCAGTTTAACATGGGTAGTGTAGATAGCGTACGCATTGACTCGGCGAGCCAGGCAGCATCTTTGATGGTTTCCGACGACCATTCATGCGTTACCCCCACGACTCGAGAGTAGTGTGATTCATGATCACTGCTTTTTCCCTTGGTTTCGTCACCGAAGACCTCCGGTTCCCGGAAAGCAAGATGTGACTGGTGAGGCCGAGAGAACATGGACAGGTGTCGAAAGGTCACACAGCCAGAGTGACACTCCATGGCAAGCTGTCAATGTCACGCGTCAGCCGAGCCTGCAAGTCGGTATCCGACCGCACATCGCAAAACGAGCTTATCTGCAACTAGTTGTCTAGCGTATTCTGTCGATCGGTGGAGGGCCCCAGCGATATGGTTTATCGTTGTAGGGAATGGGGGGGGGGAGGGGATCTTCTTGTGGGGACCAAATGGAACATCACCTTGTTGCTCTGGCCATCGTTATGTAGAAGTGTACCATACCATACCATACTGTAGCACCACGCTGCGGTAGATTTTCTCCTCCTCGTGATGGAGTTGAGCGTTTCACAACCTGGGCAAAAACTGCATGTCCCAAGCCCTCCCTCTCTCCTCCTCCTAAAGTTCAGCACAAAATTATTTTTAAACCACCATCCGTGCGCCCACACAGTTTCGAACGGTCAAGGAGGAGGCAGAAGAGAACAGTGCCGGGGCCGAGGAGTTTGCGTCTGACGTATCCCTGGTTGTCAATGCGGGTCTCTCTCCCGGTCCCTGTCCTCAGGGGGTCTTAGCGTGAAGCTATCGACGACGGATTTTTTCCTAGCAGGCGGTAGTGATTCATGCCCCTGGCAGTGGCGCTCTAGTGCTTAACCTACCTTGTTTGTGTACACTGCACAGGGATGCTGCAAGTTAGACAGTTGGACCGGTGAGTACAAAATTGGAAGGTGGTGAGGTCATGGATCCTGTAGGTACTTGAGCTAACATCAGTCATCCTCAAAATTGTACAGATACTGCACACGAGAAAACGCCACCTTCCACTAGCCAATGCGGGTCCTCTTCCGAACCGAACCCCAGCAGTCTGGCCCAGCCCCAGTAACTCGCCCCCTTAAATCTGCGCTAAGTTTAACAACAAAAGTACCAGCCCGGCGGGACGGGCGACCTGAAAAAAGATTGGAAGGAACAGAAAAAGAAAGAAGGCAGGAGAAGAGGGGAAGATGGCACCAACGGCAACGGAAGTTGGTTTTCTCGGTCTCCTGGCGGATCAAAATATGTACGTACCTGCCTACGGTCCGACTGATAACGCACAGACTTATCATAAGAGGGAATGTTATACACCTGTCCAGCCTAACTTTAGCTCCATACCAGCAGCATTATTTGGTCGAGAAAACGGGGACCGTGGAGGAATGTGTGTTGTAGTGCTGGTGGATCTTCGACAGAGAGGGGCGTGGTCATATCTGACTGTGCAGTGCACCTAGCAAGCCTCCTCTGATCAAGACAACAAAGCCGTTGGACCTGGCAAGCCTGGGTCCTTGGCCTGTACAGTTAGTGCACAGTGCACCCAAGCTAGAGGGCGTGGGGCCACTAACATTTACACTACCATTTCGACGGTGCTTGAGGACCCGACCCGCCGCTGGGGCGAGATCATCGCCATTACTGAACGTTACTTGTGGGTAGTTGAAGAAACCCCGCCGGGTCTTGCTCAGCGGTTGCCACCGTCACTGACATTGGGATCGTCCATTGTTCGGCCCCTCTCACGACCCCTCTACCGGCAGAAGAGTCAACTGTCGTCCCTGGAGCTCGGCTCGAGGGAGCTTTTGTCTGCTTGCATTTGGGACATGTGAGCGATGATCTCCCCTTAGACACCTTGATGGTGCGAGCTTGGTAGTTCCCCGATGGACCTGGACTTGGCGCTCAATTCCTTGCCTACAGGCACCTACGTGCAGTAGGTCCAGTACAGGACCTACGGTACTGGACCTTCGAACGACTACCTAGGCTGTATGATCACTGCGACTTCACATGTTTCGATGTGCTGCCGAAGACCTTTGACATAACCATCAAGCTGTTGTGTAGATCCTCCCGGATTGCTACCCTCTGCCAAACAGACATCCCACTTTGCTAGACTTGTGTACGACATAGGAGTTGTAGTGTACGTTGTAAGCAGAGGAGAGGAAGCCCGGCCACTCGGGAAGCACCCCGAGGCTCGTGCGCAGTTCAGTGAACGATCCTCGCGATCTGACCAGATCCGCTGATCAGACTGGTATGAAACTGCCCGAGAGACTGGAATGAACGTCCTGTCTTGTCTGGCTTTTGACCATACATAGAACATGATGCTACCAGCTGATCATGGGACCTATCCCTCTCTCCGTAGTAACGCCGGGGACTCTTTCCGCTGCTTTCCACTGCTGATTACTCGCGGTGGCTAGACACTGAGCAGAACTGGAAGAACAAGCTCGATGAAGTCGGTCCTGTGACCCTCTCACTGCTTCTTCCCAGAGCCTTCTGGAATTCGGTGGCCCTGCGTCGCAACTGCTGGTAGGTGGTCTCGCCTTCCACCACGTTGCAGTCTGCGTTGCCCGTCAGGCCCGAACCACACTTGGTCATCCCTGAAGCTCACCAATTCCAGTTGGGGTAACAAATCCTCGAGTCTCTGCCGCCACGAGTACCCTTGGTCAACCACCGACGGTGCCCATACAACTTCATCCGAGACGATGAGCAAACTCGGGCAAGAATATGACAGGGCTTCCCATCGGGGTTGACGGAATGTGACCCAACGACATTACCGATGGTGAGGAGGGATGATTACCCAGCCTTGGGGTAGGACAGGTTATTGCGAGTGCATGTACGCATTTCCTCCAAGAGCAGCTGTCAATTCGACATGCTTCAAGATGGACCTCGAGAGGATGCCCACAAGTCCTGCCAGATCTACTGATCTGACTGGCTCGTCCCGGCATCCACGGTCCGGATGACCAAGGACTCGGCGGCGCCCACAACCTCCCCATCCTTACGCCCAGGATGGCGAGAGCCCTTGTCTTTGACTTTCTTCTGTTTCTTCTGCGCGGGCGGGTATGCCTTCAATGCGATCTCCTGCCATTCAGTCGAGGCCTGGTACGCCGCCTGAATGGGCGCCATGAGGTTAATGAGGGCGGCTGATACTGCAGGCTTCAGCAGTTGTGGTGTCAACTGGAATGCAGTCAGTTTTCGGCGGATCATTGAGGCTTGTCGAGTAGATACATACAACGTCGTTCTCATAGTCATTATGCATTTGTTTGATATCGGTGTATACCAATGGCTCCAATCCATCTCGGCTGCGTTCGACTCGGAACTCTTTGCTGCCTTTGAGAGTAGTAGCCGGTAGCAGAATGAACTCGACTAATGCGAGGATACCGTTCCCCTCAGTAACTCGAGGAATCGCCTCTGCTTTGCGTAGCTTCTTGGAGACGGTCTCGGGGGCGTCGAGGAGGTCGATCTTGCTATCTGATGATTGTTGGGATACATGAGTGCTGCCTCGGCGACGAACGGATATGGGCCATAGAATATAAAAGATGAAGGGTAACATTACCTTCCTCGCTGGCAGACATCTTACCGCCCTGCAGACCGGGAATCATGGGATTGACGAGGTGCGCGCGCTAGAGGTCCATGAGCTTGAGATCGTCACCCGAGTTGCTGCCATCTCACCTGCCGATACCCAAGTTTAGGTAACCATTCCTTTGCAGCTACGAATAGCTTCCTCTGGTCGAGTCCTGACTAAAATCAGCAGGACACAATCATACTGGTAATCAAGACGTACCTCCAAACTGAGCGTCGACATGAAGATGCTCTTCATCGAGCACTTGAAGAATGGGATAGAGGAGGCCACTTAAAGGCGCATTCGCCGATTGTTTAACTATCTCTGCCCCAGCCCTTTTTGCGTCATGTTCTGATATCACGGACGACAATCGATACACGTCCATAACATATTCAGGACTCTTCTGGTAGGAACTGCCGAGGATAAACTCGAGCTTTCCAGTGGGTACGCCCACGGATTCGAGTATTGCCGTAATGACCTTTCGGTAGTATATCGCCCGGCTCTCGACAAGCTCAATCGGCGCCTTGAGATTGTCAAGGAATCCGTGAATGTCGGCCAGCAAGATGATCACGTCGCAACCCGCCGCCAATAACTGGGCGATTTTCAAAGCCGGAACATAGTAGCCACAATGAGGTCGGCCCGTCGTCGCGGTACCTGTGTGGTAAATAGAAGAAGAGGTCAGCGCATGTTCTAACCAAGTCGAAGGGGAGAGAAGTGTTACCCCAGTACACTCTTGGGTTCCGCCCCTCGGCCAAGGTGTTCTCAATCAACTCAGGGTTCAAAACCTCGGCGAGATTTTCGCTGATGAGCGCGAATCTCGCTTTCGCGTCGAGATCCATGGCGAATAGTCACTGCCTGAGACGAATTGGGAAGATGCGTTGCTCAAGCCTTCAAGAGTTGAAGTTCATGGTGGGATTGACGTAACCCCACCACACTTCTCAGGTGCCCACTTATTCCGGCCCTTCCGGGCCTACTCTACGGCCCCACTTTCCCGACTCCGTGGTCACGTCCTGGAGTCCTGGCCAGTTCAGCCTCGATTCTCTCCGTTCTTTACCCTCCTTAGCTTTGAATCCACTGATACAGTCAGGTCAAATTGAGCTTGGGCTTCAATTTCTTGTTCTCTGCGCCGTGACACTGACAATTGATGTGTCTGACGGTCCAAGCCTTGGGTGCGGTAGCTACAGTCGCTGCAAAGGTAAGAATACAGCGCCCACCACATCTTCGGCCTATCTAGCCTTCTTCTCGGCATAAACACATACGGCCTTCTTCGGCACCACATGCATTCGAGACGTTGGCCTTGAACCGCTTCTGCAATGCCCGGCCCCGCTGGCCTTGGAGACCGTTGAGGCCCCCGTTGAGGTGCGGTACCTCTTGATGAGCAGGTCAATATAGGCCCAGTCGTACGAAGCACATGTCGACTCGCTTGGCCAGCGCAACGTCGGGCAACATTTTGCCGTTGATGGCGTGTTTCGATGTGTGAAGGGTCACGACGGTCGCCCGCCGATCCCCGATGTCCTTGTGAAGAGTGGCGGAAACTCTGTCATACGGCGCTGCTGTAAAGGTAGTCTTTCCGCAAGGGCGCTGTTGATAACGTCGGTGCGACGGAGGCGGAGGCGGTGCGGATCGCCGAGGAGATGGAGAGGAGCCTGCGGAGGGGCGAGGAGCGGCGGCCGAGGAAGGATTGGGCCTGTCTGGACAGGCAGAGCGCCCTGAGGGTGGGGAAACTTTCGTCACCGGGGTGCCTTGGGCCGTCAATTGCCATTGCCATACGGGCTGCCAATAGTCCCCATGTGCTGGTGGGTTGTCCTGCCACACGTATCTGGCAGGTGGTTAAATATGAGGTTTGTGATATCCGGGGACTTGCCTCGATGTTCCTCAGGCATAGGCTTCTTGCTTCATGGCCAAGTGTCTAACACGGAACCTGCTGTTGCGGGTTACTATCCCGGTATCTGCAAGGGCTATCAACAGTGGCTATTAATAAGTAGTGAATTCAACGGCTGTCAACCGCCGAAAACGATGCTATCGTTGTTCTCCCAGCCGGCAGCACCATCACATGCCCTGCGACTCTGTCACCAACATCCACCCCACCACCGGTAGCACCATTACGCAGCGCGGTGACACCGCTCCTACCGGGCACATCACCGTCGTCCTCGACGGGGAATTCCTGATTGCTTCTGTCTCCGGCTGCGCGGCTATAGCGATGCCTGTTGGCGCCAGTGTGCTGCTTGCGGGCGGCAGGATCAAGTCTTCCTCCTGGTCCCGACATCGACCTCGTCAGGGGAGGCAACATCGAGTCTGAAATCGGCCTGGGTCTTTCCGAAGGCTTCATTGTCACCTTGTTGAGGGTGGCAACACCCTTGTGACTGGGAGTGGCACTAGCCAGGTCCCTGACCCCGAGATGGATCGCTGAAGAAGGCCTCTGATGCCATTGGTGCCAGCAAGATCGTCTACCAGAGCATTCCCTCCGGCATGTTGCAGAGTCAGCTTTCAGAGAGTGGTCATCAGATTCGCATGCCAGTACCGATCCACAGAGAAACCGACAAGTCCAGCAGCAGGTGCAAACCGTTTAAGTTTTGAGGTATCGTAGCAGTCATGCGTGTCCTTTCGCTCATTTGTTCAAAAACGCCGGTGGCTTAATCGATTCCGTTCAACGCCTCCTTGAGTCACCAATCCTATCGTCGTGCCCCTGTCCACGTCAACCATGATGAAAGAAAAACCCATGTCTGGAGTGGTACACCCAAGGAAAATAAGTGGTGACAGAGACATGTATATCCTCTGTGCCGATGATCGAAGAATCTCAATAACTCAAAAGTCTCCTCGAGGTCGTCCTCTCTCTCACTCGACAGCCTAATCCCAACCGTCTTCCAACCTCCCCTCAGCATCGGAAACCCATCGCTACCAAACCTCCCCCTCAGTACCGACTCCGACTCCGGTGCTCCCTCGACCTCCCGCTCCTCGCATCCCTACCATCCCTCTCATACACATACGTCGGTGCCCTGGGGCTCCCCCCAGCTACGACGGCGACGGGCCTCGAGTGCCTGACCTCGGTCGACCTCCTCCGGTGCGACCGGCTGCGCGACGACCGGCGACCGGGGCTGCGCGGTGGGTACTCGTCGCGGACGCCGTCGTACCACGCGGCCTGCTGGGCCGCCGGCTCGCCGCGCGGCGGCGCGCCCATGTTGGTGCACGAGTAGACGATCCACCACAGCAGCAGGAACCCCGCGATGGAGCCGATGACGATGCCCGCGATGGCGCCGCCGCTGAGCGAGGACCCCTTTCCGCCGCCGCCGCCGGAGTCGGATACCACGGTTACTGTGGTTGCTGGGGCGGATTGTCGCCTTTGGAGGGCGGCGGCTACTTGTTTGAGGGTCTGGGTGGGTTGCAGGTTGAGGTCTTGGGCGAGGGACTGGAGCTTCTCGGTGGATAGAGAAATGTACCCGGGCAGGCTTGGATCTTGGGGGAAGGGAGCCATCTTTGCTCTTGAATCTGGGGTTTCTGGGCGCTCTCTGGTCTGGTAGTGACCTTCAATTGGCGATTGACTGTTCCCCAGTGTTGGCTATGGGGTGTGGGCTTTTGATGTGGTCCGTGTAGCTTTGTGTGGCTTCATGGTTTCGTGGGCCGTTCAACAGCAGAATCGTAGTTTATATCCCATCGGATTTGTGATGAAACGCCCGGGAATGCTGATAGATCCTTTCTTACCCCCCATACTGGTGACGCAATGATACAGGATGGTGGGGTGCCCAAGTTTGGCAGAGCCTGGATGACTTGCTCCGGAAACAGATGCGAAGTTACATTGGGGCTCTGGGGAGCGTCATCGTAACGTAATCGTCCAATTATCCAATGGCGCAGCGACTTGCAGAAGAAAATACCATCTGTGGTCCAATGCGATGTGAGAATTGGCCTCCCATGTGCGGTGTTGCTGAACTCTTGAGAGTTCCGGGACGGATCGCTCCACTAAGATGGCGGGAAAGGAGAGGCTGGGCGCGCTGGCGTCTTTTCTAGCCCCGTTTTAGTCCACGTTTTGACGTCATATCTGTTAACCCGTAACTTGGGTGTGCAGCGCACGTAGCCGATCGACCTACTCACAGCCCCAGCATCTTTCGCGCTGTGGCCCCTGGCCCCCAATCTTGATTTGGGAGAATGTCCAAGGCAACTAGTATAGAGGCAGATAGGCACCCACATACACGTGTACGTAGGGATATCGAGAGTCGCATGCCAAACAAAACTGTCAGAGCCTAATTAAAGACAGGATCGACGGCTCTATTCTTGGGACGGTTTCACATGACCTGTCCCAGCTCAATAAGACTATACAAGCGGTTGCTACAGCTTGAGCGTCCGTGACCATTATGTTGCCTTAGACAACTTGTTCATCTGAATTTACCCCCGACGGCAAGACGTACGCTAGAATTGAGCCAATATTTGGCGATATCAACTGTAGAAAGGCACCTTGGAATCGTGGCGAGTGGAAATAAAGGGAAGTTATTATCATGTAGTTATTCGTGGCGCAAATTGGGTCTCAAACTCCAACTCGTACCAGGTATGATGGAGGGCGGCGGGGGCAGGTGAGAATCCCCTTCGCCAACATGTTGTGCGTGGGCATATCACTCTGCAGAGGTACTAACAAGAATCACTCGTCCTTTTCTCGAGGATCGTCAATATGCCAAGAGGAACTAGAGGCAGGTGTAGTTGGCTGCTGGAACAGCTTCGTCAAGCATTGTTCATGTAACCTAGTTAGCGACTGGCTAAGCAGATTTGAAGAGATGGCGAGCTAGAGTCATGCGTGATTAGGTATGTATGTGGGTGCATGAAGGGGGATGGGCCAAGTCCTCTCAAGGGTTGTTACCTACGGTATGTTATTTGTTATGGTATCTCTCTCAATTTCAAACGTATCTAAGGTATAAGTCTGTCTCCATACCTGTCTTAACCCTCCGTCAAGCCTCTGAGCGGGATGACGATGAATAATACTCCAAATCCATCCTCATCGCCGACGGGTCCACCTGAAAGTGACATGGTTTTCCCACAACTCGATTGCTGTGTCCAAGAGCCTTATTCACTCCTCGCAAGTAGCGGCGCCGAATGTCGACACACTTGAACCGTCTTCCTCGTCAAAAGCCTCGTCGTGCGCCTTCCGCATCTGCAAAGCATAGTCACATGGCAGCTTTCCCTCTGCATGCATCCCTGAGTTGCCGATCTCCGTAATCCCGGAACAGCTTTAGACATTCAACTCGCGTGCCTGCCCAAAGAGCATACGAATATGGCGTCCATATGAGGCAGTGGAGCATTGTCTGGCCGAGATTTTCTTGATTGTTGATGTTCACCTGGCCGTCGTGCAAAGCAAGCCGGAGGTATTCGTCGTGCAAAGCAAGCCGGAGGTATTCGTCGTCCACCTGTCCTTCGGCTGCAACCTAGAGAAATGTCTGTCCTGCTGAATTACAGCGCCCCAGGTTGCCACCAAATCGTAGAAATTGTCTCAGCCCTAAGAAGTAGAGAAAGTGGGAGGCCGTGCTAGCCCTATAACGCTCGACCAAGGGGCGGGGCAAGACCCAGGTGAGACTCGGCGATTGCAACGCAGAGAGCCGACATCGCCACCCCGATCTGTCATTTCCATGTTGTACTGATTGATATTGGTCGATCATCTCGCAGCATATGCAATACGGCGTAATGAAGAGCCGTGAATTCTAGACCGTCCCGTCCTTAAGCCAGATCCGCGCCGCACTTTAGGAGTAATGCTCCCCAAATCTTGCCTCTCCTGTGCCTCCAAACTGCGCCAGGCCACGTAAAATTTCTACCGAGGCAAATTTTGCCTTATCCAGTAAAGCAGTTTAGCTGGTGCGAGTTCTCGAGGGCCAAATAAAGTGGGGCGTGGCATGGGTATGGGTAGCAGCTGCCGGTATCTTAACCGCTAACCCGTTCCCTTTTTTTCCCCAGATCCAATTTCCACCAAATTGACGGTTGATCAATTGACATTTCCTTCACGCGTTATTCCCCATTCCTGTCGAGATGCGGCATGATGTGCCGTAGCGTTGGTAACAGCAAACAACTCGATAGAGTCTCCCAGCAAATACACATGTTGCATTCTTGCTCCTCGTTTCTTCTGTCGAAGTTCTTGGAACGGGGCTAGCGTTGCTTCATTCAGCCCATAACACTATTGACGCTAGTTGCAAAGCTTGTCAAGTTTCCCATCATGCCCTAACCTTCTTTGGCCTAACTCGAGGGGCTGGACCGGGCTTCAGCTGTGAGCCCTCACCAAAAGGAGAGATGAACGTGTATCGCTCGGATCACTGTCCGGGTCTTCCCCTGGGCATCCTAAGCAGATGGAAAGAGGTGCCTCATTTCATAAATATCGGCACTCCCTCGGTAACCCCCCACAATGTCCTTTCGTGCCTACTACCGTCATAGCGAAATCCAACTTGACCGTCATTCTTTGAAATCTCCCTATGGCTCTTCTGTGGCTTCCACTCCTTCTGGGGGCGGCACCCCTCGCCCTGGCCACCTGTGCTGACAACTGCGCCCGTGCCTTTAAGGGCGATCGTGCCACCGGCGTGGCTCCGTTCTGTAGCTCTCTGCTCCAGACCACGGTGCTCGCCCCCTCGGGCTTCCCGTGCTATGCCACCGCTTGCACGAGCGGGGATTACGTCGCTCGAGTTAGCAGCGCCTGCTCTTGCATTCTGGCCACAGCCACGTCGCCAACAGTCACCGCCAGCAGCTGCCCGACCCAGTCGACTGAGACGGTCACCGTCACCGCTACTGCCACCGAGGCAGCTTCGACCATCACCTCCGTGTCTGTCGAGCTGTCGGTGACCACGACGGTGTCCATCTCGACTGAGATCTCCACCGCGACCGAGCTCTCGACCGTCACCTCCGTCTCTATCTCCACCGAGATCTCTACCGTCGCGACTACCTGCCCTGCCGCGCCGACCTCGACTGTCTACCCCTCAAACACGTGCGGGCGCTTCGTCAACGGCGACTTCGAGTCCAGGCCGGACAGCGCGGGAGCGTACTACTCCGATCCGATGATGCCTTGGATCCCCTTCCTTAACCAGCAGGGTGGGGCTGGTAGTGCCAACGTGTACCTGTCCCCAGGCTCCGGCCGCGGCGGCAGCACCGCTGCCCAGGTCTACTGCAGCGCGTACGACTTTATGCCGCCGGTCGCGCCCGAGTCGGTCAGCACCGGCATCGAGCAGTGGGCGCATCTCTGCTGGAACCAGCCCGGCTTCAGCTACCAGGTCACCGGTTACTTCCAGAGTAGTGTTCCGGGTGCGGTGGGTCTAGCCATCGATATCGCCGGCTGCCAGAGGACAGGGCCTTGCGAGTCAACCACCTACGTTGCTACGATTACGGAAGCCGAAGACGGCTGGAGCTACTTCGAGATTCCTGCCTGGGCGCCAAAGTCTTACTTTGAGTATTACGCCCTGGTTACGATCAGGAGCGCGCCTGTCAGCGGGACGCCGACGCCGGACGAGTATACTCTCTACTTCGATGACATTGTTCTCACGGCAATCAAGAGCAACGGTGTTCCTGCTTAAGAAGAGGGAGCTGGTGACGGTTCGATCTTGCCGGAACAAATGTCAGACAGCAATGTCTTGCATCTGACATATTTCTGAGGGTATTACGAAGTAGCTAATACATAATCCTAATACTTTCATTCACAAGCAGATGCACAACAAATGATGCATGTACAGTACATCCCCCCCCATATGTGTGACTCCAAGCTCAATTTCACGTCTCACTTCCGCATGCGGATAGAAATATTGACTTGATATGGGGCCAATAAGGCAGGGAAACAGGAATCTCCAGGGCCTGTCCTGCAGGCCATGTATTTCACGCCTAGCTAGTCTAACAATACGGCGCTTCATCGTATTCCCAGGCTGAGTTGCATGTGCAGGTCCTGTATCCACTGGGGCAATACCATGTCATGCGAGTACTGTGCCAGGGGAGGTTTACGTTGCAGCCATGGTTCACGAAGCTTCATCGGCGTACAAGGTACAGACTCGGGAGTCTGCAGCAAATGCAGACTGGGCAAAAGGCAAATGTCAGCAGTGAAATCAGGATAGCACATCGTGTAATCGAGTTCGAGGGAGCTGGGATTGTGCGCAGGATGCAGGGGAGATGGCGAGACATGCAACTTCCAAGCCCCAAATTTGTAGGGAATCGCTCTGGCTCAACGCATCCCCTTGAACTTTCCACGTGGCCAAGACGCAGGGAATGAAGTGGCTATGGCGTAAAACCAGCTGGTACATCAAGCCACAGAGGATATTGGCAGAAGTATTCCGACACGCGGCTTTGTTATCGCAGAAAAAGGAGATGGCAGTTACATCAGACTTCGATTCATCGATGGGTCAAGTCAGGAAGACGGACATGAAGGTCTTCCTCTTTCCAGGCCGTCCGGATATCCGCAAAAGGCCGGGCTGAGACTTGGCCCATGTCTCGCAAGTCCCACGTTTCCTTTGTCCTCTTGAGGTGATGATCTGATTCCGATTACTGACTGGGTCGGTGATGAACAAGGCCGGGCCCCACGCATCAATACGGGCCGAGTTCGCGTTGCAGAATGCTAATAAGCACGTTGGTGCAATGTAGTGCAGTGATCAGCCAGGGTGGAACCGTGGCCAGCTGAAGCATCCCCTCCGGGCTTGGAAGGCCAGGCTTCAGTTGAACCTTCTTAATTGACAATGCCCACGCAAAACAATAGGCCTTCATGGGCGTGAATAATATGGCGAATTCATGGAGAACTAATCAGCTTACCGCAATCTAGATAGCCAACAATATACTGAGCAGCTTATTGCATCTTGAGCAATCAACTGCACCCTGAGCAACCAACTGCCTCCTGAGCACATTCTTTATATTGTCTAGCAGCTATCAACCATGGAACAATCAGGTCTAGAAACACGGCTCTTCAAAGTGTCACAGCTGACTAGTCACCTGGCTAACTTGTAGAACACTTACTGCCAGAGCATGGTGCAGTGAAAAGACAAGTGCTTACATGTATTTCCAATACGGTTTGTTAGAGCCTTGGGACGTTGGTCTCGGATATTCCCCCACCACGATGTTAGGATCTACCTATGTAACAGCTGGTCTCAGGGGAACCCGACAGGCCCCGGCGGCTCCTCGGACCCGAGCCTTGTAACAGTCTAGCTAGGTCGTAGGGGATATATAGAGGTAGCGTGAACCCTTCGTTCGAAGCTAGAAGACTGAGCCTTCCAAGACACATTTCGCCCGCTTTAGCCAATCCAACCTCGAGGTATTAATCAAGACTTGGTGGCAGAAGCTTCTCTTTCATAAATATGGCACGTCTCAAGACTGTGTTTATTGCCCTCTTGGGAATTTCATCGGCAGCAATCGCAACAAGCGTTCAAAGCTATACCAAACATCTTTCAGAGATGACCCGCACGCTCAATCTCAGTAACGTGGTCCATGATACCTCTTCGAATGTTGCCAAGTCAAGGGCAGCGAGCCTCTCCCTCGACAAACGAGACGACCTTGATTGTCTCAATCCTGATGCCAGGGTCGGCGCCGCCAATGTGGAGGACTGCAACAATGTTTGCAGCAACTTCTTGGATTACCCCACCGTCTCCGTGCACATCCTCGCCCTCGATGTTGCTATTTGGGAGCTCGGGGCCTGCCAATTCGGAGTGGCAAATCGCGACCCGTGCAGCCCTACGACTCTCACATTCGGGGTTCTGATATCATACTGCCAGGGAATGCTTGGGGAATGCGTCATTAATGGCCTTGACGGGTACTACCATGTTTCCAGCCGGAATTTGGCTATGACACTTACCGGTGACGGGGCAACACCGCGCTACAGCGCGGGGCCTTGCGCGGACTCGAAGGAAAGTGTCATGGCATAGCTGCGCTAGCCGTCTTCATGGCGACCGAATTTCGATTCGCCGATAGACACGACTGTTTCGTATGTGCAATCATGGAAGCCGTTTATTTCCTTCTTTCATTTTGTTTTCTCGTCGAGGTAGCGGGTTTAGTCTGGATCATAAATATTTTGTTTTTGCCTGATTTGTCGTTGGATGGCCTGGCCAGATTGCGAACTGGTATCTATTAGCTCTAAACCTTTCCGCTCTCTAAGAAGTGGCATTGATGTGTGCAAATCTCCTAAAAACGGTGAGATTTGGTTGTCAAAGAGCCCATCACGATCCGGGGTGTAGCTCTGAGCTTCGATATCGAAATGCAGTTAGGTTCTACCAACAATTCAGACCTGCAGTATCCAACAACTGTACACTTGGTAGGCGCGTGTTCCACTCTACTGGCGCGATCGTTCACGAGTCGTGCCTGTCCCTTTGTGATCGTTTGCATGGCAGCACAGCGGGCTTAGGACCAGCAGCCAACATCGCTCCTTGGATAGCGTTTGCCAAGTAAAGTATTGCCACATGAATACAGATCCGTATATGCACGCGGAAACCCGTACAGTTATTGCCTCCGACTCGTCCCGTATCTAGCGTAAAGACTGCCAGCCTCTGCGTTATGCCCTTTTGTTTTGTTGATCCTGGCTTTTGCTCAACGCTTCGGGACCTCCCAAAACAGACGCAGCCCGGCTTCCCATTTGTCAATTTACGTGCTTTTTAAACCTTTTTCGCCCCCTATTTCCGAATCCAAAGCTGCCTTGTGCACGCCTGATTTCCCATGGAGTACAATAGTAGGGCCAGCTGCTCCTGCTTGACCACCTTTTTTCAGAGTCATCGTTTCCTTGGGCCCCCAGTTCGAGGGCTCACCTTCTCGATTATCTCAGCGTAGGTATGCAAAGCTAAGGGACACTAGGTTGAGCCCATGACAAAAGAACTTACTGGGTGTACAGGCCGAATTCCGTCCATTCCCCATCCCCTCCGTCCATCAAGGAGCCTCGCCCTGCTCTCTCATCAAAACTGCTGCACTGATGCAGTATATCTTGAGCCCGCCATCAGCACATGTCGATTCTAAGAGCGCAGTTATTCATTATGGCGGAGCGCGCACCTCCCGAACTTGTAAGGTATCGCCTCACACTTGGGGCCTGGATTTTCCACGCTGACGACGTATAATAGTTGACTCGAAGAGAACCGATCCCAGACTATGACCTGAAGACGTGCTCACACCGGCATGATATACTCGCAACAGTTGTCGAAGCCGACCGGCGGCGCCCTCTTCCTGTTGTCACGCTATACCACTGGTGTCCGCCAACTGTCCGTGTAACGACCAAAGTCATGCTGTCTCCAGACGTTTTGCCAACAATCAAGGGCTTTACGTCCTTAGGCACCTCCTTTCTTCCAGAATACTCAAATATCTCTAAGACGCTTTCTGACCTCCTAGCGGCAAAACCCTCTGGCCCAGAAACAACGCCTCAACTGCTCCCAGAGCTCATAGGACGGCTTGCTATGCCGGACCAGGGAACTTTTGTGCAATTTTTCTCCTTTCCTGTGTTTAGCAACAGCCCAAACGAGGTTTCCACCGATGGCCTCCTCCCGATGTGGAAGTTGGCAAAGCCTAATAGTATTTACAGTAAGAGAGGTTTCTGGGAGACAGAACTACACGAAGCTCTAGAACACGGAGAATGGAATGCCGGGAAAGACCTGATCTTATTGACAAGAGGGGTCTCGGGACAGACGCTACAAACTATCGGAGATTGTAGAATTCCCAGTTTTGAGCGCTATTCTGCATCATAACTTTTCGAACCTCGAATGTATAAATAATTAGTCAATGAATAATCGGGCAGAATAACATCATGTCTAAATGCTTCCATAACGAGACTCACAGATCTCTGCGGCGAACACTAAAAGTGCAATTAGACCACAAATGCCAGGACTACATCCAGTGTTAAACACCGAGAATGTGAGAAGGAAATTCAAGGAGTATCTAGTCAAAAAGTGTCCACCAAAGTGAAATATAACCAATCTTTTTTCAAGAATCATCGCGTCTCCGCCAGCAGGCTGCAAACAGTGGCCTCTCAAGCCATCAAGCGACGCCCGAAAATGGCTCCAACGAATGATTCTACAATGCCCAGCCTCTCCCCACTCAATTACTCTCGGGGCAGGACGTCTGGAGTACCGATATGTTTGATTCCCTCTCCAGGGTAGACTTCGACGATCTGAAGGACATAGACCATTGCTTCGGGACCTACCTATGTGTAGCACGTACAGCTCAGGGCGTCTTCACATACTCGGGAAGCGGCACCGACACCTACCAAACGCTGGCGGGTATCGGGCTTGTCGCAAGATTTGACCGAGGCTATAAGCCGTGGATCAAGGGGACTCACCGAGAGCTGAGGAAGCTCGGGGTTCTGGACGACAGCAGCAAATGTTCTTTCATCCACAGCCAAATGAGCTCCCCCGAATCTATCTCCTTCTTCACTCTGACTACATGGTATCCTCTTCGCAGTGACACAACTGCACTTCTCAGGGGCTTGGCAAGTCTGGCAGAAGATCTCTTGATTGTGGCCCCTGCCAACGTCTCAGAATCACGGCCCCCACCAAAGGCACCCTATTGGTAAATGTTCCTTCGCTGGATGCATCGGAAGTGTTGTATGATCTACTTGAGACGCACTGTCAAAAGTCAAAAGACTGGTTTCATGATCACGTGAAATCGTGTGCATTTTTTTTATGTTTCCCCCAAGTCCATGCCACTCGCGTGGACTTAGGAGAGGGGATCATCACCTTCACCACCTAGAATATGGGGGGCACTCGCTTTGCGTTCATTTTTGCTAGCTGATTAGCCGTACTGACTGATCAGCTAAGGTAATTACCGCAGACGAATAGATGGCCCCGAGCGTTTTGTTCTGTGCAGGAAACACTCTTCGTTTGCTCCTTCCCAATCCCTGCCGGGGGGCTCAATGTTCCTGTCTGGGAAATGTCGGTCGAGCGTTATTTGCCAGAGATGCCAAACCTTAGCGCCCGAAGGCTCTTAGCCGCAGTTCCGCCCGCACCAGCGCCACTCTGGGTCCACTAGTAGTCTCGCGTTAACCCTGCGTGGAGCAACCCTCTCTTCCAATAGGAACTCATTACCGGAACTAACTGCATGTCATGTCGCAAGCTGGGAGGTAAGAGCGCTCCATGAACGCGCCATGATAATACGAGTGCTAAAGGGGGCGGCAGGCTGCGTTGGCTACAAACAGGAGGGCGCGTGCATACTGCACCACACCGCCCCTGCCGTAATTCTTCAGCACCGTCTTCTTGTGGCCCAACTTTGGGAAGGCGACAAAAGGCGAGCATGCCTTGATGCCTGAGGGAAAATCAAAGTTGACATCTACTGATATTGCGGGCCGTCTTACGATTTGACTTGCGTAGCCCTGCACTTGATGTTGACGTGCATGAAGCCGCCATGATCCCTTGCCCGACTAGGTATTGATGTTGAGGAGCTGCGCTTGCGGGTTGCCTGGTAGAGCAGTATCAGTCGACGCGCATGGGTAAATCGAGGCATACTTGCTGCGATGGATTCTGTATGGACCTGATACACCCTTCCCAAGGCTTAACAAAACTCATCCTTCTCAGGCACCCTCGGAATTTGTCCCCCGACAATCGTCCACCCAGTCCTCGAAGCGCAGATTAACAACATTAGCTCGAATCTTCAGTGGCCTGACGATAACGAAGCAAAGCGACAAGTCTCTGGAAGACATTCGCGGCCCATATGGTCTCAACCTGCTCTTTGATTCAGCCGATCCCTTGGCCGACATTATCTTTGTTCACGGTCTCGGGGGCGGGTCTCGAAAAACCTGGGACAAAGACGGCGATCCGCAGTTATACTGGCCGAAAGAGTGGCTCTCTCGAGACCCGGAATTCAAGCATGCCCGAGTTTACAGCTTTGGATATCCCGCAGACTGGACCGGCCGCCAGGAGTCTGTTCTTAATATCCATGACTTTGCAAATTCCCTGCTCGGCCAGCTCCAGACCTCAACGACCATCCGACGCAGCAGACATGTGGGACATGCCCCAAATTTGCGGGAATGATGCACGTTCTAACTGCTGCAGACGCCCATCATATTCGTTTGCCATAGCATGGGTGGGCTGGTCGTCAAGCGAGTATGTCCCTTCGTTTTGTGAAGATCCGACATATCAACTGATTACCTACTCCAGGCCTTCATCCTTGCTCAAAATGACAAAGCATTCCAAGATTTGGCCAAGAGGTTCGACACCATCTATTTTCTCGCCACTCCCCACCACGGCGCGAGCTCTGCCCGGCTTCTCAGCACGTTACTGAAAGCGACTTACTCCGGAAACCGACCGTTCGTTTCCGATCTCAAACAAGATTCGCCCGCCATCCAGGCCATCAATGACGAATTCCGGCATTATTCAGAGCTGGTGAGACTTTACTCTTTCTTCGAAACCAAGCCGACATCCGTCCTGGGAGTTGGGAATACATATATCGTCACAAAAAGCTCTGCCACCATGCTGCTTCCCAACGAACGCGTCAGCCCTCTCCACGCGGATCATCGTGGCGTTTGCAAATATCTCTCGCCGTCGGACCCGAATTACGTGCTGGTAAGGAACGCCCTCGTCGAGGCTCTAGACCGGATCAACGAGACATGTAAGCAGAGCCTCTTGTTCCCCCTTCCCCTATATCTGGCGCCCTTGCCCTAACACCACTCCAGGGAATGTCATTAATGGCACCGAGGTAAAAGCGCAGAAACGAAAGGTCCGCAACTTCTTGGGCATCTCGAATCAACAGCAACAGTTTCATGTGGACTTTGATGAACCAAGAGTCGATGGATCCTGCGAATGGTTGGCGGGCGTGTCGTCGTTTAGGCGGTGGCGCGATGCCTCGGACCCACGGATGTTCTGGCTCAGCGACAACCCTGGCACGGGCAAGACTTTTCTTGCCAAGTACGTGGTCGACCACCTCAATGAGCTTGGATTCGACCGCAGCTATTTTCTCTTCCGCGCCGGCGACAAAATACATTCGTCACTCGCCGGATGCCTGCTTTCCCTAGCATGCCAGATGGCTGAGAATAACGTCTTCATCCGCGAGAGGTTCCTTGAAATGCACGAAAGCGATATCGAATTTGACAAGGAGAACTTCCAATCGATATGGCGGATTCTTTTCGTCGGTGGTGTCTTTCAGGCGAAGTTGATTAAGCCGCACTTCTGGGTCCTCGATGGGTTGGATGAGTGCACCCACTACTGCGACCTTTTCTCCCTCCTCGCAAAGATCAGCCCAGCCTTTTCTCTTCAAATCTTCCTAACATCTCGACCCAGCCCGGTCTTGCGAGGCAGCCTCAACGGTAACAGCCTGGAGGCAGCAGTCCACGAAGTCGGCCTCGAGACGACATTGGAGGATATCAAACTTTACGTCGAGAACCATGCAGACTTCCCAAGCATCCAAACGGACGCTGGGAGACAAGACCTTCTGTCGATTATCCTGGGCAAGTCTGAGGGGAGTTTTGTCTGGGTCAAACTTGTCCTACGAGAGCTGAGGGGGGCGTTCAGTGTAGAAGCAACTCGACACGTGCTAGAAAGCGTCCCAAAGGGTATGGATCAGATCTACCTGAGGAGCTTGACCCCGTTGTCGAAAGAGGAACAGAGGAGGCCAGCAGCCAAGGCTATCCTGATGTGGGCGAGTACATGCATCCGAACCCTGAATATGGCGGAACTCAAAGATGCACTCAAGATTCACATTAATGAGACGTTTCACAATTTAGAAAATCACATTAGCTGGCTTTGTGGTTACCTGGTCAAGGTTGACGGAAGCTCGGGGGTACAAATGGTGCATGAAACTGCGCGAAGCTTCGTGCTCAACCCCGACAGTGGCTCAGTCATCGCCTTCAGCGAGGCAGAAGCACATGAAGCTTTGGCAATAGTCTGCCTCCGATATCTCAGCAGCAAGGAACTAAAGTCGCCTCGCGGCAGGAAATCACACAGGGGCCACACACCCGCGACAACTCGATCGCCGTTTCTGGACTATGCAGCAACATCTTTCCACGAGCACATCCAGAAGTCTAAGAGCACCAGAGAGGAGATGGTCAACCTGCTTTTTACCTTTTGCAGCTCATCGGCGGGCAATATCCTCACATGGATCGAGCATGTCGCGTCAACCAACAATGATCTCACGGTCATTACAAGGGCCGGCATGTTGATACAGAGCTTCACAGAGCGAATCGCCAGGGATCCCATGCGAAGGACAGACAAATTGGCTGTGATCGATTCCTGGGGTACAGATCTGATACGCGTTGTGGCCAGATTCGGCCGCAACCTGCTTCGGCTGCCTGCTTCCATCTACACTATGATACCGCCAGTCTGCCCCAGAAACTCGGCGCTCCACCGACAATACGGACATTCTCCCAGAGGGATCAGTGTCCTCGGAGTCCCTTCATTACTCGAATGGGGCGACTGTCTCGCTACCATCATTTACCGGCAGAAAGGCAACCGAGCCATGTCTGTCGCTGCCACAAGCAACTACTTCGCGGTGGGAACATCAAGCCATTTCATCAGGCTATACCACACAAATACCTGTCAAGAATTCGGGGTATTTTATCACGGAGAGTTTGTCAAAGTCGTCGAGTTTAGTATGGCTGGTCGGTGGGTAGCGACAGGTGGCAATAAACGTCTTTGCTTGTGGGACATTGGAGCAAAAAAGCTTGCCTGGGAGTATGACATTGGGCGACCCTGCATTGCGATGGTCTTTAGCAGCGAGAACGACATGCTTGTTGCAGCGTGCCATGACAACCAACTCTACTATTTTAACCTTGAGTCAGGGCGACTTGAGGAACGGATGCCATGGTTCATGGACGAGGATTACGCCCAAACGATCACAAATGTTCCAGCAGCTGCAGCGTTCTCAGTCCAGCTGTCCCTGCTTGCCTTTGTCTACCGAGGGGGCCATATCGGCGTCTGGAACTGGGAGGACGATGAGTTTCTTGGGTTCTGCGAGAAGCCGGGCGCCAGGAACAGACTGTGTCCTTTTCACGCATCGTCGCTTGTATTCAGCTCTGCACAGGATTCCAATTCCCTTGCTGCAGCCTATGAGCAAGGCGAAATACTCGTCTTTGACCCTTTCAAAGGCGACGTCAAGGCTCATTACAAGTGTAACGCAGATAGTCAGACCCTCGCATGTTCGCCAGATGGCAGCACGTTGATCTCTGCAGATGCTGGAGGCGTAATACGGATCTTCGACTTCCAGAACTTTGACACCCCGAACCATAAGCTGAGGCTATTGTACATCATATCCGGCTTGGAAGAAAATATCGGTGGGCTGGCTTTCTGCGATAACAAACGCTTCGTTGACATCAGGGGTGCAAAAGCTAAGGTCTGGGAGCCGACCGTGTTGGTACGCCAGGACGCGTCAAACAGCGAGACAGAGGCAATCATTTCGGAGCCGCAGGAGCTAAGCCCGGTCATTGAAGAGATTGATCCTATCACATCTTTGACGGTTCATCCGAATGGCAAGCATATCTTCTGTGCCACTCAGAATGGATTGATCAACGTTTTCGAGACCTCCACAGGCAAACGTACCCAGACTCTTTATGGACATTCCCGTGGCGACCTTATCAGCTGGATGATTTTCGGCGGGTCTGAAGATGATGTCCTTGCAAGCGCCGGCATATCCAGCAAGGTCATCATTCGCCGCGTAGTGTTCAAGCAAAAATGGGTCGTCGAAGCGACTCTCTTCGAGTACCGCATGGGCGAAAGGATCGAACAACTCATGTTCAACCAAGCGGGGACCAAGATCTTGGTTGTTACCACAACCCGCGACATGATATATTCCTTGACGGACAGATCTACCGCATCTGCGTCGTGGGATACGAGGTTGCCTGGCTGCTGGTGCAACGACCCGCGCGACCCCAATAGGCTCCTCCTCTGGGTCAACCAAAAGTTGCGCGTCTTCACATGGGATGGCCTTCGGGAGCTGACACCGGCGTCGGGGATAACGCTCGACTTCGATCTTCCAACCAATTTCGGCATCCAGAGCGTCCACTCAGGCTGGAAGCAACAATTCGTCGCCACTGTCTACTCCGAGGTTGACCGCGCGCGCTCGCACGTCCGCCTCCTCGTCTGGAACGCAGCCGACTTCGACCAGGCCGACCCGACCACAGAGGCTGCCCCATACCCTGCCCTTCAAGCTTACGGCGACAAGGTATCCGGCCTCGTTGGCACCCTCGGCATGATCATTGGCCTGTTCGAGGACCGCTTCTTGTTCCTCGACCAGGAAGGCTGGGTCTGCTCCATCGTCCTCGACGATTCGCCCCCCGAAACCTACAATCGCCATTTCCCCCTCCCATTTGATTGGATCAGTACGAATGATACCCTTCTTCTGGCACTCACCGCCAGGAACGAGATTGTGTTTGGAAAGGGTGACGAGCTGGCAGTGATCAAAAGGGGATTTGCTTTTGCCGAGACGGTGCCGCTGTCCCAGCGTTCCAGGAGGTCTTCCGCCGCGACTTGAGCAGAGATGAGGAGGCTAAAGGGTTGGGATGCAAGAAGATATTATAGGCTCACCCAAGGGCAAGAAAAGCCAATTCTAGAACGCAGTCAACTCATATCGAGAGTGGTTGTGGGCAACGTATACTCATTTGGGCTGTATATTGAAGCGTACTGAAATGGAAAGAGAGGAAGGAAATTCCAGGGGAGCCCAGATTCCATGCCCCTGCAGCTCTCTCTTGGTTATGCAAGGAGAGCTCATTTAACTGCTTATTGGTCAACAGGCAGATATCTATGTATACTTATGCCCCCGTACTTGCTGTCATATGATCCCAATATACTCCAGGACCACTGAGAAAGATACATGTCACCAACCTCAAGTTGTATCGAGGATTGCAGGACTGGGTCCAGCAAAAATATGACGATGAGGAACTACGGACGGCCCCGAGATGATTTCAGGATCATCGGGGATCTGTTGGAGAATGAAGGACTGCATGATTATGGACAGGACGGATACAAGGGAGGTCATTCGATGGATTTGCACGCTTTCGACCACAACATGAGTTCATGATCCTTCTGGCGGGTTTGTTTTGCTAGAATTTCTTGGTCGGGGGAGCCCTGTGAGGCACGTGACCAGAACCACTTGTATTTTTATTATTCTATCCCGTCGATTTGGGCTTTTAGGTAGGTGGTCACCTCCCCGTTCGGCTCACGTGACCCCTCGCCGCTTTGCTTGGTAGGTTACCTTAGGCCGACTCGGCTTGGCTCATAGTCTCGCGTTGGATTTAGATATCACGTGATTAAGATACTAGGTTTGAAGGTCAAGCTAGGCGGCGGAAATTGGCAAGAGTTGCTGTCGCTGTCTATCGCTCTTGCCGTTCGTTGCTGTCTATCGCTCTTGCCGTTGCTATCTATCGCTCTTGCTGTCGCTATGGCTCAAATAGTAACGACCCCTTCATCACGTGATAACCCGTAGCTTCAATCCGCGCCTTCACTTCTTCAGCGGGCTCCACTTTTAGGGCTGACAAGACGGGACGCACGTCTACCTTACCTACCTAAGTCTTTAACCTCCCCACCCTCTCGTCAAACTTTCCGACTCGTCAATCCCGCATACCCCTCTGCCTCAGTGCGCGCGTCTATCTCTGCGCGTTCCCATCTCTCAATCTTGGCGTCTTCTGACGCTTGCAGCTTCTCGATACGTTTCCCGTCGCGGTATACATCACCAGGTGTTGCCGTCGAATTCACAAGACGTCCTGTCTTCCGTGTCCTAGGTTAGTCTATGCTAACCGTAACGGCGCACCTCTGTCGTCAGCCCTGCTAATCGGTGTATCAAGCCTCTTGAAACAAAATGTCGACTCCAGCCAGCCAGGCGACGAACCCCGGCAGGGGTGGCACGCAAGAATGTGCGCTGCTTTACGCAGACCCGACGGCACCGCCGCGGGCCACCACTACCGACATTGTGTTCTTCGACGAGTCCGGCCAACCCAGCTCCGTTCTGGTGATCGCTTTTAAGCTGCATGTCGGTACTTGGACCTCGTCGGCCGAAGCGGTTTCTGATGAAATGCTGGTGGCGCTACCAGCACGCGAATCCGCCAAGGCCCAGACGATGGGCCTTTTGCGTTTCACTCCAAGCGACGATCAAAAGCCATCCGTCGAGGGCTACGGATTACCATTTATTGCCCGGGATGACGAGGACGATCGAATCGTCAACCACGGCGAGCTTATTGAGGGCGTCAGGACCCTCCGCGACATCTGCGTCCAGACAGAGCTCATGATTCTGTTTGCAGGCATTATCCTGCTCCCAAGAGGAAGAGACCAGTTCAGCAGGGATTTCCCCGAACCGGTCCTCAAGGTCTTCCCTTACAGCATAGGGTAAGTTCTCGCGTTGTCATTGTTTCGTTGACGCTCCTGACGTGCTTATAGGGAGTGGTCGATGGAAAGCTACCAGGAGGAAGTCCCCAAGTATGCTCACAGCCTTCCATACGACACCAGTTACAGGTTCGATAATCACCAAGATTACTTGACGGCCCTCAGGGCGTCATCCAAGACGTCTTCCACTTGGCAGAGGATGTCGAAGCTATCCGCCGCAGGGCAGGGGCGATTAGGTATTTGGGCAGGGGCGATCAGCTATTCAGGCAGTGATACCAACGCAGATCCGGTGCGGATCTGCCACGAACAGCGGGCCAGTCTTCGCGGTGACGCAGAGGACAAAGACCACGACCAGTCCTTCCCGCCCTTGGAAGGAGTCCGTCGTGTTGACGACAACATCACGGCAGGCGGTCTGGTTGTGCCTCTTGAAAGCCTGCTGTAGCTTGCCAAGGTTACTCCTGTACGGAGTAATCACGACAACGTCCGACCCCTTCAGACCAGGGTTGGCTTCCAACATAGCCTCGATGATCGTAATGGCTGTGAAATTTTGTACCAGGTCATATCGTGGCCCGGTATCCTCGTCCAGAAGGCACTCCGAGTTAACGCAGTCGAAGAACAGAGGCAAGATCTTACCCGGTGGGCAAGGAGGCGCTTGGTACTTCGTACGTACCCATGTCTCTATCCTAGTGAACTCGGTCGGGGTAGGCAGCCAGCGAGGTCTTCTCGGCGTACTTGAAGTCCGGGAAGTCGTGGTATATAACGTCTCGAGTGACGTCGAAGAAGCCAGAAACGGTGCGGAATTGGACGTTGAGAACGGTTTCGATCGCGCATCTTGTCGTCGGCGGGTTTATTGGAGCGTGGAAGTTCTGAGATTGGCTTTTGTACAATAAGGCTGCCAAGCAGAGAGCCCAAGCTCAGGGTACGTCCTCCCTCTGGTGCTCTTGATTTGCCATGCCAGCCGGTTTTAGCTGATGGTTTATGGCAGACAGATAGAGCTGCTCAAAACCGAGGTGGAAGGGCTCAAGACGCAGATCAGAGAGCTCACATCGAAGGTTGGAAATCCCAAAACGGAGGGCGGAAACCTCGGAACGGATATCAGAGGGCTTGAAGGCCAACTTGGCAATGTGCGGAGAGAAATCGGACGGCTCGAAGACCGGATAAACAATGTGCAAGCAAGCTTGCCACAATGGCCGGTTGACCGAAATCAAGAGGTTGGCCACCTCCGTCGAACGATTAACCGGAGCCAGAGCCGCCTTGAGGGTACTCTCAGCACCCATATTGTCTGGCAGGCCGTCAAGCAGCAGCAGCTAGACATCACCATCGAGAGGACCAAATGCAAGTGCAAGGAGACCGCCCCCACGTCCCCGACACGCACCCCATCGCCACCCTCCTCTCCCCAGCCGAAGCCGTCCGATAGCAAGGCGGGAAATTTGCCCGCGGCTGGCGCGCGAATGTCCAAGGGCGCGGCCCCCCCCCCCAGAGACGGGAGACCAGGACCCCTGACAAGGGGGCGTTCTATTAGGACTTTGGCTGACAAGGGGGCGTTCTATTAGGACTTTGGCAAGTTGGACGTGTATTGTGTTTTTGCACCGTGTATTACTAGGATCTGTTGCCCGCAGTGCAGTTTTTGGCAGCTAGGAGGTTGAGCTTATCTCTGCGGGCAGGTGCAGTTGGCCATTCGGGCAGGGGGTCTTGGAGCAAGCGACTGCGACTGTGACGGCAGTGTCGATGGCAACAGGAACAGAGACGGCAACAGCAACATAACGGTGACAGCAAGAGCATTTTAGCAATGGCGACAGCGACGGCTAACCAAATGTCCCTGCCTCAACAGTTAAATGCCCCTGCCTGAATAGCTGAATGCCTCTACCCGAATAGCTGAACGCCCCTGCCCGAATACCTAAGTAACGGTTGCCCCAGATGGGACACGCCGTGTAGACTGGAGGAAGACGCTGGAAGAAGACACGATCCTGACAAGAGACAGCGCTGCGGAGCATGACACGGTGCTGATAACAACACAACACAACACAACACAACACAACACAACAGAGATCTGAGAGGCAGTCTGGCAACAAGGCTGTGGGACAAAGCCCCTTCGATTTACATTGGTGTTTGTAGAGTGAGAGTTGTCAGCAACAATTAAGTAGAGGAAAGAACGACTGGAAATAGAAGGAGCGACAGGGAATGGGCCAAACCGCCGTGCCTTCGACACCAGAGAAGAGCCCCGCCAAAGAGACGTGGATCGCGGAAATTTGCACCTACAACGATTAAAAAATACTGTGAGGTATCTCCGGCTATGCCGACAAAGCCGTCCCTACCGCGGTAGCAGACTAGGGCGCCGTGTCGTTAGATACGACTTACACTGGGCGTGTGGTGGCTTGGTCAACAACCTAGCCAGGTATCGAGGTAACCATAAATATTTACATGTATGTACATTCGATACCCCAAACGATCAACCAACCACAGCAACTTCTTTCCAGTTCTCTATATGAATTTGGGAAGCAGAGACATTTAGTACAGTTGCCAGACAGCAGCCTTCTACCGCAAGCTGCTCCCTCACCATCCCGGAGTCCCCATTCCATGGTACCGCTTGACCATCGACACCCAGCGCTTGTTCGTGACACAACGCTTGGTCTCGCACCAAAGGTCCTGATCGGCCGGCCTGTCCGTACCACCAATGCCGAGCGACTCAGGCGCAAGGGCCTCTAGCCAGTATGACGCGGCCGGGCTTTTATGCAGGATCAAGGTCCAGTAGAATGCAATGTAGACACGCTGGCCACGGCGATGCCACTCATGAAAGGCCTTGCATGCTGAACAAAAGAAGGAGTGACAAATATGGCCAGAGAGGAAACCATGGGAGACTCCTTCCGCTCCTTGTCCCCCCACACCACCCCCATCCGCTCGGTGCGAAGGGTAGGAAACACAGAGGCAGCAGGGGTTACGGTGGCTGGGATCGTGAGGCGACGATGCCAGCGCTGGGAAGCAGGCGCATATATTCGAGCTGAAGGCCCGGAGCAGCTTCTCGGGATTAGGGTCGATGCCCGTGTTGTCGTTGTCGCCGTCCGGTGTAGAGGGGGATACGTGGGGACAGAAGCGGTGGCCGAAGAGTTGGCCTGCGACTGCCCTCCTAAGGGCGGCCTCTAGCTCCCTCCTTGTGGGGTGGCGACTAGGGCGCTGGTCCTTAATGTCAAACAGCGGGACCCCTGAAGTGATCTTGACTTGGACTAGATTCTTGTTGTTGTATCTCTCTCTTGACATAACAACGGTTGGATATAACCATGGCCTGTCAAAATCAAACCACTCGTTCCTTGGCGGCTGGTGTGATCGATCCATGCAGATGAATTTCCGGCGGTTACTTGAAGTTGACTTGCCCTGGCTTTGTGGTGTAACCCCTTGCCCTATCTTCTCCACATCGCTCCATGAGATAGACATATGAGAGCAGACCTGGATATGACCTATTCTTCCGTAGCATACGCGTGGATTTGTCCTCTTCTTTGCCCTTTGGTCGGCTGGGAATAAAAACGCCGGATGTTCAGAGCTGCAGCCAGTGCAGTACAGAGGCTCTTGCAGGTGCTGCAGATTTGCTTTGAGTAAGCCCTTTCTCTGGCGCTCAATGCAGGGGCCTACAGAAGAACTCCCCTCGGAGGAGATTGCAGACCTCGACCCTATCTGCATCATTGTCGAACATATTCGATCGCATTGGAATGTAGAGGTTTCTTAGATTATCAAGTCTGGCGCGATCCAAGAGAGGGAAGAAGAGGGCAGAGGTGTGGCAGAGGATGAAGATGGTGCCAAGCGAAAGGTAAGACTTGATAATTAGCAGCAGCTCTGTTGGCAATCGGCACAGGGGAGAGTTGGCCAGATTGAGCCTGCGCTGGGCAATCCATTCCGGCTCGTTGTCTTGCAGATAGGGGATAGGACCTGTGGGCATGTGCGGTGCGGTGCTGTTGAGAATGAGTGTGTTGGGAGAAGAGGGGAGAGAGAGAGGGGGGGGGCATGGTGCATCGGCCTAGGAATCGAGAGAAAAGTCTCGTGAGATAGTCGCGGCCGCTCTTCTTTTTGGTCGCAGCGTCTGTCTGCACCAATGGTGGTTCAATCACTACCAGCATCATTATCAGGACATTCAGGCAAAGACTGAATATTCCTAGCTGGATTTGTCCGGGAGTGGGAGGAGGCGACAGGAAAATACCTCCCACTAGCAAACCAATGCTTATGAGAGTATTAATCGTTGCTAGCTGGATGAGAAATCCCATAATTACTAGCTAGATTTGTCTTTGGTGACATGGCAATAGAGAGGAAGCAGGCCTTATTTATGAACATTGTTTGAGAACTTAATAGTTGACTGGTGGCAAAGAGGTTAAACCATAGCCAAACTATGACGGTCCCCCGACACAGTCAGCTGCAACAACGTGAACTAAATCTGAAATTAAGTGTTTAAGTCCCCTTTCTTGAAGCTTGGAGTCCTTGTCACCCGCTAATAGCTCTTGGATCGGCTCCGGAAAACGTTTTCTTGAACGTTTCAACGCGCCTCCTGATATTGTCTGGGTAGTTGTCAAATCGACTTCGATCAGAACGCGTCAGGCGCTCTATCATTGTAGACTCGGGTGAGTTTTCCTCACCATGTACGGTTGATTGGCCAGCTTATTTGCAATCACGCCATCTAGGAGCGTCACAACCTTATCGGGACCGCTGTTACAGTTCTTTGGAAGCAAGTATCAGATGGACCATGAGCTTTGGACATGTCGATTCAAGACCAGTGGTTCGCTAGACCCTTGCTTCATAATGGTAATTATCTAACTCGAAATACGGATCCGAACTTCCTTTGGTTTCGTCAATCTTGGAGCTAATAATGCCTTTAACGATTTAGAGGCTCAATTTTTCTCCCACTTCAATCTTTCCGTCGTGGATTTCAAGCGCGAAACCATTGAAACTCCCCCAGGGTATAAAGAATCGAAAACTCGGACACACTGTCTATTTGGTACGACTCCTTGATGCTGCGTCTCACAGTGGGAAACTGGATCCGAGGGTATTTTTTGTGAGGCGAGTTTCTGGTCACCTTAGACTCGATGGAAATCTCTGAACATTTCTATAATTACTTCCCTAACTCCTATATCAGCATGGACGAGGCTCACTTTGCTTCGCACATTCTTGGAAATGTGCAACCCCCATTGGAATCGTGAACAGCTATGCTGGCGAAGATTCACCCGAGTCCTTCATTGATGAAATTAGCAGCTGACAGTCTGATCTGGTTACGCTCAGAGTGTGCATGGGTCATTTGAACTCAAAGAGCTAATTAAGGGAGAAGAAGCACGAGAGGGAGAGCATAGAAGTGCGATGTCTTGTGATTTTGTAAAGACTTGATTTTTCCTCGGTACAGACGTGTCAGGGAGGAGCATATTTCACTCAATTCTACCTTGCATGTAGGTCGAGACATGTTGGCCGGAACCACGAGAGCCGGCCACAGGCGTAAGCCGCTGTCGGCGCGACGTGCCTGCTATCCCGATCCGGAAGAGTCCCCGCGCCGGCCGGTCGAAAGTGGAAAGCCGGTGGACCGTTGCGTGTCGGGTGCCGACGGCGGGTGGCCCGACAAGGCTGACCCCCATGCTTCCCCAGCCTGAAGAATCACTCTACGAGGGGCATTCGAGTCAAAAAGAAACGAGGAAGGTTGAAACGATCAATTCCAAGGGGTTTGGAGTATTTATCAAGATCCGTTGATATCCAGCATCGTGGGGAGATACATGGTCTGCGTCGAGGAAAGGTATGGGCGGGGCACATCACGTGCAAATTTTTGGAGCAACCAGAAAACGGAAGCTCCAACCGGCAACCCACCCGACGTCTTACACCAGAGGAGGCAACGAAAGCACTACAAAGACAAGAAGCCGGCTGTCATGAACTATCCGCCCCGTTAGCCTAACCAGACAGTAATTAGGATATGCCTCGATCCGACGAAGCCTCCGCCTTCTTCTACGCCGTGTACAGCGCGGTGCAGGAGATCCCTCCCGGCAAGGTCACGAGCTACGGACACATCGCCAAGCTAATCGGGACCCGTAAGGAGAAACTGCCATGATGACCCGACGTAATCCTCCTATCCAGGGACAATCTCCCCGCTGACAGAACCACCGGCCCGGGGGTGATAAAAAGCCCAGAGGCCCCGACAGGTCGGCGTATGCCTCAAGCATCTGCCGTCCGACCCCGAGGCCCGCTTCAACAACGCCACCGTCCCCTGGCAGCGGGTGATCAACTCCAGAGGGATAATTTCGCCGAGGTGAGGAAAGTCTCGGAAGGAGAGAGATAGTGGGACAAAACCGCGAATGCAAAAAATCACAATGACTAATCAGCATCCTCACCCCCTTCCCCCACCCCCCACAGGTCTCAGCCGTCCGGTTCCCGGAACCAGGCAGCGGCCCTCGAGGCGGAGGGGGTGACAGTTACGACGGGCCCGCTGGGGGAGCTGATGGTGAACTTGGCCGAGTTTGGCTGGTTCCCTCGTATCCTGCCTTCGGAGGAGGCCGAGGGTCTGGAGCCCGAAGATAGCAGCGATGACGATGAAGATTAGGGGCTGCTGGGTGGTGGAATTGGAGAGGCAAAGCAGAGAAGAGTATTGCAACATGGGCATCGGTACTCTAGTTACCCTATAAAGTGATACCTGGTACGAAGCCTAGCATCTCACCAGCGCCGTTTGGCCTTGGAGCAGCTGTTTCTGAACAATGGGCTGCCAGTTACCTTAACGTAAAGGAAGAGGAAACACAATCGGACGAGACAATGTGCTGAGGTGACTATGTCCACTTTTTGCTCGCAGCGTCTAAGCCCTTATTCAACAGAAAATATAACTTCTAGGCCTTGGATATATCTTCCGAAACCCCGTTACCGACCGGCTTCTCCGAGTTGATCGTCTGCTTCAGAGGTGGCAAGAGGCTCTTGGCCGTGTGCCGTGCCTGCTGCGCCAAAACCGCGTCCATCAGAACCAGGGCAGCCATGGCTTCCACAATGGGCACCGCGCGCGGGACAACACAGGGGTCGTGTCTGCCCTTGGCGGCAAGGATGCCCTCGGAGTCGCCGTCGTAGGTCGCCGTCGCCTGCTCTTTCCCGATCGTCGCCGGCGGCTTGAAGGCCACCCTGAAGTAGATCGGTGCGCCATTGGAAATGCCGCCTTGGATACCGCCGGAGAAATTGGTCTTGGTGGTCAACTTCGGCCTCGGTATCCCTGCTCGCGAGGCACCGCTTGTGACAACGTTAGTCGGCAGGTGGCTGTCGGGAGCAGCGGGGATAAAGGGATCGTTGTGGACCGAGCCGGGGATCTCGCAGCCCCCAAAGCCGGAGCCGACCTCGAAACCCTTTGTGGCGGGAATGCTAAGCATGGCGTGTGCCAACAATGCCTCGAGTTTGTCGAAACACGGCTCGCCGAGACCACTGGGTACGTTTCGAATGACGCAAGTTACCGTTCCCCCGATGCTATCGTCCCGATCCCTGAACCCGGCGATATACTCCTCCATCTCCCGCGACACTTTCTCCTCTGGGCACCGCACGGGCAGGAATTGGTCAACCGTTTTGCGGTCTATCCTCTGGAGCAGAGACAGGAAGGCTGGGTTGGTGCTCGGCGTCGGGTGCTCGGCGGTTGGGGGAAACATGTGTACGTTCCCGACAGAGGTCACGAAGGCCGTGATCTCGACACCGTAGGCTAGCTTGAGGTATTTTTCCGCGATGGCGCCGGCTGCCACCCTCCCTATCGTCTCTCGCGCACTACTTCGACCACCTCCACTGCTGGCCTTGACGCCGTATTTCTCGAGGTAGGTCCAGTCGGCATGGCTCGGGCGTGGGAAGAGATCCATAGTCGAGTTACCGTAGTCCTTTGGTCGCTGGTCCTCGTTCAGGACCATCATCCCGATGGGCGTGCCGAGGGTTACGCCGAACTCGGTGCCGGATTGGATCATGACTCTGTCCTTCTCGTTTCTCGGGGTCGTGATGCTGCTCTGTCCCGGCCGCCGGCGGGTCATCTGAGGCTGGATGTCATCCTCGGTGAGCTCCATCCCCGGAGGGCAGCCATCGACAATGCAGCCGACAGATCGGCAGTGCGACTCGCCGTAGCTATCCCACCGTCCCAAGGTTAGTCATCGTATAAGAGGAGCAACTGACGCCAAGGGAGGGCTCGTACGTGGTGACCCTGAAAAACTCTCCGAATGTAGACATTGCGGCTGTGATAGGGAGGAGCGAGGGCTAGATGCGATGGCTAACAATTCCGTCAGTGGGTCATAGAACCGTTGTTGCGATGAGTCAAAAGTATGGTGCGGTTTGACTTGCGGTGGAAAAATTCGACCCCGCCATCGGAAGCTCGCTTGCCTCCCGCATGGATCGTGGGGTTGGTGGGGCCTAGGGCGACCTTCCAAAGTACCTATAGTACCTCCATCCATATACATAGGTACCTAGGTATTTACCGCAAACCGAGCAACAGTGCCGCATGGATTGCCCAGGAGCTCTTGGGAAGTTGCCTTATTAACGAACACATTGGTAGATCCAGCAACAGCGCCGCAAGACTCTGTTTCAAAATACTGCTTACATTGATTGGGTGCTCGACTCTTATTGCTAACCTCCCGCCAGGTACCGAAGTCAAGTACAGTACCAATATACCCACCTGACAACACCTGCCAGCTTCGAAAAGCAACGTCCGCATTGCGACACAACATGTCCAAAAAGAAAAAGAAAAAGAAAGAGAAAGAGAGAGGGAAAAGAGGCTCGAGCCTGGTTTCAACCTGTGAAGCAATAAACATTTTGTCTTCGCGTGGCCCACAGCGCCCGCCGACACTTGTCCTTCCCCGCTCTAGCTCCTATTGGGGGTCATGAAAAGCTGACGATCCTTCAGCACCAACACCGCGGCATACCACAGACTTGGCACTGACGCAGCGCTGCTTCAGGGCGTTGAGCCTGGTTCTAATCTCCTCGACTTATAATCCTCCTCATCGGCTTCGACTTCCGCTCCGCGCTTTCGTGTTGAGCCGCGAGGTGGCCTTGCTGGGGCCAGCGACAGGGCTGGTCTGTCCCTCTCCTCAAGAGCCTCGATTTTAGCGGCAGCGATCTTGGCCGATTTCTCCAGTTCTTTGATGCTGTCCTTTGCCTCATTTAAAGCCGCAATGACCTCGTTCGTCTCATCGTTGGATTTCTTGACTGCGTCCAAGGTGCTATCGGCGAGGTGCTCGATCATGTTGGTCAGGGCCTCCGTCACCTCGGCCATGGTTTTCACGTTGATCTGGCTGGCCAACTCCAGGGCGATGAGGCGGGCCTCGGTGCTCTCGTTGGCCCCCCCGTGAGAGGCTAAGTTTGCCATCTTTTCCTTATCTGTATCTTCCCCATCGTCCTCGCGCTTCAAACCGGCGTCATGGTCCGAAATGGAGACATGATCGTCATGCTTCAGGTTGTCAGGGTGCAAATCGTCGCCATCGCCCGAATGGGAATGCATATTGACCGCCTTCCGTTTTTTCGAGTGAGATTTACCGGTCCCCGGGCTGTATGAGTCCACTGTCGTAGACTGGCGAGCTCTTGGGCTAATACTCGACGGGCTGGGTGGTTTGCATTGCTGGCCTGGAGCGAGTCAGGCCGTGAGATGTGGGTGCTCTCAATCGGTCCTTCCCCCCCTAATCCTCCGCCATCGGGGGGATCTTTCGTAACAGCCTCTATCGCAGCTTCCGTGTTGGTTCCTCTCCTGCTTGTAGTGATGCCGGCATCGTGTGTTAGGCTTTCACGGTCAAGACCGGCAAATCTGAACAGTTTGTGATGGCAGACAGTTGAGCCTGCGTGAGCGGAGGATATATGTATTTTGAGTGGTGAGAAATTGCGAAGATTGTTGCTAGTACATGCGTGCGATTTATTCGACAGGTCGCTTAAACCCCACCCCCAACTTCCGTCGGCCAGCTGCGGGGGGAGCAACATGAGCAAGGCAAGGCAACATTTCAGGCATTATTGTTCTCTCCTTGATGCCTTACTTCGAGTCCTCTCTCCGGATTGAGTCTTGTTGAGCAGTTGGCAAGGGGTGTGCCTCAAAAGCGTCGGCTAATAAGGAAGTTATTCCCTCTCTCCGCCGTCTCATATGAGGGATTGATGGGAATCAATACGGGGATGTAGTGGTTGGTTGTGGACTGGCAATCGACCCCGTGGGCGACTGGCAACCAAGATGATATATATGCAGTAGCTGGATAGGAAGTGAGACAATGGTAGTGTTGACAACCGAGGAGCATGGATAACTTAGCTGCCTGCGCTCATATTGATACCCATGAAACATGACATGGTGGGATGGATTTGGATTAACTAGAGTCCTAGAGTAGAAGAGACGAGTGTGGTCTCCCCCAGAGACTCTTTTCACATAGTACAAAACAAGCACATCTTCTTTTGATTTTGGAAGAGTATGATACAATGTCCGAAAACCAATAAAGGTGATAAGTGCTCACGAGAGTGCTCAGGGGCTGGACCAGCCCCTTGTCTTCCATCAGCACCGAAGAACCTATACTTAGTAACTCGGCAAAAAAATAGGAGGGGAGATAGAAAATAAAAAAATAGGTGGTAATTAGTTCGTAATGCAGCGAACAAATCCTAATGAAGAGGCGAGAAGATCCAGGTCTTGGCACACATCATCAATTAACGGTAAATCTGGAGATGGCCTGCATTCCACAAGATGTACGTTATAGGTAGCAAGCATGTGTCGATCTTAAAGTAAGAGAAGGGTGTAACCTAATTATCTCCATCGGAGTGTCGAGTTGAGTCGGGCATATTAACCGGATGTCGGCCACACGGCCCAATCGAGTAATTTATTGCTCATCTATAGTATTGGGGATTCACGGAACCCGGATTATAGGTGTGCAGTATGTCGTGGATAGATGGATAGGCTGATTTGGCGGATCCCCAATTTGTTACCCATCAACCCTTATGTAGGATAGATAAGAGGGGTCCTCCAGCCCTCCCGGGTTGTCGGTGTATCCATTTCTTGGGAGAACTCACCTTGTCACCCTGCCAAGACGAGCCAAGAATTAAGAATTTCCGAAAAGAAAACATGGGACTGTCCAGCCTGTTCCCTGACGTCTACATCAGCCTAGACAGCTGGTGGTGGCACTTTCTGGAGCGGTACGTGTACGCGCTGCCGCCGCCGCCGCCACGCACCCGGACCCGGCCCATGGAGGTCATCTGCGTGGGCCTGCCGCGGTCCGGCACCGAGTCGCTGCAGCAGGCGCTCCTGGCCCTGGGCTACGACCACACGTACCATGGGTGGGACATCGTCTACGACGAGCAGTGCTACTCGCCGGGCTGGGTGGCGCTGGCCCGCCGCAAGTGGTTCCCCAGAGAGGGGGACGGTGACGCGCCCATATCCGCTGCCGACTTCGACGCCCTGCTCGGCCACTCGGTCGCCGTCACCGACGCCGCGGCGAGCGTCTTCGCTGCCGAGATGATCGCCGCGTACCCCGAGGCCAAGGTTGTGCTCAACATGCGGCGCGACGTGGACGCGTGGCACCGCAGCGTGCTCAACACGCTGGTCAAGGTGAACGACAGCTGGGCGTTCTGGATCGCGAGCTTCCTTGACAGGGAGTGTTTCTGGGCATGGCACGTCTACGAGAGGTTCCTATGGCCGTTGCTCTTCAGGGGGCCGGATGGGAGCATGGCCAAGGCTATAGAGAGGAATGCCAAGTGGGTTTCTAGAGGTGGGTATTGAGCCTGAGCTGTGAAGGGCTTCGAGTGACTCCCCCGTTTTGCTTGGTATGATCAGGCTGGCTGACTTGGCTTTGACCTAGAACACTGCAACATGATCCGCGGCCTAGTTCCCAAAGAACGGCTACTCGAATGGTATGTTGAGGATGGTTGGGAGCCTCTTTGCGAGTTCTTGGGGAAACCCGTCCCGGATATGAAGTTCCCCCGTGCAAATGCAGCATCGGGGGGTTGGAAGTCTCGAGAAGAACAGTGTAACGAGAGGTGGATCCAGGGGGCCTTCAGGAAACTGTCACTTGTCTTCTTGGTATTGCTTTGGGCGAGTGTATTGTTGTTGAGGCGCTATTTGTAGCCAACGCTTCAAACGCACTCAATGGAAACGTTTATGGGCGTCTGAACTCCCATGTTGGCAGATATCATCGGCGAGACAGGATTTGTCTCAATGGTGGCAATATACTTGCACCCAATATCCTGTATCAAATTCTTGTTGTCAGCATCCAATGAGCACTTATGAGCGTACTTCGCCAACTTTCTAATCCAGGGGTTCGGTGTGCTTCATGCTGCCACTGTTCGTAGTCTCGTATGCCCTGCTTCAAAACCTCCAATTGAGACTTCATTCCCGCCGTCTTCTTCACATCATGTTGCTCCGATGATTTCAAGAGGCGGGAAAAGTGTACATGAACGTCCGTCGCTGCCAAAAGGTAGAAGATTAGTATTCCGAGCGACCCACCCTTGCCGGAACCCACAATTAATACGCCTGTGTACTGAGATGAGCAACCCTGAGCCGAGCCATTAGCGTCGTTTTAGCTACCAGGTAAACTCGCCTTCCCTTAGTGATGTTATATATTAGAGTGAAGTTCTGCCTTTAAGGAAGTATGAGGTTCCGTTTTTTGAAGATACGGCTCTCGCAAATGTAGGAACACTTGTGTATCGGCTGAACTGAACCAATAGGCGGCCTTGCTTTGAAAGCACCATGAGCTAGTCAGCCACGCTACCTGGCCGATGACTGCTACCGAGCAACCGACTGTCCAAAAAAAAAAAATATTGGGCCTGCATCCAACTGGAAGACAAACATCATCGATGCTTGCTCGCCTCCGCAAGACGACATGGCGTACAGAGCAGTAAGTTCGACAATTTGACCTGTTCTCACGTTCAAGCTGACCAATTTGAGGTCTGCCCCAGGGGAAGCCGACCTTGCTTCTCTCGAGCAGATGGTGTTCTGCGACCGCACAAACAACCCGCTTAGTGCGATCAGTCTCAACATCACGATACCTTCGCGCACAACATGACGAGTCTCCTAAGACGACGCCAACCGAGCACCGATTGCCCCAGACCCTCACCGAAAAGATTGTCCAGCGCTATGCTGTTGGACTGCCCCCAGGCAAGCGTGTCCGGAGCGGCGACTATATCAGCATTGCGCCGGCTGCAATTCCCGGTCGCGACCAAGTTCATGTCGATGGGAGCTTAACGAAAATACACCGGCCGGAGCAGCTCGTTCTAGCATTGGATCACGACCTGCAGAACACCAGCGAAGCCAATGTGAAGAAATACAAAAGCATCGAGGCGTTCGCCAAGAAGCATGGAGTTTCATTCTACCCCGCCGGCCGAGGAATCGGTCACCAGATCATGGTCGAGGAAGGGCATGCCTGGCCAGGGACCATGGCCGTTGCCTCGGACAGCCGCAGTACCCATTACGGCGGAATAGGTTGTCTCGGGACCCCCGTCGTGCGCACAGATGCTGCCAGTATTTGGGCCACTAGCCGAACGTGGTGGAATGTCGCGCCGATTACGCGTGTTACGTTCACAGGAAGGCTGCCACCGGGTGTGACTGGCAAATATGTCATTGTCGCTTTATGTGGTATCTTTAAGAGCGACGTTCTTAACCATATAGTTGATTTCACGGGACCCGAGGAGACGATGGAGACCCTGCTAGTCGATACTCGCGTAACGATCGCCAACATGGCCTGCGAATGGGGCGCCCTTGCTGGCCTGTTCCCTATCGACCGTACTCTGGAACGCTGGTTACGGTACAAAGCGACCGAAGCGGCGATGCTTGAAGACCGAACTACGCGGGAGCGTATTACGCACGAGAGGACAGACGAGCTCTTCGCTAACCCGATCACGGCAGACCCCGACGCCGTATACGCTAAATAGCTCTATCTCTCCCTCTCTTCACTTCGCCCTACGTCTCTGGCCCTGACTCGGTGAAGCTTGCGACGCCCCTCCACAAGCTAGCGCCGCAGAAGATCAAAATCGATCGCGCGTATATTGTGTCCTGTACTAATAGCCGAGCCTCGGATATCAGGGCTGCCGCTAAGGTTTTCAGGGACGCTGCCGGGGCTAACGGCGGCGCTATTTCCAAGATCGCCGACAGCGTCCAGCTCTATATTGCGGCAGCCTCGGCCCCAGAACAGGAGGCCGCCGAGGCTACGGGCGACTGGCAGGTCTTGCTCGAGGCCGGTGCTCAGCCCCTCCCTGCTGGTTGCGGGCCGTGCATCGGCCTCGGTACGGGACTGCTAGAGCCCGGCGAGGTCGGCATCAGCGCCAGCAATCGCAACTTCAAGGGGCGCATGGGGTCGCGCGACGCAAAGGCATACCTCGCGAGTCCCGAGGTTGTGGCTGCTAGCGCTCTCAGCGGCGTTATTACCGGCCCGGGTATCTACAAGGTGCCTGAAGATTGGTCCGGCGTGGACGCAGGGTACGGTACCGGCCTGGTACGTACTACTGAGAACGAGCTTTTTGGTCTCGTACAGCAGCTCGACTCGCTCATCGACAGAGTAGAGTCTGCTGCGGGGCCCTCTGATAAGCCTGCTACCGAAATTCTACCCGGATTCCCTGAGAAAATCAGTGGCGAGATCGTATTCTGTGATACCGATAACCTCGATACTGATGCCATCTACCCTGGCAGGCTAACATATCAGGATAACGTCTCCAGGGAGGACATGGCTCGGGCCTGTTTCTCCAATTACGATCCTAAGTTTGATAGCATTGCTAGACCGAACGATATCATCGTCTCAGGCTCAAACTTTGGTTGCGGCTCTTCGCGAGAGCAGGCTGCTACTGCAATCCTTGCCCGAGATATCCCATTGGTCGTCGCCGCCAGTTTCGGTAATATCTTCTCTCGGAATAGTATCAATAACGCCCTGATGGGACTTGAGGTCCCGCGGCTCGTCGAGCGCCTGCGGGCTCACTTTTCCTCGCCACTGGCGGGTACTAAAGAGCGTATACTCACGCGAAGGACGGGCTGGACCCTGACGTGGGATGTCAGACGGAGCCTCGTCGAGGTGACGGAGGGTCCTGGAGGGGAGACATGGACGGAGCCAGTCGGGGAGCTGCCGGCGAATGTGCAAGAGATTATTGCCGTGGGAGGACTCGAGGCTTGGGTCAAGGCCGAGCTTGCCAAGACGGCATGATCACCGAAAACCTAGGGGGGGAGAACGTATAGAATACATACTGGGCAAGGTCATCTTTGGACTTTCTGGTCCCTGTACATAGTAGGGGAGGGAGGGAACATGCTCCTGCTCATGCCTCCCCGTTCAATCCTGGGGAAGCATCTATCCCTAGCTGGCCCAAATGCGACCCTGGCAAATATTGGCAGACTTTTAACGGCTACACATGCTGGGGATTGAAAATTGCAATGCCAATTGTGGGCAAATCCTTGACTTTAGCGGGCTTGAGTTTGGAATATGGGGCTTGAGAATAATTGCCGACGAAAGCAGCGCCTGCTTGCCTGCTTGCAGTGGCAGTGGTCTGACCAAGTCTTCACTCAAAGGTTGATCCAACGGCCAACACAAATTGGCGCTCCCCAAGGGAGTCATGTCCTGGTCTTATCATCGCGTAATTCATGTGAGGCGATTGCCCATTGCCATCCGAACAAACGCCTGAATACACCTATAGGCCATATAACACAATCACGAAGCAAAGACTTGTTGGATATCACCAGAACGGAGCTCAAAATCCTTCCACGAGGGCGCCAGAGCATGGTGCCAACTAGGCCTCAGCCTACAGCTTCATGACTTGCCAAAATCCGTAATCGGCAAGCCCAGGTCAATGCCGAGCTCGTCCCGAAAGAGCTTGCTCAGACTGGAGCGGTCCCTCAGATAAATCCACTCGCCCACCGCCGTTCCCTGCTTGTCATTTTGTCCTTCGCCGACGATGACCCAGTCGTATCGTTTCGGGCCGGACTTGGGCGACGAGAGCCAGATCTGCTTGTTGGGCGGTTGCTTGTTCACGACATAAGTACCAATCTGGGATCCGAAATCGAGGGTTAAGACTCCATCCTGCAAGAGTATATGTTAGTTATCAAAGTCTCTCTGGTGAGAAGAGGGAGGCCACAAGGGCACCACCCACAGTGTACTCCACATCGATCCCTTCCTGTTTGTCCTGGAGTTCCTCAAACCGGGTGACGACGGTTTCGAGATACTCGTTTGCTAATTGATGGTACTCGCCATCTGTAATAGTAGCCGGGGCAAGATTGACGATAGTCTTCGCAGACTCTTTTGGTTTAGGATCGTCGGTCTCGGGCATGATCCCCTTCCTGTGGTTGGAGGTCGAGGAGACGAATCGAGGGGTTGCGGCAGGGCCCAAGGGCGGGCCGAGCAACCGGTGGGACATAGAGAGGGCTGATAGCGAAGGAGATGCGCGAGAGAGAAGCGAAGTCCGAAGACCATGGCTGGCCATTCGTGGGAGCTTCGTCAAACTTGAGCGAGCCATCGTGCAATCCTCAGCTGATTAGAGTGGTTGCCCCGCTGCGAGTCTTGCCTTGATATGTCGCTAATTGAGATCGGCGATTTATTACCCTGGAGGGTGTTTCGTCTCGAATGGATTGGACAAGTCTGCCCTATGAGACAAAGAGGGAAAGAAAGTACCAACGAACGTTGGAATTATTTCGCAAGAACGGAGCTCAATGGCACCTATGCTTGGGAGCTTCCCGAGCTGCAGGGTAAATGCTTGGCACCAAGGTCTGTGCACCAAAGCCTACCCCACCAGCTCAAGAGCCTCACCTTTCACAGACCTATGCTTTCACCTATACAGATTACTTGGTTTTCTCTCACCCAGCACTTCGACTGTTGATCCCCCCCTCGAAATGGTCCTCCAAAGGCGGCCACTATGATAAATGCTTTCCTGGTCTTCAACGGCCAAGGCCAACCACGGCTGACCAAGTTCTACACACAGCTGGTTTGCCGCCCTTTCAACACTTGGAGAAGCGCCGTGATTAACCCCAGTTCTTGTGCAGGACACAAGCATACAACAACGGCTCATCTCCGAGATATTCACCCTAGTGTCCAATCGCCCATCCGGCTCATGCAACTTCCTCCCGCTGCCTCCCCTACTTGCCGCATCTGGTACCTCTCACTCCTCGTCCGAGCCACACAATGACGTGCCTTCCCTCGTCACCTACCGCAACTATGCCACACTGTTCTTCATTGTAATCTCGACCTCGACCGAGTCACCGCTGGCCCTGATAGACCTCATACAAGTATACGTGGAGGCCCTAGACAAGCTTTTCGAGAACGTCTGCGAGCTGGATCTGATCTTCAACTTCGAGACGCTACACGCCGCGCTGGGAGAGATGATAGTGGGGGGTGTCGTCATCGAGACCAACTTGGACCGGATCGTCGCCGGCGTCAAAGCCCAGGGGACCGTTGCCAAGAGACCGATTAATGAAGGCAGAGGTACGGGGCTCGGCGCTGGCCTTGGAATGGGTGGGAACTTCGTCTGGCACGGACGATGACAGGTGACACGCTTGTCCGGGGGGACAGATTCCTACGAAGTCGCACTGCGCCATGTCTGCAATACCCACACCCGCCTGATTAGGCGTACCTCGTGGCATAAGCCAAGCCGAAACGTAGGTCACCAAGCACGAGGTGCACGGGGTCTTCCAATCGGGCGCCTCATCAGAGGAAAGATGGCTAGCAGAGGGGAATGATGGTAGGAGGAGGGATAAGTCCGTGCTTGGGTCTATACTACCGACAATCCCAGCCATATCAAGGGGTATTCCAACTCCAAAAACTCCATATGATGCATACAAATATAAAGGCAACTTCGACACTCTCATCGGCTTATTTCGCCGCTGTAGAGGGATCCGGCGTGCCCTTCTTTTCAGGCCGTTCTGAGCCAAACACGCCCCAAAATTGATCTCGAACCTGCAGGATGTTTAGTTGGGGTTCTTTCGAAAATAAAAGGGGTCACATACTCCGTCGAATGGCTGGTTCTCGTTCTTCCAATCCATGAAGAGGACGCTGTATCCGATGACGACTGCGACAAAAAGTCAGCCCCCAGAACATCAATCAACCGCAGGGCAAGGTTTCGTACAAGTGATGCTGAAGAACTGAGCCAACTTGACCATCTTGTTCCATCGCGGCCTGGCTGCGGCAAGCTGGACTCTCCTCTTGTACCGCTTCTCGAACCTGAGCTGTTCCTGAGGCGACAGCTTGCTGAAATTGGGCGGCCATACTTTCTTCAGCCGGTAGGGGTTGGGCAGGTTGGGAAAGTCCAATTGCGACCTTGACCGCTCAGCCGCCCGGCGCACTAGTGTTGTGAACATGATTGAGAGTTGAGTCCGGCAATGCCTTCAGGAACTATTATCCTCCAAAGCGGCGCAAATCGTCTTCTGCAGCTTTTGGTCGAACCGGAAGATGGCGCCGCTGCGAACCGAATTGGCGCTGCGCCACAGCGTGGCGGGAAAGCCACGCGCTAGTTGCACATCTTCCGTTCAACAGGCGATAAGCCGATATACCGACCCCACAATCTTCAACTCTACATGAACCACGCCCTCCACTCCATGATAAACATGGAATATGGAATGCATTTATTCTCGATCCGTCGAGATTGGACTCTCCTGCACAGGGTTGGACACCAAAGCTCCTGCCAAAAAGATCAAGAGCATGACAGGAACAACAGCCAAGTTGGAGAGCTGATATTGGCAGCTGCAGATCATGCATGACCTCGGCGGGAGAATATACGGGCTGTGATGGTTTGTTACCGACGGTGCAGATCCGCCTTACGACGCCTCATTGCGACGGCAGACGATCTCCGGAACGGCTTTTATCCCCTCAGGATATCGCCTCAAAGCTGAAGGCCTTCGAATGTCTATCAGGGTCTCGTTGAATTATCCATAAATAGCCTTGCGGCTGGAACCCAACCTCTGCCGTCATTCTAGCGCAAGGTGACATTCGATGCCCCCATTTTGTGGAAGAAGTGGTGGTGGGGGGCACGAATATGGACGGTCTAGGCCTGATGTTTCGCCGTTCACTGCACCAGAGGCTTCGATAATGTTCAAAACCTGTTCCCTCAACCCCCACGAGCGGTGTCAATCTGTCATAATAATAAACGAGATATAGAGATCTGCCAGCCGAAAGGCAAAAACTTGGCAGCCACCCCTGTCACTTGTAGGGATCGCGAAGGGACCAACGCCTCGATTTTTCCGAGGCTCTGCTTATGACGCACGTTTTTCTACGTCGCACGGCATAGCGGGACAATCCATCAGGGCCGTTAGACCGTTAACCGACAAGCGAGAACAGCCTGTTTCCAACCAGACGTGCAGCTGGAAACACAGCAACCCGGCTGCATCAAGACCCCTCCTTCGCTCCTGCTGCCACCATGCGATGTTCTCGTCCTATTATGGGTGGCATGCCTTCCCGCGTCGTAAAGGTTGCGCTATCTATGTTACAGAGGTGGCATGCTGCTGCCGTTGGAAGAGAGCGGCTGTTGTGGATATGAGATTGCATAGGAGATTACACCATGGTGATATCCCCGGTGTGACATCCTCAATTTATATATCCATGCCACTGCATCCCCCTGGCTGAGTCTTTCTCTCTTCTGCTTGACAGTCGCAAGCTGTTCTATCCAGATCATCTCCTAATCCATCCCTTTTTCGGATCCCCTCCTCCTCGCGGTCCAAGAAACGCTTCTTGCAGCTCTCTCCTTAAAAACACATTCGCTTTCCAGCCAACACACTCGCTTTGCAGCAGCCGTCTCACACCGGCACCCCCCGTGACTCCGACATGCGCCCATCAGCCCTCATCCTCGCCGGCCTCGCGGGCAGCACCGCCCTCGCCGCCGCCGAGATCACCCTCTCCAACGGCGCGACGACCACAATCGGCCTCCCGGCCTGGCCCTCCTCGTCCGACTCAGCGGGCGGCGGCACCGTCGTGATCGGCTCCGACACCACCACCACGACCGTCTACCCCTCGTCGAGTGACGTCGTCTCGTCGGCTAGCAACTCTCTTGGTACGGTTTCCCTCCCTATTCCCCGGGGAGGAATACAAGGAAAGCTAACACGCAGCCTTTTTTGTTTCAAGTTGCGGCCCCATCAACCGAGCCCCACGGCAACGCGACGGCGAGCAGCTCCGCCACGGCCACGACGTCGCCGGTGGCCGTGCCGACCGCATCCGCGGACCGGCTTGCGCTCGAGGGCCCGACGATGAGCCTAGTGGTGTTTTGCGTTCTGGGGCTGTTTATGCTCTGAAAAAAGGGGGAAGGGCGGGATCACGTTATTTTTTTTAATCCATTAGAAGGGTAGTAACGATGGGGTGACGGGAATGGGCGGCGTTCACGGTTGTGCCGACTTTGCGGCTGCATTGGGGGGGGGGGGATCAAAATTATATCCTGCCTGTTTGGATACCTACGTAATGCTAATTGATGACTGACAACAAGCTCTAAAGCTCGTCCATATAGCAACGCTTGATGGGGTGAGATGCCGTCACTAACGCCGTAGCCCAAGACTCCATACGCCGCCTCTCTTTCTCACTTGCCGACAGCGTCTCATCCGTCGCAACCGGAGCCACAACCAGCGCGGCCAGCAGCCGCGTGGCGACCAGCGGATGTACACGTATGCATGTCCCGTGCAGCAGGTTCTCGTCGGCAACGCCATGAACAGGATCCCGGGGGAGGAGGTAACTCGCAGAGAATCCAGCGCATCGGGTACGCCTATCTGTGAGGTCGGAGTACAAATTCCGCGGCAATTTTCAGACTTGCTCGCCCGCCATCGTCACCACCACCTCCAAACGGCGACGCAAGAGGATCATCCCATCGCCTCATGCAGGCGGGCCTCGGCGCGGCGCCGCATTTGTCGTAGCATCGTTACGACGTCGTTGCTCGATCGTATCTAGTTCTGGACCAACCCAGCCGCGTAACCCCCTGTGTCCTTCGTCCCAACTATGTCGCAGGGAGCGGATCGATTCAAGAGAGTGCTGTCATCTTGTCGGAGCTAGGCCCCGAGGTTTCACGCCGCGATGGGGGCCTGCTGCGGCGGAGATTTATCGAAGTCGGACTCTTTAGGGAGGCTATCCTGTTATTGGGGGGAGGGCAGACGTCAGCAAAACCGTAGACCTGGACCAAGACTTCCGCTTCGCATTTCCATCCGCCAACAAATCCCCCAAGCAAGGTCGGCCAAAGAGAGAAGGGACGAAAGAGAGAGAGAGAGAGAGAGGATAAACCCACCACCTCGAAAATAACCCTGATCATCAGGCTGCAGCTAGGGCAGACGGCGATGTCGGCCTCGTCGCGGAGGTCCGCGAGCGCGATCTCGAACCGGTCACCGCAGGGACACGGGTGGTGGTAGATCTGCAGGGCCTCGTCAAAGGTCATGTCCTCGATCTCGACCTCGTCGTAGACCGAGATGGGCTCCTCGTCAGTGTCGGACATGTTTCCTTGGGGGGTATGGAATCCTTTTCCGTGTCGCAAAAAGTCAAAAGTTAAAGGGCAGTTTCCCGGGTTTGTTTGGGGGGATTTACTCGAGGCCAGTCACAGTCGATAGAAAAAGAATGGAGATGGAGGGGCAAATGTTCGTCCATTAGTGGGATGAAAGTGGGTCGGAGAAAATACCCACCGACATCCGGTCGACAGCAGAGGTCGGGTACCTAGGAGGATGTAAAACGAAGAATGAAAATGGAGGGCATTAGAGTAAGTAGGTACAAAGCAACTATACATTACTGTATGCACGACAAGATTTCTTCGCTATGGATGCTTGACAGAAGTGAAAAAGGGGTAAAGACAACTCAATCTGTCCCAGCCACTGCCGCAGGTAGAATCAAAGGTATCATCGTATCAGCCGCTAGCCCGCCAACCATCTCCATCTCCCGCCTAGCTCAGCTCTCATTCTCCTATTATTAGCTACAACGAAGGGTAAGATCCGGGCTTGCCAGGTGCACTTCCTGTCTCGTTACTCATGACTGGCTAGCCAGGTAATCCGCCGCCTACTTCATGTTAGCCAGGGGTCCGTAATACACACAAAAAGCACCAGGGCTTGACGAGGTAAAGCTCACCCTTTCCAGGTTGTAATTGCATTTCTCCAGGGCCAACAACGCATCCCCTCTCGAGTAGCCCATGCTGGTCAGGTTCTTCAGGATTGGGTCATCGTGCTCCCCTTCTTCGCTGAGGGCCCTGCCGGGAGCGGTAGGCCGCGCCGGTTCCTTGGCCGACTCCTTGGCACTCCCATTGAGGTTGGTGGCAGCACCGGGGGGAGAGGGTGAGCTGGCAGGCGGCGCGTCGTCGAGGCTCGCAAAGATGGCGTCCCAGTCGTGGGAATCCGGCGGGTTCGGTGCCTTCTGTGGCTGCGTGGCCCCGGAGCCGGCCCCCGACGGAACTCCCACGGTTGTGCCTCCTCCCGCTGAAGTCGTCGATAGGGACCCAAAGTCGAAACTGCTCTCGGTCCCGAACGCGGCGTTCGTGTTGGCCGAGTCGCTCTTCGCGGCCTGGCTGCGAGGCGGGCTGCTGTCAAACACTGGGTTGAAGTCGTCCAGGCCGGAACGCGAGATGTTTGCAAAATCATCGTCCGCTGAGCCCTCTTTGGCATCCTCCAAACCATCGAAATCGTCATCTGAGTCTTCGAATGCGACCTTGGCGGTGGCCGGTTCAGTCGATGGTGCAGTTGCATTTGATGGCGGGAGAGCTGCAGAGGAGCCAAAGATATCATCGACGTTAGTTCCAGTGGCGTTGGCGGCGTTGTCTTGTGCTGGAGCAGGCGGCAAGGGTTCGTCACTGGGGCGGTGTCACATATTAGCATCCATAGACAGACAGAAGAGAGGTCGCCTGAACGGCATAATTTCATACCTTGTTGTTGGCCGCTCAGTGCCCAGCGTTGAGCTTGTATCGGGTGACGATGGTGCAGATTCAACAGGCAAGGCCTTGGGAAGCGTGGGGGACGAATGTTTCGAAGTAGCCTCGTTCTTCTCAGGCGCCTTGCTTGGCGGCGATGCCGGTGCAAAATCATCATCGAAGCCACCCCGGTCGCTGTCCGACTCCGACTCGTCATCCCGCTCCAGCTCCGAGATGGGAGGGAACTCGGTATTAAACGACGAGAAAGTCTTGTTGGCGTCCACGCTAGGACCCACCGGGCTCTTTGCCTGGGCAGTCTTGAAGCTGGCAAACGCCGACTCAAAGTCCTCCTTGGCCTTTGCCTCATCAGCCGGAGCTGCGCCAAAAAGCGAATTCGCACCATTGCTTGTTGGCACATTTTCGGTCGTCGGCGAAGCAGCATTCTTGGCCACCTCAGATCCGGAACCCGAACCCGAACCCGAACCAAGGCTCTGGCCGGTCTTTACGGCTTCAACAGGTGACGCGGTAAGATTCGTCCGTGCTTCATCTGCGGCAGTCTCTACCTGGCCAAGCCGGCTGGCTGGCGGCGAAACCTGGCGGGATGGTTCCGGGGTCACCGCAAAAGGCAGGTAGTTTGAACTTAGTTGCCTCGAGTCCGGAGCTTGGGGAGGTTCGGCATTAAGGGTCTGCTGTCGGCTCATGTTGGGGCTAGCAGATGCACCAGGTGTCGAGAAAGAGCCGGCGCTACCAGTAGAAGTCCCCGTAGTCTGTGGCTTGAAGGATGTGACCGGAGGTGGCGTACCCGTCGTCGGCCCCCCCGCTGAGAACGACGGGCCAAACACGTCATCGAACGACTTGTCGTTGAACCCCTTCACAGGGGGGGACGCAAAGGCCCCAGCAATGTCAGTGCTGCCAGTCCGGCGGAAGAAGGGGTTATTAGCCGTTGTCGTAGAAAGTGCTGGACTGTTGGCTTGGCCGGGAGGTGGGGAGCCAGAGCTGATCTGTCGGGCCAATTCTTCGTTGCTCTTGGTGAGCTCATCAGCTTCGAGCTTGAGCTTGTCACGCTCGCCTTCGTTCGTGGCGAGCTGCTTCTTGTTGATCGCCACGAGGCCCTTCTGCTGTCGAGCCTCTGACTTGAGCTTCTCGATCTGCGGCTTTAGCTGGGCAATCTCGCCGTTGGCAGCCCGGATACGCTCCTTGAGGCTGGCATTCTCTTGTTGGTCGGCCTGGAGTGCTGTGAACACCTGGCGGTGCTGGTTCTGCAGATCCTGGAGGGTGCCGTCAAGCATGGCAAGTTCGGTTTGGATCTTCTTGGTCTCGTTCCTCGACGCAGTGAGCTGCTGCTCTAGAGCCCGGACATCCTTGGCCTCCTTCTCGTACGCAGCCCTGAGCTGCGCCAGCCGGGTCTCAAAATTCTTCTTCTGTGCACTCGCCCGGTTCAGCTCGTTTTGAGTGGCAGTGCGCTGGCCCTGAACATCTTGCATTTGCTTCGAGAGGGACCCGACCTGGTTCGACAGGTTGGCAAGCTCAGTAGTCTCGTTGGAGAGATTCTTGCTAACTTCGGGGTCATTGTCTCCCAGAAGATCATCTTCCACGATAGCTGGCTGCGGCCCAGATTTCGGCAAGGGTGATGCCGAGCCGTTTGAGCCACCAGTTGCTTGAGGAACGAGGCCCCGACCGAAGGAGGAAGACGGTATAAACGGCTTAAAGCTTGTCCCGGTTGCCGACTGCCTTATCGGCGACGACGGAGTTGGGGGGCTGAAACTGCTTCCAAATGGATCGTTCGTGTTCGATCCACCCGTACCCACAGCGACTTGGGGTGGTGCTGGAGAAGGTGATGAATCGAGACCGAACAGGTCATCGAGCGCAGACGGCTTAGGTTGGGCTACAGGAGGCGGTGGGGCATCAAAGGGCGACGCTACCGTTGGTGGGCGGGCCTGGTTCCGCAGGCTCGGAGGGATCAGGTTCGGTGGTAGAGCCGCGGGCAGAATCGAGGGCCCATCACGCTTGCTCCTCTGTTGCCGGATCAGGTACATTGCAACGGCAAACGTGTCCTTGTTGAGTCGACCCTCAGAGTTGATATCTGCAAGGTCCCAAATCTGGGCGAGGGTGTCTTCGGGCAGGTTCGACTGGCTGAAAAATAGCACGGCTTCCTCTCCTGTGATAAATCCCTTATTGGCCTTATCCAGCTCTGCGTAGAGCTGATCAAACCGGGCCTTGTCGGGAGGCGTGATAAGCCAGTCCCCTGTAGTCTGCTGTGCCAGTGGCGGTCGTCCCAGCGGGCTGCCCGTCCGCATCTGTGCCAGGGCCGCCTGCCCACTCAGTTGTCGGGGTATTGCCGGAATCGGGGGCGTTGCGCTCGTGGGCGATTGCTGTCTCGGAACGGGCCCGGTAACGGATCCACGACGCGTGGCAGCTTCGTACAAGGCAGCCGGGAGGATGTTGGGCAGGCCGCGCAATGTGCCGGTCTTCATGGACGTGAGGAGGTGCATGGCGATGACGAATTCGGTGAGGACCAAAGCGCCCCGTTGCTCCGTGTCGGCAAGCATCCAGATCCGACCCAGGATTTCGTTGGGCAACCCTGACTTCTCGAAGATCTGCTTCGCCTGGTCCCCGGGAAGCATGTTGCCGTTCTGGAGGCCCTGCCGCTCAAATAGGCTCGAGTACTGGGCCACTTTCTCGGGGGTCAATGGCGGGATGCGAATGGGACCGCTGCCAGTGGTTTGGGACTGGAGGCCCGCCGGCGGTGGTGGCGCGATGGGGACGCCGGCTACAGTAAGGCCATCAAATCGGGGAAGCGGTCCTTCTTGTAAGGCGACCGCGGGAGACGGTTCGCGGCCAGCTTGCGCATGGCCTATGAGTCGCAGCACGACGCCAAAGCCAGCGGGGGTGAGGAAGCCTCGGTTCTCCTTGTCGGCGATCTGCCAGATCTGTGGTTTGACGGGACCCTGTTAGTATCGTATCTATGCGTATGGCATCGGTAATAGAATCAACGGCGAATGACAAACCTCTCCCAAAACCCGAGAGTCTAGCCGTGTCTTCTCAAAGAACTTTACGGCCACCTCGCCTGTCACGACTCCCACATTATCCGTGTCGGCCTGACGGAAGAGTTGGCCGTAGACACGCTTCTCGTCTGGTGAGAGGTGCAGGTTCGGAACCCCTGTGCGCAGTTACGTGCGATTAGCTACTATCAGAGATAAAAAGTAGATTGATCCATATAGCTTGTTGCCACGGGGAGACTAACCTGCGTCTGCCGGGGATTCGGAAGCCATGGCTGTAGAGCGACGCTGTTCGCAGGCGAGTTGGTCAAGGACAAGAGACTCTCGTCACAGCCCTGCGACGGCTGGGGAGGATGGCACGAGGAGGTCAAGATTGATTGCAAGAGACGCTGCAACGGAACTATATGTCCTCAAAATGGGGCCAGTTTCGCGAAGTCGATGCAGTGGGAGGGCGGGGAGGGGGGTTGGATTCCTGTTGTTGTTGCTGCTGGTGCATCCGCCTTCGTAAGCTCTCTGGCGTTTTGAAGCCAGCAGCAGACTACTGAGGTGGGTGCGGCCCGTGCTTCGCCCACTGATTGGCCCCACGCGATCCGAGGAGGGATCGTCATATTCAGGGTTCATCACTTTAATAAGTGCAGCCGTTGCTCTTCGCACAAGAAATTCCAAGACATTGGACCTGCATGAAACTCCGAGAGCCTCTTACATCAGGGGTTATGACGCACCTACTCATATCTCATGCCTATCCGCCCTCCTGGTCTTACAACACGGCACTCAAATCAAGTTGTATGGCTGGATATGTCCTCCCTTCCATTTCTCGAAACCACACGGGGTGGCACAGCATCAACCAGGTTCTCCCTTGAATCCTACATGGCCCAGCTACGGGAACCTAGGTAGGTACGGAGTAGACAATACAACTTTCCGAGGTGATCCGCGGAAATGTGGCGTTGTGTGCCAACCAGGGATGTACTGTAGATAGATAATTACCAAAGATTCTCATGGGCTCCATAGAAGCTCTGGCTGTAAATTATCTTGCCTATTTTGGGACCCGATTATCGCATGGATCGTGACGCGTCCAGTTAGTAGAATCAACAGGGCTATCAGGTACGCGTGTACCTTGTTTGTCTGGTCCACGAGTACCCTGTCTGGTCCGCGATTTGTTCTTCTCGAGGGATTAAAATTGGCTATCATCTTCAGTCTAACAAAGAAAACACAAGATTCCGAGGCTTCAGGAGAGGATGCCAATCCTTCCAAGGATAAACTGCCCCGTTATCGAGAAGCTGGCATAACGCAAGACATGACAAAGGGCAGATAACAGTTGGGCATTATCCCTTGGTATGCATGCCATCGGTCCGGTCCCTACTAGGATACCGATCATCGCCCAGCATTGTCGTGACAGGAGACATCAAATGACTCTAGTACTCAGGCTCCAGACCATCGTCACCCTCGATAGAATCGGTGGCAACCTCCTCATAATCGCGCTCAAGGGCAGCAAGATCCTCGCGGGCCTCAGAGAACTCGCCTTCCTCCATACCCTCACCAACGTACCAGTGGACGAACGCACGCTTCGAGTACATAAGGTCGAACTTGGTGGAAAGCGCAGCCCAAGCCTCGGCAATGGCAGTCGTGTTGGAAAGCATGCATCTGTGGTAAAAGGTTAGATTGTGAGGATCGTCAAATCTGGCCACACAACGGAGCAACTTACACAGCACGGTTGACCTTTGCGAGGTCACCATTGGGGACCTGGTGGGGCGGCTGGTAGCAGATACCAAGCTTGAAGCCAGTAGGGCACCAGTCGACGAACTGGATGGTGCGCTTGGTCTTCAGGGTAGCGACGGCGCCGTGGGCGTCCTTGGGGACGACATCACCACGGTACAGCAGACATGTGGCCATGTACTTTCCGTGACGGGGGTCACACTTCACCATCTGGTTGTTGGGCTCGAAGCAGGACATGGTCATCTCCAAGACCGAGTTGGCCTCGTGGGCAGCCTTGGCAGCCGAGACAACCGGGGCATAAGCGACAAGCGGGAAGTGAATGCGAGGATATGGGACCAGGTTGGTTTGGAACTCATTGAGATCGACGTTCAAGGAGCCATCGAAACGGAGGGAGGCGGTGATAGACGAAACAACTAGAGCCTGTTAGAGATATTAATCACAAACACACAAGCAAGAGCACCAACCTTGAGCAATCAGACGGTTGAGGTTCTCGTAGTTGGGGCGCTCGAGACCAAGGTTCCGGCGGCAGATGTCATAGATGGCCTCGTTGTCGACCATGAACGAGCAGTCGGCGTGCTCGAGGGTGGTGTGGGTGGTGAGGATGGAGTTGTAGGGCTCGACAACTGACGTAGCGGTCTGCGGGGCAGGATAGACGCAGAACTCAAGTTTGCTCTTCTTTCCGTAATCGACCGAGAGTCGCTCCATCAGCAGAGCACCGAAACCCGAACCAGTGCCACCACCGAAGGAGTGGAAGACCAAGAAGCCCTGGAGGCCACTGCAGTTGTCGGCAACACGTCGGATCTTGTCCAGGACCTGGTCGATCAACTCCTTGCCAACGGTGTAGTGCCCACGTGCGTAGTTGTTGGAAGCATCCTCCTTTCCAGTGATCATGTGCTCGGGGTGGAACAAGCTCCTGTACGGGCCGGTGCGGACCTCATCGACAACGTTGGGCTCGAGATCGGCGTAAATCGTGCGGGGGACATATTTGCCCTGGCCTGGAGAATCATGTCGGTCAGAACAAGTCACGGCGAGGGTGGCGAACTCGACGCACCAGTCTCAGAGAAGAAAGTGCTGAAGCCCTGGTCTGGTTCAGCGGCCTTGCGTTCCTCGGTGAGGTAACCATCAGGCTGGAATTAAACATGTCAACGGTATATTCGGGGGATACTCGGAGTAAATTTGTCGGGCTTTACCTGAATGCCGTGCTCGAGGCAGTACAGCTAGATTCACGATGATGATTAGTATCCGCAATAAGCCGCGAGGAGCGTGTCTGGGTTCCGGTGGCGGCGGAGAGCTGTTGCCCCGTCGACAGGACGAATATGGGTCTGTAACCTACCTCCCAGCAAGAATTGGCAATTTGGCAACCAGCCTGGCCGACTGGAGGTCAAACGGGTCAGCGGTTGGTCGGACTCGATACAAGGCCATGTCTCACTCCAACGTTGCGGTGAAGGAAACGACGCGTGCCGGAGAGGGAAACTTACCGTTGATGCTGATGATCTCGCGCATGGTAACAGCTGGGTATTCGAAACCGGCAAGAATACGTTTGTAGGATCAGAGAGGGCCGAAGCAGGTCAGAGATAGCCAAAGACAAGGCTGTTATGATGTTGAGAAGTTGAGTTTGAGTTTTTGGCGGAGGCCTGAAGGCAGTAGCAATGTAGGTAGTGGGGGGAAATTTGATAGACAGGGGCCAATTGTAGAGGCTCGAGCTTTGTTGATATTTGGGCACCCAATTAGGAAAGAGACGTGGCGGTAAGCAACCCGTCGCATGGGCCCATTGTGGCTCACACGCGTTGCACAACTGCACAACTGCCGATGGGAGACCACGTGATGATGAGAGGGGATTCAGGAACGTCTTATTGTTGAGATACAGGCCAATGTTCGTTATGTCACCTACAGTCTACATACCTGTCCTTCTCTACTGCAAATTGAGGTGTAATCAAAGTGGTGGCGCTCCTTGTAAGGGGAATGTACCCTCGAATTGAGGATATCCACCATAGATTCATCCATCCATGACTCCCGTCTGAGCGACCCTATCACAGGATCATTATGAGCTCGATCCGCCACCGCTAGTATCAGTAATACCTTGGGCGTCTTGGACTGGTCGTAAGTCGAATTTCGCGGTACAGCGATAACTTGGGATTGCCACTTGGTGATTATTTATGATCGTATCGGGTCGGAGAAAGCAGCCTTTCCACGGCTCGGTGATAAGTAGCCAATCGATATACTCGAGTCCTCCCTTAGGTGAGTTGTCATTTGAGTTGCGTCTCGATAGAGGATGATACCGTGTGTTTTGGTGTTGACTACAAGCTTCCGCCAATATTTTGGTGCGTAATTTCTGCCCATCTGGCTAGAGAATAGACTGCATTCCAGAGATGGAGTCTTAGAGTTCGTTGAACACCAAGTTAGCCAGCCAGGACGATATGTGGGCGTGAAGTGATGCAGGTTCTATTGACCCCCGCTCTCCAAGCCGGAATTGACGGCACAACGTTTCTAACGTCAGCCACGCCTCATTGTTCAAACTGCCATCCGGTCTCGCGTATGTATATAACTTGGTTGCGATTCTGCTCGGGGAAGCATTGGGAGCATTTCTGCTTGGCGATTTGGAAAGACTGGTCATTTGATGCGGCTGTTCTGGCGGAAGGGACTATGAGAGAACTTGCTGAAGGATATGTCCCTGAACCCACACTCTTTCCATATCGCACACGTTTGGTATTTTCCTGCATCAGACTAACAGAGGACAAACGCGAGTATGATAGAGATATATCTCCCGGCCGTGAGATTAGGCGGCGCTTTACTTTAGACCCCCACTCAAGAGAACACTTTGCCCCGTCATGTATCCAGTCTTGCAGAACATTAGGACAACATTGGCAACTTCAGAGGGCGTGCCCAGTCTCCCAACTGGGATGTTCCTCACGTCGCCTGGCGTCCCTTCTACAAACTTCTCATCCGGAATCATGCCCGTCTCCCCGATCATCGCCGGCGCGACATCGTTCACTGTGATCCCATCCTTGGCGTGCTTCAGCGCCAGGTTCTTCATCAAGCCCGTCAAGCCTGCCTTGCTCGCAGCGTAATGACACCCGTTGATTCCCCCGCCATGAGCCGCGATGGACGAGACATAGATGATGCGGCCCCACTTCTGCGAGGCCATATGGGGGATTGCCACCTTGCTGAGGATGAAGGAGGCGCGCAGGTTGACGCCAAGGGTGTAGTCGAACTCCTCAATGGAGATGTCCGCAATGTTTGGGATCCGCTTGCCGTGGCCGGCGTTGGAGACCAGAATGTCCGGGCCCGCTTCGCCGTGGAAATCTTCAAACTCTAGAAAGAGTTTCCGGATGGCCTCCGCGTCCTGCATGTCGACCTTGTGGGTCGAGATCCTAGCGCCGCGCCTGACCGGAACCCCCCTCAGTTCTGCGGCTAAGCTGAAGACGCTATCGTCATTCCGAAAGTAGGTCAACGCAAGAGACACACCCTCGGCCCAGAGTGCTCTTGCGCAGGCTGCTCCGATACTAGATCCGATGTCCTCTTAGTCCGCCGGATCGGGGCGGGGCGTTGTGGACTTACTGACCCTCCCGAGGCCCCTGTTATCAAGGCCAGCCTATCCACAATCTCGCTGTTGGCTTCCAGCATAATGGGCTGTGGCTTTCTTAGTGGTGTATGTCGCCAATAGGGAATGCAGGAGGATTCTTACACGTACAGTTCACAAGCAGACGTAGTCACGCAGTAGCGAGGTAGCACATCTATGTGGGTTCAAAGTTCCAAATGGCTGTCTTGGTGCAGTTAGTGGTTCCTGCCTGATGGAAATGAGGGACCTATTTATCCTTGCCAGGACTGCTTTTGTACCTTAATCAAGACCTGAGACGCATCCCCGGGAAGTCCTCTCGTTTGCGAGGAATAAGGGTACTAAGAATCCTCAGTAATTCTAATTAGAGTTGATAGAGCACGGGCACCTCCGCAGCTCCACATCTCCGATGTCGCTTACCTACCCGGCCCCGCCACTCAGACCGTGCACTCTCCACTCTCCGTTCAATCAACGGAGCCCGGAGCAGGAACGGGCATTAACGGGATTTTACTGCATAACCCACAACCCAAAACGTGAAAGATTATCGAGATAGCCTCAGGGGACCTGTGTGACTCAGAACCCGTCACCGTATCACTTTGCATTCACTCTCCCACCCACCCCACAGTTTCGCCTTGACGTCTATTTAAGCCCAAGGCAAATCTCTTCATCGTCCCAACTTCATACATCCGAACTTGAAGAACTACATTACGAAGCCTCACAACACCTCCAAAGAACCTAAGAAGAGACGAAAGCGAAATCAACAAGCACCCATCTCGCAACATGGGCACTCCATTCATAACCCTCCTCGAACCGCACCCCCTAAAGGGGTACGACGCCCTCGCCCCGCCAACAGCGCAGCCGCCGTCCGTCCCCAAGACCTTCCTGGACGCCATGACGGTGCGCCGCCAGGTCTTCGTGGACGAGCAGCGCGTGCCCATGGAGAACGAGTTCGACGCCGACGACGCCCGCTCCTGCCACTGGGTCGCCTACGCGAGCGTCAACCGGACCATCGAGCCCGAGGTGCGCGACCCCACCACCGGCGAGGTCGTGCGGCCCCGCCGCAGCGAGACCTCCACCGTGCCCGTCGGCACCATCCGCCTCGTCCCCTTCCCCCACCCGCCCCACCCCGTCTCCGGCGGCGTCTACGCCGGCGGCGAGCTCGTCGGCCGCGACTCGGCGCAGTCAGCATCCACCCCGGCCCCGGCCCCCGCCCTCGAGCGGCGGTCCTCACTGGCGCGGCCGTTCCGCATGGACCGCAAGACGGAGATGCACGACGGGCTGGAGCCGTACGTCAAGCTGGGCCGTCTGGCGGTGGTCAAGGAGTTCCGCGGCTACGGCATCGGGCGGCTGCTGGTGCGGACGGCGCTGGCGTGGGCACGCGAGCGCCCGGCCTACTTCATGCCGAGCGTCGCGACCGTGGGGCTGGAGCAGCTGGGCATGGTGCGCAACGGCGCCGTCCCTAAGTGGGAGGGGCTCGTCTGCTGCCACGCCCAGGAGCAGGTCGCCGACGCGTGGGAGAAGCTGGGATTCAAGATCGACAAGGCGATGGGCACCTGGGTCGAGGAGGGGATTGCGCATGTGGGCATGTTCCAGCGGGTCGATGTCAAGCAGACGGACGATAGTTAAGGGGCAACGGAGCGGATGGTCACCTTTGAGGGTTACGGGGACCTGAGACGTCAGGCATTGGACGGCGTTTACTTTCGTGAAGGGGGGATTTCTCTCGTGCAATACGAAGGCATGGAGTTGGGGCTGGTCTGATAGGGAAACGGGAGTTTTTAGGGCCGTAGCATCGTCTGCAAAAGACCCTCGAATCATATGGTCGAGCTGTCTAACGGTTGATGGTTTATGGTTTTTGCTCTAATGTGTCACAAGAGCCCGTTTTATTCTTTGCCTTATTTGACAAGAATGCCTGTGAAAACCGCATCCGCAAGTCCTGAACGCGCAAATGCAACCTTGCAAACATGCCAGAGAAGTGCCCCTTCCATCCCGCCAGTTCCAAGTAACCAACCCAACGAGACCACCGCTTTACCGGTTGCTCTTGGCCACACGCTCCAACTCGTCCTTCTTCTTGATCGCGTACGAGTTGCTGCTTCCCTTGGCAGCGTTGATCAGCTCCTCAGCCAGGCACTCGGCAATGGACTTGACGTTTCGGAACGACGCCTCACGGGCACCGGTGGTGAGCAGGGCAATGGCCTGGTTGACACGGCGGAGAGGGGACACATCGACGGCCTGTCGCCGGACGGTACCGGCGGAGCCAATCCGGGTGCTGTCTTCGCGGGGACCGCAGTTGACGATGGCGTCGACGGCAATCTGGATGGGGTTCTGGTCGGTCATGAGGTGGATCTGGAAGCAGATGTTAGGATCATCGCGCCTTCTTCTTGACTCCAATTGACCGTATCACTCACAATCTCGAACGAGTGCGCAACGATACGGACAGCCATCAGCTTCTTTCCGTTGTTGCGGCCGTGCATCATCAGAGAGTTGGTGAGGCGTTCAATGATGGGGCAGTTGGCCTTCCGGAAGCGCTTGACGGCATATCGGCCAGCGGAGTGAGGGATGTAGACGGGCGACCGGATCTGGATGTAGTCGCTGTTGGACGTGTATCGTTAGCATCTATTGCTTCCGTCTTTTTGGTTCCTGACTGAAGAACTCTCTCCAGCGCGCCAAGTGCACGTTGAAGGAGCCAGAGAAACAGATTCGTTCCGTATTCCCTCTCGGCTCCAATGCATTCTCCCCCCAACTTTGCTTGGCCTGAATCGAAATTCGGACGGGTTCGGGGTGGTAGCCTTACGTCAAGGAGATGTCCCGGATCTCAACGTCCTCATAGCTCCAGCGGTTGAAGAGCTTCACGCTGCCAATTTCGGAAACGATATCCTTGGGCAGGGCCTGGTAGCCCGAGATGGCCTCGACCTCGATTTCGCCGTTGTCAGACATGTTTGCTGAGGAGACACGGGACCGGAGTTATTCGTTGGAGGTTTTTTGATCGAGAGAGGTCGCTTCGATTGAAGTTCTCGAAATTTTTGGTGTGGTCCCGCATTGGCGGGTGGGCAGTGTGGCAGCTGGCGGGCGGTCTAGCCAGTCAGAAATCAATTAGGGCAAGACCTAAGGCTGACCGCCGGCCGGAAAAAAGAAGCGCGTGACTTGTGCGGGAAGAGAAGAGCCACCACCCAGAAAAAACCATCCCACCTTACACCAAACCTCCATCGCCATTCTCGATTCTCGACAGGAAAGAAAATCAAAATGGCGCCCGCAAACACAGGAGCGAAGAAGCAGAAGAAGAAGTGGAGCAAGGGCCGGGGTAAGTGCTGACCCTCGCTTTCTGTGGCCTCCCAACTCTACGGAGACTCAAAACGAGTTGCATCGCGGGACTCGTCGTTGATTGTCGATGCCGGTGACGGATTCGGGCTGACATCACATCCTTACAGTCAAGGACAAGGCCCAGCACGCTGTTCTTCTCGACAAGGCCACTTCCGAAAAGCTCTACAAGGACGTCCAATCTTACCGCCTCGTTACCGTTGCCACTCTCGTCGACAGACTAAAGATCAATGGCTCGCTGGCACGGACATGCCTGAAGGACTTGGAGGAGAAGGGCCAGATCAGGCAGATTGTGGGACACAGCAAGATGAAGATCTACAGTATGTGCTGAGCCGGATAATTATCCTGTGGAAAACGTCCGCGAAACTGACACAACGATAGCTCGTGCCGTTGGCGCCACCGACTAAATCTCTCGACCTGATATGGACATGGAAGTCAATCATTGCGGAGTTGGGATGAAGGTTGCTCGGGGATTCAATGGGAACTCGGAAATGGCTTCGTCTTCATGGGGCTGGGCATGTTACGACTCGATATAGCTCAGGGATTGGAAGAGCTCCAGATCCTTTAGTCTGAATCGCACCACGAAACGACTAGAGAAATAGTTGGTCAAAACCCACCTCGTCCCCGAACAAAGCGGTGATATGGCCTGCCACAGGTGTTTACTCGAGTTGGACGACATTAGAGAATCAATCGGCAGCTCTGCCCAGGACAAGGCAGGACGGTAGCCAGTTCTGCAACCGCATTCCATGGCGAATATGATTTGGACATATGGCCAACCTAATCCTCGCTCCCCTGGACAACCTGGACAAGTGAAACATATTGACAGATGCCCTGCTTGTAGGCCGCGACTCAACGGTCAACCCCCGGCTCATTCCATATAGGCAAGTCAGCTCATCGTCGTATGGATAGGCAAAGCCTCTGGGTCGCAGAGATGTAATAGTCCTGTTCGCGTCTTAGTTGGTTCTTATTCTCATCCATTGGCCACTGTCAGCGCATTGAACATTGAACTGTGATCATTAACCTAGTCCCTTGGCCTCAGTACTGTCCCGGGCTCCAGACGCTGGTCTCAGTCAACTAACGAAACCAGATACCAGATGTAAAGGTCATCAGCTAGATGGGCAGACAGGAGGTGTCCCTGTCAACTAGATTTCTGTGCATTATTGTAACCCAAATATGCGTGCCGTGCCGCTCTTTATGAAACATAAAATTAACAACCCCAGCTCAGGGAGGTATTTTCAGGGCATATGTTTCTCTGAGCAGAGACTAGCTAGAGGTAGGCTCCGAGGCCTCACGGACCTACCGTGGGAAGAAAGGCTGAGAGTTTGGCCACCGGACACAATACGAATATCCAATTACCTAGGTACATACGTTCAGATGATTGGTCTAGACTAGAGAGGGATCAAAGGATGGGTCAGAAAAGAAGGGGAAGTAAAAAAAAGTCTGAAGCCTCTTGAAATTGCCAACCTCCATTGGCTGCGAGGTTAAAAATTTCCGGAGCTAGGTCTTGGCGGTCTTGGAGCCTTTTGGCCGAGAACAAGCCAAGGGAACAAGACCAAACACCCACAATTTTCTACCGAAGATGGATCTGACTCGGGCAAAGCACGGGAAAGATTCATGTTTGGACATGGGTGAGTGTCTTGGTCAATTTCTAGAATGGATATGAACACTGTACCTAATCGTTAGTCCAGGGGTTGTAGACTCAGACCGTAGCTACAAGGAAAGAGGCAATTCAAAAGCCCCAGTGATTCGGCGCAAACCGGCTTGCAGAACCCACAACGCCACAGTGGATGCCTCAGGCTTAAATCGCCGTTGCCGTGGAAGGCTGCGGCCTTGCCATCTACGGGTCCGAGCTCATCTCATTAGCGCCGGAAAGATTCGCTCTCAAAAGCAGGGCCCTTCCAAAACTTGCGAATTTTTTTTCCCTCTCCCCCAAACCTTTCTGAAGCAGATATATTTGTCCACGCCGCCCTCCTCCAACCCCTCCGCTCTCCCCAGCAGAGTCTTTTCCTTCCAATCTCCACTCAATCCCTGCCGTTTTCGATCGTGTGCGATCAAATCAGTCAAAAATGGCCTCCAACGAGAAACAGGCGATCATGGGCATCCCGGTAAGCATCGCGACCCTTAATTCCCTCGCATCAATCTCTCTCCACGACACCTGCCAATTGAGAAAACCCCATCGTCAATGATCAATCTGCCTCAATGGCTGGTCATGATCATCTATGATGGGTGTTGGCAGCGTGTCCTGACCAGAAGCAAGCTTTTCCTTGCTCCGTGTCAGGGGAGAGAGAGGAAATTTCACACCCGTTTCTGTTCTATATGGGAATGTCACTAACTCGTATTCCTACCAGCCCTTCATGGTCGACTTCCTGAGTACGTTAACCTCTACAAGACATTGAATCACATAGCAGTGTCGCCAGCGATGCGCATTTAGCTTGATGCCGGCGGGCAACAACATTGCCGGATATTGGAACATAGCTAACGGTATTGAACAGTGGGTGGTGTCTCTGCCGCCGTCTCGAAGACTGCCGCTGCCCCCATCGAGCGTGTCAAGCTGCTCGTTCAGAACCAGGTAGGTTTCAATCACAATCCCATATACGCGCTGCCGATCATTTGTCGATGCTCTATGAGCTGCATATATGCGACGAAGATGCCAGCAAGCTCCTTCGTCACGTGCAGCTAGTAGCCGCACCACGGATTGCAGACATGTTGCAATTGTCCCTAGACAAAGTTTTAAAAATCACCCGCTAACGACCCGAACAGGATGAGATGATCAAGGCTGGCCGTCTGGACCGCCGGTACAATGGCATCGTCGACTGCTTCAAGCGCACCACTGCCGATGAGGGTGTCATGGCCCTGTGGCGTGGCAACACCGCCAACGTCATCCGGTACTTCCCGACCCAGGCCCTGAACTTCGCTTTCCGCGACAAGTTCAAGGCCATGTTCGGCTACAAGAAGGACAAGGATGGCTATGCGAAGTGGATGGCTGGTAACCTTGCCTCCGGTGGTGTAAGTCTTCGCATCCTGCCCCGTCTATGACCCATCCTAACTCGACCTTTTCAAGGCTGCTGGTGCCACCTCGCTCCTCTTCGTCTACTCTCTCGATTACGCCCGTACCCGTCTTGCCAACGATGCCAAGTCCGCCAAGAAGGGTGGTGAGCGCCAGTTCAACGGTCTCGTGGATGTCTACCGCAAGACTCTCGCTTCCGACGGTATCGCTGGTCTCTACCGTGGTTTCGGTCCTTCCGTCGCTGGTATCATCGTCTACCGTGGTCTTTACTTCGGCATGTACGACTCCATCAAGCCCGTCGTCCTTGTCGGTAACCTCGCCAATAACTTCCTTGCCTCCTTCGCTCTCGGTTGGTGCGTCACCACTGGTGCCGGTATCGCCTCTTACCCTCTCGACACTGTCCGCCGACGAATGATGATGACCTCTGGCGAGGCCGTCAAGTACAAGAGCTCTCTCGACGCCTTCAAGCAGATTGTCGCCAAGGAGGGTGTCAAGTCTCTCTTCAAGGGTGCCGGTGCCAACATCCTCCGTGGTGTCGCTGGTGCTGGTGTGCTCTCCATCTACGACCAGCTCCAGGTCCTGATGTTCGGCAAGAAGTTCTCTGGTGGAAGCGGTTAAGCGCTGTCGGGCGGATAGCGAGCTGTACCGATGAGGCGGTGGTGTCTGCGGGGGCTAATGGTGAGGGTGTACGTGGCAGAGCTGGGTTGAGGGGACGTTGATAGATGGGGAAGATTGCAAACGCGGTGGAAGAGCTGTCCTAGGACAGCTGCGGGCTGATATCTAAGCCGGGTGGGATTGGTCATCCAGCCAGGTCATTCACGGCCGCTGTAATTTAGGAACCTCGGTTTTTCCCGGTGTATTCTTCTGCAACGATCATCTCCGCTGGAGTCGACTTCATCTCCTGGCTGTTTTCCTTTGGTTGCATACGACTGATAGATCCCTTTCGAGAATAGTTCATAGGTTCATTGAATGGGAGTGCTTTCTTATCGATCCAGTTGCCTAATTTCTTGTGCAGTCTGCGGTTTTTAGCAGACCCGAGACTAAAAATCCGTGATTTATATCTTTAACTGGCGGTTGTGGCCTTGTTACCTATTCGCGTAATGGGAGTCTCAGAGCCTGTCTTGAGATACGAGCTCCTGCTTCGGTGGTCACAAGCGTGAGGCCATGTCGGCGAGATGGCCTCTCCCTCGGTTGGTGCTGCCGCCAGGACCTCGATCGCCGAAGCCAGTCGTCGATAGTGAAGGATTCTCCGGGAGACAACCTTAGCATGCAACCGACCTTCTAGATGCAATCCTTACAATGATATTGGGCCATTGATATGGGTTCGGCTGCACGCCTCCATCTCGCATAAGACATCACCCTACTGCTGCCCCGAAAACGCATGGCACACACTGGTGTTGGTATGCCCTTCGCCTTCTTCACGAGGCGTAGTCGTCCCCCACACTCCCCCACAATGTAAGGGGGGCGGACGCGACATTGATGCTCGCTGTCTGGACCTAAAGACTAGACATGAAAACCCATCTCAAACGCCACAGTAGTCCAGCATATAGGTTAGGCAATGACACGCCGCGAGACCCTCACCAGCCATACTGTGGAGGCGGTGCCGGAGACAAGTTCCCTCTTCAGAATCTCAGGCATCGGCTCTGAGGTGATGGCTGGAGAAGCCTGTCGGTGGTGAGACTGCCGTGCGTCCGAGGCTCGAAGAGAATCTCAAAACCGAGGCTGGCATACTCGTGTAAGTAAAGGCTAACCTAGATATCTCAGTTCTGTTGTACTGACATCTCAGGGGAAGCACGTACTGTGCGGTACAGTACAAAATAGACTGTGCTTATCGGCCGTAAACGGCAGCCAGTCGGCGTTCCTGTTATCGAATATCAAAACAGTACGTCTTCAATACACCTTTCGATTGGTGTTGTAACTCGGATTCGAGCTTACAACTCCCGATTGATCTTGTCCGTATACGCGCCCTTCTTCTTCTTCACACCAGCAGCCACATCTGACTCTCAGCCCGACACCATGCCAGCTAAGCAAGCCGGAACGAAAAGCACGGCAGGGCGCGGGCGCGCCTCCACGTCCAAGACCGGCGCCGCCGCGTCCTCCTCGACCGGCGCCGGCAGCAAGCGGGCGCGCAGGGGCCGGTCCTCAGCGGCCGATCGCGCAGAGGATGTAGAGGAAGTTGGGTCGGACGAGGGTGGCGGCGGCGCGGACGACGACGAGGCGGAGGAGGAGGAAGATCAGCAGAAGACGATCCCGCCCGAGCTGCTGACGCGCCTGCTCCACGAGTTCTTTGAGAAGGACGGAACGCGGGTCACGAGGGACGCGAATGCGGCGGTCGCGAGGTACATGGATATCTTCGTGCGGGAGGCGATAGCGAGGTCGGCGGCCGAGAGAGACGGCAAGTTCATGGAGGTGAGTTTGGCTGGGAGCTGCTCGTTGACCGGGCTGGAGCAGAGGTCCCCAAGGGATCTGGGCTTAGATGGCGCTGGGAGAAATTCCCGGTATTCGTCTCTAGCCTACTCTCCAGACACCCGGCATATCTACAGAGGCAGACAGAACCACTTACACTGACTATGTCGCAGGTGGAGGATCTCGAAAAGGTTGCACCGCAGCTACTGCTTGATCTTTGATGGCGTCCTATGACGGCCATCATGCCGAGCCCAGATATGGAATTCACCCGGTTGTGGCTGACTGTATCGGTGAAGCTCACCCAGGTAGGAGGGCCAAGAGGGGGTGGAGAGTCGTACCGGTTGCCGGCCGGCCGGCTCATGGGCCGATTTTGTGCGTCCAAGCCACGGGTTTCGAGGGGCGTACATGACGATGCACGCTAGGCGTGGTCAGAGATGTGCAGCCCGTCAGACATTCAACGCCTGTGGGCGAGGGGATCAGATGAGGCTTTCCAGGTGCCGAGTTTCCGCATGGATCTGTCCTCAGGGGCCTTGGATTGGCGCCGAATTTTCCGGCCATGTCTGTGCAGGATGCAAGGCGCTGCTGGAAACAGAGAACAAGGCGAAACTCGGTCCTCCCATAAGGCGCGTTTCCGGCAAAGTCAAACCAACGCCAGACCCGACGCCCTGGAATGTTTCTACTTCGTAGGCTCTCACAAGCAGACCTCCAGACAGACGCCATAAGCGCAGAAGCATTACCGCTTGGGCTACACCTAGTGCAGCGATTCAGGGGCATCGCCAGGGCAATGACAGAATTGATATACACACATAGATGCTAGGTCGCAAGGTCTATTTTAAATCTACGCGAATATCCGTTATTCGCGGCTTGTTTGGCCCACAGCGAATGAATTGCTGTAAAGTAAAGTCCATAGGTTGAGGCTCATCGCCAGTTGTTTGGGCTAACGCTGAGTAAAGAGGCCGTACCTGCAGCCCGCAGCGCTCTCTTACCCCGGATTTTCCTTCCTTCGAATCCGAGGCGTTGACGCCAGTGACAGAGCACAGGCGCCATCGCTTCCTCATCAATTTTTTGGAGGTCCCATGCTCGGGCGACCCGCTGAAACTCGTCCGCGTTTTAGGCTTGTCACAGATTGTCAGAAGTTCTGGCCGGGACCCACTCACCACGCCCCTGATCCCTGTCTTGGCACCAAAACCTTATTTTTGTCTTCGACGTTGCCTGGAAGGTCTGACCCAAGTCGAAATTTGGTGTGTCAACGGAGCAGCAAAGCTGCTACAGAGTCAATGTTTACTGTCTGATGCCTACAAATTCAAGCCACCGGCTTGCTGGGTGTTGCAGCTCCCGGGCGGTTGGATGCCACATGGGCCACTTTACTTACTTGGCCCTCCTTGAGGGCTCATTTGCTGCCGTGTGAAGCGACGGCCTTTACGCCTGATCGCCAAGCTCCAAATGTTGTATCTTGGAGTCGTGCCCATGGACCTGCCATGGACCTGCCATGGACCTGAAAAGGCCGGATTAGCAGGGCTAACTGCTCTTTAGGGACGGGTCCGTCTCAAATGAATACTCCAGGGTCCTGATTCCCAAATTCGAAGGGTTTGCAGGTGCACTGGCAGCTTCGAGAAAGTCCGGGTGGTGGTCAAAACATCAATATGTTTCAAGGACCCCATGAGCCCCCGGGGCCTTGTCCCTGCCCACCGTCACAACCCCTACAGACCTCTGCTGTTCGCTAATTGGCGATCCTTCATTTTCCCGAAGGCACGCGGGTCTCCGGTCTCTTATATTCATGCCGCTCCCCTTCTCCTTGGCCCTCTCCCTCCCTCTCCCTTGTTCCTTATACTCTCTTCCAGTCAAAGATCGCCGTTTATTTTTCTCTCCCTTTCCTCTTCTCTCTGTACCTCTATCTTCAATAATCTTCCAAGGCTAGTCCTACAGCGCGAGTCGCTTTTTGATATCGATCACATTCGTTCGTTCGTTCGACTACAGCTTCGATTCCGAGTCTTCTCTACCGTTTTCTTCGCCAGAACGAACATCTATTCAAAATGCAGCTTACAACACTCGCTCTCGCAGCCCTCGCGGGCGTCGCATCCGGTATGCTCATTCAGGGTGGCACGACGCTGTTTTGGTACTGACGAGGACTTTGACAGCCCAGCAGGCCGGCACGAAAATGATTGTCGTCACCGTCGGCGCCAACAACAGCCAGATCTACTCGCCCGAGAACATCCGTGCTGCCGTGGGTGATGTCGTTCAGTTCCAGTTCCCCTACGGCAACCACACCGTGACCCAGTCGACCTTCGACCAGCCGTGCCAGCCTATCTCCATGAACAGCAACGTCACGGGCTTCCACTCAGGCTTCCAACCCGCTGCGGCCAGCCAAGCTCAAGGCATGACTTCGACCTTCAGCATCATGATCAACAACACCAACCCCATCTGGGTCTACTGCGCCCAGGGGAAGCATTGCGAGAACGGCATGGCCTTGGTGATCAACGAGAAGTGAGTATCCGGGTACATCCACGCATGGGGCACAATTGACTAATGAATCCTCCAGCACCGCCGCAAACCCCCCCAAGACTCTCGCGGCATACAAGGCTGCTGCTGTCAAGGCCAACACCGTTGTCCCCGGCGCCGGTGGTTCCACCGGTGGCACCAACGGCAACAACGGAGGCAATGGCGGCAACAACGGAGGCAACGGCGACGGAACCAATGTCAACGGAGCAATGGCCGTTGCTGCCCCCACCTTCAGCGTGCTTGCAATCGTCGGTGCGCTCCTCATGCTCTAGGGTGGGTGGTTGTTGGTTCGGTTGTCTGTCCTGGAATTGCGTCTGTTTCCCATTCTAGACCGGGGAGTCTCTGGTGGATGTCCAAACGGCTTAATTAAGCGTATACAGGGTCGCATGGCTGTAGCGATCAAAGATCCCGATCGGTATTGCTTATTCCGGGTGGTGGGGTGTCTCTGATTCTGTACATGACCATGCACGGGCGACGTGTTGTTATATACCTGCATTTAAATTGAGTTGTGGTCTTTTTTTTGTTCTGGCATTGTCTGTGCCCCCATGGTAGGGTACCTACCTAGTTGCAAGTGACTCTTGTGGTCCGAAGTGCTGGATATGTGGAAGGTTCGACATCACAGACACCCAAAAGACTAGGTCTTCTTGACCGACTCTCCCTGACCGTAGTGTGGCCGCGTGGCTGTTTCCAAAAGAATAGCATTGTGTCAATGTCGCACTCTATCTGTAAATGCTCACTCGTACTACACGATATGACACTCATGAATATTACAAAACCAAAAGCGCACCATCTAGGTCTCGCCCTCTTTCTGTGGAATCTTCCTCTTCACCCTCCCCTTCGCGGCGTGGTCACACAGCTTCCTCATGGGCGAGTGCTCCAGCCAGCCCTCGGGCAGCTTGACGTACCCGACCCTCTGGTACTTTGTGCTCTTGCTGAAGAAGTCGACCCAGTGCTTCAGTGCCTCGTGCACGCGCCGATGGGCCGACTCCAGCTCGGCGACCCGCATCTGCTCCAGCTCCTCGCGCGACCAGTGGGCGTCCACCTCCGGGTCGTCGAGCGGCAGGTACATCTCCTCGACGCCGCGCATGTCCACCGTCCGGTCCTCGGCGAAGCACCCCGTCACGTACGCCCGGCTGGCGTCGCACCCGGCGAAGAAGTGGTACGAGCCCCCCGGGCCGTAGGTGCGCCGGTTCGCGGACACGTCGTAGATGGTCCCGTTGATGGCCAGGTAGAGGGGCTTGGTCTCGTCGGTGCCGTCAAACTCGGCGAGCTCGGTGGGGGTGAGGTAGAGGGGGCCGCGCTAGGGTTGGGGAGGAGGGCTTGTTAGTCCCTGGGTGTCTCAATTGGCTTCTCGTGGGTGTGATTAGTAGCTGTCTTACAAGTTGACTCTTCCACCATGTCGTCTGAAGGTACTTTGGGGGATTCTTCATCCCCCAAGACCAAGTCTCGCCGCCGGATACAAGGTAGCTCAGGCCGCATGAAGCAAGAAAGAGGAACGTGAGAACCCGAAAGATGTCCAGGTACGGGCTATATGCATCTTCGTCGTCCAGCTTCTTGCCCGGCTTGCGCACCTTGCGCAGCTCGGGCTCAGGTGCTTCCACTGGAGTCTCCTGAGGCTTCCGTTGCCTTACAGAGGGAGGTGACTGCGCCATGGCCTATACCCAAGTCAGATTTATCGGAATTTCGGTAGAAATCTGAAGGGAAAAGAAAGTGAGGAATGGACACGGAGCAGGAGGAGCTCATGTATTAGCAACACACCACGGCTGATTGGACATCCGACAATAGCCAGATATCAAACTGGTCTGTAAGGCTGAGACGGAGGAGATGCTTCCTCCGAGACCCGCTTTTCCTGCCCACGCCACAGTCTGCTCTCATTGGCCTTTGTTTTTGCAAGGCTACCCGGACTTTTGTGGAGCTTGGGTCGCGTCGCCCCAGCAACTTAGACGCGACCCACCAAGCATTGGGGTCTCCCACCCACAGTAAATACAGACCTGTTGGGCGGGACTGCATTTCCACCACACGTTCATTAGCAAAATCTCCAACATTGTCCTACGTTACGTAGACTATCACAATTTGTAGCGCATTTCCCTCGCGCTTTGACATCAAACCACGCACCCGTCGCATGAGCGACGACTACACAGAGAAGCAATCGGACATGGATCCCACATCATCAGGCGGGACGGCGCTGCAGCCGGTCTCGGGCGACCGCGTCAACCAGCAGCGCGATCAGGCCGCGCGGCCCTCCTCACGCGAGGACGCGCGGGATAGCCTCGTGCTCGACAAGATCAGCCAGTTCAACAGCCTCGCCATGCAGTCGAAGCAGCTGGAACGCAAGACGGCTGACGCCGCGCTCAAGCGGGCCATGCTCGGCCGCGAGGAGGCCGAGGGCGAGATGCGCCGCTACAGGGATGAGACGAGGGCGCTGAGGAAGCAGGTCGAGGAGGGGAAGGAGAGGGAGAGGAGAGTCGGTGAACGGTTGGAGACCGTGATGGTGGGTTACTCCGCTCGAGACAGTTTGCCAAAGCCTGACTAACCTATCGATAGGAGAACTACGGCCGCGCGAAAGAGACACACGCTCACACACAGGCCCTCTGGGAAAAGGAGATCCGAAGAGCGCGAAAGGAGACTTTCAAGTCCCAGAGCGCCATCGTGAAGCTGCAAGAGGAGCTGAAATCGGCGCGGTCGGCGATAAAGTCGACAGAGGAGATGCTTGACCTGGAAAAGGAGCGTAGTAAGACTCGTGAACAGGAAGCATTCGCCGCAAGATACAGCCTCGTCGGCGTCCAAGAGCAGTTCGAGCAGACATTGGAGCGCCTGAAGGTGCTCGAACAGGAGCGGGATGCCTTCAAGGCCCTCGCGAAGAACGAAGAGGACATCGCGCGCATCGCCGCCGAGGGCAGACTCCCCTTGCCGCCCTCTGAGTCCAGCCCCGAGGAGGACGAGTTCGCGTCACCAAAGAAGTCGAGAGTGTCGATCAGCATTGCAGATGTCACGTCGTCGGCGACCAGCGAGGCGGAAATCGACGAACTCACCTGGCTATGGCAACGGGAGAAGCAGCGAGCGGACCGTGCGCTAGAGCACGTTGACTTCCTCGAAGCCGAATGCCAGTTGAGATGCTGCGCTTGCGCAAAGTCGCGTTCACGGTCAAGCACACTCGGCCAGGCTAGCGCTCGCCGGAAACGCCCAGACCCTCTGACGCTTGCAGATGCTGGCGACTTGGTGATCCTTAGCGAGGACGCACAGGCATCGTCAGTGGATACCAACGCGAGTCCATCGCCGAAGAAGTCCAAAACAGACATGCTGAGAACGGAGCAGCCGACGGAAGTGAGGAGAAGCACCATCTTCATCCCCACCGAGGGCATTTTTCGGACAGTATCCCAAGAGGAGGCTGGAGCCCTGGAGGCGGCCGTGGCTCCAAGGGACCACGACGTGGAGGAGGCTTCGACCGAGCCACCGACCCCAGTCGACCCTAACCCAAACCCACCATGCTATGCCCGCACCCCATCCGTCGATCCCCCGGCCTTCGCCGTTGTTACCGAACAGCGGACATCACTCCTCTCTCTCCTCAACGCTCCGCACCGAGGAGAGGACAGCCGCGCCGTCCTCAACATCCCCGTCACGCCCGGGCCAACCCCAGCCAAGCGTATGGAAATGAAGAAGCACGAGCCCAAACAGTCGGCAGACGCCGACGACGACGACGACGACAACGACAACGACACCCCGATCCAGCGGACCCCGCTCGCCGCCATCACCAACCAGGTCAACAACCGGCAGCAGCCCGCCTTCGCCGCGAAGGCAGAGGTAGAGGCAGAGGCGGACCTCGACCTCGACCTCGACCTCGACCTCCACGACACGCGCCCGCACACGACGGCGGGCTTCTACACCACGACGACCAAGGTGCCGCTGCGCGAGGAGAACGCGGACCCGAGCCTAGCCGCCCGGCTCCTCCTCGAGCAGCAACAACAGCGCACGCCGTCGGCGTCGTCGTCGGAGGGCAGGACCTTTGACGCGACGAACCCGGCGCTGACGCCGACCATGACGCGCGAGCAGGCGCTGGCGCAGATACGCGAGCGGCGCGGGCGGGCGCGCAGCGCGGCGGCGGCGCAGGGTAGCACGACGTCGGCGGCGACGACGACGCCGCGGAGGCAGATGGTCGTGGGACTGGTTGAGAGGAGGGATGTTAGCGCGCCGGCGGGGAGGGTGGGAAAGGTCCCTAGTGTGGTTAGGGGGGCGAGATCGTAGGGTTGAGTTGCTTTTTGCGGTGAGATGGGGATCTTGGGGTTGAGGGGAGGGAGGGAGGTTGAGAGTGAGTAATTCATTGTAGACGACCTGTGGGAAGGCTTGTTGGTGGTGTGTTTTCCTGACTCGACACGCATGATGATGATGTTGGCCTCGGACCATGGGGTAACTTGGAGCCTTGATCGATGCTTGGGAGTGAAATTTTGCATTGCATCGGTGTCTGGGGCCAATAGTTGGATGACATGGACGGATGTCGGAGTCTTTTCTCTGTCTCTCTTTTATCCTACCTGTACAGAAAAATTATTATCTGGCGGTTGTAATTCATCGGTTTAATTAATGCTCTCACTCTTGTCCGTGACTTGATCAGGGAATGGTTGTATAAATATGTAACCTCGAATGGCAATCGTAGAAAAATACATCGAGCTCGCAATATCCCTTAAGTGGTAGCAACGGATATAAAACATAACAATCCCAAGCAGACCATGGCCCTCAAAACAAATCCCAGCCTTCCCTCCCACGCCTACGTTGAAACATCCTTTTTCCCCCCCTCCCTTAATCGCCTCACCCATCCAAGAAACCCCTCGACGCATTCCTCGCGCGTTCAGAGCTCACAGCATCCAGCTTGACAGCGACGAGAACACACTCGACGCCCGCCCTGCCGTTCCTCGCGCTCCGCACCCGCAAGCGCCACTGGCCCGTCCTGACGACCCAGGCCTCCGCCCCGCCGCCATCGTGCCTCGACTGCGTCCTCCTCCGTTTGCGGAAGGGCCCCGCCGCCGCCGCCACGCCGGCATCCGACTCAGCCATCGCCACGTCCAGGCCGCCGAGCCCCTCCGTCATCGGGTCCTCCTCGTCGTCGGCGGCTCCGGCGGGCATCCACGGCCTGCCGTCGAGGACGATGCTCGTCTCGCCGTCTAGAAGGACTGGCACGAGGTTGTCCTCGGCGGCCGCGGGTTGGGACGACGGCTGGTGGTGCTGGTGCGGGTGCTGGTGCTGGCTGGCCTTGGCGATGACGAGCTCGAACAGGCGCGGCAGGCGGGCGCGTGCGTCGCGGAAGAACTCGGCGCGCATGCTGCTGCGGTGCAGCCTGGTGGCCTCGCCGCCGATCTCGAGGACGAGCTCGGCGGGGCGGTCATCGACGTAGGGGCGGGCGTAGGTGACCCAGCCAGCGAGGGGGTCGTTGGGGGCGGGCTCGGGGCTGACGCCGACGCCGCTCTTGAGGATGTGCTCGAGGCGCAGGGCGATCTCGTCGCGGCGGCGCGCTTGGTTGAAGGCGATGGCGTGCGGGATCAGGCGCTGCTCGAGGCCCTTGAAGTTGAAGTACCGGCAGTCCCGGAGCAGCGACTCCCGGTGCTCCTCGTCGCGGATGTGCACCGGGTAGCCGCGCAGGAGGTGCAGCAGCTCCGCGAACGTCTCGGCCGACCTACCGGGGACGGACGGCGGGAGGATCGACGGCGGCCGCAGCAGGCCCTCGCGGTCGAGGCCGGGAAACAGGTCGTGCGGCGAGGAAAAGAACATGGCGAAGCCCAGGGAGAAATAGTTCGGCGAGTTGCCCGGGGCGTTAAACAGGTCCCGGGGAATCTGAAACTCGCGGTGCCCGATAGACATGAAGATGGATTCTTCGTAGAGCTGGGATATCAGCTTGGGTACTGGGATTCATGTGAGCCAAAGCACCAGAGGATACTTTAGAAGGACACAATATTCCTACAGCTGTAAAATTGGGCATCGGCGAACAGGCGCACGAAATGTGTGCCATCGCGCGGTGTCACATGGTAGCCCTGGAGGTGAAGAGATATGTCGGTGAAAGTCACCGGGTCACGGTCGATGTAAAGTGTCCGGATGGCCGTGGATGAGTCCTCACCATTTTCCTCTGCCCTCGCAATTTGGCATTTGAAGTAATGCGAGAAGTATGAAGGCGCTGGGGGAATCAGCGCGTTACCCAGCAAAGATCAACTGCTTCGGGTGAGCTTTGAAATCCGGCACTTGCCGGGAGAACATAATGCGAGGGTATTCGGTGAATGGGACTCAGTAAAGACGCACCATCAGACGAAATGGAAGCACCGGAAAGCTTAAATAGCTCTGAGCCAATCTGAATGGGAAATACCCGCTCGTGGGGGAGGATATGCGGGATCTTGGGCATGAGCTGGACGGATGACCCATACGTTGATGGCGTATCGTCGCTACCCGAATTTATGGCAGCCATGGCTGGGCCCAGATCCTGGTCATGCAGTTCGGGGGGGTGATTATCATCACAGAAAGGATCAACTGAGGCATCAACTATAGATGCATGGCTGAGTGAGAGATTGGCGGATTGGAAGTCAGCGTGCCCATGATTCCGCCATTCTGCGTGTCAACTCGGATAGCTAGTCCTAATTTAGTTAGCGCATCGATCATCGACCCACGGGCCCCACCCCAACGTCAACTGTATTTAAACGTCCTCTTAATCCGTACAGATATTGAAGCTCCCATGTATCCACTCTATCGCTGAGTCTGAAGCCCGATTGCGGAATGTTTAGGTGCAGAGAAATGTCTGAGGAACTGTATTGGTAGAGATGGAGCCAAAATTGTGCCCTTCCTCTGGGAATGATTGCTGTTGAATTTGTCCGCATCTTCTTTTAACGTGTCTTCCCGAGAGATCTTCCTCGGAGGAGCGGTAAAGTGGTATGCATCGAAGCACAACGATGAGTGAGAAAATCGAGAATATCTAAAATGCTCTATAAATAATTTATCACGGTACAGCAAAACGGCAAAATGGTAGAAACGACTGCTTTCTATCTGTCCCAAGAAGGTTGTGCATGAAGACGATATGGATATGGAAACTACCTTTGGAAATGCACCCCTGTGCCAGCTGAGAGGGTGCCGTTGGTCTGCAACAAGGTGGTACTAGTGAGCAAGGCTACTGCAAAGTACGGCCGCAGTGTCGTGGCATCACTTTCCATCCTTCTTTTCCTGCTTCTTCTTCTCATGTTTCTTCTTCTCTTCGTGTTTCTTCTCCACTTCGTGTTTCTTCTCCTCTTCGTGTTTCTTCTCCTCTTCGGGTTTGTCCTTCACTTCGTGTCCCTTCTTCTCTTCTGCTTCCCTCTCTCGACTCTCCCTCTCTTCACGCTCTCTCACCAGTTCGTCCCTCTTGCTCTGGGCTGCTCTCCCTGTGGTTGAAAGTTGCTCGATTGTCCTTTGGTCGGTCAGAGCCTCGGTCATTTTTCGGATGCCTGCCCTGGTTGTATTATCCATGCTGACGGGTCTGTTTGGCCGATTGGATGTTCTCGGCACTGCTTAAATGTTTCAGTCGGGACTATGCACAAAGGTTAGGAAATGACCAAAATCTCCAGCGTAGGATATTTGGTATAAAAACCTCTTGATGAAGACTGGAAAGTATTTTGAGCTGTCCTGGACTTGGGACTAAAAATCATGGAGGCATTACCTTGCCTTTATATCCTCGTCCAATGTAGTCCATCCGAACATCCATCATTCTACCTAGTGACTTGACGCAAAACGAGGTGCCAAAGTGCACGTATTTCACTGCCAGCCTCGGGCATCCTAATGCCCACGTTTGGAATTATGTAGACTAGGTCATTGCCTACCGTCAGTGAATCCGTCCTTAGTATGACATATAGTACGCATATAAGGGGTGACATTTTTTAGGCTTTCTTGGCACAACACGCCAACTGCGATTATATTATAAGGGATGTCTAGGTCTGTAATTAGGCAAGTGAGTAGATTCTTTGTTCTTTGTAAGAACAGGTTACATCCCTATTGCAAACAAGTACCTATCTAGAGTTGTTACACGTGGAAAATGCGGGGCAGAAACTGCGAGGGTGATGACAGTTAAGAAGAAGCAGCAAACTTGCTCCTTGAAGGAATGTGTTTAAAACAATTCTAAACGTTAGGGGTCCAGCTCAAAGAAACAGAAATAGCTGCCTGTAAGGATGTATGGAAAAGCAACCCCGGTGTCTAATGTCTATTTGTCTATCTAGGCCCCCTAGAACCAGTCGTTGCTTAGCATCATTGTGAAGAGTCGACGTTTAAGTCATGGAAAATAAAAAGTCATGGAAAATAAAGTGCCATGTCTGAGATTTATTAACGTATACACTGACACATTACAACATTCAGCAACCTCTCATCCTCCAACTCGAACCCAGAAACTCCCACAACAGTGTGATGGCAAGTCTTTCTGATCCTTGTCAAATGTCATGGAGAATCATAGGGTCGTATATATCTACCTTGCGCTGTCGAGGATCAGGTCTCCCAAGCCCAGTTCGATGGTAGAGGATACACAAGCTTATACTTAGTAAAATGGCTCGCATACTCGGCGGCCCTCCATCGGCAGCGGGCAAAGAGAGAGTCTGCAGATACACGTCAAGTCTGATGTTGGCATTGACAGTGTAGGTGCACGTTGGTGGTCGTAAAGCCCCAGTTCTCTCCCTCGGTAGGTTGAAGAGGGCCTAGCCGTGTCTTGCACGAGACTGTTGTCTTAGAAACGATACTCTGGCAGACACGACAGACACCAAGGGAGGTTATAGGCCATGTCCACTAGCAGGACGATGTCGTGCAGTTGAAGGTCTTCGAGGAGATGTTGGACAGGTAGATGACGTTGAGAATAGACTAGTCCAGTAATGAATTCTTCGGTGTTGGATTCGGAATTGATGACAACTGGGCAGCAGTGGGAATGACGCTGAAACCTAGAATCAGTTGAGTGTACCGAGTATTACCGTTGACGGAGCATCCGCGAAAGCTCACAATACCACACCTGATTCCCTTGAACTGCAGTCTATGCAGAGGATCCTCATCTGCCAAAACAGCAATATTATTCATGCCCGCGACCCGCTCTTATGGCAGGCCTGGTAGCACTGGGTGGTTACTACAGGTACAAGTAACAAATGTTCCCACCTTGTTGGAGATTCCTCTCCTCCAAGATGGCTAAATAAAAATGTTTCCCCTCATGTCCGACCCTGAAGGGCTTCTCTCCCAACGCCGTGCCGTCCCAAGCCAAGGCATGCACATCGGTCATCCCCTAGTGATGCGCCTTCTCTTGGCCGTGTTTGCCACATTCTCCTGCTCCGTAGCCGTCTGCTCGTCCGCATCCTCCGCGGCGGAACCACCGATATCGTCCCTTCTCGCCGGAGTCTCGCTATGGCCACCGGTGACACTCGCTTGGCGGGTATTGGTCCCGGTGGCCGGCGCGGGCGGAGCGCCCCGCTGTCTCTCGGCGCTCTGGAGATCGTTGACGAGCTTCTGGACCTCGACGAACATGGCGCGAGTGTCGTTAACGACGCCGTTCTCGTCTACCTTATAGCCGAGAGCATCCGTCGCGCCGCCCTCTGCCCCGTCGGCATCGGCGTCCAGCATCTCGCGCATGAACCTCGGACCTGGACCACGGTCCGGATCCGGGTTGTACATGATGGCGTTTGAGAACATGTGGGCCAGCTCGCGATCGAGCTGCGCGCTGTTGATGATGCCTTTCGGCGGCACAAGCCCCTCGCCGATCGGGAGCCAGACACTGCTAGTGCCCGGGTCACCCCCTGGCAGGGCTGCAGCCGCCGCCGCCGCCGCCTTGTTCCCGTGGCTGATGGCCGCTCGGATGGATTTAAGATCCTGCGGCCGAAGGACAATGGTCCTGTAGCCCGGTGCATCGCGCTCCCGGATCTGATTCGCAAACATGTTTGCGGACCGGTGGCCAATGATCTGCTCCATCGCAGAATGGCTCACCTTATTGAACGCTCTCGACCACAGCACGTGACTTGGCGGAGGAGGAGGCTCCCGATTCTCTGCAAGAGGCGGCGATGACTCGCGCCGTTTCCGCTTCACCCGCCTTGACGTACGGCGGCGCCCTGGCACACTCTCATCGGCAGTTGTATCGCCCGCTTCTGTTGGAGGCCGGGGCGTAGTCTCTTCATTCTTAATGATAGCCGAGCCCGGATCGTTGGCAGACTGGGGCAATTCCTCTGCTGGTGAATTGGCTGGTTGTCCCACAGGCGGATGGGGTGTAGAGACAGGAGTAACTGGTACATCCTGGCCCCGTTGAACGCGCGGCGGTCGTCCTCTAGTTTTGGGGATGGAAATGTCACCCTCCTTCGCCGGCTTCTGGGCTACCTTCCGTGGTCGGGATTCCGGGAGCTGCATTGTCGGCACGGAGGGGGCTAATACAGGACTGAGAGGCTCGAATGTCGGAGCTGCTAGATCACCTGCCGAGGGGTGTGGAGTGGACGGAGTTGAAGACACCCTCCACTTGGTTCCACTTCCAAGGGCATGGAAATTGTTGAATATGGTGGTGTTGGGAGTTTGTGGCGGCTGCGGCAGTTGTGGGGGTTGCAGAATCGAGCCGACCCTGGAGGGTGGTGTTGGTGTTGCCGTCGCGAGTCTCTGTTCCTTCTGCTGTGGCTGGGCGATGTGATCCGGAATAGCGGGACGTGGGGGGAGGTTATATGGCGAATTATATCCTCTCTGGCCAGCTTGTGAAGGGGCCGGTGAAGGCGATGAAACCGGCGTGTGATGAGGCAACGGAGCGGGTAAGCTGGGGGGTTGCGGCCGCTGCTGCGACGGAGTAGGTCCGGGAGTTGGAGCAACAATTGGGGTTGTCGGAGAAGCGGCTGCCAACGGTCGCTTCGGAGAAGGATGTGGATAGCCAGGATAGTGAGGTTGGCTGGGATGCGGAGGTTGGGCTGGATGTCCTTGTGTCGGTACTGGCACCGACGACGGAGGCATGGTTGGGGGTGCGATGGCCCCCGACTCGGATGGCGCTTTCATAGGTGCAGGCTGCAGCGGAGGAGGGTGGTGTCCTGCAATTTGAGCCGGTGGCAGGCTGGTTTGAGACACAGGTTGCCCCTGGTGCGGGCCAGGTTGAGGTGCCGGTGGCCGTGGGGAGGGAATGGGCGGTGGGACCGGAGCGTTCCATTGAGGAAGCAGAGAGCCCTGGGTCTGTTTCTGGGTTGGATAAGGGCCGGGCGTAAGAGGCTGTCGGTGTTGTGCGGGTACGGATACGGGGTTCGGCTGATATGGCGGCTCCCATTTGAGTTGCCCAGGAAGTTGTGGTTGGCTAGACTGCAAAGCCGGCGACACTTTCGGGCGCGCAATGCCCTCTGGACGTTGAAGCCCTTCTGTGGGGGGCTGCGCTGGGAGAGGCACGTCCGGCGTGTAGGGGACAACCCCCTGAGGAGGCTGAAGGACTTGGGTGGTGCCATTGGCTGGCTTGACGGGCTCTTGAGACCGCCCGCCAAGGCCGGAACCGACGTGGGCTTGCCGGCCCAGAAGAGCACCTGCCGGCTGGGGAGGGGCCAACTGGGATGCTGGCGCACTAGGCACTTCCCCGGCTATCGTACTGGGTGCTTCACTGGGCTTCACTGGCACAGCCTGCTGAGGTCGCGGGGGTTCATTCCGAGGCTCCGGTTTCTGGACAGAGGGATGCGGCTGGGAACCGCCGTTGGGTAGTCCGAGATCTTGGACCCCTGAAAGCGCGGGTGTTTCGGGTACTTGGCGCACCGGCGTGCCATTTCCGTCTGCAGGATGAGGCGCATTCACTTTCTTGCTGTCCCGGGCACTCCTCTCGATATCGCGGATCTCGCCCTGAAGACTGTCGAACCGCTTCTCATCCTCCCGAATTTCCCGCACAACGTAGTCCCGGTATCTCGCATAGAGCTTGTTGACAAGGATAGGAACCTTCTCGATATGGTCGTTGGCCTCCTTGAGACTGGGCAATGGCGGGGATTGAAGCTTGCGCTTCTTCGAGTTGGGGGATAGGCCTGGGTCGGCCCTGTCGCTGTTGTCGGTTTCGCTCTTCAGCTCCTCCCGCAACAAGTGCAGGAAGAGTTCCTGGAGGGACTCGGGACTTAGTCGGCCAGCATCGTACGTAGCTCCTTCTTTGATTAACGAGTTATCCTTTAGGACGTTGGAGATGCGCTGAAAAGCACCGGCTTCAATGCCGTGGCAGAGGAGGGACTGAAAAAGCAGTAGTGACTCGAGTGGCGTGTAGGCTGCGTTATTATTCATGCCCCAGTATTCGCCTCGCCAGAAACCGAGGGGACTGTCGCGTCTCTGGAGAAGGTGAAGGGGCGCCACGGTCTAGGGATGGATTGTCAGAGCAAGGGCACGACGCGGTTTCGCCGGCGCGACTTGGCGCGTAATTCACGTACCTAAAGCTTTAATAGGTAAAACCTAAAAGGATAGCAAGCAATGGAGATATATCCAGTCGCGTTTTCGATGGGCCTGTGCCTATTCAGGCTGATCGTCGATTTCGCCTCTGGTGGTGATGAATTTTTTCGTCGTCGCGATGGCCATAAATCACGTGTCAGAGACGGTTGCCAGGATATGGATTCTCGTTGGTTGCAAAAAAATCCGGGTGGGAAATCCGAGCAGGAGTCGGCGAACGGAGCTTAGCTCAGCCCAATAGCTCTAATTCCTCCCGTGGCCAATGGGCGCAATGGCCCACTCGAGCTGGGTAACTTCCATCTACACAAGTACCTCGGTACCTCTAAAAGATTGAAGATGCAAACAATGGACTTCACCAACAACCTGGAAAAGCCCAAGGTCATCAGGCCAGGTGGCAGGGTCCTCAGAGTAGGGATGCATTTGCCCCATACCTGTCCCGCGAACAGCTGAACATACTGCATAGTAGACATCCTCACCGCTCTACCGCTTTTGAGCTCGTTGACCAAACTTGGTTGCGAAACCGTATGGTTCTCAATCCCCATACTGGAAAAGCACAATTGCTGAAGGCATCCATGTTTGCAGCATCATTACATCTCGTACTTAGTATTTCGACACTGGTAGCTAGATGTGTCTTCAAGCTGCAAACAGAAATGGAGGAAATGCCGAGTTGGAAAAGGGGCGACCTGGCCAAAACTTAAATTACTTATCAATAAAACCGGGTCGTCCTAGCTCTATCGCCCCCTGTTCATTCACTCACCACTATCCGTACCACAGTAAGTAGTGTACCTGACCTGGCCAGCTGTTCAGCACGTCAATACGCCAAGTGATAAATGGACTTTACAAATGGGCCACGAGGGTCCACGAGGGCAGGCAAGACCAGATTCTTTATACCTGATGATGTTTGGAGATGCAGAAGCGAGGTCACTTGTTAGGCGAACCCGTGACATTTCATCGGCGGCCCCAGTGGGAACTAAATTCTGCCCCAGTTATCTTGGTCGCGGCTCGGCCCTCTGAAGAGCTCTAGTACTGACCAAGGCTTATCACCTAGCAGGACGGGAAGCGGTAGGTACCAGGTAAACGTTTGCATCTATGGATCCCCGGCTGGATTGGCAGTTACTGTGCTAGGTTTGTGCCTGAAATGGTATTTGGAAAGACCGATTAATAAAAAGGGGAAGAGCACAGAGCCTCTTTCCGGTCGAGTTGACGGAAGCGTTTGATATGAAGGACAGCTGGAGCCGGGAAGTTCATGCATCCGCTGAGGGAAGGGACACCCCTCCATAAGTTACTTCATATCGCACATCGACGTATCATGACCAAATCTTATGCTCGAGCCAGCCCGTCAAACAGTTTTAAACACCCGTCATCAGCGAGCGCAGTGACCGGATGAAGAAAGATAAAAGCAATAGACTAGCGCAAAGCTTGAGATTTGGATCATCAGCGACTGGCATCGCATAATTGCTAGTTTTCGAGTCCCCAGTGACCCCACATAACCCCCTCCGAAGCCCAGGAGGAGGAGGCCAATGTTAAAGCGCCCCCGAACCCCAGCAAGACCGCCAACCTTGCACCACTGAATTATCCACCATATCCACCATTCCACACAACCACACCGATCCCAGACTCCTCTGTCTCAGACATCTGTTGCCTCGATCCGTCGAGAGACCGCGACCTGTCCCTCGCAGCCAGCAATTTAACAGCGCCTCTCTTCCTCCCAAAGACCTCGGATCAGCTGTCAGCCTGACCCCTCGCCGCACGAGACACAAGCCAACCACACGTCGACATCACACCGACCCCCTTTTCCAGCGGGTTGACGGACACCGAAAGGCTCAGGAGGCCATCCAACCAACGCCAGCAGACTGGGATCGGGATTCCTTGTCTAAAAAGCCAGCCCTGCTCTCCACCTGTCTTATTAGACACTGATCTTCTTGTTCCTCCGGCACAACTCGAGCCCTCGACGTTCCATCTCCCTGCTAAACTCAAACAAACCCATTACATTGCGAACGGTTCTCCACAGCCACAAGACAACACCATGACTGACGAAGAGCTCGACCGTGACTGGAAGCCAAATGGCCGCCGACCCCAATCGTGCGTTTCTTCGCCCTCTCTTTCACCTTCTCCCTCCATGGCCCCTCCCAGATGCGTTCCCAGATGCATATACCCAACAAAGGAAACATGGAGACTGACCCAAGCAACAACCGCCACAGAACTATCGCCAGGTCCTTCTCCCAGGAACTAGGGGATATCTTCCGCATCGACAACAGCGTCGCCGATCTAGATGAGCAGATCGACAAGCGGTCAGCATCCCCCCACCCCAGAGAAGCTGCTTACAGGACGAGACCCTCGGGCTGACTTGGACTGTTTGTCGAGGCAGGAAACAACTGATCACTACACAAGCCACTGAGCTGGAGGCTCTCGAGGCCCGAATCCGCGAGATGGAGCAGCGACTGCGGTCCTCCAAGCCCGATGCCGGTAATAACCTCGACCAGCGACTGGCTTCGGCCGTGTCCTCAGGCAGCAGCCCTCGCAGCCAACGGCCCCCCGTGGGCAACGCCTTCGACCAGCCACAAGCGTCGGAGACGGGGGCTGAGGCGCCTCCGCCGCTTCCCCAGAAAGACCACGCTCGGCGAGGCGCACACGACCAGCGGCAGCAGCAGCAGCAGCAGCATAGCAGGAGCCGAGCCGGCACGGCAAGGCAGGCTCACCAGGCAATGCCGGGCGCACTGCCGCCGACGCCGGTAGCTAGTGAAGGTGAATACGAGCTCGTCATCCGCAGCCGCAGCACACTCCCCAACACCATATCATCTTCCTCTATCACCGGGCCTACGTGCATCTCCAACCTCCAATCATCCTCCCCCTCCTCCCCTGCCCCTTCCCTGGACGAGCCTGGCCGTCATCCCAAGGGATATACGCCCGAGACCGCTAACTTTGCCGACGTTGCTGACTTTGTTATTGTTGCTGCGCAAGATGGCGACGACGAGCAGGACGCCTAAGACTAGATCATGGGTGGACAATGATGCGTTCCCCGCTCCTTCCCTCCTTTCAGCCCGCCAAAGTTCCCCGTTTGTCCTTTGCTGGCATGGCACACGATATCGGACAAGAGGATGGGTTTGTCAACGGACAAGGGGAAACCGGCAATTGAGCTACTTCGTTTGCCTTCCGAACAGGGCCACCGTCAATGGGAATCAGGGACACGCAGGGGGCCTATAGATCGCCGGGACAAATGCCCTCGCAACGTTGTTCATCATACCCTATCCCATATGCCTACCATTTCAAACCGGCGGCTGCCATCAGTATCGTCACTTCGTCGCTCGCTTCAGCACCGCCACCGCGTCTGGCGTCCCAGGATACCTGCATCCTTTCTCGAACAAGACGATCACATATTATTGTTCCCCCCCCGGAGCTAGTCCTTCTCTCCCACCGGCTTTTGTTTTTCAGTTCGCGACTTGGTTCAGGTTCCCTTCCATTTGAAATAGGTACTGCTTTATAGGGCTACCGGTAATGCAGGGCAATTTTCTCTGGTTGTTTTTATTCCCCAATCTCGGGTTCCTATGGTGGTAGTGTTGATGACAGTGGCAATGGAGGTTTTGGGGGGGGGGGGGGGGGGATGGAATGGTTCACATCATCGGGAGGGAGGGGGGATTGAGTAAGCTGGTTTGAGCCACATGTTGAGTGTACATACCGACCAATCGTTGGAGGCAGCTTCCATCTTAATGCATGTTGTTAGATACCTATTCTTGAGGTTCCGCATCCCGTCACGACAGTCTTGTCTCGTCTCGCAGGCAGGCATGGGGTCCCGCCGCGTTCTGAGGAGTTTGCACTGGCGACTTAAGAAGCAATTATCAGGGCAAACAACACCTCAGTGTACCGCCCACGCCCTTTTTTCTTCTATTCTCTGCATGTCGCCGGGCGAAACGCCTTGTTCTGACGGACGGAGCCGCAAAAGCTAAGCTTGTATTATGCCGTTGCAATCAGCCGGAAACGGGCGCGACTGGACAATTTCTCCAGTGCCGTATGCGGAACAAGGAAAGAAAAAGAAAAAAAGGGAAGGAAAAAGAACGACCAAGGAAAATGAGAGCCCCTTAAAACCGCGAATCGGGCGAGCGATCAAACCCACACATGCTTAGCTAGTCATCGCATGTTATCTTGGTCTCAGCCCCGAGCCGCAGTGCCAGAGACACATTCCACTCGCCCAAAAAAAACCCCCACAACGACCGACCCATTGCAAAAGATCGATCAGGCCTCCAAGATCTTGTCCGCAAACCCAACCCGGGCGCCGTCCTTGTCGAAGATGGCGAAGACGGCCTTGAGGAAGACGTCTCCCAGGATGGAGAAGGGCAGGTTGCCGTTCTCCTGGATGCCGCCGTAGCAGTCGGTCGAGCCCGGGTCGTACTCGCTCAGGGCGACGTAGTTGATGTACTTCCCCGGGACGACGGCGTGCCAGTCGCCGACCTCGAAGCCGACGTTGAAGTCGGGCAGGTCGGCGCCGCAAGGGAACACCCAGGCCTGGTAGGTTGCGTTGAAGTTTGCGCCGGGGACCTCGGCGTAGTACAGCTGGGTCAGGTCGGCGGGGAGCAGGATCAGCGTGGTGCCCGTGTCGGCCACGGCGCGCCACGACGACAGCAGCCACACGCGCGAGGACCCGACGTTGAAGCGCGTGAAGGGGAATTCCCAGAAGCGCGCGTCGTCGGCCAGCGCCACCCAGGTGATCTCGCCGACGTGCTTGCTGTGGTCGATGGCCCCGAACTGGTATAACCCGCTGTCGTGCCAGCGCAGGTCGACCGTGTACACGGACTGGTCCAGTAGCGGCTCCAGGGATTCGAGGAACGTCGGCTGGGCGGGCATGACCTGGCTCGGCAGGTTATATGCGAGTCCCAGAAGACCCGATATGACATCGTCGCTGGCCAAGGAGCGAGACACGGTCACCGCCGTCTCGACGATGGCGTCGGGGACAATGATGCCACCGATGTTGACGTGGTCCTGCCAGACATTGCCGGTGGCGTAGCTGCCATCGCCTGTGAGGGAGTCAGCCAGGGATTGTCTTCGAGAGACATGTGATGATACATGCCAAGTGGCATGCCATCCATATCCGGGAAGAGGGACTTGCCATAAATGATGGACCAACTCGAGTCATTCAACTTGGCGGCCGTCGTTGACAGCTCGGGTTTCCAGATCTGTCGGCTACCAGAACCAGTTGCAGCCGATTTCGTTTCAGTGGAGAAGACCCAGCTGCAAGAGCGGTTAGAACCCATTCGTGCCACCTATCCTCCTTGGGTACGGGGGGTTTTCCGGGCCCCGATGATACTTACAGATCCGAGGAGCCGCTGTCAAGGTCGAGCAGGACTTCCTGGGGCGGGTTTCCAATGTTCACGGGGCTGAGATACTCTATATCGTACGACTGGTTCTGTGCGATAACCGTGCCAACTATGTGAGGTACCTGTTAACATATTGGCTTTCGCGAATCGAACGATAAACATGGGGGCATAGGTCTGGCATTGCGGCCGAACTCCGGGAAACGAGGGGGAAGGGGGAAGCCTACTGGAACCTTTGCTCGACACAATATCGGCGAGGTTGGTTGGGATATCGACACCCCACTTGGCTAGAGCACGCATGTACTGGACAGGTCCATTGGGCTTGTAATTCGGGTTGCGCGCGGCGCCGATGGAGAATCCGCGAGACGCGGTGGCGGGATTGAAGGGGGCGGGGTGGCCGTGAACGAGCGACAGTACAAGGGCGAGGCACAACCGCATGGCCGGCATCGCGAATGTAGGGAGGGGGGCTATGATGTAGTTTGTAGGTGGGTTGGTCCCTGGTGATAGAAGCAGACCTAGGAAAGTAGGTATAGTATGGAGGAGTGCAATATGGGTGCCTAAGTAGGGAGAGGTAGGAGATTATTATCTCCAGGAACGAGTGACTCTGTAGGTAGGTATGGTATGTCGTAGGAAGAAGACAAAGATTGGAAGATGGTCCGCCGGATAGATGGCCTGCCCGTGTTTGCACTCCCTCCGGATACCTCGAAATCTGAGGTTGTGAGATCGCTTGTTATTGCGTGGAAGGAACCCGGGGCAGCGTCGCGAGAGAGAAGTAGTACCCAGGTAGGACTGCCAAGCTGCCGTCAGCTAAAGCAGCAAGTGGCAGGTGGATGACCTGATTCAAATGAATGTGTGCCTGACCAGCCCGCCAGTGATTCACTTGGAAGGAACGAACAAAGAGTGGTGGATCAGACCAAGATGCATCTACCCGGGCAGTCTACGAGGTGGAGAGGCAGTCCCAACAGGGGCTGCAGGATTCTGAGAGCTGATCGCCTTCTAGCTTTGCTCCAACAATAAACCAACTGTTTACATAGTTTCTTCTGTCCGCCTAGGTAGGTAGGTAGGTAGGTAGGTAGCTTGCTCACATCGATCCAACCTGCATTAGCCTAGTCTATCTCCTGGTGAGCAGAACCTGCAACACAACGGGCCCTTTGCTCCGTTTGTCCCCAGGTTACACCCTGGTGTCCTGAATATGCAAGCCGGTCACCCTACAGGGCCAACATGACGGAAACAAAAAGCGAGGACTCACCTTGAAACGGCCGAGCAGCCAGCCGGGAACGCAAAAGGGGGGTTGTAAACCGACGGGTTGCCGCATCTGCGACTCTGCAGCAGTACACAAGCTTGACCAATGCGCTCCGTCGCCGTCGATAGCACGGAGCCGTGGGCGAATTACAAGGAACGGGAACGGGAAAGCGATTCGGTTGCAAAGGAACGAATTTCTAGATTCGGCCTGCAGCCGCCGTGGCAGGCCAGGCGAGTTCGCCCCTTGTGTTGTGAACCAACCCTCCACCCCCCAGTCGAGTCGACATACTCCTACCTACACCCGTGGCACGTTCCGGCTCTTGTAACTGGTCTTCGAATCTGTATGTCTGTAGGGCCCACCCGCTACCCGGGTTCTTGGCTGTGGCACCCGACTCAGATTACCGGCAGAGCAATGTCACGGTGGGAAATAGGCCGCGTGCCGGACAGGAGGGAAAAGGGGGAGCCGGGGAACGACATAATCACGCGAAGCCCAACAGTGTTTGTCACTCTGGCGGAGCTGGTATTTGCCCCCCCAACGTACAAATTCATCTTGGCTCGGTCGGCTACGCGAGTGCGAGGGAGGAGACCAACGGATGTGTTGATAGTAAGTCGTCTATATGGGGAATTCCACAGTACTTCTGGCCTCTGTTTGGACCTTCATACTCACACACACACACACACACCCTATAACTCCGTACCGATGATGCGCCACCCACATAAACTGATTACAGCTCCTCATGTTTGCGCTCCGTGTCCTCCATCTCCTCCTCCTTGGCCTCGTTACCCTCCTTGCCCTGCTCGGCCTGAGCCTCCTGATATTCCGGCGACTCGGTGAACTTCTTGATCATCTCGGCGATCTCTTCCTCAGTCGGCATATTGCCCTCGTTGTCGGGCTTGAGTTCGATTGTGGATGCCGGCTTCTTGGCCTTGGCAGTCTTGGTCGAGGACTTGCCCTTCGTCTTGCTGCCTTTCTTCTGCTTCTTCTTCTCAAAGTTCCGTACTCCCTTCATGGCGAGATCCACGCCAACCTTGTCGAGTTTGTCTCGCTTCTCGGTAAGGTCCTTGACAAGAAGTACCGCGTCGTCTGTCGGGCCGAGTTTCTCTTGCTCGGCGAGCTTCTTCTCCAGCCAGGCTGTAATGGAATCGTAAGCCTCCTCGGTCTCCTTGAGATCTTCGAGGGAATACACAGGTGGCACCGGGCCGCGCTCCTTGAGAAGGTCCTCCATCTCCAAGATCTCGGTAGTCGTCGAGGTTGTTGCCTCGTCATCCTCAAGTCCAGCGAAGTCATCAGCAGTCGGAGCCTCGGTGACCGTGCTAGTATCGGTGCTGGTCGAGGTAGATGAAGCAGATGAAGCAATCTGAGAAGACTTAAATGCCTCGTACTCTGCGACGTCCTTCTTGATCGAGGCGATGAAATCTTTCGTCTGCTGGAGCGCTTCCTTCAGCCCGGTGATGAGCTCAGGTCGCTTGGAGCCTTCCTCGATTCTCTTCTCGATACGAGTAATGACGTCCTGCATACCCTTGGAGCGGCTTCTGAGCTCCTCTCTTGTCGCATGCACACCATCTCCAGAGAGCCAGTCACTCGCCTCGCCACTCTTCTTCTCAAGATCCTGTCTCTCCTTGGCAGTAGAAGCGCCAACGAAGTCCTCGCGTTCCAACAGGTCTCTGACTCTGTAGGTTAAACCCTCGAGCTGGTTCAACGCCTCTTCACGTTGCCGGATCGAACGGTCTGACGCATCAAACGCCTTGAGTCGGTCCTTGAGGGCCAAGAGATCTGATTTGGGCAATGACGGCCCCGCTTTTTCTAGCGTGTAGTCGACAGGAATGGTCATCATTTGCTTCTTCTTCGGCTTTGGTTCGCTGTCCGCCGAGGCGGAAGCAGAATCAGATGACGTTGCCGTGGTGGACGACGAGGTGGAATCTGTAGCCGAAGGTTCGGATTCGGATGAGGCGGTCGTAGACGATGAGGCTTCTGTATCCTCGACAGGTTCCTCATCCCCCTTGAGAGGTTGTTGGTCCTTCTTGCCAAAGCCGAACAGGTTCTTCACCCCATCAACAAAGCCTCCCTCCTCCGGTACCTCAACTTCGCATTCGACAGTAACTTTTGTGACTTCCACTTCTCCATTCTCGCTTGCCAGACGGACACCGACCTTGAACTGGATGTCGGACTTCTCGCAGGAATACTTCTCGACGAGCTGCTCTACCGTGGCAGTCAAGTTCTTGGTCGCGAAGACTTTAGTCTCTGCCTCCACGGTGTCCTCGCCGTTAGACGCAGGAACAAGCTGGTAGAAGCTGGCAGAGAAGTCCTCGAGGTTAGGCAACGCGACATCCTTAGAAGCAGCTCCAAGAGCCGAGGTGGCAGTCCAGAGTTTTTGATTCCGGGGCTTTTGCTTGTCGTCCGTCCACTTCATGCCCGCTGGGTAGGCAGCCGGTTCAGAGATACGGATCTCCTTGACACGGAAACTTGGGCTGAGTTCGGCCGCTCGGAAGGCAGCTCCAAATACGGCAGCCTCATCCGAGTTGACGCTCTTGCGGATCTTATCGGGGCCACCGATAATCTTCTCGAGCTCCGCCTGGAGGAATGGGGTACGGGAAGCGCCTCCGTGAAGGATCACAGAGTCGAGGTCGGCAACTTGAATGCCGGCAACATCGAGAGCGCCCTGGATGACCGCCGCCACCCTCTGAGCATGGCTCTCGGCGAATGTCTCAAACTCGGCCCGGCTGATCTTGTACTTGAAATCGACATCGTCGTAAAGACTCTCGATGCTGGTTTGCGTGTTCGTGTTGGCGCTGAGAATGTGGCGCAACCGCTCAGCCTCCTTGGCGAGCTTAGCGATAGCGCGGCCGTGTGCCTTGACGCCCTCCAGAGTGACCGATGCTTTCTGGGCTTTGGGCGAGTCGACGAATTGAGAGATCATATCATCCACAATGAGCGAGTTGAGGGCAATACCACCAAGGCTCCGGTCGGAGCCACCGCCCAAGACCTGGACTTCCTGGACGGTTTTGTTGAACTTGCCAACGTCCTTGACAGTCCGACTCTGGAACTTCAGCACGCTGGCCTTGGTCGACCCGGCGCCCATGTCAAAGACCATATGATACTCCGGCTTCCCACCCTCATTGATATTGGGAAATTGGCGGCTGGTTGCGTAGTGCAGTCCAACCGCCAAGCTATCGCTGATCAGGGACAAGACGCGGAGTCCGGCGAGCTCGGCGGCCAATTCGACTGCGCGCTTCTCCTCGGTGGTGTAGAATGGCGGGACGGTGAGAACTACCGAGCGGACGGAGCTTCCCGAGCCAGCAAGAGCTTCCGCGTTCGTCCGTATGCTCCGCAGCTCCATGGCAAGCAGCTCCTCCACCAGGAATGCCTCCTCTTCTGCAGTGAACGCACCGGCGCTCTTGAATGCGGAGGTTCCTTTCGCCTTGTGAGCGACCAGTTTCAGTGCGGGGTGCTGCGCGGCGTAGTCCTTCACGGCGGCGTGGTCTACAGGTAGGCCGAGGAGGGTCTTGAGGTTCGGGTAGACATCGCCGGGGAATCGGTGGGCGAGGGCCACTGCGTCGGAGCCGTAGAACCTCTCGGGGTAAGACCCTGCCTTGGGGCCATTCGAGGAAGGCTTGAACGCGACGGCGGACGCCTCTTTCCGTCTCGCGTCCTTGGTCAGGACGATTTCTAGTGGAATGCCTGGCTTGACGAGCGCTGCTTTGATGTAGCCGGCGCCCAGGTCGACTCCTAGCACTGCTGAAACGGCTAGAACATTGGCGGAGAAGAAGAATACCGCGCAGAGTAAGGCTGCTAACGGTGATCTAGTTCGCCTCGCCATCTTTGATATAGGTGTGGGCTTGGGGGGGGGGGGGTATCTCGTAACCTCAAGTAAGAGACACAGTCGCAGCGACCGGAGGAGGGGATTGTTGCTGCTGACCAGCAGGAAAGATCATGCAATGATCAAGAGAAGAAAGGGGGTTTAATGTTAGGGAAGTACTGAAGACATTGAGGGAATCTGGCCTCAATTCGATGTGACCACGATAGATAGCAAACGGGAGCTGTGGTTGCCAATAAGGACAACTTGTCGTATCACAAAAGCAGAGCTGCCACCTGCCACCTGCCACCTGCCACCTTTCACCTTTTACAGGGTCTGAGCGACTTGAACCAATCATATCTGCTGAAGTGGCCTTTTATTCATCCGATCCGAACGACCATGGGGCGGCGGGGGGCTGGGCCGGGGGGGTGGAGTCAGCCCTGGCGGCCGGAGCCCGTATTTCGCTTTTGCTCCTGTCGTTCGGACGCTGGGATCGACATGATGATGTGCCAAGCGCAGGGGTGACGTGCGGAATCGCAGGCACACACGTAGACACCAACTTGTTGATAACCTTGTTAGGCAGATTCCAACCATGGGACGCCCCGGCTGCTCGTTTTTCGCATCTGCTCTGCAACTCAGTGTTGTGGTCCTTGCTTGATCCCGACTGGCCGCGAGGCCCCCTTCGGGGTCACGCAATGAGCCGTCATGTTGTTTAGAGAATAAGCCCGACGAGGTAGATCTTCTAGCTCTCCGCTGAAACTCAGAGGGATATATATATGTCCTTGATGACCCCATCACAAGTGTGTGGGGAATGTCCCGACAGTCGTCACTCTCCTCATTGTCCAGCTTCAACTGCCCAAGATGCAGCAGAGCCTATGTCGCCTAGTCTCTCTCCTGGGGGCCATCTCGGTCCTTGCATTCAGGCCCAGCACCAGAGATGGAGTAGTCCTCCATCAGAAACGGTGGACTGTTGGCCAAACTGTGAAGACTAGCAGCGGCCCTGTCCAAGGCCATGCCGCCTTGAACTTCACTGAAGTCTCAGAGTATCTGGGAATCCCGTATGCTCAACCCCCCGTGGGAAAGCTTCGATTCCAGCCCCCAGTCGAATACAATGGAAATACCACCATCGTCGCAGGCGCATTTGTCCGTACCCCCGCCATTTCCCCCGTTGCTACAAGCCACTGACAAAAAGAACCAGGGCCCTTCGTGCTTGGGGTCGAACATTACTAGCGGTGATACAGATCCTGACGCCTTTGCCAACATCACTATTACAGAGGTGGCTATGCAGCTTCTCGAGGAAATGACTTACCCCAATCAGAGCGAGGACTGTCTGAGCTTGAATATCTGGACCAAGCCTCAGTCTGGCGAGGCCAAGAAAGCCGTCTTGGTCTGGATCCACGGGGGCGCATACACCTCTGGTAGGACACTTCCCAGGCAGGAAGTTGGCCAGCAAACCGAACTAATTTTCGGCTATAGGGGGTTCAAACTCGGTTTGGTACAACGGGCAGGCCTTCGTTGAGAAGGAAGATGTCATTGTTGTGTCGTTGAAGTAAGATGATAGAATCTTCGTCCAGCCGCCGCATTCTGGTTCCCGGACCTGCTGACTTGTGTGTGGCCATCCAGTTATCGACTATCGATTTTTGGCTTCCCTGGGAATCCCACCACCAGGGCGAATCTCGGACTCCTAGACCAGCGACTAGCGGTTGAATGGGTGCGAGACAACATTGCCGCGTTCGGTGGTGATACCGACCGAATCGCGCTTTTCGGCCAGTCAGCCGGCGGAGGGTCGTCCGACTTCTATTCCTATGCTTGGACCGATGACCCAATCGTCCACGGCTTCATCCTCATGAGTGGCACAGTCGGGTTGGGCACGCTGTCCAATGAAACAGCCAACTCGTTGTGGTTTAACTCAACCACGGCCGTTGGTTGTGGCGGAGCATCCGACGATCACGACAAAGTCCACGAATGCATGATGACCAAGTCAGGGGCCGAGATCTCTGCCAAACTCCCCGCCAACACGGACAAGGACCTTCCACTGCTCTTCAGTCCGACCGTTGACGAGCAGGTAGTCTTCTCCAACTACTCGGGCCGCAAGCCCATCGCAGCACCGGTCCTCGTAGGCAACACCGACTTCGAAGCCGGCCTCTACCGGCTGCTGGCCCCGCAGCTACCCGAATCCGCGCTGCCGGATCTGAACTCGGTGACATTCGTCTGCCCTGCCGCACAGCGTGCTGCCGATTCGGTGCTGCAGGGGAACCCGACCTGGAGGTATCGCTACTTCGGCGACTTCCCCAACCTGGAGCTGACAACCGACCCGCCCAGCGGGGCGTGGCATGGATCCGATGTGAGTTTCGCGACAACAGCCTGGCCACGTGCCCAGGCCGAGGGTTATAGCTAAGGTGCTTTTGATCCGCAGGTTCCCGTCCTCTTCAACGCAACCCCGACCGAAATCATGCCCGACACCCCGGAGGAGCAGGCCGTCGGGGCGTACCTGCGCGGCGCGTGGGCCGCCTTCGCAAAGGACCCCGTCAACGGCCTGTCCACGTACGGCGACGGCGGCTGGCCGCGCTACTCGACGAACGAGTCGACGCTCGTCCGCCTGGCGTACCACAACCGGGTCGGCCCGAACCTGGGTATCGGGAATGAGTACGACTTCAACTGTACCGGCATTCCCATGGTGATCAGTCCGGCCAATGGCTCGACGCCGACTACCTCCTCTGGGGCGCCCGTTCCTACGACTACCAGCAATTCTAGTGGTCGAGTTGGGCCTGCGATGGGCCTTGTTCTTGGTGTATTTGCCGTTTTGGGGATCTTCCTTTGAAAGATCGCTGTACTTATGTAGCTTTGTCGGAGGAACGGTGAAAGGGGTGTGGGTGGAATAGGGGCTGCGGACAGATTCTCAACCATAATACTCCACTGATGAATTCGATTTCGTTCCAGTATGAAGAAGGCCTACAGTAGGCAGTTCAGATACCTGATTTCTGACCGTCCACTACCGTCAACAATTAACCCCCTAACACTTACCCAACTACTTCCCCTTCCTCCCCTCCCCAGCTTCCTTCCCCAACTGCTCCAATGCATCCTCATAAACCTGCACCCTCTCATCGCTAAACCAACCTGCCTCCCCATCCCCAATAACCCTCACCCTCTCCACCTTCCCAGACCTCCTCACGACACTCTTCCCGACCTCATCCCCCTTCCCCCTCCCCTCCCCACAAACCTCCCTAAAGAACCACCCCGCCTCAGCCATAGTAACCAGCGTCCACGCGCACCCGCCCCGTCCCGCCCTAGCCGTCCGGCCCACGCGGTGCACGTACGCGCCTGCTCCCCCCGCGGGGACGTCGTAGTTGACAACGTGCGCCAGCCCGGGCAAGTCGACGCCGCGCGCGACGAGGTCCGAGGCGACGAGGATGCGCACGGCCCCGGACGCGAAGGCGCGGAGCGTGCGCCGCCGCTCCGACGTCCGCGTCGTCGAGGTCAGGGTGCCGAGGTGGGCGGTGAGTTGCGGGGAGAGGATCGCGAGGAGGCGGGAGAGGCGGAGGGCGGTTTCGTTGGATTTGGTGAAGATTAGGGCTGTGGTGGGGAAGGGGGCCGTTGGGGAGGCTGGGGAGGAGGTGGAGCTGGCGTCGGAGTCGGAGTCGGAGTCGGATTCCGAGTCGGAAGAGCCTGAGGCGGAGGAATGGTCTGCTTCCTTGTCTTCTGGCAACGGGTCTTGTGCCTCTGTCTCGGCATCAAGGGGAACCATGTGCTTGCTGTTGAGGAGATCCACCAGGTAGAGGGGCTTGAACTTGGGGTTCCGGACTTTGATGACATACTCCTTGAGCAGGTCCGGCAAGACGTGCTCGCCCTCGACAGCGAGAGCCTGGTCTTCGTCCGCTCCCCGGCCTTCTAGAACAATCAACTTGGGCCGTTGAAGCTTCAAGCTATTTAGGAGGCTGAGGTCGCGAGTCATCGTAGCACTGAGGATGACCTTGCGAATGCCCGACTTGTTGGATCCGGGGAAGTCCCGTGCCCCCTTCTTGTCGCTGGACAGCTTCTCCATCATAACATCAAGCCACTGCTGGAAGCTCTGGGCGAGCAGCTTATCTGCCTCGTCAACAATGAGCCACCGTACGTAGTCGAGGCTGAAACCGGGAGTCTGGTTGATATGCTCAACCAGTCTTCCCGGAGTGCAAATCAGAATGTCGACCTTCGAGACATGCCGGATGACATGGCCTGGAAGCGGCTTTGAAGCATCCAGCACTGGAAGCATGTCGTCCGAACCGTCCAAGTCGAGGTCCTTATTGTCTGACGTCCACTTCTCATACCCACTGGGATCGTATACCTGCTCCTCCTTCATAAGAGCAGACTGCTCCTGCCGTAATGCCTGGCTGCCCATCGAAATGCCAATCTTGACACGCTTCCGACCTGCGCCGGCAAAAGCACCGGCAGACACTTCGCAGGCTTCTTGCGCCTGGCGGACCAGCTCCCGTGTCGGTACCACGATCAGGCCCCGAAGTTTGGTGACCATCCCCTGGCTGATGTCGCGGACCATTGGCAGCACGTAAGCCAGCGTCTTTCCGGAGCCGGTCGCTGCCGAAATGACAAGGTCTCCCTGCCGATCTGGAGATGGTAGCAGCAGGGGAATTGCAGCGGTCTGCACCGCAAAGGCTTCTTTGTACCCCTTCGACTCCAGGACTTTGGAGGCTTCGGGGCTGATACCAAGGTCGGTGAACGAGGCTCTTGTACCCGCGGCGACTCGTATCGGGGCCGCAAGCCACGGCGGGAGGGTCTCATAGGAAGGAGGCTTCAGATCGTCAAGTTTTACCGGCTCTGGCTGAGGGAGCGGCTCGAGTCCGTGGACCTCGGGCTCCGTAATTCCATCTTTCAACCCGTCTACTGCGACTGGATCGGGGTCCGTGGAGTCGACATTGCTCTTAGCCACCGGTTCCCTTTTGAGAGATTTTTCTTTCCTATCGAGTATAGCCTTGTGCTTCTTTTGGGTTTTGTCAAGGGAATCATGGCCCTCGTTCTGGTCCTGCTCTTGCTCTGATGTCCGCTCTTTCGCCTTCTTCTTCTTTTTCTCCTTGGTCTTTTTCACCTCTTTCGAGTCGCCGTCAGCACCGAGTGTCTGATGTTTCGATCCGGAATCCGCCTCAGCTGTGGCTGAGATTTGTCCATCTAGGGGCTTGCTGTCCTCGTCGGCCTCAGCATCCGCATCTGGATCCTGCTTCTTTTGCTTCTTGGCTTTCTTATCCTTGGACTTTTTCTTCGGGGCTTCCTCGGCGTCCTCGCTGTCTCTCAAATTCTTGGATTTCTTGCTCTTCTTCGAGTCACCAAGCTCATTTGACTCTGTAGTAGCTGTTTTCGACTTTTTAGATTTCTTCTCCTTCTTCTCGGGGGCTGAATTCTCTTCCTCCGCTTCTCGCTTTCGTTTGTTTTGCTTCGGATCGGGCAAGTCTTCGTCCGTGAACACAATCTTCCGCGGCCGGACGACTGCAGAGCCCGAAGCCTCCCCTTTCGGAGGGGGTATATATCGTGCATATGGCGTTGCTGAGTTTCGCAAGACGGCGCCGGGTGTGACGCTCTCCGGCGCATCATCAAAGGTGGCCGCCTGAGGCGGGTCCCTCTTCTTTGCAGGGGGGATGTAGCGAGCATACATCTTGTTGGAAATTGAGCGTATGCGACGACAACCGCCGCGAGCTGAGACTTGCTTGACCAGAAAGCTTCACTTCGTGGTGGGGCTTGCTACAGGGAAATTTTTGGGGAGGTGTCCAAATTGCCGCCACCCACCGCCTTCCTTATCGTTATCAGCAGATCCCCAGCTCTAAACAAGCGACGTGGAAAGGGGATCCGTGGTTCATCTCATCGCGTGTGTTTTGTCACGAGAGTTTAGCCCAGAGCGACGACATAAATGATGAATTCAGAGCACGAGACAGATCAGTTACAATGCGGCGAACATACAACATCGCTATGGTTAGCGACTTCTTCTTTCCCCAGCCGGGGGGGATTGAAAGTCACATATACCAGCTCTCAAGCAAGCTCATCGACAGGGGCCACAAGGTCATCATCATAACCCACGCCTATGAAGGCCGGACAGGCGTCAGGTATCTCACAAACGGGATCAAAGTCTACCACGTCCCCTTCTTGGTCATATACCGGGCCGCAACCTTCCCCACGGTCTTCTCATTCTTCCCCATCTTTCGCAACATTGTCCTAAGGGAGCAGATCGACATCGTCCACGGCCATGCTAGTCTGAGTAGCCTGTGCCATGAGGCCATCCTCCATGCCAGGACCATGGGCCTGCGCACCGTCTTCACCGACCACTCGCTGTTCGGCTTTGCCAACGCAGCGAGCATCCTGACAAACAAGCTCCTGAAGTTCACCCTGAGCGACGTCGACCATGTCATTTGCGTGAGCCATACCTGGTGAGTCTGCGATGCGACGCCCTTCCACTTCTGTCCCGAAAAGTCTGAACTGACACTTTTTGGCAGCAAGGAGAATACAGTCCTCCGGGCCTCGCTGGATCCACTCATGGTGTCCGCGATCCCCAACGCCGTGGTGGCTGAGAACTTCCGGCCGCTCCACCACCCGGGCTACAGCAACCAGGCGGACGGGTTCGGGAGCATCCCGCCCCCGGCGCGGCAGCTCGGCCCGCACGACACCATCACGATCGTGGTGATCTCGCGGCTCTTCTACAACAAGGGCACGGACCTGCTGACGGCAGCCATCCCGCGGATCCTGGAGAACCACCCCAACACGCGGTTCATCATCGCGGGCTCCGGCCCCAAGTCGATCGACCTGGAGCAGATGATCGAGCAGAACGTGCTCCAGGACCGGGTGGAGATGCTCGGCCCGATCCGGCACGAGGAGGTGCGCGACGTCATGGTGCGCGGCCACATCTACCTGCACCCGTCGCTGACGGAGGCGTTCGGCACCGTCATCGTCGAGGCGGCCAGCTGCGGCCTGTACGTGGTGTGCACGCAGGTGGGCGGCATCCCCGAGGTGCTTCCCTCGCACATGACGGCCTTCGCCAAGCCCGAGGAGGACGACCTTGTGGCGGCGACGGGGCGCGCCATCGCCGCGCTGCGGGCCAACAAGGTGCGCACCGAGCTCTTCCACGAGCAGGTGCGCAGCATGTACTCGTGGACCAACGTCGCCCTGCGCACCGAGCGCGTCTACCACGGCATCACCGGCGACATCAGCGAGGGCGAGTTCTACGGCTACGAGGCTGCCGGCGGCCCCAGCAGCAGCTGGAGCGCCACGCGCGGCCGCTCGGGCGTCCAGAGCTTCGCCCTCATCGACCGCCTCAAGAGGTACTACGGCTGCGGCATCTGGGCGGGCAAGCTGTTCTGCATGTGCGTCATCGTCGACTACCTCCTGTTCCTCTTCCTCGAGCTGTGGTTCCCCCGCGACAAGATCGACATCTGCCCCGACTGGCCGAGGAAGAAGGTCGACGAGGCCGCCGAGTCTGTCAAGGATGGGATCAGGTGAGGTGGCAAGGCCTTGGTTGATAGGGGGCATTGCTCCCCCCCGGGGGCCCCGGGCAGGGCTTCCATCTCACAACACAGTCGGCTTGTTTGCAATGCCGGCAGGAGCTGGTCTGGAATGAGTTGCCACACAAGCGATACCAGGGCGAACGTCTTGATGGGCTTACATGGAAAGTCCAAGATACAGAGTGCAGACGTTGCCAGAGGCTGGACCCTTTGGGGGTTTCTGATGAGAGGGACCTAGGTGCGATAGCCCGGAGGGTACCTCCTCGTGGGGAGGTCGGCATGCTGAGGACGAATGATCCGGCCCATGGGATGAGTCCAGGGTCAGTCGTCGGGCCAGGATGGGCAAATTCACGGGATCAGACCCAATCCTCTGGTCGGAGAGCTGTGACGGGAGACTTCCAAGATGTCGTTTAGGTTGAAATATTATATGGCATGGCCACCCCTACATGGTAGTGACACGAGGAGAGATATATGGACCGTTGTGGGAAGATTCATGTCACAGTACGTTATGTGTGTACGGATAAGCTAAGATATAATTCTCAAGAAAGGAGTGGCCGTCTTAATTAGGGGCCCCGAACGCCATTCACAACGCGTCACCTCCATTCGATCTCCGTATGTGGAAGACAGGATGAGGGGGGGGGCAATAAAACAGAGTGAGGTAGATTGGTCATTTGAGGCTTGTCGCCTCACAAGTGGCTTCTATATAGATTATCCGGTTCCCTCGTGCTGTCGATGGAACCTATGTGGCTGCCATGATCCTTCCTAACGTCAAGTGGATCTCACCTACCATGTAATAAAGCATCATCCGTAGAAAGGTGATATAATAGATCTCCTTTCCTACACAAATTCGGCAGTAACCGAGTCATATCTCTGGTTGTTATAGATAAGCGTGTATCGAGTTGAGGCGGAAAGGTCTGCGACTATGTTTAGTTATGCCCACTCTACACAATGCTCGCAGCTGCCGACTTACACACTGCCTCGATCTGGCAACGTAGATCGTAGTACAACTGTGCCAACCTGTTAGTCTCACTTCAACACCGCGCATTCAGAGTTGGAAGGACTGACTTGGCCGTCGACTCCTATCGTTCTGGCTAGCATGTGCTCGGGAATGTGGCTGATATCAGCCTCAACATGGCAGATCAGAGACACGTTGGTGTCCCTATGCTCGAGGGCGGGGTGGTCCGCACAGTCGGCGTAGCTGTCCAACTCGACCTTCATATATCGCCCTGCACTCACGAGTGAGGTGTAGGAAAGATGTTGCAAAAATGGCTCGTTCTCGGAGACGTCGTCACCCTGTCAAGGTCAGCCTCCTCCCGTCTTCTCCTACCTATTTTGCATTTGCTCCGCGGCCGGGGAACTTACCTTATTGATAAACCACTCTATGACAGACACTTCCCAGCACCCTCGCTGTCCACACCAGACCCTCTTGCCCGGAGGACCGCGCGTATGGGCACCGTGCTAGAGGAGATCTGGTCCTGGACTAGCCTGATGCACCTCCTGGACGACGGGCTCAAAGATGGTTAGAAGATCTCCTGATTTGAGCTGGTACCGGCCCCTACTGATGCCGAGGGTTTTGTTGTCCGCCGCGGCGCTCATCGTGAACTGCCGCTTGACCGTCTTGTCGAACCGCTCCATGGCCTCGGCCATGACCTCATTGTCGAATCGGGGCTCCTTGCCTAGTTTCGCTTTGAGAAACGTTGCAAATCTCAGGTTGAGAAATGTAGACCCGCACAGCCCGCCGGTTCCGGGCGTGGCTTCCTTGACTTCCAAAACGGGCTTCAACTTTGTGATGGTGTAAGAGACGAGATCGACAGTACCCCCACCTGCATCACAGACGGTGAAACTATAATTAAATGAAAAGGCACCATGTCAGCTTTTCTGAGAGGCGATTTTCTCCCCTGAAAGAACAACGAGCACGCACCTATCGCCAACTTTGAGGCCGTGGGGATCGAGGCCATGGAGGGCATACATCGCGGCTGCTTCTGGCTCGGAAATTAGATGGATGGGAGCTGTGGTAGCGGAAAGGCCGGGCGCCCGTTGGCATGCTTGCTTGGTCCTGTCCTTGGCGAGATCGCTCCAAATGGCCGGGACGGTCACGATGAATTCCAAGGGAGTGCTCTTCACCACACCGTCGCCGAGTTTTTCTCGAAGTGTGTACATGAGATGGTCGCCAAGGGCCGATATGTAATCCGTGACCAGCTTGTCGACATCACGACCATGGCGAGTGGCAGTCAGCGAGACGGTATTTCCCATGGTCTGGAGCGAATACTCTAGGTCGCTACAGTAGTGATTCAACAGTGAGTGAAGGGGATCTTTCTGTAATAGGCCATCCCTGCCGGGTCGAACCTACAGCTTGAACCACTCGATGATCTCGGAGGCTGGCGCATTCGCTGGGATGGAGGAGCCCCATTCAACATTGGCTCCATTGTAACGGATCTTGGTCGGGACCTTGTCGGATGACTCGCCCTCTCGCATTGTATTTGAGATGGGCCATGAGGTGATGGCCATTCGGCGGTCCGGGCGGTGTGTTTCGGCCCAGGCGACACCGGAGTAGTTAGTCCAGAAGTCGATGCCGACGATGATCTTGCGCTCGCTGATGGCGAGCCGTTCGAAATCCATTGCTGCTGTTGCTGTTGCTGTCAAAGGTTCCGTGGGCTCGGCATCATGTCAAAGTGGGTGACGGATGTGTTAAATATGCACTGGGTGGTAGGCAGCAGGGAAGATACTTACTGGCTCTTACTGGCTCTTACTTGCTCATACAGACATTTAGGGTTTGACTTCTGAATGGCGATGCCCGACTCGCCTGATCGCGGAGGTCGTCCTGGGAGTCCGGAGTCAAGGCAGGTCTCGATCAAGGGGTATTAAGGGATGCGGGCGTTGAACTTTGTACCGAATTCCATTCCATTCCACACACACTTTTCTGGGACTCCCTACAGTCCAGTAGTAGAGTCATGGGCGGCGAACCAAATGGAAGGCAAGGCTAGTAGACGGAAGGACCAGAGGATCTGAGTCAAGCATCCGCCTCTCCGTATTCCATTTCTGCAAGGCACATTGTCTGCCTTAGGTAGGGACATTTAGGTAGGTAGGTATCCCCCCCTAAACTTAAATACGAAGTACCTAACCTAAGGTACCTCTAGGTAATATTATTGCTTCACTTGTAGTCCCCCACACTGTTGCCTGCCAGCCGAAACTCACTTCCCCTCTTTGGGCCGCCACCTGGGCAGTGTCGGTCAGTGATACTTCCATGTATGTGTTCACACTCACATCCAGAATACATTAGGCTCAAGTGTACTCAATAGGGTTACCCAGCTACCTCTATGCCGCCACCAAGTCTGCACAATCCCAGATAGGCGCCCATCAGGCGTCCATCCAGCTCAGCACCATCTCTCATCTCTCATCTTTCATCTTCGCCCTTTAACGCCACACAAAGTTCCCAGATCGTCACCACCACATCTTTCTAGTCTTAAAGATGGAGAGCTTTGAGGGTGAAGTTGCCCCTGACTGTTGGAACATGACTCCGCCAAGTGCACCCGATGAAGATTCTTTGGAAACTGAGGTTGGCCCCGGCTGGTCCGAAAAAGGCGATTGGAGTGTGTCAACTCGGACGAGTTCGAACAGAGACAGGGGTCAGCTGCAAGTTACGATCCTGGCTCTGCGAAAAGTGCCTCTGCACTGTGAGTACCGCCTGGTCGACGCTCTCAAATCCTTGCTTGCACCGCTCTTTGATGCTCTTCTGACCGGCTCAAAGCCCATCGACTTTAACGGAGATAGGGACAACGTCGTAGTGCTATCAGGGAATCCTTTAAGCCATGACCGTGAGCTAAAGTGGCGGGGCGAGAACGGGGCGGGGCGTCGACAGTTGGACCTTGAGAAAAAGTCCCTCATAGAACGCGTCGGGGCAGAGCAAGCCGATCGAGTGTGGAAGAAGCTGCCGAGACAGCGGAATGCCGGGAGGCCGAGCCTCAATAGTAGCACCGTCTCGTCCGCTGGAGGCAATAGAGGCAACGATGTCCGGGATGAGGAGATTGCGAACCTCAAGAAGCAGAACAAGAAGTTGGCAAGCGATCTGGAGAATGCTCGGACTCACATCTTCAGCCTCCAGTCTTGCCGAAAGAAGTTCACCCCAGAGGACGCCGGCCGTGTAGGTAACCAGGAGAGCAATGGAGGCCAGAAATGTTGCTGACTCGGCTTCATGATGATCATCTAGGACTACGACATTCCGGTGGGCAGTGTTAGCGACTGGGTGCAGAAGCACGTCGCGCCAGTCGCGGACGACGATGACAAGCGCAAAAACTTCGATGGCATTGCAAGGAGGAAGCCTAGTGACATCTCCCTTCTCAGAGGGTATTTGCTCAGACACGGCGACCTAGTCCATGGCATTATGTTCCCAGACACAGATGTTGATGTTGTCATCGCCATAGTTATGAGATTCCTGCAGGATAATATCTTTGAGAGGGGCTGCATCAACGAGCCCGCCGGGCAAGTTATCAGCGCCATTGAAGTCGCGATGCAGAACTGTGTCGAGCCCAAGCGAGGTGAGTGGTCAATTCTAGGTGCTAATTTCAGAAGCTCTGACGCATTTCCCTTGATCCTAGACCAGTTTGCAATCCGAACTTGGCGGGCTGAGGCTTTCACCGCGGTCCTGAGCACCCCGGACTACGCAACCATGAGAAAGCAACGGCTGGAGGAGTTGACGACAGTTCTTTGTAACGGAATGAAGCTCTTCTGCCAAGTCGTTGGCCGGAATCTCGACACCGTTTACTCGAGCTGTATGGAGGTTGTCGTCAAGCCAGCCCTGGAATTGAACGAGAAATTCCTCACATCGACTCATCATTTCTACCTGAACCTGCGCACTTACATCAACCGGGACCACAATGGCAACCTGAAAATGAGCAACGATTTTGCCAAGGACCTCGACAAGATCAAGTGCGAGAACGTGCTGAAAAACAGGAGAATCATTCACGTGGAGAAGCTGGATGAGCAATTGGTAAAGGACTGCATCGAAGGAAGTTTCATCAACATCCTAACCGTTGCGCCGGGACTACACATGCGCCAGGTTGGGAGGAGGGACACCATCGAGCCACCTGCAGTCATTCGGAAACAGCACGTGCTCGTCGCGTACGATGGACAGAAGGGGAGGGATCATTACTTGTCCGGCTGGCAACAACACTCCCTCATGGGCTGGGTGTATTCCCGGCCTAGGACGTTCGCCCAGTTTGTGAGGGGTGGTCGACCCATCATCCTTAGGGAGCCGGAAGCCATTCCCACACCTGTGCGGAAGGCTTCCATGCCTGCGCAAAATATCTGGGAGTTGAGTGGTCCGGCAAGTTGCATCCCGGAGCAGAAATCCTGGACATCAGGTAATTCAGCCAGGACCAACAATGAGCCGAACTACTGGGATAATTGTGGCCAGTGTCAGGAAGCGTGGGCACTGGGAGGTTCAGATCACTATCCCCCCAACCCTCTCCATCCCTTCAGCAGGCAGAGCTTTCCAACTTTTGATGATGGGGCCCGCGATGACGAGCCGATGACGATGTGGGAGTATTGATGGGCTGCATGATCCTTTGGCATGGGTTTGGTCTGAGAATGCTGGTGATATGGGCTTCCTTCAGGAAATAGATATATTCAAAATCCCAATCTCGAGTTTGAGCATTGCTGTAATCCACCCATGTGTGTGAGATACTACCGTGCCCATGTGCCACACCTATGATGATATCGACACAAACAGGCTGGAGAGAAGGGAATTTCTCTGCAGGCATGCGCCATTTTCTCTGCAGGCCGGTGCCAAGTTGGCAACAGCTGCATCGCTGCTACTGTTGTTGTTTCTAGAAACGGCAATAGCGATGGACAGCAACAGCAAGAGTGACAGGAGTGGCAGCGAGAGCAATAGACAGAAATGGCAATAGTAACAGACAGCAACAGCAAGAGCAATAGACAGCAACAGCAACAGCAACTTCCGTGATTCACTAACCGCCTGCCCGCGGAGCAAATAGCGCATGCCCCTGGAGGAGAGAAAGGGGGTGAAAGGGGGTGGCCCGTGCATGCTGAAGCATATGTGCCATGTTCCATGTAATCAATCCATGCCCAGTTTTCAGTCAGTTTTCCCCAAGTCCCAGCGCGAAGAGGAAGTTGCCATCATGGCTGAGCCCGCAGGTGGCACATATAACCGGGAACACCGGGCGACCGAGGATAAACCTACTTTGATGAGGTGGATACCACGGGCAGCATTTTGACTTTATGGCCCCTCACGATACCGTATCATGGAAGGCAAGGCACTGCAGCGGCACGCTGGTTGCCCCAAGTTCGTATTTTGGGTTTTGACCGGAATCCCGAGCACCACCTTGACTTCGCCTTTTATAATGCACTCCATCCCGGTCAGGATCATCTCGACGTCCCATAATGAGATCTCCTCGATATCCTACACCCAAGACCATCATTGCGAACCAGCCCAACTCCGAGGCAAGACTGTATATCCCCCCAGATATGGCCCGGTATTCAACACTTCCCATGTACTACTTGACTGTAAGCCCCTCTATTTTTGACGGATTTGAAGAAGAGGAAGAGGAAGAGGGCAATCTGAGCACTGCCGCAAACAAAGGCACCCCGGAACCACCGACAAACCCGGGGGCCGAGGTAGGCGGTCCATCAAGACGGGACTTCTTCTGCCCCAGGCCAGAATACTTTCCAAGATATTCCTCAGCATGGTGGCAGGAACCGGATCCATTGGCGATGGGGGCGATTGCTGCCGCGGGGAGGTATGTCGCAGCTCCCGCCTCTCCCGCCTCTCCCGTCTCTCCCGCCTCTGGGCAGGATGAGGCAACGACCCGAGGAATACCTCAAAGGTGGAGAAGGCGACTCGTCAAGAGGCCTTCACTCCCTGCCTTGAAGACCCAACCAGCCAGGCTGGTTTCAGACCTCAATGAGTCCAACCCGTATTCCGACCTCATTGAGTCCAGTCAGAATGACATGACCATTCGATTCCTTCGGAACGGAGACAACTACCCGTTCTCGGGGGGGCTGGCAGCATATGCGGATGATTATGATTTTGGGTAAGTGGCCCATCATTAATCTCGCTCTGGCAAGATGATGCTCTACATACTCCATCATTAGCTTCCAACGCTCTCTGCGGCCTTGGCTGACTACAAAACAAGGTTCGGGCAGCGATACCAGGTCGACGGTCAAGGGGCAAGAGTCGTGGTCACAAATAAGCGAGTGCTGCCTGAGATCCTACGTGGTGAGAGAGATTGTGTCGTATGCACCGAAACAAAGGACGTAGTCGAGTTCCCCAGCACAACCGTGACCAAGACCTGCAAACACCCGCCAAATACCTGCTTGGAGTGTGTCAAAATGTCGATCAGGACGGACCTGAACAACAACTGGTGGAACAATATCCGGTGCCCGGAATGTCGAGAGCCCCTACAATACGACGACGTCCAAAGATACGCAGATCCAACGACACGAGAACGGTAAGCCGGCGCACACCCACATACCAGTAGATAGACAAACGAGCGCTAATCAGACACGAACAACCCTAGGTACCTGAACCTCTCCTTCCACTACACCTTCCTCGAAGCGGACAACGTCGTGCCGTGTCCGGCCAACAGCGACGGCCACGGACAGGTCTTCCACGACGGCAATCCGCTCCACGGGGCCGCGCCAAACCCGCGCAGTCGCCACTCCGAGCGGCAAGACTCGGCTCCGGCTCGCCACCCAGCCCAGAAGGAAGGAGGAGGAGCAGCCGACCGCGTGGCAGCGTCCTCGTCCCCGTCCTCGCCCCTACCGGATAGGGGGACGGCGGCGGCCTCCTCGTCCTCGCGGGCCGACCGGTGGTGGCGGTGCACGTGGGCGGCCAGGCCGGAGGCGCAGGCGCAGGCGAGGGTGGAGCGTGACTCGCGGCAGGCGCGGAGGGAGGCCGAGATGATCGTGCGGGGCGCGGCGCTGGAGAGAGCCGAGAGCGAGGCGCGGCGCAGGGCCGAGGACGAGCTGAGCTTACGTTTGGTTGCCTCGACGTCGAAGCCGTGCCCGGGCTGTGGCTGGGCTATTGAGAAGAATTCGGGATGGTAGGTTGGGCCCCCACTTGTTTCTGTATTGGAGGTTTATGCTGACTTGGCGGTGGTGGGATGTAGTTCCCATATGACCTGTAAGCGTACCTTTTTTTGTCCCGTCCAACCTAACAACAACTGTTCACACCCCCAATGGCGTACTGAGGCAGCCCAAGTGGGCCCGACCCTCTTCATGAGCCGGACGCAGGCAATTCGAAGGCAGCATCTCAAGGCATCCGAGGACAAACACATTAAAACCCCGCGATGCAGGTATCCATTGCCGGCGCGAGTTCTGCTGGCTCTGCTTGGGCGGCTGGGAGAGCCGCCCTTACTGTCGCTGTGTGTGACAGGCGAGGGTAGAAGTTGACCCGCTCCCATTCGAAGGGGCAGGGAAATGCGCGAGGAACGCCTGACGATGATGCCCTACCTAACCGTCCATGGATATTTTGCTGAGAATCGTGTGCTCGTTCTCATAGGTATCTTGTGCAGCCACGAGTTTTGCTACGAATGCCTCGTCGACTACGAGCAGATCATCAACTGCGACAACAGTCTCCACTAGGATACCTGTCCTTGGCACCCCGATAACATGGAGGGCTTGGGATATGAATATTAGAGGAGACAGACTAGCACGGACACGTCTACCATGAGATCCCACAACACACATATAAAACGGAGCTTGTCGATAGGAGGTGGAAGCGTAATAGGCATGGCATTTGGTTGGAAAACGGGCATCGATGGGCGGGTGGAGAGTCACAGCACTTGCGAATCATTGTCACGAATACACAGAGGTTGTATGAGCACGTTGTTGGTTTATATTAAGCATTATCGAGTCTAGATAAGCATTCTCTCCCTCCCCATGACTGAACAAGTCGGCAGCTTCGGCAGCTAGGCTCTCCTTCGAATACCTCGGGATACCGAGATGTCAAGGAGGGACACCGTATATGTTTGTCTATCTGCGTCGGCCACCTATAATGTCCTTAGTATAAATCCATGCAAAGCAAGAAATCACAAAAGTGTGTGTGGTATGTAGCATCAGATAGCGGTTGAACGGTTGTTCCACATGGTAGTTCAGAACAGGTCTGTGAAATGAAGGTTCTCATCATAGCAACACAGGAAAAAGAAAGAAAAAAGTGAACATACCTGAGTGGCGTGATAAGGATGACGAGGACCGGAGGGTCATCCTCATATAACACTATACTCGAGTGGACCATGCACACAGCCCCGAACAAGTGGTGTCGGCATTGCATCAAACCCGCTCCTTGCCAGTCGGCTTGAAGAACGAGTCCATCGTCTTTTGATTGCTGTCAAACTTGGCACTGCCAATGCCTCCCCGGGTCTTCTTCAGACCTTGGAGGTGCTCCACGTTGTTGACTGCCGTAACAGTCAAATGGATCCTTGGTTCCGGGCGAGACACCGCGGTGACCGCCACAGCAGAATTCCCCGAACCCACCACAGCACCCATGCTAGCCACTCCAGTCGGCGGGCGCACAGCGGCGTCGGAGCGGACCACCGCCTCAAGGCACCCGGTGTTACTCCACGAGGCTAGGTGGCCCATGTTTCCGAGCCCGGGGTGAATCAGCCGCGCTAGCTCGGACGGGGCAAACCTCGAGAGGAGAGATCTCAGCAGGACGTTCAAGATGATGCCGTGGGCGACGACGACCACGGATCCAGATGCAGATGCGCTGAGCGAAGTCGACTCCACGTCTATAAACAGCGGGACCAGATGGAGCTCGATGAAGCGGTCCACTCGGACCTGCATCTCCGCACGCGTCTCGGCATCCGCGTGGGCATTACTGGCTGACCCCGACACTGATCGGGGGCCGTACTTCACCCCTTCCAAGGACCCGAAGTTGCGCTCCCGCAGGTCCGGTAGCCTGACCACAGCCAATGGGGCACGATGCTCCTCCGCCGACGCGGTCAATTGGGCATCGACGACGGCCTGCGCGGTGTCGGCGGCGCGCTGCAGGTCCGACGCGAATATGTGCAGGATCGGACCAGTCGCGGCGGAGCGTGCGGCGAGGTGGGCGCCGAGCCGGCGGGCTTGGAGGACGCCGTGGGCGGTGAGCGGCGAGTCGCGCGAGCCTGCACTGTTCCCCGGGGGAGGAAACGCGGTTAGGGCGCAGGCTCCCAGGCAGGCAGGCAGGCAGGCAGGCCGGCCTCGGCTGGAGGGGACTCACTAGAGGCCCGCGACGTTGTCGACGGACTCGCCGTGACGGATGAGGAAGAGGTGCATTGGGAGGGAAATTCAGGGGATTGGCTGTTGCAGGGGGAGACTGCAGGCTGCAGGTCATGTGGGCAACAGCATTCTGGCAGAAGAGGCGGCTAATGACGCATGTCCGCGTTCTGCTTCAGAGCTGTGGTGTTGAGGGAAAATATTGGAGGATGAAAATATATATGGTTGGGAAGAAGTTTTAAATAGGCTTTGTGGGCAGCCAATGTGGCCTGTGCGTAGGGACAACCGGATAATTGCTTATCGGGAAGTTTATTTAATCGGTAGTTTCACATCTCGGCTATACAGATAATTATACGACAATTCTTCCTCGCCGCAATCGGGCAACCACCGTCGATCCACTGCCTTTTAACGGGTATTATGACTTGGGTTTATCACTACATCTGTCCATATTCTTCATCCTGCTGTGCCTTAAATGTCGGACAGCTTATGTCTGATAAGAATTTATTGCAGAATTTCGCAGGAAGCTTTACAGGCCTCGCAGCCAAGTACTTCAGGGCTGAGTCTGTTCGAGAATCTAAAGTAGCTTGCTTAGGGGGCACGTATATACAGGACCATAATGTCAGAGAGCAATGTATATTTGTACTCTAAGATTGGTTGGTCTTCATTGTGCTCTGCACGCTACAGCCCAGATTCGAGCCGTGTCGTGCTGATTGGTTACCGTCAGAGGCCCCGTTCACGGTTGGGGGCCGCCTTTCTCGAAGCTTGCTTTCAGTAGCTTGAGTAATTGACAATCTAAATCTTGGCTCAATCTCACAGTCGTAAACTAGAGTCTGGGATGTAATTCTGTAGAATCGACAGTTCAAGATGCCTCTCTCGACTGCGACGCAGCGACGTTCAACAACCCTGAGTTTATCGCAAGAGGTATCGTGGGGTGCTTAGGGGTTGAGATTCAAACCAAGGATTTCTTTCGTTGTTTCGACTGTCAACAGAGACTGCTTTAATTAACACCAAATCCCATGAAACGGGGTACCGTAGAAATTCCTGGCCCCAATTATATGGGAAGAAACAATAACCACATAACCAGATGGTGGTTTAGCTGGTTAGGAAGAAGCTAGAAAACCCGTGAATTGGATGCGAAAGGTAGGTATGAAGATCTAGAATACAGGGACAAGATGCTCAACTACATGTATATCCTTAAAAGCCTGCAGGGCTTGGTCTTTAACCCCTTCTCACTATTATGCCTCGTCTCTGCCTTCACTTGAGCCGACAATAGAATTAGTACACCTTCTAATCCATCCCAGTAGCCATTTTGGTCTCGCCAGAGAATTAACGACCTTCTCCCACTCTTTACCTGTACAGCACCCACAACCAACATTCCCCTCCTAGCCCTCTCTTTCCGACTTCCTCCCCTTCCTCCCCACCGTGACAAGGGTGATCAGAGCAAGGAGCCCGGCCCCAACGATCCCGGCGAGGACAGAATAGACGACTGTCCCCGCCCGGCTATGTGCAGGCGTGTCCGATGCCAGATGCAACCCCAGGCCGCCATTGTCGATCCCCAGCAGAATCAGCAGGCGCCCATACCAGATGTGGACGTGAGTCCAGGCCGTGCGCTTCTGCGTAGACAGATACCGTCGGTGGTGCATGTACCCGAGGAAGGGCTGCAGGAGGAGGGCGGCGTCGACAACGGTGCCAAGGATCGTGTGGGTGTTGTTACGCAACTGTCCAGAGTGGTGCGGGTCAGCAGCAAAGGACGACGATGCCGTGGTCTTGGATCGGGGTTGGACCCGGATCGATTCCTTCGCTGCACCTGGAGGCGGCACGGTCAACGGTGCCATGCCGCCGTATTCCACTCCGGGACTTGTGGATATCGCCGGGGAGGGGTGGGGGGTGGGGGGGGGGGGGGGGGAAGACTCGATATTGAAACTGGAGGAGGGAACCAGCTTGGGCTTCTTGGAGTATAACTTGACCTCGCTTACTGAATTGCCAAGCCAGTATCACTGGGGCGGAGATTCAAATTTTGATGGGGTGTCTAACGATCCTTTTTAACATCTTGCAAGTACTGAGACGTACCAATTTGGGCCATCGGCAGATCCGTTTGAGGCTTCATTGTAAGATAATATGCTTGTTTTAGAGGAAACTGACAACCATATATATGAGAGTAAAGAAATTTCAACATGATGGTCTTTCAATGCTCGAAATGATGCTAATGTAAATGAGTGGGCGCGCTTAGACAACTCTGGGGTATGCGACTTTTCCACGGCTATGATTCAATTTAAAAGCTCTCACTTCACTCCCATTCTTACGCTCTTAACGCAGGTCATCCGAGGAACAAGGGAAAATGGATGCTAAGAAACACACTACTCCTTGGGCTTCTGACCATAAATAATAGTTCTAGATCGGTCAGGGTATGGTAAGTGGTAGTCCTGGTTTACAGGGAAACAAGTGGGGACCTACAGATCAACATACGAATGGAGATTCGGATTCTTCAGCTCATTCCGCATCTCCACAAGAAAAAGCTGTGCATCGTCGTACTTCCACTATTAGAACAATCTCATTAGCCCACCATCCCAACATCGCGACTGATTAGCAACAGAGCATGGGGAGAAGAAACTCACCCCCAACAGCTCCGTCATGCCACGAATCGAGAACCCCTCGAGGGCCTGCAGCAAGAACTGCCGGTTCCACGTGCCCCAGTGCTTCAGCCGCTTGTCCTTTGGCCAGGGGCCTATCGGGACCTTGACCCTGCGCTCGGTGACGTCGGCGAGGCCGGCCTCCCTCATGGAGTCGGCCGCCCTGTCGCCCCAGAAGAAGCACTTGCCTGTCGCCGCGCCGATCTTCTCGAAGATGTCGACCCACGTCTTGAGCGGCGAGTCGGCCCGCAGGGTGTTGTCGTCGGAGCTCGCGATGCCCCAGAGCTCGACGTGCTCGACAAAGCCGCCGGGCTTGACGTGTCTAGGTGGGAAGGTTAGGGTGTTAATCATAGGGAAGAGACTCCGGGGGAGACTGGGGAAACTGACTTCATGGCTTTCGCGTAGAATTCGGTCCAGTCTGGGATGCAACCCGTCATGGCGCGGATGTGGACAAAGTCAAACTTGTTCTCTGGGAACGTCCAGTCCTTGTTGATGTCGTCCACCTCGAACCGGCAGTTAGGTGGAACAAAGTTTGGCTGGATGGGTGAGAGGTCGACACCGAGAACGTCGGCCGACGGGTGTGCGTCTGCAAAATCACTAGAGAAAACTGTTGGAGACCGGCCTACAAGGTCAGGATCCTCTAAGGGAGACTCACATGGCCCAGATGCCTGTGCCGCAACCCACGTCCAGGACAGACTAAATATTCGGTAAGCGCTCACTGACTCAACCACAAGAGTGAGTACAAGGAACATACTTGCGGATTGTCCCCAATGGGCGCGGCGTAAAGTTTGTCATCCATTATGATCCGGTACATCTCGTGCCTAATGTTGTGTCAGGCGGTAACTCGAGGATTCTGATAATGCGGCCCAGACAACTCACATGAGGTCTTCAGCTTCCTGCTGGCGATCATCATTCGGGCCCCTTTGGGGTGTGTGAGTATTAGTAGAATATCGAGGAGAACCGTTTTGACTTGGAGGAGACGCTCACCAGTAGGCGCCATCCTCATACGCATGATATCGCCGCCCATTCTCCCACTTGTAGTTGAGGATAGAAGACCTAAGCGATTCGCCATCGGTGACTTGCGTTCTGCGGTCACTTCAGTAAGAATCATGCGACTTCTATAGGTACCGGTCCATCTTACGACGCGGAATAAGCCGAATCGGCGTCGTTGTCCTATGCGACAGGTGTCGCGATGGTGAGTACGGTTGAGCTGTGAATGAGGAGGTTGAGGATGGGTAGGCATACAACTTCGATCACGCCATCTTGCGGCTGGGCTGCTGCTGGCGACTCGGGCGTCTTTGGGGAAGCTGCCTTTGGGGAAGCTGCCTTTGGGGAAGCCGTTTTTGGGGAGGACATAATTAGCGTTAGTTCGCGGGATTTGGGAAGACGGGTAAGTCTGCCCGACACAAGTGGCGAGAAAAAATGGCGAAGGGGAGGGGGGAAGGAGGGGAGAAAGAACCTTGGTCAATTTAATCTTGGCAAGTCCAGTGGTCGGTCCACAGTCCCTGCCGTTAAGACCGTCGCATATCACAAAATCAGGTCAAAAGCGCATAGAAACGAGCCTGCAGAAGTGACGCAGAAGTGAGTTGTTCGTCGACAAACAAATGTGACAAGTCGTAAACGGCAGACTTGGCTTGCCTATTGACCTGATTATAGGCTAGAAGCACAGAAGCATGGCGCTAGAAACAAGTATGGGCGCTTAGCTTGAGAAAGGCGTTGCGTTAGACTGCGCTAGGTTCTATTAGGAGATGGTGACGAAGACTGCCCGCATACCCCTGCGTAGGTCGAGGGCGATCCAGGGCGGTACAGACTCGACCAAGACAGTGTTGAGGACTGCGGCTCACGCACGACAACGTCTTTGCAGGCGTAGGCCTGTTCTGAAAGATTAGATCGTGATCTCTCGGACCTGCTTCTCACGCGAAATTTGCAGACCCAGAGTCGCAGACTTTTTATTGACAGTCTGCCTTAGAATAAATGTTAGCAAAATTAAAGGTCTCTCCAGTGTTCCTCAGATCCGGTAGACGAGCGATATCCGGCATGCCATATGAGTCTCCTTCAAGAAGGCTGACAAGACACCTCTCATACACGTGGTACGACTGCCTAAGCTGGCCAAATGGTTATGTACAGGGCTGTTGTATAGAGTGGCATATAATTACTAAATCTCAGGGGCCGCAAAGAATAGAACGGGCCAATCCTCCTTGACTGATGATATCCCAAACGCCTATCAACACAGGTGGTTTAACCTAGCATACCGACCATTTGAACTGGATTCTAAGGGTTGCGTGGAAAAGGGGTATTAGCACTTTGCTCCAGGGAATGGGCAGCAGTCCAATTATCTTGTGCCATCTTGATTCACTGGGAGAAACTACCAGTGGCATTCAACAGGCAATCAAACTTCCCCGAACCAAGTTCAGGCTGGTATCTCAATCTATCTACTCATTCATGAGGGCATTACAAACATGGGGGGATTACCAAAAATAACAGAAAAAACAAAACCAAACATAAATCGCCCCCCGACATTACAGTCTCGTAGGTATAGTGCCCCTCCAAGCCAGGCTCCGTCGAGGCGGACATTCTCCAGCTCGCTTCTCCGATGCCAAGACGGGCCCCAGGGGTTGCTTTCCGTAGGAACGTGACGACAGAACGCTTCAAAATGCTGCCGCTCAAGTGTTGTTTTCGCATCCCTTCACTCCTCGTTTCCTTTCTCTTCAACCCCCTCGTCCGCCATTACAGCAGCCGGGTCAACCTCCGCACTCTCGGAAGCAGCCCTCTCCACGGGTTCCTCCGGCGCCGACGCCGTAGCGATGCTGGCCTCGGACTCGGTCTCAGTCTCCGTCCCCACCTGCGTCTCAACCACGTTCACAACCTCAGTCTCAACCTCAACCACAGCCTCACTCCCAGTCACAACCACAGTCTCACCCTCAGCCTCGTAAACCGCCGACTCCAGCGCCTCAACCCCAGCCTCAGCCTCAGCCTTAGCAGTCGCCTCAGCCTCAACCACAGTCGACACCGTGACGCTGACCCGAACCGTCTCAGTGACAGTCTCCAGGACCTGCACAACAACCTTCTCCCCCTCCACCTCCACGGGAGTCTCGTGCACAACCTCCCCCGAGACGACGACCCCTGCCCCCTCGCCCTCGCGGCCCTGCTGACCCCGCATCCCCACATCCACATCCACATCCCTGTCCCGCACCTCCTCTCCAAACGCGGGCCGGTGGTGGTGGTGCTGGAGGTATGCTGCTGCCGGGACCGGCGCGACGGGGACGGGGCCGGGGCGGACGGCGAGCATGAGCACGAAGAGGCTGAGCAGCGCGATGGCCACGTTCCTGCGGTCGCGGAGGAGGACCCTCCCCGCCTCGAGGAGGAGCTCTGGCAGCGAGGCCGTCTGGTATGGTCTGCCGTTGTGGTTGTTGTAGTTCTGGTTCTGCTGGTGGTGGTTCTGGCTCTGCTGGTGGTGCTCATATTGGTGGTGGGGATGGTGGTGTTGGTGCTGGTGCTGTTCCTCATGGTGCCGCGCACTGCGCCGGTCAAAGGCTTCCTCGGAGGGGGATGTCGGGCTCGACGGCGCCACGTAGGACGAGTCCGGGTGATGATGGTCGTGGTCGAGGTGGGGTGTTGCGTGTTCGGCGCGCACCGGCGACTCCTCCTCGGCCTCCTCCTCACCCACATCCACGAACCGTGCGCGCGGCGGGGTCCGCCCGTAGATCTCGCGCAGGCGCTCCTCGTCGCGGTGGCGGCGCGCCTCGGACGTGTCGATCGGCTCGGGCAGGCGGGCCGCCGGTGGTGGTGGCGTCGCCACCACCATTGCTGGCGCCGGCGAGAGGGGGTCGCGGATCCGGACCGCCCGGACCGGCGACGCCGTGAGGGGCTCGGGGGGCGAGGCGCGCATGGCGGCGATGCTCATCGGTGTGGGGAGCGGGGGAGACGATACCGTCGTCGGGGACCGGCGGGCGTGGTAGAGCTCGGCCGATAGGCGGACGGGGAGGAGCTGCTCGTCGGCGAGGTGCTCCTGCCCCCCCTGCCCCTGCGCCAGCTCCCGCTGGAGGTGTTCTTCCTCCTCCTCCTGCTCCCGCTCGCGTTGCCGCTCCTCCTCCTCTTCCCGAACCGCAGACAGCCGCTCCAGCTCGCGGAGCAAGGCCGTCTCCACGATGGGCTCGAGCTCGACGTCGACGCGCTCCATCTCCTTCCAGCAGGCGGCCCAGGCGCCAGCCCTCATGAGGCCGTTGCTGGCGTAGACCTTGACGCGGAAGACCTTGCCGGGCCCGAGGTCCTCGAACCGGATCTCCCCGCGGCACGTGCCGCACCAGTGGCGCTGCTTGCGGGCGTCAGCCAGGCCGCGAAGGGCGCTGCCGGCCCGACTCCCCTGCTCGTCCTCGCTCTCATCCCTGTCGTCGTCGCCGTCGTCGTCGTCGGCCATCTCGTCCGCCGGGCCGACATAGTGCCCGCACTCGAGGATGCGCGCCCGGCGCCGCAGCGGCAGCTCCAGGGCCTCGAGCAGGCGCTCCTCGAGGACCTCGTAGTCGTTCTGCGGGTGCGGCAGCAGCACGCCGCGCTCCAGCACCGTGTCGCCGACGCGGTCCCGCAGCTGCCGCCACGAGTCGCGCAGCCGCCTCAGCTCGTCCGACGGCTGGAACCCCACGGCTCCCTTCCTGCCGAGGCCGGGCTTCCCGCCGTCGTCGCCGTCGTCGCCGGTCGCGTCGAGGACGTCGCCCCACGCCCAGCGGAGCGGCAACAGCGTGACGTGCAGCAGGACCAGCGGGGCGGCCTCCTTGGGCTTGAAGCGCGGCGGGGTGGGGCGGCCCTTGGGCGAGTACTGAGCGGCGGCGGCGGCGGCGTTGGGGCTTCCGAGGCGCGAGACGGTGCAGAGGCCCGGGTTGTGGTTGTGGTGGCGCCGGCTTGACCGCGGCGTGGCGCCCGAGTAGACCGACGGGGTCGGCGAGGACATCTGGATGGCGCGGACGGCGGACGGGGTGCGGAACGGTATCCGCGGCGTGTCCCGGCTCGTCGGGACAAACTCGTCCTGCTCCTTGTCGTATTGCGAGAGACCCGAGATGTCAGAGACGCGCGAGATCCGGGCGGCCTTGGTCTCTTCTGCGGGGGCCGGTTTGAGGACCGCGTCGTTGGAGCCGTCCATAGACCCTAGCGAACTTCGTGGGCTGCGGTCGCTGAACACGTCGTCGTCGTCGTCATCGTCGTCGGCTTCGGGGTGAGAGCTGCTGTCACCTGAGATGGAATGCGGGGCAACGTGGTGGTGGATTCGGGACCCTGAGGAGCGATGAGATTGTCGCCCGCTGGTATCCGATTGATCACAGGTCATCTCAGTGCCGTCGGCGGCATAGGTATCGTGTGTTGACAAGCTGAGAATAGAATCATCGGCGCCCTCTGAGTACCGCATTGAATATCGCTCCCTGGCGTTTGCCTCTATCTTTGCAACCACCTCGCGAGCTGCGGCCTGGATGAGGGCTTCGGTGCGTAGAGAGGTTCGGCGTTCCGAAGCGCCGGACTGCCTACGCGATGCATCTGCATCTTGTTCTGCTTCGTTGACGTCGTTGTCAATGATTTGGGTGGGCAGAGGCGTATCCTCATCTTCGCCATCCGAGTAATATCTAGGCCGTTCTTTCTGGGCCTCTTCAACGGGCGCTTGCTCTATGGCCTCTTCCTTGTACTCCTCATGAACGCTGTCCTCCGCAGGGTCATCCGCTGCCAGTACAGCCTCCTGTTCGTCCTCAGCCAATGCTTTCTCATCCTCCTCGGTGGCGGGATTATCAGATTCCCGCTCGTCTTCAGCTTGTGCCTCCTCCTGGTCCATATCGGGATCGTCCACTATGCTTCCTTCAAGAGTCGATGGCTCCTCAGGAGCCAACTCTTGCTCCACATTCTCCTCGTTGGGGATTTCGGGGCTCTCAGCGCTGATACTCTCCGTTGCAAGTGTTTCGTCATCCATAGGTACGCTCAGACAAGACGGGTCAACGTGGATTTCAAAGTCCGGATCAGGATCCTTTCGTGGCGGCATTTGGGGGGGGGAAGCGCTGGGATGGGCTGGCTGTTTGTTTATATGTCTGCGATGTTATTCTTGGTGGGTTGAATAGCTGGGGCAACGGAAATTCCAAATGGAAGGGGTTCGAGGCTGGCTGGTCAAGCCAAGTGATCGAGTTGTCGATGGTGGGATATATTGTTTTGGTCAACCGAGTGTCATGACTGGTCTGTCTCGTGGTTTGTTGGGAGTGGTCATTTGCTCGAAATGAAGGTCTGTTGACATGGCTCCGTTGCCGAGGCGAACAGTGTGGCTTGACCGGCTGGTCTGTGCATTTTGTTCAGAAAGAGGAAAGCCACGCAAGGGGCACTCATAGGTGTTGAAAATATCGATTTTCGCCTTCATCTTTTCGCCAATAGTCGATAGAAGCTGATGGTTATCTATATCCTCCTCCTTCTTTTTTTCTGGGATTTTCCCTCGTCATAGGTAGTCTGTGGAATGCCTGTCTTGCCAGAATTTTTGTAAGTTGACGTCACCGTTGTCTTTCATTTGATGCGCTATTCCTATGGGAGGCCAGGTTGATTAAGGCTGTGAAACAAGAAGCTTCCATCCATCAGGCTAATTCGGGCTTCCATTCCTACCTTTATTGGAAATCAGATTAAGTAGGGCTATCTTGGTTGCCAACTCCGTGTCGCTTACAGGCTACCAAATTCGAAAATGAATCGTAGACAATACCCCCCCAGAATGGGCCACGAAGCCAGAGAGATGGTGTTGTCCGGGTGCAATAATGTTATGTCATCCAGTCCGGCGATAATGCTGTAGAAGTACAGTAGCGTACAGATCTCCGCCTTTGAGGCAAGTCAACGTTGTATCACATATTGGGTGCCACGGAACGGATCGTTTATTCGTATGGATGTCTTAATTGAGCAGCGGGTGCCGGCTAAAATCTAGTTCCAAAGGCGCCGGCCGAACTATCTCGGCTTCCCCGTCCCCATCGAATCGGCCATCATCCAAGGCTTTACACCCCTTGATCCTCCTCTCCACACGGGGCTCTCGGCCCGGTGCAGTGCAAATCCCAATCATCAAATCATAATACCGATCCCCATGGCCCCAAGGTCTTTTAACACAAGGGCCCGTGTTGGACGGTCGAAAGAATCAGAATGCCTTCGCAAAGGTGATGGGTTACAAATCCCGATATCCAAAACGCCAGAGGGGAAGAACGTGGTGCGAAGTGAAAGCCGGGTATTCCCAGCCATTATGCAGAACAAAGAGGAACCGGTGTATCGACAGTAGACAGGTCGTGTCTTTGATGTATGTTTGACAGGCTGAAAGGAGAAAGCAGAGACGGAATTGGCAGCGACCACACAGCAACCAGCTGCACTATAAGTCGACCGTCATCAACTCTAACCTCGTCATCACACTCTCAAGACCGGCACTGATGCGTTGCACCCGCGCCATTGCGCAAGTGGCAGCAACCTCCTCTTCGCTGGCGTCAACGAGTTCGTACCGCGCCAGAGCCTTGTCGGGCTCGATCCCGCCGAAGACGTCGACGTGTGAGAAAGCGTCCGTGTCGATCTCGACGGGCTCCTTGGCGACTGTGGCACTGACCGGAGTCGAGTCGTGGTAGAGGGCAAAGGCCGGATCGCTCTCAAACTCCTCGTCAACGACAGTTGCCGTCGGGGACTCTTTCTCCCCTTCGGCAACAGGCTCCTTCTCAAGGACTGGCGCCTTCTTGATGACGGGCATCTCGACCTTCTCCTCGTCGGATTCCAACTGCGTACCGACGAAGTTGGACGACTTGCCGGATAGTATCGACGTCTCGATCATGGCGGGTTCGGGCGTGTCAAGCACGGCGTAAACCTGAGGCTGGAAGTTGAAGGCGTCGGCGGTGTCAAGGCTGAGCATGGAGAAGTCCAGCGGTTGTTCAGGGATCATGGCCATGCCGATATGCTGGTGCTGCTGTTGTTGAAGTTGTTGCTGGGCAGCGTATGTGTTGACGTCTTTAGGAAGAGGCCGATTTTCCTGCTGCTGGGGTGTGGGCTGTGCCTGGGGGACTTGCTGGGGGTTTGAAGAGAGGCGATCGAGGAAGTCGGAGAAGGAGGGGGATGAGAGGAGCATGCGGGTCAGATCTGACAGACGCTTGTTCTCGTCCACGAGTGCGCGGTTATGGCTACGAAGGTCGGTATTCTCGCTGACCTTCAACGAGATTTCAGCCTCGAGTTGTGTGATGTATTCTGAGAAGCATGTTAGCTGGTGGGTTCGACGGGGAGAGATGGGGGACATGTTAAATTGTTACCTTTCCTCCTAGACCGGAAAGCGCGAGCAGAAACCTTGTTGCGAAGTTGACGACGTTCTTTGCTGCTGAGCTTCTTGCCTTCTTCACTGGCCAGTAACCTTTCGTCCTCATCCATATCATCCTCATCCTTCTTGGGCCGAGAGATGTTCAAGTGCTGAACGGACTCGGCTGAGTCAGGAGAAGCAGGCTTGGCTCGCATCGAGTTGAGAAGCTGAGTGATTTTCTGTTCGACGATGGGGTCGGTGGGCTGCTGATTCTTGGGCCGTTGTGGCTGCTTTGGCTGTTGGTTCTGGGCATTCCGACGTTGCTGCTGGATCATATGTTGCTGTTGCTGTCGCTGCTGGGCCTGAGCCTTGGCCAGAGCGGCCTGTTGATGCATACCCGGCCACAGCCTTCCGACGTTGCCTGTCTGTGCAGAGAGGACGGTGGGCGACTGGATGGCAGATGGCTCGTGGCCGCCGATGGACGAAGGGTTGACTGTGGCGTCTCCGAAGAAGTAGCTGGGATCAGCCGACGACGAATCGAAGTCCATATCAACGTCTGTGTTCAACGAGGACTGAGAAGGCGCCGCGTTGAAGTCGAATATATCCTCCGTGTCCGCCAAGGCCAAGAAATCGACATTGAAATTGCTGTAGCCCTGAACCTGGCTGTTCTGGTTTACCGCATGGGTGCTTGCCAGAGCACCGGGGACAATGCCAGTCTGCTGTTTGTACTGATCATACTGATGACTCGGACCGCTCATGGGTTGACTGGCTGGAAGTAATGATGTCGTAGTTGGTTCTGCCTTGATTGGCTTTGAAAACGACATCTTGGAAGTGGTAGTGGGGGACAACGAGGGCGACTGGTACGGGTTGTTGTCGTATTCCGAGAAGTCGATGAGTGAGTCGACTAGATGGTCGACGATCCCAGACTGCGACACGCCACTGGTCGCAGCCGGGCTGGTCGACATAGAGCTCGACATGCCGTCTTTCCCTCAACTCGTTTCTTCCTATCCCTTCGATCGCGTACTGGAATATCAAACCGGGTGGCGAATACTGCTAGCGGGCTGGGGGGTTTCCCAGATCGAGTTTGAGTGATGAAAGGGCGAGAAAGACGAGTACAGAGTTCAAATGCTTTTGTTCAGGAAGCCGGGTTAGTGATGGACGGCGAAGCGTGTATGAGGTTTGGAACGGAGTTGAGGGATGCTTGTAAGAGAACAGCCAGAAGATGGGGCGATGGAGGTTATGGATACCCATGGAAGGACGGGGCCAGGCTTGGCCTGGTAGGACGGCTGTAGAGCCAATGCAGGCTGACAAGGGTTTGGTCGCTTTGAAAGGGGGGGGACGCGTAATCCCATGCGAGGGCACCGGCCACATTGTGGTCTGCGCTGTTCCGCAATTTGGGCGAATGCGAAGCGCAGCCCTCCAGTCCGAGCGAATCAGCGTCGTTTGCTGATGGAAATAGCCTGTTCACCATACGGTACGGCGCAATTCTCGAAATCCTCGGACCAAATCACAACCTAGCCGCTAGCACGAGATCCTACCTGATTCCCTGGGATTCCTCTGCCTGAGGATTACGACGACAGTTGCCCGTTTAGGTCTAAAGGGATGCATCTGGCGGTGCTGACGACGAAACCGAGCACAAAACAGACGACGTCGACGACGACGACTACAACAACAACAATCGGACTATCCTACTTCAATAGCAATCACCTGTTGGAGAATGAAGATAAATGACGATGAAGGTCTTGATCAATCGAGATGATGCTCCTCAGTACATCCATCATCCATCAACTATCAATTTCGGCGGCGGAGGTGTCGGCTGGATGCGGAGCAAGGGCTTGTGTTGCTTGTGCAAAAGCCAAAATGTCGGCCGGAACCCAAGCGCGTTCCGACCCAGGTCTCTCTCAGGTCACTAATACCTTCAAATCCAGGCTCCTACCGCATAATAGAGGCGTGCATCTGGCCGGGGCGGCTGTTGATCAGCAGTACTGTATACATGGATTCCAGCACAGCCGCAATGGGGGGCCCTCGGGGCGAACACATCCCCGATCGGCCAAACAAACTAGGTACCTTTCCCACGCGCACGTCGCTGCCACTACGTTTGTCACTCTCAATAATGGTTCCCTGGCGCGCTGCCGGGTGAAGCTACCTACCAAACTCGGTCGAAACCAAACTAGCTTGATGCACAGCCTTCTTGTGCGGGTTCGTTGGGACTCCTTCGGTTGGGGGTGCAGTGTACCTACTTAGGGAAACGAGTGCGCATAAAAAATAGGCCTTCAGGCAGAGTACGGAACTGCGGTTGCAACCAAAAATTTAACCCCCGGGCCAGGTACCCGAGGAGTGCTAAGCAGAGAAGTATTACATGCCCCGCTGTTATTCTCATTCATCCATCAAACTACGTGACCTTCGATGCGATTGAAATCCGACTGGACTCCTGATCGAATAAGCATCGGCGCTTACAACCCTCCGATCCGATACCTACCTTCCTCCACCATTGTGACATTCTGACACAATAGTCCCCTCAAAGCCTCCCTTGGACTTACGCGGCGCCCCTGCGGCTTGTGGAATGGAGCAAAAATAACACCGAATCAAAATCAAGCGCTGGCAGACGGTTCCAACCTTCCAGATTCCAAGGATCCGTGCCTGAACTCGGCTTCTGGAAGGCCAACGAGCCCTGTTCGGGCTTGGCTCGTAAAAATCCGGATCGTCTAACCTCGTCAATATTCTTTTAAGTGCGGGCTCCAACCATAAAGGGGCTTCTCCACCAGCCTATTAGCTTTATATTGCTGAAGATTCCCACGCTTGCCCCTTCTGTTTGACTTTTCAATGCTTCGCTCAGGCAATAATCCGTTCTGAGGGCTTGAAAATGGTTTAACCACTATTCGGCTGTCTACAAATTGAAATACAAAATTGTCGGGGCTCGATCGCTCAGTATTGACGGCCCTTTTTTTTCCTCGGAGGGGGCGAGGATTGTCTAGCTCGCCACTCTTCTCCAGGCATATTTGGTTCTGGCTGAAATTGTTGCTGAATTGATCAGATTCATGCGTTGCTCCAGTTTCATTAAATAAAATATTCATTGAATGGCTATGATATTCCCCCTGAAGCATCCTACAAACGTAGGGGCTTTCTTTTGGGAACGAGATTGGGTCAACTACAACATCCCTACATTGGAAATGCGACATCTATCTTCCTAACGGACCCAGACTCATTCTCTCAGCTAAGGGAGACCAGCTGTCGTCGGTCAAGTAGATCATCAGCATAGTAAGAGCGGTAGTGTTACCAGACAAGAGCTTAGTCTTGCAAATGTCAACAGAGCTTTACCCACCCCTCAATCATGGCTTCCCAGCTCCATTCTACCCGGAAGGGCAGTGGACCATAATTCGCCAACGAAGGGGCAAACATTGACGTTCCATTTCCGGGTTGCACCAACAGGCCGACTCAAAATACTACCCCCTCAACCTGGGAAGGTAATACAACTCACTGGCAGGAGGCTCGCCCAAGAAGAGTTAAAGATAGGGGGTAAGGAGAAGGGCGGGTACCAGCAGAAAGGCCAAGGACCGCATCTCGGCAGGGGGGCATTTCCTACCAGACAAAAGGGGTTGAGGTAGCAAGCAAGGGACAGTTTAGGCTTCGCCGAAGGGTGACTCTTACAGAAATCAAGAGAAGTTTCCCTCAAACCCTCGAGTTTTGCTATCTGATTGCTTTCGGACCTCGTGTACAAGAAGTGAACTTAGTTAGCAAGCCTGAGGGGGAGAAAGCCCTTGGGAGGTCAGGCCGTTTTCGCCGTCTCAATTAAAGTTCGCACGACGACGTGGTCTGATGCAGAACACAAAATGACTTGGAAGTGAGGAGATAGCTTTATACATATAGGATGCAATTGTTATCTTGCTTTTGACTTCCAAGTCCTAGCCTGGAAGGATGGAGGCTCCAGCCTTGGGTCACCCGCCTCAGCATCTTCCTTCTCTTAATATCTCTTATGCAAGTTCCTCCTGTTTTCACCACCTAGCCCTTTCGCTTTCTATCCTATATGTACACTACGCCTCGCTTGTGTAGCTTGTCCCAGAATCCTCTTGACAATGCACTGTAGGGCATTGTAGGTTATAAGCTCTGTCTGCCACTTTCTGGGGGTGCATTCGATCGTGTCCCTGTAAAGGTGGTTACATCCGCATACGTGGGTTGGTAGGGCTGCCAGAGTCTGTGGACGATGTGTGTTAGATTCTGTTGTTGGTGGCTTCTATATGAGGAGGATGTTTAAGTTTTGAGTTTGTGTGTCGTTTAAAAGAGCTTATATTCTGGCTCTTGACTTGATTAGGTATGTTCAACTGTAGGATCCTTCACTTTCTCTTGATCCAACGTGATTTACATCTGCTGATATATTTCTGTCTAAAGACTGATTAGTTATTCATTACCCATTCGGCTTGTTCAACAAGATCCCTATAACCACCAATTCGTCGCTGTATCTGCTATTCAGCTTTGGGGCTTCTTTGTTTGGAGCTCCTTGGTTGCGAGATTGATTTAGATTGATTTCGTCTATGAGCGAGCTACCTTAAACTCCATATACATCCCGTCCTGGCACCACCCCCTTCCTTCTACGGCACAGACTCCCTATTCCCAATCATGTCCCAAGTCGGCCGAGGCTTCGCCAGATCTACCTCCCTCTCATAGCGACCAGCAGCAGTCTTGTCCTCTACGTACTTCCTCGCGGTCACTTCAATTTTCTGCCAATCGAGCTTCGAGGTCCCGACAGCCATACCATCCCTTCCCATCTCAGCCAAGGCGTTCTTGATCCACGTACGACACCTCCAGCTTGGGTCATCCTGGATGATAGGTATGGTCCGCAGAATATTAAGAAGGCGTTTGTCGTCCTCGATCTTGGCAATCAGAATGCGTGCAAGCAAGTTAGATATGCATCGGACGTCCGGCAACTGCTCTTCGGAATATATCCATCCGCCGACTGGACGGTTCTTGACGTGGCAGCAGATGCCCGGCACTTGGTCTTGGTTCTCAATCTTGGGCCCGATTAGAAATCCCCAGTGGTACCTGTGGAATAAATTGAGCTTGAGCCTGGACAGAGACATTTGGGGGGCTTGATTACTTTCGTTCTTTGTTGTTAGAAATACCGCTAGGATAGAGGGCAATGTATAGGCGATTCTTGTCGGAAACCATATCTTCAGCCTTGTGGATCGGTTTGGGATCATTAACGGAGGCAAACAATTTGTTCTTTGATGATGTGAGGCAGAACACATAGAGTCTGCGGATTAGAACGTGCCTTACTTACCTGTGAGGGGAGAGTTGAGTTGGTCGTTGTCTTGTTATCCAGACTTCTGATTGGATGTACCCCTGCAGGTTTGTCATCTTGCTCCAGGCGGCCCAGGGGATTCATGCCTCGCTCCGTCTTGATGGGAAGAAGGCCGGGAACGCTCTTCATTCTGGCGCCGTCAGGATCGAGGTCAGGAATACAATGATCCGCCACTCTCTCACGACATAATTGCAATGAGGCAGGCTGTAAAGTTGTGCATTCCCAGCCCAATGGTGAGCCAGTACTATGAGATTGACTCTTGTAAATAAGAGATGAACAGCCTGAAGGAATCGAATGGCAGCAGCTAAGCCTATGTTCCATTCCTTCTCCTCCCTCCCCGTTTGCTCCGATCGATATGAGCCCTCAGCGACTTCCTCGTCTCGATCAGACTCCTCTTGTTCTTCGCCTTCGCCTTGCCGATCGTCATCATGAAGTTCTTGTTCCTCGACTTCTCCTTGTTGGTCGTGCTCTTGCCCTCCGAGTCCTTCTTCGACCTCCGGATGGCCTGCGTCGACTTGTGCTCCTCCCGGCCCGGCTTTCCCTCCCGCGCCAGCGCCACCCGCTCCTCCTTGGTGCTCTTCCGCAGCTTGGCCGGCATCTCGATCTGCTCCGCCGTGAGCGGCTCGTCCGCGTGCCGCGCCGCCAGCTCCTTCTGCCGTTTGGAACGGTTGCCCATCGCCTTGTCCAGACTCGCGGCCAGGCGCAGCTCCTGCAGCTTGGCAAGGTCGGCGGGTGTCAGGATGGACGTTGTGGCGAGCTTGGAGATGTGCTGGATTTCTGCCTCGATTTCTGCCCCGTTCTCGTCGACCAGGGCCGGCGCTTCCGAGTCGGTTCTCGGCCGTTTGGCGGCTGGGGTCTCGTCTTCTGAGTCACTCATGTTGATCCAGCCGCCAGAGTCGCTGCTGTCTGTGGAGGCGACCTCCCAATCTTCCGAGTGGAAGTCGTCGTCGCTGTCGTCGTCGCCATCATCACCCTTATTCGCGTTCTCGGGCAGGGCCTTCTCGGCCCGCTTTCTCTCCTTCTCCTCCTCTTTCCATTTCTCAAGGAGCTCCAGCCCTTCAATCCCGCCGACGTCCAGCTCACCAAACTTCCGCTGGTGCAGCTCGCCTGAACGGAGACCCATAGACGCGTCTTTGCCGCGGTCCCTCTTCTTGAGCAGGTCCGCGCCGACCTCGCGGTAGAGCGAGAGCAGTCCCTTGGCCGCCATCATGACGCCCTTGTCCTTGCTCTTGCGGTACTGGACGAGGTCCTGCAGCAGGGTCTCGTTCATCGCCAGCGGCTGCCGCACGCAGATCTCCCTGATGGAGTTGATGCCCGCGGTCGCGACCTCGGCGCCCGACGCCTCGGACACGAATTCGTTTGCGATCTTCGTGAGCAGCGGTTCTATCGCATCCGGCGGCACCAGGCTGTGGACGGCTTGGGCGAGAGACGCGAGGAAGGATGTGACGTTGGGTTGCTTCGGGGTCAGGAATTTGGTGAACCACGAATAGGAGGTGAAGGTGAGCTTGTGCAGACCCACGAGCCTTGTGACCAGCTGGAGCACAAGCAGCTTGTGGTCAAGCTTCAGCTTGGACTTTGTGTTCTGGAGGTGCTTCTGGAATAGCTGCTCCGAGAAGCCCTGCGGATCGTGGAGGAGATGCAGGGCCGAAAAGTTGAGCGGGTGAGGTTGGTTCTTCTTGCGCTCGTGTTTCTTGACCTTCTCAATGGCCTTCCTGAACACCTTTTCTCTCTTCTTCGACTTCTTATTGATCCCACCCTGGTGCTTTATCTTCTTGATATCAACGCCTTCATCGTCGCTGCTCTCGTCCCCTAGATCCTCGCGTTCCTCGTCTCCACCCAGAAAGAAACGAACGGCGCTGCCGACAACCTTCTCGTTATCAGCGAGGCATGCCTCCTTCATGACGTCGACGGGCTTCGAGTCGGTCCATATCTGGCGCTTCCAGAGCTCGCGCGTGAGCTTGACTGCCCATATTGCTTTTGGCGAGGAGCGGTCTGAGGTGACGATGTTGTGTAGGACGGTTTGAATGGTGCGGTTGAGACGATGGTTTGTATGCTTGGAGTTTGATTCACGGAGGTCACTGAGGATTTTCTATGATCAACCCTGTTAGCTTCGATGAGTGGAGGATGTTTGGATAGGCTAGAGCGTTACCTTGAATAACAAAGCTCGTAGTGTTTTGCTTGGAGACGACACGAGAATGGGGAAAAGCGTGGTCAGGAGGCTGCTCGAGTCGATGATTTCCTTCTTTCGCAGCAAACCCAGGCTGCCGACGACCTTGTCGCGCAAATCGGAATCGAGGGTCGCGTGATGCTGGGTCAGGAGGGCCTTTAAATCCTCGGCATACGGCCCCGTGAGATCGGGGTAGCAGTCGGCGACGTGTGCAATCAGGTCGACGATGTCGTGAAACTTCTGGATATCCTCGGACGAGGCCGTTGAGGGCGCTGACAGGAAGATCTGCTTCTGTGCATCATATGCAAGCCATTGGTCGTAGAACTCTTGAGTGTATGATCTAAGGAATCACAAGTCAGAGAAGCTCGATGGGGGATCAGAGGTGTTTTTATCTTGCAACACTTACTTGGGATCCCTTCGGATCTTGTACTGGAGGTTGACCCTGCCAATTGGTTAGCCGGGGCTCGAATATCTCGCACGTCAAGAACCTACAGATTGGCCTCGACCTTCTCGAGGGCGGCAACTTTGCGCTTCACCATCTTGGCCGTATGCGGGTTGGACTGGTGGGACAGAGCAGAGTGTGCCGGGAGTGGGAAGACGGTGGCCGGAGTACACACCGACCTTCCATGTTGGCACAGAAATTTTTGGATAATCCTTATCTTATCGGCGCGAAGATGGGATCGACTGCGGGGCAGCTGCCACAGCAGCACGAGCAGTTAGCGATGAAGTACCCACCTTTCCAGATTGCCTTATGTAATCTGCCCAACATGTACCTCTACTTTGCAACCAGTTGATATCCACTCGACTCTACCAACAATCCCATAGCTGCCTTATTATTATTCTTACCCCTTTGCCGGCCAAATCTAGTCTTTAGGGGCGCCCCACCCAAACAGCTCCCGTGAAGGGCCGGGTGGCGAAAATTAACAGCGCTAGTGGGATTGCTGGGTCACTGGTCTTCCGGCAGACGTCCGAAACGGGTCCGATCCGTACCTGGAAATGCTGGAATCCCAGAATGCTGGGATCGAGGCCGGATTCGCCGACAGCTAATATGCAATCTAAAAGTCCCAAGATTTCCGGAACGAACTTATTGTTGATCTAGCCAGGAACTTCGGTAAAGAATTGCTTATTCGAGCTCCGCTCATGTTCCATTCTGCTGCAAACTAGGTAGCAAGCGTACTGATTGATCATAATTAACGATTCTAGCGACTCAGGTGCCAAATCCTGCATGGTGTTCCGCAGGGTGACATTGGTGGATGGGGCCCTTTCCCACGTGGCTAGTACGAGCGGGTAGTGCGGCTTGGATGTTTTAGCCAATCCCGTGGCCGGGATCCCTGGGCATTTTAGGCCTCGTTTTGGCCCGTCGAATTGGGGAAATGGGGGTGTGCAATATTGTTAGACAGGCACGAGGGGAGCTCCCAGGATTCGAAGCCATTTGCGAGAGACTTTGAAGTACACTCCTAATATCTAGCCTCACTTCTGGGAGAGCAAGGGGAGCAGCGGGCAGCCTTGTCCCTTGTCGCTTGCCAACTTGCACACCCACCTTCTCTCTTGCCCATCCGTCTTGGGCCGGTTTGCGTCCCATCCCAGTCCCAGCAGATGATCCATTATCTCTCCGCCTTTTTGTTCGCGCACTAAGAGAGCTGAGTTGACCGTTGTCAGTCCGCCCCTAGGACTTAAACCTTGCCCATCCCCCCTTCCCACGTTGCCAGGCCAGGATGCCTGTCCAAGCTTTCCGTCATCCGTCTCCCCTGGCTTCAGAGTTCGGACATTCGGACATCTCGCCTCCCAGCCCTTCTTGACCACCACTTCCCCGACGGCCTCGTCGCTCCCCGCAAGCTTCAACGCGTCGCATGTCCTCTCCCACCTCGGGAAACGCCAGACCCTCTCCTGGCACCACCAGGATTGGCCGCCCGCCGCAATGGACGGTCTCACGTTCGCGGAAGCTGGCTCGACTTTACGTCTACACCACGCTGTCCATTGAGAAGATCATCAAGGTCCTCGAAGATGATCTCTTCAAACCGCGGTAAGAGCAAGCCCCTCCAATCCCAATTGTGCCCCCGGAGCAGACGATTGTCTGGCCCGCAGAGTGCTGACGGCGGGTGAGCAGGAAGAACTCGGCGCAAAAGACGATCCACAACATGCTTGACAATGACCCCCGCTACCTGCGCCCCGAATCGCGCATTGAGATGGACAAGCGTATCAGCAGTTTGTCCATCTCGCGGAGCCGACGACGCCTGAAGCGGAAGAACCAACCGCCATCGTATGACGAGAACTTCACCAAGGCCAAAGAAGAGATGGGCTCGGACTCGAGCGCCTACGAAGTCGACCCCGCCGACGAGTTAGACAATGTTGAGCTGGCTAAGGATGGCCTCGTCCCGTCAAAGTCGGTCCCAAGTTGGGCTAATCCCGCCTCGGCCTCTCAGTATTCTCTTTCCGCTAGCGAGCAGCATGGTGTCGCACCGCCCAGCGCCACTGGCCGTTCCGGCCAGCACACGCTGTCCTACAGACCGCCAAGGCGCCAAAGCACTGTGCTCTCAACCTCGACTGAAATGAGTACGTCCAGTATTCGAGAGTTGCAGAAACGTGTGTCGGGGTGCTCGACGCGATATGCGAAACAAATATCGACCCTTCTGAAGCATCTCACCATTTCAAGCGCTTCTGACTTGACCCAGTCGCCGGAACGCCGCCCGTCCATCTCCGACATAGAGCCTCCGCAGCCGCCCGAGCCGGACATCTTCGAGGCTTTCCCTGAGCCCGGCTATGCTCTCCCCGGAGACTTGATCAACGCCCAGAGTCTCAATTGTGCCGGGTTCCCGGGCCAAGACCACTTCAACGGGAAATGTTGGTGCTCAATCGCCAAGGCCATCGCGGGCGAGAAGAGTGCCTGGCTATCCCCGACCGGCGATCTGTCGCCCAGGGCCCAGCAGGTCTACGACGACCCATCGCAAGCCAATCTCGCCTCCCACGATTGCTTCGGCAACACTCCACTGCATCTTTTTGCAGTTCTCGAGGGGTATCAGGAAACGCTGTTCCGCATGGTCCTGCACAGTGCAGACGTCGGTGTCACAAACACCGCCGGCCAGACCTTCCTCCATGTGCTGAACTTTGAGTGGTTCGCGGATCTCAAGAGCCCCTCGGCGCCCCTCAAACAACTGCTGGCATATCTTCGTGACCGCTCGCCCGATCTCGTCTATGCTACGGATGTATACGGCCGTACATTTTTCCACCGGGCCCATTCCCTGATTCGCGATTCGGAAATTCTTGACGGGATCCTATCGCCCTTCAACCCGGCGCTCTCCTCGCGTCGCGACGCCTTCGGATTCAACCCCCTCGCGAATACGAACCTCGGCGGAGAGGGCCCCTTCATCCCGCCCCGACGGGGGGCGCTGACGCCCCTGCCCGAAGAAGGCCCTTCCGGGTCCAGGGGCCGCAGCAGCCCCCGCACGTCCAACGACGAGGACGCTTTCATAGCATATCACGCCCGCCTCCTCCAGATCGTCCAGTCCTCGTACGACAACCCGCGCATCGAGGACGAAGACGGCCGCAACGGGCTGCACTGCCTCGCCGAAGCCATCATCAACCAGCAGACGATGGACGACCAGCGCACGGCCATGAGCACGGGCCGGCCCCTCAAGCGCAAGCACGACAAGAAGGACAACCCGGAGGGCATTATCGGCGGCGGCGGCGGCGGCAGCAGCAGCAACAACAGCAGCGAGAGCCCCCTGGCCTCGCGGCGGCGCCACCTGGAGAACCTGCTCCACAGCCGGCCGCCGGTCGACGTCAACCACTACGACAAGTCGGGCAACACGGTGCTCATGTCCTTCATCGCCTCGATTCCCGACGACCAGGACGACAGGGCGAAGACCCTGGGCGCCATCTTCGAGACGCTCATCGCGGCGGGGGCGCGCGTCGAGGCCCGCAACCGCCGCGGCGAGACGGCGCTGCTGGTGGCGGCGCGCCTGGGGCGCAAGATTGCGCTCGCGACGCTGCTGGAGCGAGGTGGCGCCGGCAGTATGGGCAGCAAGGGCGGCACGGGCGCAAACGTGCACGCCCGCGACGTGGACGGCTGCGGCGTCCTCGACGTCGTCGACGCCACGTGCCGCGCCGCCGGGGCCAGGGACGACTTGCCGCTCTACGCACGGCTCGAGGCGTGTCGCGCCCTGCTGACGGGGAGGGGCGGGTGGGGGGTCGTGCAGGACCCGTCGGTGGCGATGGAGTGGCGGGTTAGGGGGGCCGGTGGGGACGGCTAATGGCTGGTGATCTTGATGGAAGGGGGGTTTTCACTTTTTTTTTCTCTTTCCTTTTCTGATTTTCTGCTTTTCTTTTCTTATATTTCTATTTTTAACTTATCAAGACAACTCTGATCTGACCGCTTTAGTTTTTGTATCACGCGCGTACACCTTTGCCGTCTATATACCCTGGGGGGCGCTCCTTTCCTTTCCTTTTTATTTATTTATTTATAGCTTGCAGCCCGCGGGACGATGGTTTATGGTCTAAAGGGGTAGTTAAAATCTTGCTGGTGAACGGTCCTTTTTCTTCTGGCATCACCGGGTTATGGCTGGAATGCAATGGAGGGTTTCTTTTGACTGTGCTGATCGGCCGGGTATACGAGCGGTCACGAGGAGGAATCAACGTTCTTATTTTATTATTTTCTCTGATCAGCCTGCTTGACTACCTAGATACCTCGGCGGAATGCGTGTCCTAGATGGGATGTGGGATTGAAACCTCCAAGTTGCGCATCTCTGGCCAGCAACAATGATGTGTTGGATGGAGACAGGGAGTCAAAAAAACGGGATCCCAAAATGTCTGACCGATCTCTCAAATGTCCAGAACAAGTACTAAAAGGCGGTGTGTCAGGTTACACTGCAGAAACTCGTTGCGCTGTATGCTGTGAAACCCGAGGGATGTGCAAGGTGCATCGGGCTGATGTGGTCGGGCGCAGCAAATCGATGCAGGCGTCGTCACCTGCTAGTTCGTCCGATGGTGTGCGAGATGATGTGCGATGTGTCTGCGGGGATTTGGGTGTTGACGGGCTGGCCGGGTGTGGCGAGGCTCTCTTCGGGCATCATGGTTGGCCCTGGGGCGCCCAATTAGCAGTTAGAATGAAACCGGGGAAGAACAGAGACAGCCAATGATCGCCCATTATGGTTAAGAGGGGCCTAGAAATGCAGCAGAGCCGCAAGACACGAATTGAGTTGGCGGTCAGGACATTTTGTATATTGTTCCCAACACACCGTGCCAACACATCGTGAAGGGACCGCTCTTGGCATTGGGCATCAAGTTGTCTCGTGGCATAGCAGACTGGATGGAGGGAAAAGGCGAACAAGGCGTCCAGGCAGTGCTCGGCCATTTTGTCCTCGTTGTCTGCACTTACAAGGCTGGCGAGAGGCCTAACCGGCGTGGTTGGAGTTATTCTAGTATTTTGATGCTGTCAATTGATCGACATTTGGGCCCAAAGAAAAGAGGCATTGGGCAAGTGGAAAAATAACCAAGGGGCTAGGAAGGGCGCAGTTTTTCTAAGGTATCTCCTGTTGCTGATGTTGCTCGAGTCAGGTAGACGTGACTTGGCCATTTCAATTCACGGACAAAGATATGGGAAGGGTACATCGAACCTATCTTTCTGTTGCTCCGCATCTAACATTTTACTCGTCACCCGCCAACTCCAATGCTGTCCCATTCTGACACGAGAAGAGGAGATAAAAACGGAGAAGAGGAAAACGGAACAGAAAGAGAAGAAGAAGAGAAAAGAGGAGCAGGATGGTGGCTTGTTGGCGATGAGAGTCCATAACTTCAATAACAAAAGTTGCACAGTCGGAAAAGAAAAACGACGACGGGAAACGGAAATCCCTGGTCTGCACCGAGAAACACGGGAAAGTGTGGGGCACGGGCCGTCCCGACCGTTGCACAAGCGCGGGTAGTGCCGGCCGACTAAAATCTGTATGTTGGGCTGCTTGATTGTCGAACGGTAATGGAGATATGTCCCCTAAGATCAATGTGCCATGGTTGTTAATAGTAAAGTCCCAATATTTCTTGTTGCGTGGATAAGATACAAAACACACTCCTATGACACGGTGTGGTTCCCCTGGGCAGGGATAAAGTACGGGCATAGAAAATTCACCCGGTCATTTTTAGGACCTGTAGGCACGGTAATTCGACTAGATCTGGGTTAATGTCCACCAATTTTGTGTTTCTGTATGCCAATTCTTACCAGACTCCAAATGCTTCATTAGGATTCTGCTGGTGCTTTGGCTGCGCCGCTGCTCGGTGCCGCCGGGTTTTCCGGTTTCCGCCCGTAAACGGAGTATCTGCCTCTCAATTTAGTCAAGGGGCTTAACTATTCAGCAAGGGGGGGAATAAGACGAGGGATTAAAAAAGGAGAAGGTAAAAAAAAGGAGGAAAAGGAGGACAAGGAGGAAAAAAGAGAAAGCACACAAAGTGGAAGCAAAGAAAGGGGCACCCTCACATAGGCCAATAAGCATGGATCCCCCTATCCGCAAAGTCCCTCCGCACCCCCACCATAGTAGCCTCGACCTCCTCAGTCCTCCAGCCCTCGGCGCGCGTCAGCGGCGCCATGAAGAACCCGGACAGGCCGCTGGTCATGTTCTCGTGGTTCCAGGCGCCGAGCTCCTTGAGCGCCCGGTCGCGCGGCCACGGGTTCGACGGCCAGGCGAACCGCGCCTCGACCAACCCCTCAAATCCGGCCGCTTCCATCATCGGTGTCAGCCGCTCGACCGGCTGGAAAGGGCGCCCGAACTTGGTCGTTGCTTCGTCGAGGAGCGCGATTGCTTTCCACATGGCGCTGTCGGGCTTTAGGGTGCCGTCGTCGCTATTGGGGTACAGGGCGCCCTCTTGGAGCTCGAGGTAGCCGCCTGGTTTGAGGGCTCTGGTGGGTGTGAGTTGGTTGGGTTATGCCAGGGAATAAATGACTGGGAAGAGATAGAGGTCGTACTGGAAGCATCTCTCGATGTACTTTGGCCAATTGGCGATGCTAGATGTCATCATGCGGCTGTGAATATAGTCGAACGGCTTTGTGTACGTCCAGTCGTCCTCGACATCGTCGATTTGGAACTCGACATTAGGGGGCACACTAAGGATTAGGTCAGTCAAGTCTAGCATGGGATGCGTGGATTCAGGTGGCCATACAAATCTGGTTGAATAGGTGATAAGTCAACTCCAATGACCTCTGCCTCTGGATTTTCTTCTCCGTAATCCACGGCCCAGATTCCTGTGCCCGTGCCGAGGTCGAGCACTCGGCCGGGCTTGGCGCCTCTCACTGCAGGAGGAGCGAGACCAAGGGCGCCGTCAAAGGTACGAAGGAAAAGGTGATGCTGCAGGTCTTTGCGTCTCCATGGTTAGCAACCGGCACCGGCACCTTTTGGAACGAAAACAGGCGACAAACCGAGCCTTTGGTTCTCGCGGTCGTCATTGGGATAATGGTATTCTTTTAATAATTAGCTGACAGTTTGCGCTCATGCTTAAGTGGGCGGGCAGGATATCGGCTTACTCCCCTCCCTAAAGCGGTGGTACGTTCTCCCATTCTCTTTTCTGTAGTCGAGGATGGAGTCGGTCAAGCTGGTTGTTGATGAGGCGATATTCTGCAAGGACGAGGACCGGCGTGAGCACATGGGATGACTACCATACGACAAAAAGAAAATCGCCAACCTCGCCAATTGCAGAGTCATCGTCGTGGATTCCCTAGGTCAACTCATCTGAATTAACATTGGAGCCTTGTTGTACGGTAGTAAGGCACTCTAAGATTAGCCGCATTTATAGAGAGCACGTACGATATCATCTGCAGCAATAATAGCGATACGTTGAGCCATGTTGGTGGTTTTAAGCAATAGTCATCAACGTCTTGCGTTACTTCTAGAAAACCCTCGATCGGACGCAAAGTGTATAATATCGAATAAGAAAGTTGGAAGTCTTGGGAGGAGGAGCGACATTTTAAAGGAACGAAAGGGTTCCATTCTTGCGGAAACCTTCCCGGCTGGGGGTTCCGGACGGGAGCAAATAATAGCAACCGGGGAAGCGCTCCATATTATCCGTCTGCAGCATCGATGACTTCCCTACCAATCATCGGCCTCGCCATACGGTCGTATGCTAAGCGGTCAAATCGTTGCATTCCGAAAGGTGTCGATCGGCAAACTTCGTCATTATCAGGGGTCTCGAGATGAGTACATTTGAGTACCTATTTGATTTGGACTCCTACTTCTAAACCTAATAGGCTTAAGACAACATCAGCTGCTAATATCAATGATAATGCCTAACAACCGTCACTACCTAAATGTTGTCTATGCAAGGTGGTCTATTGTGGTGTCACAAAATGACGCACGTGTAAAACGGTTTACACATTGGTAAATGGCCATGTATATGCTTCTGGAAAGTGAGCCCAGAGAGCCCCTTAAAAATATGTACACAAACAGAACAGCATCTGAGCAAGATGCAATCACGCCCGAATTTTTTCCAGGCGGTCACAGTGATTGAAAAAAAGATTGAGCGTCACGGACGCAAAAAGCCCCAAGCACTTTATAAATCTTACAGGGCATCCTTCCTGATGCTCCGCTTGGCGTTCTTGTTGGCTCTCCTGCGCCGGCGGCGGGAGGACGAGCAAGAGGATGGAGGGGAGGCGGTGGAGACGGGGGCGGTGCTGCCCTCAGTCGTGGCGGGAACAGCGGAGGCGGAGGTCACCACGGTGGCGAGAGTGGTGGTGGGGAGAGAGGCTTGGGCACTGGACTGGGTAGCCGTGGCAGATGGCGAAGAAGTAGAAGAGGAAGTGTCTGGGGAGCTGCCGGAGCCGGAGAAGACCTCAGGGCCGGGGATGGGGTAGCTGGTGAACGAGGTGTACAGGTTGAATAGGATTCCGGGGTCGGCGTACGTGTAGTCGACGTTGAAGTCGAACTTCTGGTTGGGAACGACGCTGCCGGAGCCGGTGACCTCGACCTGGACGCACGAGGGGTAGAACTGCGCGCCGCGGGCAGGGTTCTGGTTGAAGGCGGCATCGGACTCGTGGAGGGCGATGATCTCCTGGCGGATCAGGTATTTGCCGGCGGCTAGGGACGAAGGCAGGGTGAAGTCCTGCTTGCCCTGGTTCCGGATGAGCTTATCGACGGCCCACTCCGACCCGTCGAAGCCGTCCTCGGCAATCTTGGACCAGATGGCGCCGGTTCCGGCCCCCTCGGTGTACTTGGCGATCCAGGTGATGACAGGACCCTTGTGGGAGCCGTCGATGATGTCGTCGTTGCGGTTGTCGTGGAACCACTCGAAGCTGAGGGTGTCACCAGCAGCAGCCTTGACAAAACCAGAGACGGCCTTGGCCCCGTTGACGTTGCACACCAGGTCGGGGCTGGCCAGATCCTTGACGGGGCTGTTGTTCGGCGGGCTCCGGATGTAGACGCTCCGGCCATCGCCCTGATCCTTGCCGTTGACCCAGACTCCGTGCATGGTGGCGTGGCCGGAGACGCAGGTGGCCATGGCCATGGCCAGGACGGAAATAAGTGCGGAATGCATGGTGGAATTGGTGATGCTGTTGAAATAAATGAATGGATGAAGCAAAGATTCAGGTGTCCAAGGACCGGATGTCGACTTCTATCGAGGAATGGAACTAGGTTGACGGCACAGCCAAAAGAACGAAATTGAACAGCGAGTGTTCAGAAAAGAAAGACGAAGGGACGAAGGCAAACGAGTTAGCGATGGTGAGTTGCGTTAGAGGACTCAGAGAGAGAGGAGAAGACTGCCCACAACTTATATACCTACAGGCTCTGGGCAGGACATCGTAGCCAAGGTTACCGGGTCCCCGGTCAGATTCATTTTATGCAGGGAGGGGAGAATAGTCGAGGCGATCCACCCGATCATGCGGTTCCGGGGCTTAGCATGATTTTCTGGGCGTACCATGGTTTCGACGTTGCCGGATCTAGGAACCAGGTCCTTCATCACGGCAAACAACCATGGTCCTTCTAGCATCGCCTCGCTGGGATCCCTACATCCATGCGATTTGGGCCCGCAGTGCCCCTTGCATAGGGAGTTAATCCTTGCTGTTCTCCAATCGCCATCATGGAGTTTATCGAGATGCGTCTACCTCTGCACCATAGTGCGTAGTGTCTTGGCGATGGAGCTGCCCTGCCCAACTGAAACACAACAAAAATGGTCTACTGTCCTAGTAATTACCGCAGTAGATGTTAATGCAAGGCGAGCCTGAGTTCCACGTGAAATTTCCGAAGACTACGCAGTAATCCACAGCCCGGCTCTTCCTCGACAATACAGTAATTAAGTATGGGTTAGTGGACTCGTACGTGACGACCCTGCTCTCGATCCCACGAACCTAACGATATCTTCATTTATTAACGAGTGGGGAGTGTCACTCTCTACATCCTTTTCTAGTTTGTAGTATAATTACAGGTGCGATGCTTTCAAGCCACCCATTCATAATCCGGCAGCCCGTATCTATCAGCGCTGGCAAAGGAGCTGGCGAAGTACTTCTGAACGAATTCCAAGATCCTGGTCCAAGCGATGAAAGCAAAAATATTGTTTCGCAGCCATATCCCCCAAACCGTCTGCGGCGCAAAGATGGTCGGAACAAGCGGTGGAATCTTTTGCAGATCATCGATGATTGGCCTCATTTGCTCTTCGTAGCCCCTGAGTCCTGCCGCAAGATTGCCTTTATGCTTGCCGACCTCGCCCGCCAACACGTAGGCGCCGGCGATGGCGAGAGTCGTACCGCCACCAGTCAAGCTCGGTGCGTAGCCCGCGTCACCAACCAAAACAAAGCGTCCTCTGTACAGGCTCGGGGTCTTGACCTGGACAATCTCGTTGGCGTAGAAGTCTCGTGAGTCCATCACGCCCTCGACCACCTCGTCGGTCTTCCAGCCGGCTCCCTTGTAGTGCTGGGCTACAAACCGCTTGAGCGCATCGTCTCCCTGCTTCATGGCCTCGCGGAACGGCAGCGTGGCGTCGCGGTCATCGCGCGGGTGAATACTCATCAGCGTCACTCGACTCCCGCCCGATGGATCGGATCCAACAACGACAAAGCGGCCCCCCGGGGCGCTGTATGCGTGTCCCATCTTACTTCCCTTGAGAAGATCTTGTTCGATGGAAAAGAAAGCCGCCCAGCAGTTCGTCGGTCTGATGTGGTCCCGGACACCGCAGCCGAGACCTATCGCTCGAGTCCTCGAGGTCGCACCGTCACAGGCAACGACAAGGTCGTATTCCGAAGTGGGGAAGCCGTTCGCGAACTCGACGGTGACGGGCCCGTCGTCCTGTTCGTTTTGCTGTATCGAGGTGACCTGCTCGCCAAAGACATAGTTGATGTTCTCATTGTCCTTGGTCAGGTCGAAGAGGATCTGCGCCAGGTCGCCGCGGAAGATTTCGAACTCGGAGACGAACGACTGCTGGTCGGGATTCCCGGTGGCCCTGATAGTCCCGTATGGCCGGCCGTCGTCGCGGACGACGCTGATGCCTTCTATGTCTATCGTCTTGGCTCGCACGGCCGCCTCCATCCCCGGCATCTTGCGCATTACGGTGACGCCGGCGGTGCGGATGTCGATGTTCTGTCCGTTGGTGCGCATATTTGGGAAGCGCTCGATGATGGTGACGCTTGCTCCAGCTTTGGCGAGCCAGTAGGCCGCCGTCGGGCCTGCGATGGAGGCGCCCACGATGAGGACCTTTAGCTTAGACATTGGATTTGTGTTGTTGGGATGTACTGTACTGTACAACGAGAGGCGCTTCTTGCAAGTTAAATGTTTGTACAGAGGACGAGGAGACAGGTGGATGATATAGACTGGGAAGTATTGGGGAGAGATATGTACACATTTCTATGAGCAGCGTCGGGCCAGAGGCAGCCGGTTGTTGACTGGGCGGCCGAGCTCGGGTCCGTGAAACCCGATCCAGTATTACTGCTCGGCCGCCTAGGGCCCGAAATTCTGACCAATCACAGGCAGTTTCACGGTCTAATCCAGAACCAGTCGCACAGCACAGTCTCTTGAATGAGAGCCGAGCGTTCTGTACAGCTCATTGTTCAGGCTAGCTCTAGAATTGCGTCATGGTGCAATGGAGAGCATGAGCCGAGAGTCTTCGATGTACCTCCCACAATACACGCCATCCAGCGTTTACTGCGAGAATCCACCCTGCTCGCCATCCGGCACCCGATAATCCTGCATCAATTGATCCCAGAACGCCCAGTCTGCGGTATCGGGATTGAATTCGTTGCCTATATCAAGGCCCATGTCACCAGAGACGCTGCCAATTAACACATCCGCGTCACTTGCCGGGGACGGACCGATTGGCGACACTGAGTCCGTTTTCGCGTCGAGAGCAGTTGCCTTGCCACCCTGCCTTGCCTCTCGGCTCTGAAGGTTCGCTTTCCGCAGAGAGCGCAAGGCTGTGATGAAGGCCGACTCCGGCACACTGCTGCTCGGCGGGTTGGCATCCCAGGCCTTCAGCGTGAGGCGCCCAAACGCCACATGCAGCGCTCGCTTCGGCTCCAAGAGTTCGCCATGGTTATTGTAGACTTGCTCCACCCTGCTCCAGGCGGCATCGGTTTCCGCGGGTGAGAGCAGGTCGGCTCTCCAAAGGTTCGTTAGGACGAGAATCAACGAGTCCCACGAGCCGAACAAGAAGAATGGTTTCACATGCCACAGGTGCTTCCTTAGGCCTGCGTGAGCGTAGGCTGCCGTGTCTGTGTCGATGATCTTCTGCGAGAGCTGGACCAGCTCCCTCCTCTCCGCGTCGGTGACGGTCCGGTTCCTGACTTTGGGGAGCCGGATCCGGAGACGCATGGCGGTAATCCCACACCTGGCCAAGGCGATGGTCAGGAAATGCAGTGGATTGACGATGTCGCAGTAGCGAATGTATTTCTCCTCGACTTCGCGTTCGGCCTCACTGATGGCCAGCTCAGCTTCGTTGTAGTCTTTGAATTGCCTGGGGCCTGCAACTCCCATCGATCTTCCAGCCGTGGCAAAGAATTTCCCGATACATGACCGCGCCAGGCAGAAGATCATCTCGGTTGCGCCCTTATGCTCTTCCGGCGTCTCGGTCATTCCTGGCCAAATCTGGTCGTCATTGATGTTTAGAGGCGGCAGGATGTCCCAGGAGTCTGGCATGGTAGCTACACCAGTGCCTGACATTTGGCCGGCAATGCCGTCAAGTGGTAGGAGTTGGTAAAAAAGTCGTCGCCTCATTTGCACATCAAATGGCGGCAAGCTCAGCTTCTCTCCATCCCGGTGAAGTCCCATGCGTTGGGCTATGCGGATTGCGACACCTGTCAAGATCCAGTATGTGTGCGGGTCGTAGGAATACCGGCAAGGTAGAAGAAAGAGAATGAGGGTTTGCAGCACCGACATGTCGGTAGTCTTGAGAAAAGACGCGTTGACAAGAGCCTGCCGAGTCGCGAAGTGATATCTTTGCATCAACGTGGCTCGCGACTGCCCAAATTTCTCTGCACATTCCTCTTCCGTCATTGAGAAGACGGCAAAGTGGTATATGGCAAACAGCAGGCACTCGTCAGCTTTCGACGCCATTGCAGGCTGCTGTGAAGCCATCACAACCATCTTGAAAGTTGATGGAATGTGCAGAACTTTGCAGAGGGGTTCCACATTTTCGACGTGCGTCTTCCATAACATGATGGCTTTCTCATGGGTTGGGTGATACTGGAGAAGACTCTGTTGACAACTCATGAAAGCTCCTGTCAAAGGATCTGATGATACGAGATCCCCGGAAACGCCGGTAACTACTTGATCCTGTTCGTCGTCAACAGACAAGTGTTGCATCTCATCGTCCCCCAAGTTGTGCCAGAGATCGCTGTCTATGTATCTTGACTTGCCCTGGCCGGCCAGAAGCTTGCCCGTTTTCGACGCTTCAGGTTCGTTGAAACGGAGAGATATTACTGATTCCTCTGGTGTCTCTTCGATGGAAGGCGATGTGTCAGCATCCTCTGGTAGTAAGCCATGTTGGCGCAGAATGCGCTCATATCGGGCGAGCCTTTCGTTGATGTCGCCGCTCAACTTCCTTTTCCGCCATCGTGGCAGAGGAGCTTGATAGAAACACTCGAGCTTGCCCTTGCGGCAGCTCGAACATATCGGCGTCGCCTTGTCGCATTTCACCTTGCGCTTCGCACAGGTCTGGCAAGTATATGGCATTGTAGGTTGAGGCAAGTCTCCATTGGCACCAGGATCGGTTGAGCGAGCCCCGGCAGGCGCTGGGGCAATAGCTACCGGCCTGCTATGTGTATGGCCATCCGTGGCAGCCATTGCGCTCTCCAATGCCGATCAAGAAGAGGCCAGCATTACCTACCTAGGAGCGCCGTTAATACCAAAGGTAGCTTCTGGATTCCAGGGGCAACCGTACCTGAATTGAGGCTGTAATCAGTGCTTTGGGACCTGATAAATTGCGCGCTTTTGTTGGTTTTTCAGGGGCCAAAATCCCCAAGTTTCCATTGTTGAACCACGGTGCCACGTTCACTCACCAGGCCAAAGAACAATCACTTAACAAAATAGCACGGGTATCACGTGTGTAAAGTCGAAGACCCCTAACCCTAACCCCAGCGGCCAGAATGCTAAAGCTTGGGAACGTGTAAAGAGATCAAGTAGATTGCCGCCTATAAGGGCTTAATTAGATTCCGTGACGCCACTAAATATATGAGATGGACGAAGACATGGTCTAAATTTTCATATAGTTGAACACGGGCAGATAAGAATTTGAGATGAGTTTCGTCGTTAGACCTCGCTATTGAGCAAAGATTGCCCCCTATATATTATACTACACTATTATTACAAAAATAAAGCTCCCTATCAGATCTTGATGGTATCAGGGTCGTACGCAAAATCATCCCAGGCCATGAACAGGTTCAGTACCGCGACCGCTTTCAAGAACGCCCAAAATCCCCATGTCATTAGCCACTGTGCCCACGGCCCTCTTTCCTGCTCTCTAGTCTGCTTCCTGATCGTCGCCCGCAACTTCGCGATCCGAGGCTTGCGCAGCTCTTCATACCGGTCGAACCCTCGGCCATGCGAGACAACTCGTGCGAGCATAAATACGTCCTCGATAGCCTGGCTAACTCCCTGTCCCATGTTTGGCGGTAGCGCATGCGCAGCGTCGCCGACAAGCACGACCCGTCCCTTGTACCACCTCTCGAGCTCGGGGAGTTCGTACACTGGCCAGGAGAAGAACTCGTTTGTGGCGGCGATGATCTGCGGCAAGGGTTCATAAAGCTGCTTGAACCTCTCGTACTCTTCCGCCCGGATCTTCTCTACGTCGGAGCTCCTCTCTGCGACTTCCTTAGTCTTTGCCGCAATCCAGTACAGGCAAGACCGGCTCTCGTCTGTAAACGCTGCAGCGAAGAAGCCTCGCCGAGCAAAGACCGCGCAGGTCGGCGGCATGGACGCGAAGTCCACATCGGGGAGATCCTTGGTGGGCAAGATGCCATAGACGAGAGACTGCCGCGTATACTCCGGCTTCACATCCGCCGCCACGTAGCCCCGAACTGTCGAGTGGATCCCATCCGCGCCAACGAGGTAATCCCCCACCGCGACACTCCCATCCGCGAACCGCGCAACGACCCCATCCCCACCCCCCTCGACCGCCACCAGCTCCCTCCCAAACTCGACCGCGACCCCGCTCCGCCGCGCCACCTCCGCGACCAAGATCTCCTGCAGCGCGGAGCGCATGATCCTGACCCCCGGGAACAGCCCGTCCCGGCTGGCGTTGGCGATCGAACCCAGCGCGGCGCCGCCCTCGTCGCGCACGTCGAACGCCGACACGGCGCAGCCGCGGCGCCGCACCTCGTCGCCGATCCCCAGGCGGCTGAGGAGGCGCAGGCCGTTGGGCGCGAGGTTGATGGCGCCGCCGATGGTGTGCGGCCGCGCGGCGCGCTCGTAGATGGTGCAGCGGTGGCCGTCCTGGGCTAGGCGGAGGGCGGCGACGGGGCCGGCGATGCCGCCGCCGATGATGAGGTAGGTGCTTGGCATTTGGTGGTGGTGGTGGTGGAGTCGCTTTGGGCGATGGCCGGTATAAATGCGGTTTTCAACGAGGTCGCGGTTGTATTGTGGTTGTTTTGTTGCCAGCAACTCGAGCTGGTGCAAGCTGGGAACGTACGTAATTGTCGGGCTCTCGGGGCACCGAGACTCGGCGTTGTAATTCTGCCGCATTACGAGGTCCCTAGGCGGCGACCACACAGTCATATCCAGGGCTCGAGGGTCCCCGCCAATAAGATTATTTGAGCCTCGCCAGAAGAGACGTTTAACTCCTATTCCACAAATGGTCTGCTCTAAATCGTGGTTTTAGTAAGGAGATGGTACCTGGAGAATCCCACAACAGATACTGACCCCTTTTCAGCAGGTAATGTGGCGTATTACTCACTTCGATTTATCATCAGATCAACCATCATTGCCTGTAATTACGGCATTAGAAAGATAGGCGTTCGAGATACGCTATTGAGTCGATTAACAGGCTCGCCTATATACTCGTTCCTCGCTCCTTATTGGATAGCAGCTAGTACCTGCTTTATATACTCCTCAGTCGTATCTCCTCAGGCTCATGGGGAGTGGGTAGCCCATCCTTAAGGGATAATATTAAAGAAACGGGCTCTCCGACGGTTAGAGGTTTTGTTACAATCGTCGTTCGTTGTTAGCAGACAGAAGAGATAGTAATGTCCACGGAGTACTTCTAGACTAGATTACCCACGGGGTCTAGCCCCGGGCGAGCGGAGAGAACAAGGAAAAGATGAAGGTATCGTGAGATTGTACTGTACAATAAAGGGGGCCAAGGTTGGTCTAGGAAGGGAGCTGTCGGGATGGCTCTGCCAGATTCCCCAATAAGGCTTGATAGTTAATTCGCTCTGAGACTGAACGTCGCAATAGGTAGGCATCCCTTCGGGCAGCGTTGATCATATGGACTAATTACAGGTATCTCACCACAGTAAGAATATACTTAATAGAATAGAATTCCCCCTTCCACGCCGTCATTCAAATCATATTTGTCGTCGAGCTTACGGGTTCTCAGAGAGTACCAAACGTCCAGGAACTCTCCCAGCTATATGTCTCACCGGCACCCGTGATCTCAGCATCCTCACGCTTCCACTCGGGGCTAAGATTAGAGCTTGAGTCAGCCATCATATTCACACAGAAGCACCTCCAGAAAAAAAGGGGCAATATAGAAAAATCTGCCCCGTCACCGAACGCTGCACTTACTGGTTGATACCATCGACATAATCCTGCGCCTCAATGGCAACACACGAGCTACTCGTAACCTTATCCCTACCCGCGAGCCCCTGCGTGCTCTTGAGGTCGGCAGTGCCGTCGCTCCAGAAACACGAGTAGACGACGAGGCCGGCCTGGTCGGTGCGCAGGTCGGCGCGGATGCCGCTGAACGGGCTCGCCAGCGACAGCACGACGGCGTCCTTGGGCGCGTCGTCGATGATCCAGAACCCGTTGTACCCGTCGCAGCCGCCGCCGCAGTTGTCGGCGAACCCGGTCTTGTTGACCGAGTGCCCGAAGGAGATGTCGGCCGCGCTCGCGAAGTCGTTGACGCTGCCCGGCGCGGCCGTCAGGATCTTGCCCGTCGGGAGCGCGCCGGCGTCGCCCTCGAGGTAGCGCGGGGAGTAGGGGAGGTGCAGGGTGTGGTCCCAGATCTTGTCCGTGTCGGGGTTCTTGAAGGCGTCGAGGTTGAAGTAGGTGTGCTGGGTGAGCATGAGGGCTGTTGCAGCCCTGGTCAGCGCGTGGGGGCCGGGGGGGCGGGGGGGTGGAGGGAAGGAGAGCAATTTGCATAGGGTGCTGGGGGCGGGGTGCTTACGAGTCTCAGCGTCGGGCACGGCCACCATCTTGATGTTCCAGGTGCTGTTGGTCACGCTGTAGGTGACGTTGGCCTGGACATTCCCGGGGAACCCGGGGGACGTGTTGACGGCATCGTAGATGGAAAACGTGATCGAGTCCTCGGAAGCTGCAGTAACGTTCCAGAATTGATACGACCAGTTGTTGGTACCGCCGTGCAGAGTGTTGTTCCCGTCGTTAATCTGCGTCTTGTAGGTTGTACCGTTGAGCGTGTAAGTGCCGTGCCCGATCCGGTTCACGTATCGCCCGGGAATGGAGTTGTACACCGGATGTCCGGGGTCCACGGCTACAAAGGGCAAGTCAGTTAGAAGGCGTGCCGATACTGCTCAAGCCCTGGGGTGTCCTCATTTACGGTAATAGGTGATGTTGTCATAGCCGAGGACGACATCAACATCTTTGCCATTCTTGTCCTTGACAAACAGGTTCCTGAGTGTTGCGCCGTAGGGGATGAACTGGGAACGGTTAGTTTTTCAGATGTCTCATGTCATGCACGATACATGAAGGCTCCTTTTACCTGAGCCTTGATGCCCGGGGCAGAGATTGTGTACGTTCCATCTTCGCCGGGGGTCGGCTCAGCCTGGCCGATGACTGCTTGCGCCAAGAAGGCGAAGATCGCTGTCGAGTACCGCATTTTTGGAAATTCTGAAGACGATGAAACTGCTCGAGCCCGGGGGAAAACCGCGAAGAAAATAAGTCAAGGATCGGCGACGAGGAGTCCTCTTCAACTGTTGGAGATGTCTTGTTCGCCAGCGGAGATGGCTCCGCGATCTGCCGACCGGCCGAGACTTTAAAGAGGAGTTGGGCTCATATGAGGAGCTGGGCTCATATGGGGAGCTGTTCATAATACTTTACAACCCTGATTCGGGCGAATCCCTGAACTGCGGGGATATTATCAGGCTGAGTTGCCCATGGATCATCCGAGGATCGCCATGTCCACAATCTCACTGTGTGGCTTGTTAATGCGGCACAGAGTTAATAGACATCTAGGCGGCAGGGATGTCCCGGATGGATGACGCCATTGGAGGCAGGTTAGGGGCCACGGGCACTTATAGGGCGTCCCTTATCAAACAAGCGCTTCACATCGAGGCTTTCTCAATAGGCTCGGCTTCGCTCAAGGGGTTGGCCCAGCCATATACAGTCCAGCAGCGCAGTCAGTACCTATGAGATAGCTACACTGTGGAAAATCCCGAAATAGTAATAAATTAACGATGCAAGAGGAGAAGCTTATTTCTCCTCTCGTAAAGTCACATTCGGAAGCTATCAACTGCTTTAGCCGAATTCAAGCAGCCAAAATCTGGGATCGATTCCCCCTGATTCGAGATTTGCGCAATATAACCCTAAACTGGGACTGGTCGGCTCGTTCCGCAGTAGTGGTTGCGCCGTATTATCCGTCGGGTCAGTGCGTCGGCCGGTTTTGCCCCCGCAGTTCAAGATCGGCATTCAACGTCGAAACGCAGAATCAGGGGAAAGCACAGTTTGGCATGCAAAGTTGACAAATATTTTTGTCGGACTTTGGTTCCCTTTTCAGTACTAATTGAGCCACATATCCTCCAGTTTTTATCTCGAATTTCTATTGAGGCATTGGAAAGATATTTCAACTTCAAGTTTGCACTCTTGCAGATGTAATTGTGCCAAGACGGGGTCTTGGTGGACCCTTGCATCTTGTACCCAACTCCTCCTCACCAACGCCTCACCAGCGCCAGTCTCACACTAAGCAACTGTTTACTATGTAGACACCCAAAGAGATCCAACGTTGGATTTCGTTGTTGCAGAGTTCCCCTCGGCCCCTATATACAGACCCAAACATGATCCGCTGGAGATGGGACCTTCCAGGCAATAATCACTGGCTGTGGAGGCAGATAACTTTAGGTGGGCAGTTGGCTCTTTTGACTTGCTACGAGACGTCATATCACGGAACATTTATGTCGACACAGGCTGGACCGATCCATTTTGTGAGATATCATTGCGAGACAGTACCAATTTTATTACCAAAGAAAGCCAACCAAGTTACCATCCATATTATGCCCGACAACTCCCAACCTGTGATACCTATATATAATTACATCATTCCCGCAGTCTCATAACAATGCCTAGTATCCGTACTTCTCCGAATCACCCTGACCGCCACCACCACCACCACCACCACCACCCCCCTTCAACATCCACGGCACCCCCCCAACAAACACCACAGTAAACCCAAAAGCCAACCACTGCAGCACCTGCAGCGCCACCCCAGGCCTAACCACCGTCCTCGGCGCCGCCTCCCCAACAACGCCCAGCAGCGTCGAGAACTCCAGCGCGCCCGCCGCCCCGCTCGTGGCAAGGCAGGCCGTGAACGCCAGCGCCGCCGACAGGCACAGGCACGCCAGCGTCGCGGCCCTCAGCGGGCCGGTGCCGCGGCGCTTCGCCACGACCAGGGCCGCCAGCCCGGCCAGGAAGAGGAAGCCGGCGCCCGCGAGGAGGGGCACGAAGATGCGCGACTGGAGGGTCAGGGCGGCGGAGACGAGGGCGCGGGCGGCGTCGGATCGGGAGGGGGCGGGGGGAGTGTTCTTGCCCTTGGTGGCGGGGACGGTGGTGGTGTGGTTGAGGAGGCCCGGGAAGAGGGAGGCGACGACGTCGTCTGCTGAGGAGCCGGCTGTTGGGTGGCACTGGAGGTCGGTTTGGTTGCCGGCGCAGATGCCTGGGTTGGGTGTTAGCTGGGGGGAGGGGACCTGGGGGTTGGGGGGTTTTTGCACTCACCGAGATAGCCCAGGCGGAGTTTTATGGGAGGGGATGTGTCGTTTCTCGAGAAGGAGACGATGTATAGATCAGGTAAGACTGGCGAGGTTGATACGCATCCGGAGAGCGAGAGTGCTGCTTGTCTTTAGCAAGGGAAGCGAAGGTTTGGAAGCAGCCGCGCGTGGAATTGCTCACCTTGGAATAGAATGATTGGAATGACTAGAAAAAATGGTAGGAACCGGGGTTGAAATGCGCCTTTCCAGTTAGGTTAGCCATCTTGACCCTGATTTTGAGAGAGCAGCAGATCCATACCTTTGAGCTTCTGAGCGAACGTCATGGTCGTAGATCGTGAGATTTGCTGTAGATCAACTATGCAAGGAGATGGAGACTTGTGTGGAGGAAGAAATGGAGGACAGTTGAGAACCTGGTAAGGAAAATTCTTGGTTGTCCCGCAACATATAATAACCGATCGAACGAAATAACGAGGGAAAACGAACAAAGGAGACGGAGGACACAAAAGAGACAATGAAAGAGTTGTTGAATTTCACATCAAAGCTGGGGCTGTCGGTCCGTTTTCATCTTGGAAAGTCCTGGTCTTTGACCTGTCCAACAAAGACCCCCTTGTCACAAATGCATTGAGGGAATCCACCCGATGCAGTCAAAAGCCGCGCGCCTTTCAACTACCCTCGTCGTGTATCAAGAGCCTCATGCTTTGATACACCCTTGATTTGCTGGTGCTTCCTCACAGCTGTTCGAGGAACCGCGCTCTTAGCAGGGAATCTGTCTCATGGGAGATCCCTGGCATATCAGGGGTTGAAGCCGATTCGGCAGTGCAGAAACGCTGGCGCTTAGCGAATTGGCAGTCGGACACCCGCGCTATTTGAGTTGAATGAGTGGCCAGGAATCAATCGCAGCTATTGGCCTATATTTAGACCACTGGGAACAAACACTTCTCCACTGAGCAAATGCACAATCCAAGTCCCCAGATCCTGGGACAGTCGTACATACATCAAGCCGAGAGGCCACGAGATAAAAATAAAACAAGTCGCCCAGCAAAAGAAGGCGGCATGCCAGCCAATACAACGCGGAGGCGTGGCACACCCTAGATAACATACAGCTTGACCTCTGCGCCGGTGTCGGCGTGGAGCCTCTTCCGGTTCTCGTGCTTCGCGACCCCCCGAAGCCCCACCGCCGGTCGGCATGGCGCCGGCATCTCGCCGAAATCCGCGGCCTTACCTCCGGCATCTTACCGACGACCCCCACATCCTGGTCTTGGTCTAGCTTGTTGAACCGACAGGCCAACAACTCGGCTCTGAACTCCCGTTGCCGGTGAGATGTAATTAATACAACGTTGCAACGCCAAGCACGGCGATTGACTGGAGATTGTCTTCTGAGTAGCTGCTGCGTATGCTAAGTACATGGGGGCAAGGGGCTTGTTTTCCTGTATTTTGCCGTTTGCAGGTCATTCCTATACAAGTTTAGTCAATAGCTAGCTTCCTTGGAAATACATGCATAATCCCAACCCTTTGTCTCTAGGTACACAAGGCTTGCCAAAGAGTAACGTCGCCAAAGCTACACAGTAGACACCGTCCTTCTCATCGGCGAAATGGTGGACACCAGCGACGCTTTCGACGAGGCAAAACGGCATTCCCAGAAGGTGGGTGATCGACGTTGGGCCGGGCCGCTTGCCTGGAGCCCCCAGGCTCGCCCTGACGGCTCATTCCCTCGAGTTTTGCTGAGCCTTGTTGCACTGGAGAAGAGTGTGTCCCCTCTCTGAATCTTGCAACGTCATTTACCGTGCGCAGTGTCACCACCAAATCGCTCTCGAGCTGAGGCATGAAAGAGAGATCGTCGCCGGCGTTCTCAACTGCAACCTGGTTTCCTACGGTGTGGTTGACTGGTTGCGGTGCGTGCACAGAATGATGCTCGTTGTCGGAGGACATTGCCACGTCCTGGGACTCTCGGTTCGCCTCACGATCTTCGACAAACCTGTTGACGTGAGTTCCGTCGATAGTCAGTGAGACTCGGCGGATGGAAGATGATGCCGATAGAGGTACATCGGCAGAGGCAGCACAGCCATCGTCGGTCTTAATGGCATCTAAACCTTGGAACGACCACGGTTGTTGCAAAGGAAGGGGGGCAGCAGAATGATCGTCGTTCCCTTCCTCATTGGGAGGAGCCGTCGTCGGGGCTGGCGAGCCTGACTGGGCACCGGATCTTAATCTCTGAGATGCTCTGGGACGCTTAAGACCACCAAAGCTCTTTTTCAATACCTGAATAACAACGATGCGTCTGGGATTGGCTTCGTTTGCGTATCTAGTGGTTGTTTCTCTTGCGGTATCCCTATTTCCGAATATACCGAAGCGCCAGGAAACAAGTATATCTGGGTCATTGGGTGAGGTTCGGAAGTAGTGGCCTGCAAGATTCACTTCCATCCATGTTGGGTGATAATTGGACAACTCCGTTTGTAGGAGAGTGTGCTGAGTCATGCGTGGCTCCCAAAGTTGGCTGCAAACTGATCTTCCGAACTCGACGGGCCTCTCAGCAGTCACCAAGCAGGAATTGCTGCTAATCGCGTACACCGCTGACTCATCTGAGTCCTCGAGGATGTTCGCCCAGCTATTCAATGCCAAGCTTAAGTGTAGGGAGTGCTCTGCATGGTAATTGAAAAAGGCGACATTGAAAACTCCATTGAGCTTTCCCGTCTCATTCAAGAGGTCTAGCATGCAGCAGACCAACTCGGCGACTTCCTGCCGATGAGCCTCGTAGTCCTTCCAGAACTGGCAGATGTCTTCGTCGTCTTGGCTATGTAGAGCAACCAGCAGAGATGGTCCCCATATCTTTTCCCTCCAGCCCGGGACACAGAGCTCTAGCCGTGGTTGGAGGGCATCGCACAGAAGGATGTCCTTCAGCGGGACTCTGCGGGCGTTTCCTGTGCACTGGCTGACCTCAACACCAAGGCTCATGTGTAGAATCCAGGGGTTGGCCCTCGTCGGGTTTTTGCTCCACTTGTCCCAAATGTGCTGTTTGACGGTGGTCGCAGGAAGTTTCTTTTGAGTCCCAGACATTGCTAGGCCTACAAGTTTCGAAAACGAGACCGCAAAGCTGCGACTATCCGTGGTCCAGGTCGAGGGCTTTGTTCCCAAAACATAGAACGCAGAGTTCGAATCGTGTTGGAAGTCGCTAGGCGAATATCTGCACGACTCGTGCTGCTCGAGCAAGCTCCCGATGAGGAGCATATCGTCCCACTTCAGAGTAGTAGGAGCCTTGGCATCGTTCCTGAACACATCTTTGATGCCACGAGTGACCCTTCGGTAATGATACTCTGGCCAGCTTTCCCAGTGACATGTCGCTGCGCCATCATACCGTGGCAGCGTGTCAGTCTCGACCCTATGGATAACTCCCTTCGAAACGTGGTATCGAAGAATCTCGCCACTGGTACTCCCCTCGACGGGTTCGGTCCAAACAGGACCCCAGACATCGGCAAACGTCTCCATTGTTGTCAGGATAGGCAGCGGCTTCGAGTCGTCCAAGACACGAGGTCCATGTTCATGGATTTGCCGGAAAATCCAGACTGAGGTTCTATCGAGGAATCCGTCAAGGCAGGCCAGTCGCCGACAAGACAATCGAAATCCATATGTCGTCTTGGTGCTAAGAACATTGCCTCCAACCTGGATGTCCTTATCGTGTTTACCCAAGTACTGGACGTCGAAGTCGCTCCCATGTGAGCCCATATAGGATACCAGGGCTAGGTCAAGCAGCAGAACGACCACGCGGCATAGCATACAGATCTCGTCGCTGAGTAGCGGCTCACGGGGTGACAATCCGAGTCCGAGTCCGAGCGCTGTGTGAAGTCGCCATACGAAGTCCTCTGCACGGTGAATGGGCTTGGGCGAGAGGATGCTCTCGTGGGTCAGAGTTTCTTCGAGCCCCTGATGAAACATTTGCAGTGCCTCAAGAGGGACCTGCACGAGCTTTGCTAGGCAACACTCGGGGTCTTCCAAGAAGAAACTAAAGAATGAAGTCGCAAAACCGTGATCAATGACGTATCTGAAGCTGCACAGCACCTGACTGAGGATGACATAGCTCTTCGCTATGCTGAACAGGGCTTTCGAGTCCTTGTTTTCGTCAAGGCTGTCTGGCAACCTCTTTAGCACTCTCAAGGTGCCTTCAGGAATCTCGTGCCGCTCGTAAGTGTTGTCGTTCGTGTCATAGACTCCTTTGCAACGGAAGGCTTCGGATTTTTCGATGACCGACCTCTCCAGGCTAGCCAACAGGCTGTGGTGAGCCTCGGGATCTACGATGTGAAGATCTGTATCGAAGTCGAACCTCGAGCCCAACTCTTTCCATTTCTCGGCTCCCTGGGGGGTGGGGTTGAGGGTGGGGTTGAGGGGCGGATTCGTTGGGGGAGCCGGTGGAGGCTGGATCGTCGATTGCGTACGGATACACTGGATGGTTGATCCCTCATGGATAGTGTAGTCTGATAGACTCTTGTTTGGTTTCAATTGATGTCCACCATGAATAAGCCGAAGACCATCTGCTCCACAGTCCTTGTGCTTGGAAAGCTCCAGCAAGAGATCGCTGACGAGCCACGATGGTTGAGCATCGACACGGATGGTCCCTGATGCGAGGTCAGAATTTGGTATTTCGTGTTCCACAAGGTCCACATACGGAGAGGCGTCTGCACAGTGATGATCATTTTGAGCGACGGGGTGATATATGGGGAGAACTTGGAAGATATTGCAGGAATTGCTTCGAATGGTTGATGGGTTTTGCGGTAAGGCTATTGCAGTTTGGAGAGGATGCTTTTGTTCCAACTTCAGCTCAGCCGCATTTCAAACGATGCTTGTCCAATCGGCCACTTTCAAAGACCACAGAAATACCGCATAGCCAATGATATCGCCTGAGGAGGAGGAGGGCAGCTCATCGACCCGACATGTCCTCAACCTTGTGTAACGATGCCGGCCACCAAGTCCCAGACACGAAGGCTTTGTAATATCGTGTACAGGAGGTCTGGCATGACCGCGGGGATAGAGATGTACAAAGTACATACATTTGAGCAAGAACCGTAGGTCCTGCCTTCACAGTCCCCTTGACATCGGACCACCTCCAGTACCTAGAACGCGCCGCTTCCACGGGAAATGACGACGTTATACCCACCGGTCGGAGTGGCCGAAATAGACCCTATTCATCGTTCTTCCCAGCCATCCCCGTTTTCGAAGGCCGAAGAAGCCGACAAAGGCGACGAGTGTGGTGCTGGCAAATATTATAGTCCAGGACGCCCTGCGAAGGATGCGGCGATGGCTGCATTGACGGCTAGGCAACCGGAATTCCCAAACTGCCCAGAACAGTGCGAGTCAGTAACTCTGTGATAAGGCTGACGGCGGTCGCGAGGCACATGGATACGGCAATCCCCTGCAGAGTCCGGAAGAGGATCATCTGGCCGGCGTTCCGGGCCAGGCCGACGGCGCTGGTGAACACGGCGAACAGGAAGCTCCCCGCGACCCACGACGTCGGCGACGGCGCCGAAGATGAGGAGCAGGGACCCCGCCGCGAGGGAGTAGATGGCGGCGGGCTAGAGGACCAGGGCCGGCCAGAGGCCGATGTCCCGGGCGATGAGGATACCGTTCCCCATGGAATTGAGAAAGGTGACACCGGCGAGCGTCACGATGGCTGCCACGCCCCTGGCCTTGGAGACTCGGGTCGGTGGCTGACTGCGATGCGGCCACACTTGGGTCTCAGCCGATGGTGCAGACGGCAACGTTCCTCGTTGTCCTCATCGCCTTGCCTCTCCTAACCGCCGGCGCCGCTTTTATTGGCCCGGTTCCTAATGATGTGTCTAGCTCTAGCTTCCCAAATGTTTGATCTCCTTAGTGTTGCCGCCAACATTCGCTAAGATTCTTACTTATGCGGAGCTGATTGCTTTCTGTCGGATGTGATGTGTTTGTGTGTGTGACGTAATTCATGGGAGCATGGTCCCAACCAGTTTATCCCACCACATCCCTTATCTCACTATTATCTCATGTAATTACTCGAAAATGTCAGAGAGGGTGAGAGGCTCACTCATCATGTTTCTTTTGCCGCGCGGTCGGCCACCTGCTAGAGACCTAGCCTCAACGCATACTCTAACTAGCAAATCAATCTTGCCTATGTTGGCCCAAGTAATCGGTCCAGGCAAGTAGAGGTCCTCATTTCTCCTATCGATAATATTTGACGTCTGCTGGCGTCCCATACAAAATTAACTTCTCGAGGTCAAATTCTTCTTTCGAGCAGTGGCACAGAACCACAGCATCCGTCGCATCCGTGAAATCTACCAACCCGGCCTCCCCTCTAAAATCCAGCAGACATGCGACGGCGCCTTTCTTGTCCGCTTCCTCTCCGTTGCCACCCTAGAGAGAGTCAGTTGCCACGCACGATTCACATCAAGAGGTGTCTTTACCCAGTCCCTAATCTGCGCCATGCGTCTCTCCTCGCTCCAACCCGTGACCCACACGACGTCATCCGCCATCTTAAGACTGATGGTCGTCTATGCGGCGTCGAAATAGTGGTTGTAGGGTAGTTGGAAATTTGCGCGGCTTTTGCAAACAGCATGCCCGACGATATCCCCAAAATGGCGCATCGCTGGCGAGGTGGTTGCGACCACCGGCAATTATGGCGCACGAGCATCATAGGTCCGGACTAATCTTGGAGCCGGCGCTAGGGTGAGCTGTTTCCGCTAGTCTATTCAAGCTTTTAGAGGCAGGGTATGGGCCTCACATTTTGTGGGGGCGGCAGAGCTAACAGCACGCGTGGTTGCTGGATTGGGAAACGTCGTGGTTACTGGATTGGCACCAATATCTCGGGTCGCATGGAGGTGGAATCCTTCGCCACTGAAACGCATAGCTACCGACACAATGACGAGTTCCGCACGCGACCAGTCGGCTAGTCTTGCAGTATAAAGGCACGACTCTTCAGCGGGGTAGCAAATTACAATGTTTATCTTGGAGGTCAGCAATCAGCATTCAGCATCAAATCACTGAAAATTGCTAACCAACTTTCAAGCTGTACAAGACAAAGTCCCAAGCTTGTGTCTCATTCGAGTCGGAACACCGTCCGACTCTGCTCATATCATTGCCACTACCACCATCCCATAAAAAATAAACTATCCCTTCTGAGATCTCCACGCCATGGGTCGAATCCGTCGGCTCCTCAGGGACGTTGTTGGTGACACGACGAATCCCAATAAGCCCCAAAGCACCGACGCCGGGTCTGCCTCTGGCGATAGACCAGGTATGCAAGGCTTCCGTTATTGAATAAGTCACCCACGCCCACAAACCAGATTGAAAGCACCAGTACTACGAACACTTAACGCTGACCGCTCTTCTGTTGTAGACGATCCGTATCGGGGGTCAGCAAAACCTCTCACTGGCATACACTCCCCGAATCGCCCGTCGGGGCAGCCGTCAACGAATCAGTACACTGCCCCGGGTTATGCCGGCTTATCACGCGATGGGCTGCCCCCGGGGAGACCCTTGGAGGGCAACTACGGCGACGGCGTAGGTCCTAGTCCGGCTTCATATCCAGAGGCATATCCGGGACGGGGTATCGGCGGAGCCGGCGACAACAAAAGCATGCCGCAGCCAGACGGATACGAGTACCGCACAGGTGGGCGGCATGCTCAGCCGTACGATGGCGTTCACCACCAGGCTCAGCACCAGTGTCCACGCCAGACACGATCGGAAGAGTACGGTCGGGATTCCAATGGCCAGCCGCAATATTACGCTACAGGTCCACCTCCTGGCACCGTGTACTATGGCTCTCACGAGGAACATACCCCTCGGAGGGGTGAAGTTGCACCAGCAGATGCGTCAGGCCGGAGCCGAGACCGCAGCTCCAGCAGAGACCGCCGAAGTCGCAGGAAGCACCGGCGCAAGAGCAGAGATAGGCGCCCTGGAGTCATCTCCCAACTTAGGGACGCCATGTAAGCAGGCCCCTTTCTCGTTTTACTGTTCCTGGTCGATAGCTCTGGTTGCTGACTAGAGACCGTGCAGCAGCGGAAGCAACCAACAACGGTAAATACCTAGGTACCCTGGTTCTCGTTGGCTTGGATTACTTGGTGGGAATAATGTGGGCCTCGGCGGGGACGTTGGATTATCATTGGCGCTAGCAGGGTTTAAAAGCAGATTCTCCTTCTGCCCTACGAAATGCACGTTCCCACAGCATCCCATCCACCAGATTCCGAATATTCTTCCCAAACCATCGGCGCCAAGGCGGGAATGGTCTTGGCCGCCTCCACTAATGATCCCCTCGCATACACCAGTGTATCCTGTGTCGCGCAAGATGCCGACAAGAAGCCCCCGAGGAATGGAATGCCCTCCCCATCTGCTCCATGGCTTCTTGTGTGGATCTGAAGTGGCCTCTCTCCAAGGCTTTCGTAGGGAACCTGTCTTCAGCGGAGTCCCGCCGATGAGTGGTCGTACTGTCGGTCACTATTTCTATCGTTAGCGAGACATATTTCTCCCACAAGTTTAGGTAGTCTATCCCTCACCTCATCAAATCTGTATCAACGGCCCCATTCTGGTCGATTGCCTGGTATTCGCTCCAGGCTGTGGATATCGTCTGCAGCCCCTCCCCGATAAGCACCAGCTTGGTGTACTTGTAATACTTCTCGGGGCCTTCTTCTTCGTCAATTGCCTGGCTTGTAGCGCGGCCGTGGATATAGCTGCGGGCGAAAAAGACCAAGAGCGACCGGTTGTAGGCATTGACGCGCTCAATCTCGTTGCAGTCGTAGTGGCAGACGGCCCTAGCGATCATGTCGCCGGAAAGCTCGGTTTCGCCGCCCCAGTATTTCACGTAGTCCTCTGGCGCTCTTCGTCCACGCCGGTCGTGGAACCAGACATTGAAGAGGCCACATTCTCGCAGCCTCGGTCGGATCATGGCCGGAGCACCAGCCTTGCGATCGGGCGACGTAGATGGTGCGGCGCGGCCGGTCCGCGCTCTCTTGCGTGGAGTGCCATGGTTGACCTCGCTATCGTCCACCGCCGCGTCCTCGTCGTTGCCACTGGTACCTGGTGTCGGTAGGTTCTTGGCCCAGACACCGATTTGGATTGATGTATCCTCTAGCCGGCGCTCCTACAACTGTCAGATTTTGCCCTTTCCTTTCCTCCATAGAGTTGCAGCAAGTGGAGCAGCTAAAGGGAAAGCTTTCGAATTAGGCAGCCAGGTTCCCGTTTATTATTGGTCCTGCTTCCTTTTTCGCACCAAGTTCTCAGTCCAAGTTAAAGTTTGCAGCCTGTATCTCCCGTCTTCTCTTTTCCTCTGTCTCGCCTACGCTTCTCCATCTTTTGTCTTTTTTTTCTTTCTCATTCTTGTAACCGCCCTCCCATCTTCGTCTTTCCTCTCAGACGGGCGTTTGTTGGCAAAATGGCCACGACGGGCCTAGGCCAGCAAGGACACCCACCACCGACGCCGCCGGTAGACGCGCTTGCAGCGCCTGACATAAGCTTCCGCCATCCCGGCTACGAGGGCGAGTCGAATCAATTGCTCCGTCTTCCGCGGGTCGACACGGAGGATAATCAGGAATTCGGCATACACCATAAGACGGCACTTGTTGCGTGCGAGATTGTCGCAGGTAATCGGTTCGACGAAGGCTACCTTTCCCCGCATAGGACGGGCCAGCCAATTCAGACGCTAATGGATGGCGTCTTGACCCAGGATCAATATTACTTTATCATTGACGGTTGCAAAGGTATATTGTATCGCTTCCATTTTGCCCAAACTTGACCTATCCATTATTACCGACTCTTTCTAACGTGATTTGCTCTTCTGTTTTCAGAACCCTACCCCGTCGTTCCCAACTTTCGCGACTGGCAATTTCCCCACGGCCGCATCCCTAAATAATTACTGGCCAGCACGACCCTATCCTTCTGTTAAGTATTCGTCGGCCTGTGCTGTTACTAGAACTTCTTTGGGCTACTGAGAATGCCCGTCTGGTCCCGAGAGAAGAACGCGTCTGGTATATCAAGAGGGAATTTCTCCAGGGGCATGTGCCATTTGCTCCGCGGGCAGGCGGTTAGTGTATTACAGGTGGCAGTTGCTTTTGCTCTTGTCTATTGCTATCGCTCTCTGTTGCTCTTGCTGTTGCTGTTGCTGTCTATCGCTCTTGCCATCGCTCCTATCGCGATTGCTGTTTCTGTATATTGCCCTTGCTGTCGCTGTCTGTTGCTATTGCCATGCTGTCTATCGCTATTGCTATTGCTGTCTATCGCTCTTGCTGTCACTCCTGTCACTCTTGCCGTTGCTGTCCATCGCTATTTCTGTTGCTAGGAATTGACGGGAAGCTCACCTCGGTGTAAGGCTGTCCGAAGGAAACATTGCCTCTTGGAATCTCTTTGTCTTCAGTGTGAATATTCTAGGGTGGCGGCATTCTTCGATAACGATGGCCCCATAGCTGCTCGGGAAAGAGTGACTTCTCGGGATGATTTCATTTATTTATTTCTTTTAAAGGAGCGATGCGGGGAGTAGGGGGACCGGGACCACGTTATCCTAATTACCGGTTAGTCGAGTTGTGTCACGTCAGGCCTTCGTGGTGAGATGCGAAGGATTTGCCCATTGGATTTACCCAAGCCTAACCCTGCACTGAAGTTATATAGTGGCTAAGTTAGTCTACCTTGCCAAGGGTACAAAGTAATATAAATATTAATATGGTGAAGAGAAATCAGTGAGTCTTTTAGTCCTGGCAAAGTAATACCAATAAGTTGCTTGTTTGTTCGCTTGCGTTAGTTTTATGATTAATCACTATAGTCTTTGGAAATTGACGTTTGGTTTTTCTGGTAACTTCATGCCATATAATTAGACCACGCACTGTTATGCAAAGAGTCTACTGTGTTAGTGTGCAGATAAACATGAGATGACAAAATATTGAAGGGCCAATGCTCAGCGCGGATGACAGAAGGACAGATAGCAGGCCCACGACGGTGAGCTTGTAGGCTACTTAGGGCGTATAGGTTTGGCCTATGCCTGCCTAAACTAATTCAAGCAGCTTTTTTCATGACATCAATTCAAGGACTAAAGGGAGTCGTCAGGGGTATTCTTAAGTCACAGCAAGATAACGATTCAGAACTTGGTCACTACGCTATTCTACCCAAAACCACAGGAAAGAAACAAATTCCAGGCCACTAGTCCCTCCCCCCTCTCGGCTCACCCCTTCCGCCCAGCAATCTCCCTCATATCCGCCAACGTCCCCTCATCATCCGGCCCGCCAAACCTCTCCAGGTCCGCGACGGCCAGCCGCGCGTACCTGACGGCCTGCGCGCCGTCCCCGAGGGCCATGTGCAGCCTCGCGAGCACCTCGTAGTGCTCGGCGAGGTGCGACGCCAGGCCCTCGGCGACGACGAGCCGGACCATCTCCTCGGCCGCCTCCACCGCCTCGGCGAACCGCCGCGCCTCGATCAGCCCCAGCATGCCGTCCCGAATCTGCCCCATCCGCCGCCGCCGCCGGTCCGACACGAGCAGCTCCGACTCGGGCGCCGTGCAGAGCGCGCACGTGCACCGGAAGCCCCAGTTGTGCAGGAGCGCGTGCTGGCGCTGGCCGTAGGTGGTGCCGAATTCGGCGTCTGAGTTGGGGGTGGGTATTGGTTAGATGATGTGGATTGGAAGAGGGGCAGGGGGAGGGAGGTTCGTACAGCTGATTGATATCTCTTCTCCTGGCTCGATGTCGCGGATCGCCACGGCTGACATTGCCAGAGTTCGCGGGGAGAACCGGGTGTGTGCGCTGGTAACACGGCATCAGTACTGTTACTTGAACTGACATCACATCTCTACCCCATCAGGGTTTCAGCACGTACTTTGGTTTGCAAGCATGATTAATTCGCTAGCACTCCCCCATTAGTACCTATCGACGCCCAGCGGCCGGAAGTGTCTGTCCACTCACCGAGATCTCCGGGAACAGCGCCATGTACGGCTCGCCACCCAGCGAGACGGCAAAGGTGTTTGTCCGCATCACGTTCTCCGCCACCGACGTGGCCGCGCTGTAGCTGCCCGCCAGCGCCAGCACCCTCTGCGGGTCCGGCAGCTGGTCGATCGCCGTCGCGAGCAGCAGGTGGCCGGCGGTGCCCGCGACGCGCTCCAGCAGGTCGACGGCGCCCATGACGGCGGCCGGATCCGTCACGAACGCCTCGCCGCGCGGGATGCGCCGCGTCGCGATCGCGCCCTTGCCCTTGCCGGGGACGTCCTGCACGACGTACGGCGGCGGCAGTGCCGTGTCGGGGGCGGCGGTGGCGACTGGCGGCTCCGCGAAGGCCTTCTCGATGACGCCGACGGCCCTGGACATGTTCCCCGGGGTCGTGATGATGCTCACGCCGCCGCCGTCGGCGAACATGGCGTTTGTGTACACGCAGTACTTGGTCCCGGCGCAGTAGGGGCGGTGCGTCCAGGGGGCCCACTCCGCTTGTTTCTGGGCGTCGACTTGTCCGCCCAGTGGCTGGGAGCAGAGGGCGGCGTTCAAGCTATCGCCGAGGACGGGGATGGCGCCGCCCTGCCCGCACTGCTCGATGGCGGCGCCGGCATGCGACGGCGAGATGCCGCCGCACGAGAGGATGACGGCGTACGAGAATGTGGTCCTGCGCAGATTCATGGTCGTTGTCGTTTCCCTGTGGCACCCAGCAGATGGGTCGTCGTGGTTTTTTCTCTCATTCAGTACGTGGAAATAATGGCCAAGATGGACACGTTGAAGATCATCAACAATTACTTCCCTCTTGGCCTTGGTTCCCTGCCGTGTCCTGTTTCACTAGAGCGGCTGCCCAGCCGTCTAATTGCTCGGAATGGGAGCCAAGATCTGTCGTTACTTAATTAACCGTGAGGCTATCCCCATTCTCCACTAAAAAGGGGGAACGCTGTCCTATGAAGTTGGGGTTTTCGGTGCATGGGATCGCTCCTTGCGGGAATAAATACCTGCGGCCCGTTTGAGGCATGGTTTCCCATCAACCACATAAACCACCAACTTCTTGGCCCTGGTTTGCCCAGAGCTCGCCAAGGCAATGGAAGATGATCATTTCTCAAGACGTCTCTCTTGGCGAAAGCATCGTTAATCTGGGTGCCTGGGGTCTGTGCGCTACGGGGGCCAAAAGCGAAGCTCCGTCGAATTGGGGAGAGTTACTTGATGATGATCGCCGTCTACTGCAACCTCCCGGTCGACGGCGAAGTACTCCGTAATATCCTAGGTGTAGGGAAGCACTTGGTGGACTACTGAGCAGCCTGGTAATGTCGATCACCTCCCCCCGCTCATCCCACCGGCCATCGAGACAGCTTCGTCAAGCCCTTGCGGAGGAACAGCGCTGGTCTTGTCTCGCGATACCATGCTCTCGAGCTGCATGGCTGAGAAAATCTATCGCACACCCGAGAACCTTGAATGCCATCTGTCGATTCGTGTTGGCACCTACAAACCGAGGAGAGACCTGCTCCTTCCTCTGTCCCCGTCGCGACACAATAAGTTGAACCGACACCCATCAACAATCTATCCACCCCTTCACATTCATCGAAACTCAACCAGCTATGAACCCCTAACAACTCATTCCCCATCCATTCTCTGCGTCGGTTTTGCACTGCGGGGGCATTGGGACACGCCATCAAGCCACTCAATCAGAGCCTGTTATATCTGCAGCGTCTGCAGACCCGGAACCGGCACTGCAGACCCCGGTAGAGACAGACGGTCCGGCAGGTCCTCGCGGCACTCGTCGCATTGCCTGCTGCCGCGGCGATATAGCCACGACTCGTGGTTACAGTCGCGGGTCTCGAGGATGTTCTCCATCTCCCGCCTGATCAGGCGGTCCCTCTGCCCTTCGTCCACGTTTGGACCCCACTGCTGCTCATGCAGTTCCGCTCCCCTGGCGTAGAGCTGCGGCTCGTTCCACTGGTCGCAAATGCACGTCCTCGAGCGAAGTCCGCATACGTAGCAGAACTCTGCTCCACATTGACAGCTGTGAGTGAGACCAGAGGTTAGCGCGGGGAGGGGGGGGACTTATACACAGACGACATAATATTACTCGGAGGGTGGGTTCTCCTCACGTCATATAATTACAGCCATAATCCCGTTCCCCCATCCTCCAGCACGAGTAGCACCTCTGCCAGTTGTTCTCCGCCGCCATGGCAAGGACCTGATTCACCGACGCATCCTCGGGACAGTCCCTTGCACGCCATACACGTCACCTCGAAGAAGAACTTGTCGGTGCAGCTCACGCACTGGTGCAAGGTCAACGACACCCAGGTCGAGGATTTGCGCGCGTCGTTGTCGGGGCCGTAAGCATCGAATGTGGAGGCGTAGCCCCACGGCACGCTGGGGTCGTCGGAGACGTGCAGGGCCTGCAGCTTGTCCAGCATCTTGTCGTTGAGAGCATCCAACTCCTCGTGTCGTTACGCGGCAACGGGTTGCTGTTGGTCACCTCTGTGGAGGTCCAGTGCCGGTTCGCGGTACGTGATAGTCTGGGCTTCCGCGGCGGCCAGTTGTCGGACTACGGAGCCGTCAGTCTCAACCTTCGTTTCCCTCGTGGCAGGACCACAACTCACGCAAGCCCGACATATCATGTGCTATGGGGTTCTCGTGCCGGATGGGGTTGTCGTTTGAGTCCTCCCCCTTTTGTGATCTGACAGACCATACCTGCCCTCTAAATGTGCATCTGCAGCAGCCGGAACCTTAGGCCTCTGTAGGTACCCTCAAGGAGAAGGATGAACTTTTTTGGGGGGGGGTTTCTTGGTTCGGCAAATGTGTGTAGGTTCGTCACTTTTGGAGCTGCCAGGGGTGGTAAACATGTCTGCTTCTACTTCCTTTTCTCTCCCGCTTTCTTCCATTTGAGGTATACGCCTCGTAGTATTGCTCTCCACAAGGCACCACGTCATCGGTCCCGGCATTTCGTGCAGGCGTCTCACGACCTCGCGTGCCTGGGTCTTGAAAGACGCCTTCTCCTCCTCCGGGGAGAGGGAAGGCCAGGCGGCATTGAGCCCGACGCCGGAAATGCGGGACTCGATAAGGACGTCGAAGTTGTTGATCTGGCAAGGGGGGCTAGACGGAAGGCCACACCGGGATGACAGATAAATGGGGTTCTAAAAACATGTTGTCACCTTTCCTTGAAAGTAGATGGTCGGGACCTGGATGCCCATCTCGGCCAGGCAATCATGAACGAGCGCAATCGCCACCGGCGCATTCGCGTCAGAGAGCGAGTGGTCTCGGTGGTAAGGTACGTGGGTCATATGGTTCGACTTGATGATGACGCTGCCCACGGCAAAGATGTCGCGATATTCCTCGCTTTCGTACATGACGTTGGCGTACGTACACTTTTCGTAGACAACGCTCTCCCAGTACCGGAGGACAACATCGCTGGTCCAGGGACCAGGCGGTGGAGCGGGCACCAAGTCGCCAGGGTCTGGCTCATAACGGCGTGTGGAAGAGAACGTGGGCGTAGTCGTCGGTGGGCGGTATCTTGGCTGGGTCGGTCTCGTAGGGATCCATTTTCTTCGACTTGGATTTCGGAGCCATTTCTCTGCGACGAGGATCTTCGAGAAGAACGACTTTGGAGTTGAAAATGAGGATGTTTCCTGGACTGTGTCGTCAGGTTTTTATATGGAATCTTCCCCCGTTGAGTAGGTACGTACAAACAAGATTCGTTTGACCGAACCGGCAGCTCTTTTGTCATTCCCGTCACCAGGAGCCAGCCGGAAAGGAATATGCAGAACCCGCAACGAAGGGCCTAACAACCAAGGCCTTTGTGCTACCCGATATTATTGACACACAAACAACATCACAAGAAAATATCTGACAGTAGTCCTGGTGAAGACAAAGCTTCAATTAGGGTGAATGCATCTCGCGCTTGTGTCAGATTCCCGGCTGCCAATGCTCTTGCCGGTTTACAAGAGGCCAAGTCGATCATCGTCATCTCATGTGTGGCTAAGGTGTCTAGCCGGTCCTGGACGAGCTCTAAGCTACTGACACTCCCAGTATTCCCATGCAACCCCTTGGAGCTAAGGACATCTGGATGCAGAAGAGGATAGAATCAGAAGAGAGTGGAAGCCGGGGATCGCTGTCTTAGAAGACAATGCCAGCACCAGACCCGAAGCCCTGCCAGACTTGACGACATGCATCCTCATTCGAAGAGGTACGTTCTGTACGTTTCTACTTACTTGGATCACAACTGTCACGGTTGCTTTGAGGTCGTTCAGCTGCATCTTAACAGGGAATACAAACGGATCTTGTGGCGATTTGAGTTTTGGCCGTGAGTATCGCTGCATCATGCCTGCTGCCCATGCTAAAGCAGGCCGGACCGAACGAGGCCGGGGATCCATCGATGAGATCATGGAAAGTCTATGCACCTGTTGAGAATAGGCCAGCTAAATGGCATCTGTATCGTCGTTCTTATAGGTGGATACCTATATATCAAAGCCAGGAGTCGGAGTCGACCTCGATTCCATCGATCGAGATGGGTTTCTAACACCATGCGTGTTCCAAGTTCCGACCATTTACTCCAGTTTCCACTTCGCAAAGCTAATTCAAGCTCGGAGGGGTAGCAGTATCAGTCTATGCAGAATAAAAGTTAATTGATCATCTCGCGATACCGCCATTTCGGATAGACATGACGGAGACACCTTGGCGTCTAGGGAAGCGTGTTCAACCCCATCCGAACAGAACCCAAAGGTGTGGATGACAGCGTTGGTATGCATAGATGGTCAAAGGCGCCCAGACTCTCGTACAAATACAGGTAATTAATTAATAATTAAAACACCCTTTGATTTTATGTTTTTTATTAACTTGAGGAATTCCAGCCAATGAAACCTCCGATAGCGAATCTCAAAAGGAATAGCCAGGGTTTATAACGGAGCAGGCACCTCAGCCAGGCCCCAGGGAGCATCGTCATCATCGGGTTCAAATGCGAGAGATCTGTACTCTGTAACTGGTAAAACGAAACACCGGGACGAATTGGCGCCTCTTCCATATGCGTAGATGGCGGCTGGCATGAATGGTGGATACACAAGCCGTCCCCGATCTGAGACAGCAGCCGGGGGCTGTGCCTGTTTCTGTGCCTGTACCTGGCTTCCCCTGACGACACTCAGTGGGAATGTCGAGCCGCGCGTTCTCTCATTTTTTTTCTTATTTTTTTCACATGTCACATATCTTGACGTCGTCCCATACTTTTGGTTATTAATTAGCATTATTACTATTCTAGAATCCCCCATTCTCCCTCCCGACAATCCGAGTTCCTCTGAAAATGAGCGACCTCGAGATGTCGAGGACAAGAGAAGGGCAGTCAGATCGGGACGTAACAGACGACACCGAGTACAAGCCTACAAACTGGAAGAGAATCCTGTTCGCCCCGAAATTTATACGTACGCGTGCGAGACTCTTGGGTTGCGTGGATTCACCTATTAATCAATCCATGATCTAGCATGGCACCTGCTCGGCATCGCCATTCTGGTGGCCACGATTCTGATATCCATCCATCATGACCAGGTTATTGAGGTCAGTGTTTTGGTTGGAGAACCTCCAGTCCCAACCCTGCAAGGCTTCTGAGCCTTGGACATAAATCTAACACGAACCCCCGCGGACAGGCATTGAGGCCATTCTCGGAGAAAGTCAGGGACATCCCGGCCGGATGGCTCATCCCCATCGCCATCCTGATCCTCATCTCCTTCCCCCCGCTCTTCGGCCACGAGGTGGTGGCGGTCCTATGCGGCGTCGTGTACGGCCTGTGGATCGGGTTCGCCATCGTGGCGGCGGGCACGTTCTTCGGGGAGGGTATGTTGTCCATCAACCCAACCTGTGCGCAAGTCAGTGTTTCCAGGCAGGCTAACATATCCCCCCCTCCCACCAGTCGGCACATGGTTCGCCTTCAAGCACACGCTTAGGAAAAAGGCCGTCAAGTTGGAGAAGACAAACCTCAACTACGGTGCCCTGGCAAGGCTGACAAGGGACGGCGGCTTCTGGGTAACTATACGCAGCAATCCCGCCCCGCCTTAGATGCGAGTCAACCGCCGTTATTGTCGCTATTAACACCCGGGTCCTCCACTCCAGATCGTCTTCATCATCCGCTTCTCCGCCATCCCCTCCCACTTCTCGACGGCCGTCTTCTCGACGGGCGACGTCCGCTTCCGCTACTTCGCCATCGCGACGCTCCTGACGCTGCCCAAGCAGATCATCCTCGTCTACCTCGGCGTCCTCCTCGCCCGCAGCGGCGACGACGTCGACGACCGCGACGGCGACGCCACGGTCAAGAAGGTCGTGCTCGCCGTCGGGACCGTCGTCACCGTCGCGCTGGCGGCCTACATCTGGTTCAAGATGCGGCAGGTCAAGGTGGTCCTGCTACAAGAGCAGGCCGCGAGGAAGGAGGAGCGCGAGAAGGCGCGGTTGGCGGCTTCGGAGGCGAACGCCGCGGGTTGGCCGATGCCCCAGGACGGGTCTCCGGGGCGTGTGTAGGGGTAGATGGGATGGATATCTGGAGTTCTTTGGTTTAGGCTGTGCTAGCGTGCTTTCTTGCGGTTTTTGGTCGAGTGGAATCAATTTAGACGAGTGTCGCAAGATTATCTTGATATTTTACTCGGCTGTGATTGCCATGTTGCGCTCCCCAAGTGGATGTCTGTGATGGATGTGCAGACCGGTTCCCCTCAGGTGACCAGCCGCTCTAGTCGTCGCCATTTTGAGCCATCAGGTGGTCAGCAGTTGGAGCGGTCAACTGGCAGATACTGAATAAACGAGGCGGGCGATGCTGCAGACGATACTGCAGGTGCCCCGCGCGTATGAGAGTGGATTAATGTCGACGTGGAATGTACGTGGCGGCGTTCTAATACCCCTGGGTTGCTCTGTGATGGGGAACCGCAGGAGGAAAGAATAATGACATAATGAGTAGAGAATATCGTTCTATGATTCAGTGTTTCGAGAACATGACCTAGTGTCGCCTTAAACATCCTCCAAGCAACCCTTAACACCGAGAAATGGCAAGCTGTTTAAACTGCTTATCCTACATTTGCCCAAGACGATTGCAATTCGGCCTGCGATATTTCAGGCGCGAGGACAGAAAACCGCACTCCAACACTTGCAAACAAATTTTGAAACTTGTGCAAGAATGCACAGGCATCTGCCGGTTGACTTTGGCCATTGCTACCATCCACTGTAACTGCAGTATTACCGCCACTAGCCGTAGTTGTATGAGAACTCAAGGAATCTGAAGCCAGTGTGATTTCTTTGAGGTTGGGAAGCTGTGTCAAACAACTCTCATAGAGTCCTAAGAAGGCTTGATTGTAAAACCCAAGAAGACTCAAAGTATTGGGGAACTGAGGAGGGTGAGGAGGGTGACGAGGATCAGTATCAGAACTGCCCCAGTAGTCGATAAGCCGAAAGCAGACGAGGGATCTCGGGAGGATATCCGGAAGTCGAAGAGCGGTAAAAGAATCGCCTCTGCCAAAGAGCCAGATAGATTCCGTCGTCAGGTGCTTCAGTGCTGCCATTTGCTTCAAATTTGATAATTGAGGCAACTCATCACCTTTATCCCAACATTGTCCGAGAGAAGTTGTCAAGGAAAGGTTCTCTAATGTCCCAGACACATTGAAGAGAGCTCCAGACACTGTTGCATCTAAATCATCAAACTTTCGTCGAGAACCATCGAGATATTCCGCTTCGAGGGAGACCAGTTTCGGAAATATTGTCGTTAGAGCTGTCATGTCCTCCTGGGGATGGCGTGCGCAGAAACGTAGCAGTTCCTTCACGCTTTCCGAGACAATCTGAAAATCCCAGAATCTCTGAGTGTGTTGTTGCATTGATCTGAAATATAACGTGCCCTTCAGTTCGACGCGGTAGACCAAAGGTGAGTTCACCAAGAGGGCCATGAGGGATTTTTCCGTGAGCCAACACGAAGTCCTCGCGTTTGTGGTGAGGTTCTAGCGTTATCTTTCTGAGCTCCTGAAGAAATTGATAGGAATTTGATTTTGGTGGCCTTATCAATGCCCAAATTGCATCCTTTTCTGGACAAGGCGGCAGTCTGGGTGGTGTAATTGGCATATGAGCTAGGAGCACAAAAAGTGACCTAACCCTCGGTATCATAGCCAACACAGCACCCAATACTCTCCAGCTTTGCAAAGTCTCAGGGCCGTCGATGCCCATGAGTCGGGCGATATCAAAGTCGATGGGACTCGAAGGCCAGTCAATCGAGGCCCAACATTCCGGGGCCAAACAATCCATCTCCTTGTCGCGGCGGTGCGTTGAGTCAAGGTTGGCATCATCTGTCGACAAGACGCCGGCCCAGGCAACAGAGCGAATAGTAGAGCGGAGGTCGTGATTGTTGGCGATAGTGCGAAAGAAGTAAAGTAACTCCTTTTGATCTTTCAGAAGGACGGTATGGTAGAGATGCCTAATGGCATAAGGACGAATCCACTTTGAAACAAGACAGAGATTTGCAAAAGCCAACCGAGATTCGCTGTGATCTGGGCGAATCTCGGGCTTACCGGCGTTGGATTCGTACGTGGTAAGAGATCCAAAAGGACGAAGTTGCTCAAGAATGTTCATGAGCGTCTCCGGCGACAGGTTTGCGAGAAAGTTACAGCCGCCGTTCCGACAGCCGTTCCGAGGCTCAGGCAACTGTGGGAGGTTGGGTGTGCTGGGACTCGGACACGTCGTCATTGCGAGTGAGGTCGATTCTTTTGATCAGGCGCCTATTTCGGAGGATGTGTTTGACATGTTGGGGACAGGAAGAGAATGTCTCTGAACTCTTCTACTAGATGTGTTATATGTGTCGGGCGAGAGAGAGAGAGGGGGTGAAGATTCTGCTAACATCGGTATTTGATTGGCTTATGTACGGCTGAAGTGACACCCTAAATCCTGATGCATGATGGAACACAAAGATCAGGAAGATGGCCGCGCAAGATAGATAGGGGATGAAGTCGCGCGGAGCTGAAGAAAGCGGGTTAGGGTTAGGGTCCAGGGAAGGCACGTGATGACGTCAGATGCGAATGCCGATGGTATGCGCAACCAACTTCACCTCATCTAGAGGAAGGCTTTAACTGCCCGCACCAATTTCTAACAACTTCAGACTAAATGAATGGATTGATCTCAAAATGGTGGCCCTCACCCCATTGATTCGACGGTCTCTACGCCGCGCGCAATTGCGCTCCATCCGGGGCTTCGCGACCGCAAGCGATGCACACCCACCGCCATTCAACAACCGGGTGAGGATCGTCGAAGTCGGACCCCGCGACGGGCTTCAGAACGAGAAGACGACGATACCGCTGGCGACGAAGATTGAGCTCATAGAGCGTCTGGCGAGAACGGGACTGACCAGCATTGAAGCTGGCGCCTTTGTGTCCCCGAAATGGGTCCCCCAGGTGATTCCTCCCCGCTTGTCTACCGCCATTTGCCCTTCGCCCATATTTACCAGCAATGACAGATGGACAACTCGAGCGAGATTCTCGAGCACATCCTCAAGCATAGCATCCAGTCCCCCGTGCCGATAACCTACTCCTTTCTCGCCCCCAACGCCAAGGGCCTGGACACCGCGACCGCGATCCTGGCCCAGCACCGCGGCGCCTTCACGACCGATTCCGACGCGCCAAGCCCCTCCCCCCCCTCCTCCTCCTCCCCCACGCCGCCAAAGCCCTCCCTAGAGATCGCCGTCTTCGCCGCCGCGACCGAGACCTTCTCGCAGCGCAACCTCAACTGCTCCATCGCCGACTCGCTCGATCGCTTCCGGCCCGTCATCGCGGGGGCCAAGGCCTCCGGGCTGCGCGCGCGCGCCTACATCTCGGTGGTGCTGGGCTGCCCGTTCGAGGGCCACGACGTGGACCCGCGGCGCGTGGCGTCGCTGGCCACGTCGCTGCTGGAGATGGGCGCCGACGAGATCTCCCTCGGCGACACCACCGGCACCGGCACCGCGCCCCGCACCAAGGAGCTCCTCACCTGCCTGCGGGCCGCGGGCGTGCGCGACGAGGACCTCGCCATGCACCTGCACGACACGTACGGCCAGGCCCTTGTCAACGCCGCTGTTGCGCTCGAGCATGGCGTTCGGACTTTTGACACTAGTGTTGCGGGGTTGGGGGGTTGTCCGTATAGCCCTGGTGCCACGGGGAATGTTGCTACCGAGGATGTCGTTTACTTCCTTGAGAGTCTCGGCATGGATACGGGGGTTGACCTGGATGCCGTTGCTGATATAGGCGAGTGGATCGCTGCCCGGGTCGGGAAGTCTAACGAGAGCGCCGTCGGGAAGGCCGTGCTGGGGGCGAGGGCGAGGGCGAGGAAGGAGGCGGGGGCTAGCAAGTAGGTGACTGGTCTGGGTTGTCTTAGGGTAGGTTTTACTGTCACTGCTTGTCTTGGCCGTACTCTACACTGCCCTGTTACCTGGCCTGGCTGTCATTGCCTTTATGGGCCCTCATGATCAAGATATATTTGGGCCTATAAGCAAGTGTATGTCGATATATTCCGCGTCCTTAAACATACAAAGAGCAAAAGCAACACAGCACTACATGTCAGCTACCACACCTGCATATCTTGGATCGGGAAAACAAGCATCTCTACCGATCAGTTTTTGGCATATATGCATTTGCTGTCTCTGTCACATATTCACTTTCCAATACCGTACAGCCATACGTACAGGCGTAGTGGCCAGATACGTCATGCGCAACATCACCAAATCAACGTGTAACAGAGCATGTCCTTTATCCCAGTTCGTATTTGTGTGCTTTTGTGCCTATGTCCATGGCAACGATCCCTCAAGCTACAAAGCAAGAACCGCACCCAGAAACGCCAGCCAAATGTTCCAGTCTAGTACAACCCGAAACCGAAGGTGAAAGAACTCAGAGAGAAAAAAAAAGAAAAGAAGAACAGCAGGGCGGGGTGGGGGAAGAAGCTCCTCCAGAATGACCGACCCAAGCTCCCTCCACTTCACTCGCTTCACTCCCAAGCCCCGACCCCCCTCCGGACCCGCCTCCGCGCCCCGGCCGCGCCATACACGAGCGTGTCGCCCACGCCCGCCTTGCAGCTGGTCCCGGCCGCCATGTCGATGGTGGCCGACCACGCGCCCGACGCGCACCGCTGGAACGACGTCCCGCCGATGCAGTTCCACGCCCCCTCGTCGGCGCACGGCGTCCCCGGCGCGAACGTGCCTGCCGAACCACCCGAGCCGGCCGGGGGGCTGGTCGCCTGCGTGCCCGACGGGGCGGACGGCTTGGTTGTTGTGGAGAGGGTGGTGGTTGGTTTGGCGGGTGCGGCGGAGGAGTCGCCGATGGTGACGAAGACGCCGCCGGGTAGAGAGCTGGGAGGGGAGTAGTGTGAGCGGGTGGTTACGTTGATGGGGATGACGGTTTGGGGAAGGGTGGCTGTGAGGAAAGTGGATGGAGGAGAGGTGGAGGAGAGGGAGCTAGTGTTAGAGACTGAGGATGCGAAGGGAGGCACGTACCTTGTCGACGATGTGTTGACTGGGGGAGTCGGGGAAGGAGCAGTCCCCGGCGTTGTAGCCTGGCCACCGCCCGAACCGCCGTTGTTGCCGCCCGTGGGTGCAGGTGGTGGCGAGCTCGAGCCAGAGCCAGAGCCGGAGCCAGAACCAGAGCCAGAGCCGGAGCCGGAGCCAGAACCAGAACCAGAACCAGAGCCGGAGCCCCCACCTGGGGCAGACGCCCCGCAGTCTCCGTCAGGCGCAGCCGGGTCACCTTTATTGTCGACCAGATCCGGGCCGGGGTCCGGGAAGACGACGTCCTTGCCTGGCAGCGTGGTGCACGCCGGCGAGCCGACATTAGCAACAAAAATGCCGGGGCGCGACTTGTACGCCACCGCCCGCTCGACCAGGCCATCCTTCTTCTCAACCCTGGTGTTGGTCGCCTTCGGCACGTCGCGCTTCTTCTTGCCGCCGCCGCCGATGGTGACGGACGCGCAGTTCATGTACATCTCCCTGTTGCCGACCTTGTTGAACCACGTCCAGGCGAACAGGGCCTCGCCGCCCGGCGCGTCGGCGGGGACGGTGAAGTCGAAGCTCGAGGAGCCCTGGCCCGGGCAGCTGCCCTGGATGCTCTGGACGACGGTGAAGGTCTTGCCCTGGTCGTACGACAGCGAGGCCTGGCAGGAGCCGCCCTCGTGGAAGGCGCCGCCCACGATGGTGAAGTTGTGGCTGCTGCCTGGCGCGAAGGTGGCCACGCTGGTCGCCATGGCGGTGCCGGCGTACTTTGTGTGGTAGCCCTTGCACGGGAAGTTGGTCGTCGAGAGCGGCGACGTCATGTCGCTGTCCGTGTCGCCGGCGGCGATGGCGAACGAGTTGAACTTTGACCGGATCGGCGGCGGGAACTGCATCTCCATGTGCGCCGAGGAGAGATGGACTGACCCCAGGAGGGCCAAGAGAGAGGTGAGTACAGTGGCGCAAGGCATCTTAACGACCACTGGGGGGGGAGGTTGGTAAGTCTGTGTTGTTGTCGTCGTGGTATCTCGTGTTCGAATAGTCCGATGTAGGAATGAGTGAGATGGAAGTTTCTGCTGGTTCGAGAGAGTGGAAGCAGAAGGTTCGGACGGCTTGGCTTATATCGTTCAGCTAAACAAAGGAATGGAGGGGAGCTTATTGTGAACAAAACTATTGTTCCGAGGTCATCAGGTTCGACTCTTCGTTCGAACAATAGGTATGCATGCACAATAGCACTGATCGTAATCTCAGCACCAGGCTGGTTTAAGTGGACTTGAATAGAGACAATGGGGTTGGTGAGGCCACAAATAGAAAAACCTGAAAAGGAAAGGCAGAGCAAGAATCGAATGAACAATAAGGCCACCAACAAAGAGCTGGTAATGGAAGGCCGAGATGCCGAGAGTGAAGGAGAGGTGAGGAAAGGGAGAATGGCGGCTCCCTTTATGTCTGGCAGGCATGCAAGTCACATTTGAGTTGATGGCTGTCAACAGGAAAATTTCTCCCCCTTTTTGGCACCGGCAGCTGACGTGTGCGATCCATTGGAATTTGATTGTGCGGCCATTGCAGCAGCTTCTTAATCCTGGGAAAAATGGATTGAGTGGTTCAACCAGGATTGCGTCCGATACGATCATCCCTCCCTTCGGACGGAACTTGGCTCTCCATCCTCAGGGGGGCTTCGCCACTCAACCCAACAGTTAGTGAGGGAGCCAGGCAGGTTGCAGTTTGTGACAGCGGGGTAGCTGTCGATCGGGCGGGTGATCTCTGACTCGGCCGTCTACACGTTTGCCAACTGCCCCCACGAGAGTGGTCAGCATGAGAGGTGACTGGCAAGCGGGCGAGAGGGGTCAAGGAGTCAAATCCAGGGGCATTGCGAATCGCACGGCAGAATGAGCATGGCATGGATGCATCTTGACGCGCAAGTGCAAGCGACCCCCTGGAAAAGAAAGGTATGTGCAGCGTTAACCCCTGGGAGGCGTTTGGTAGCCAATCAGACCAGTCTCGTGCCTGGTGAGAATAACCGTTGGGGCTTCGAGATGGGGCGATCCGGGCGGATTGATTGGCCACGGCGGGCGGCACGCTGGTGCAAGAGGTAAAGCTGGGAGGGGAGGTTGGAGCCGCACTACTGGCTGGATTTTTAGAAACTTGAAACATGAAACCCCTTCCACATATCTGTTTGCGACTCGGTGCATGCCCGCTGAAATGGCCGCTTCCTGTGCGTGCGTCCTCCATGACACACCAAGTTGGAGAATTTTTCGTGGTGTTAACCTGGGCACGAACTACCGAGTATCGCAGTCTGCATTCCACTACACGGACTGACAAGAGGAAGGAAAAGAGAAGTTGGATATCGGCCCACAATTGAGACACAGACCAGAGACATCCAGGCAATTCCGCAATGCCCACGCCGCCACACATACTACGCAGTATCAGTACAGTCCTCTTCCTCGCCTCGCCTAACCCCTGTGACCGCCACTGAAAGATGGGTCGTCAGCGTGGCCATCACCATGCATGCATGAAATCGACTACACCAAGCCAGGCCCGCCATCGCGCCTAGAGGAGGCTCTCGAGAGGTCTCCAATCCCGCGATCGCTGCTGGCCTTGCTCAGGAATGCGCTCGTCTTGTCCGGTGGCGAGGAGCACCACTGGGGTCCCCACCACTCTCCTCCCTCCCTTGTAGGTATTAGACGCCCGGGTTGGGCTGGCTAGACAAAGGCATGCACTCGAGACAAGTCAGTCGTGGCGACCCGATATTCCATGCTCCATCCACGTTCAGTTTCGACGCTGTTGGCTCAAAGTCCAAACATTGTTTTTGGACCTGATACTCAAATATGCTAGCAATGTACCACATCTTTCTGACGCTTTTGAGAGCCAGCCATCATCTGGTGAATACATGTGGCATGAATGGATATTCCGTCTGTCCGTCAACTTCCGTACTGAGGCCCTTTTCAACTCTCACCCTCTTTTCATCTCCCCTTTCTCGTTGGCAGCCGACCCTGGCTGCCCACGAATCCTGCCTCCCCGTCCTTCTCCCGACACGTCGCAGGCACCGGCCCCGCCCATCATGGGGCCGTTGCCGACCAAGCTGTGGAGGTCGCGATGTGACAGATTAATAAAAATAAAAGAATAAGAAGCCCCACTGGTAGGTACCTAGGCTTGAGCATATGCTAGCTAACAATCTCCTCCCACCCACCCAGCATGCCGGAGCCTTTTCTGGTGGCTCTACTTGGCTTGATCATGCTTCATGCTAAGCCTATGCAACTTTTGTTTTGAAATGTTCACTTGGCCAAGCAGGTAGGTGAGGTGGTCGAAGCCAGCGCCCAACGACAAAGTGCCGAGTCATGGTTGGTTCGACAAAACTAGCTGTCGTGGCCCCCGAAACGCTAATACTGCTGCCGACAAGGAGTAGTAGTAGTAGCCTCACTGCGGTCGCTGGCCCGAGAACTTTTGCTGGGGCTGCTGTGGGGTGAAGACCGGCTGCTGATACTGCATTCCCGGGCTCATGCCGTACATGGGTTGGCCCTGGTGCGACCCTTGGTGGGCCATCATTGGCGCAGCGGGCCTCCCGGGGCTTGGGAATCCCGTGGACCCGGCCATCGACTGCGGAGGCCCGCCACCATGGGGCATAAACTGCGGGTGACTGACTGGGTACATTTGCACCTGAGGTCCAGCGGCGACCATGCCGTTAGGTCCGGCCATGAACTGGGGCTGCATCATCATCGGGCCGCCCATGTGCGGGGGTTGCTGAGGCATGAACTGGGGGTTGTTCGAGAAGCTCCTATACTGCGACATCTGAGGGGTCCCGGGGTTCATGTACTGCTGCATCCCCGGCTGGTTGTACGGCACTTGGGCGGGCGAGTTCATCGCCGGCGGATAAGCCATCGGAACGTGTCCCATGCGCGGGGAGGCGAAGGACTGGGCCGAGGCGGAATGCATCATCCTATGATCATCCGGGTTGCTGAAGGGAGCATGGGGGACGTGACCATGCTGCGTTGTGTGCATCTGCATCGGTGGCATATGAGGCGACTGGCGGAGCGCTTGGTTGTGCGTGTTATGCTGGAGGTGGAGAGGCAGTTGGTGTTGGTGTGCCAGCTGAGGCACCACGTGCGGCGGATTGGGCGTCGCCGTGGCCGCTGCCGACAGCGGAAGCTTCTCAAAGTATTCCTTGTAAGTCAAGTGCATGGTCGAGTCGGCCCTCTCCGTCTCTTCCTGCAGCTGCCGCCACGTGGGGAGCGTGTCGTAAGACGGCCTCAGCCCGTCGTTCTCATCCCAGTTCCGGCCTTGCGGGGGGCGAATAGATTTGATATTGGAGAGGATAAAGCACTTGGCCACGTCAATTGCCTTGGTCTTCCGCCGGATGAGCTGCCCACCGGTAGGGGTAGGGGCGACGGCAGGCACCGCTTGGGCCTCGACCACGTTATGGACCGAAGAGCGCGGGCTAGAACCCTGGCTCGGCCCGGCAGGGTTGAAGGCCGGCGCAAACGCGTTAGGTCTGAACTCGTGGCTGTTGGGGTTCAACTTCCCCTGGGTCATGTGAGGCGGAGGCATCCCACCGAGGCGACGGCCGTATGAGGAGTCAGCATTGTTCGACGGTCCGGTGGGAGGTAGACGCATGGCCTCGGCTGGCATGTGGTGGTTCATGTGCGGGTGCTGGGGTTGGTGTATCTTCTGCTGCTGGTCGCGGATGCGCTGCACCAGGTTGCCCGGACCCTGAGTCTGACCGCCACCCAGGTGGGGAGGAGCACGGTTGTTCCTGTAGTTCTGCTGCTGATAATGCGCCTGACCGTTGTACCCTTGACGATTTCCCTGGTGGCGATTCGGCAAGCCGGACGAGCTCGAGTGTTGAGGGGCACTTGGTCGAGAAGAAGTGGTGCGGGGATCGGCAGTGCCCGGGACAGACGCAGCGGTGGCTGCCGGCTCGGCAGGCGGCTTAGCGTTGGCGTCCTTCGCCGGTGCGACTCCCTTCTCTTTCGACACGACAGACTCGACAGCCTTCTGCTTGGCTACATCCTCTGCATTTTGTATAGCCTTGGCCTGGATCTGCTTCTGCTTTGCTGGATCCTTGGCGATGATTGAGATCAAATCGCTGGGAACCGGAGTCGCGAGCTTGAAGCTATCCGCAAACTTTTTGAGCTCGATCAACTTGACCTCCTTGTCAGCCTTGGCCTTGTTGCTCCGGACCTTTTCAGCATTCTGCCTCTGCTGGCTGGCAAACGTCTTGAAGGAGTTCAGTACGTCGCGCTCGACAGTTGATGTAGCGCTCGGCGCCGTGCCCGTAGGGCCATCCTTTCCCTGGGTAGTGGTGGAACGGCCGGCACCAGCCGCCGGCCGGAGAGGGGTGGCAGTCTTGTCGCTGTTGCTCTTTCCATCCGCTGGCAGCTGGCCTCCAGTAGCCTTGCTTTCGCCAGCTTTCGGCCCAGCTTGTTTTCCTTCAGACTTGGCTTCGGGCTTAGCCTCTGCAGGCTTGACCTCCACGGTTGGAGCCTTGGCGGGGGCTGGAGCAGCTTTGGATTCCTCGGGCTTCGGGGTAGGCTGCTTCTTGAGCTGCGACGAGATGATAGCAGGATCGACAGGGGCACCCTTGGCAGTGGCCTGGCCGGTCAGGGCCCGCCGCGCAGGAGGGGTGTATTTGTTTTCTCGGTTTGTCAAGGGGGGGAAATCCTGTCGACGAACTCCACTGTATCTAGTCAAGAGTTAGCACAATGTTGGGTTTTGAGAATGCGCGAGGCCGCGGGCCAGGGCTCACTTCTCCTCCTCATCCTTATGATCACCCCCGCCAACAAAGTCCATGACACGCTCCTCGGCCACATGGGCAGTGGTAGGCGCGCTGCGTTCGATCTCTCTTGCCTTCCTCTCTGCAGCAGCAATTCGCTGGTGATATTGCGGATGGTTCTTATCGATCGTGGTAGTGTAGATATTCTCATCGTAGTTGGTCCTGATGCCAAAGAGGCGCTCATTCTCGGCAAACTGATCCCATACGCCCTGGTTGGCAGATCTCTCCAAGCTTCCATCTGCCTCGTCAGTCGAGTCGGGTACCCAAGGCTTCAGAACACGTTCGCTTCCGGACCGCGAGTTCGAGATGGCTGCATCAGTACGAAATGATCGACTGCCTGTAAAAGAGCCAGTTAGAAGGAGAAAGCTGGAAAGCTGGAAAGTTGGGAGCCATATCGGCGTCAAGGGATCATACCATTCATGGCCTTGCTATCATTCTTGCCTTGGTTGTTGGGCACGGCGCGGGCGTCCATGATATCCTTCCGTGGGAACGACATGGTTGACCCTCCTCTGCCTGTGCCGTTGGCGATATCCCCAGTAGTAGAGCCCTTTTTCGGCTGGACCATTTTCAGGTAGCAGCTGGAAGGATCAGTAGGGTGGCTGGCATAAATGCCCTCGAACTCGGTACCGCCCGCTAGTGTGATGCGCGCCTTCTGGCCCTGCAGGAAAAACAATGTGAGCTTTCAGGTAATTGATAGAAATGAAGATTAGGTAGCGATGGGAGAGACTGTCGATGTGATGGTTGATGGTTGATGGGAAGTAGGTCCAGGGGAAAAGAAATGTGCAGGTAATCTTGACAGTTGTAGGCACGACAATCATGACAGTGAAGGGGGAAAAGAAAGGGGGAGAAGTAAAAACAAACCCACCTCACGAAGAGCGCTTGTCACAGACTGTCTGTCCTGTGAATTGAATCCACCTTGAGGAGTTTGCAATTGGCCTGGGATGGGATTCTTGGTCGAGTTCCAGGTCTTTTGCTGAGCAGCAGGCGGCTGTCTGGAGATTCGGAGGTTGGTCAGTCAGCTCCAAGGAAGAGGTGAATTGGACACCAGCGACAGTGCAAAAGGCGACGCAAATTCAAAAAAGGAAAGCAGCAGCCACAGGCAAGGCTTGTGGGTTGGCAGTGCGGTGGGCAAGAGACATTGGAGACAGGGTAATCAATGGATCTTTGTTGACAACAGGTGTCGAGGAGGGGGGGGAGTGGAAAGGGAAAAAATTGGCAGGAGTCAAAAAGTGTCTGTGGTGTCTCACCTGGTGGCCGGGTTGGAGCTGCTGCCCTCTGATTGCCCTTTCTGGTCGCCAAGCTTGCTGCTGTACAAGGGTCGTGATGAAGGGGCCTTGATGTCGGGAGTGGTGGATTGGGATGGGGAAGAAACAGCTGGCTTTGAGGACACTCCGTGGTCTTCCATGCTAGTGGTGATACTCTCCACTGAGTTGGTGGAGTTTGGGGCCGGACAGTTTGTGTGGTGCGCAGGGTCGATGGGTAGCACCTTAGGACAAAGCGGGCTAGCGAGGGAATCTTTTTGGGGGGAGGTGCGGGAGTCGAAGATGGGCTGTTTGGAGTTCTCTGGACTGTTGCCCGTCTCTGATTGGCCAGCGCTGGGTTGGCTGGCTTGGATCTGCACTCTGCAGCGCAGGGCCTGGGCTGGGATGATGGTCCGGGTGCCGCGATGAGACGACAGCGCCAGGGGTACCTAATGGCGTCGCCCTCGTGCTGGGGGGGAAGAAGTACCGGTTGATGTGAGCTTGCTGGATTTTGTGGCAGAACTCCCGGCACAGAAGGAAGGTATCACGAAGAATTGGCCGGAGAAGAAAATAAACGAAATCGTATCCCGAACGGGTATCACAGGGCGAGCATTGATGGCCCCTGCCTTCCCCTTGTCCTCTGTTCCCCCCTTACTTCGCGATTTTCCTGCCAACAATCAGGTCCGACCCAGGAGCACGATGCTGCCCATTAATATTATTGTCAATGCCTGACGTGCAGTTTTCGGTGAGTTGAACTTTGTTTTATCAGATCGGGTCGAGGCTGTAGGGGAGGATCGACGACTGGATGCGGGTTCAGGTGGGAGGGGAAAGCGGTCGCCAGACTACCTACATATAGGTAGACAGAGAAGACGGGACGAGGATTCGAGAAGCGGGTACGAGGGGGGAGGTAAAAAGGAGGGGCTTGGGCAGAGGTACCCCGGGTTGGCAGCTTAGTTCCGCAAGGAGGTGTCCAATTAGGTATGATATAGAATGGGTAGTCGGTAGTCTGCAACCAGCTTCTCGCCCGTCCTCTGGAAGGTCAAAAGTAATGTGTTCAATGTGCTGAAGCTGGTGATAGCTATCAACATCCTGGAAAGGAAAGCTCGAGATTGGTTTGAGATGGAACTTTCGCCGAAGCGGAGAAGCGCAATCAGTCTACCAAAACTAGCTAGCCCCATTAGGGTTAGCTGTCTTGGCATGGTGCTTTGGTGGACCTTCTCTTCAGCCTCAGGCAGAAACCTAGGACGACCAAGCTTGCCGGCCAGCCTTCTCCTCCTATTTTGCCAGAGCCTCGAGCTTTGTCTGCCTGGGCACCCATGCGTGGCAGCACTGCATTGTATCAATCCCGACACAGTTGATGTTAGAAGCCTCGTTAGGCTCTGTCACTGCCTACCTGATCATTAGCTTTCCAGAAAGGCCTGGCGCCAAGACCCGGCGCAGCTGTTCGCCTCATCGGCCAAGCCTGAGATGAGATCTGTCTAGCTGATGCTCTTTTTTTCATCCTGGTATACAGCAGGGAACAGCTCGCCTTAGACATGGTCTCGTCGAGGTGGTCGGCCGTGTTGATTCATGATGAGACGAACTGGTAAGGCTTGGAGGAGGAGGAGAGGCAGGCTCAGCGAAGGTCTTGTAGGCAGAGTCGCCAAGTAGTGACACTGTATCCTGCCTGCAAATTCCTGCGTGCAAGCCGAGTTCTAACGGCCTGGTCAACTCCAAGCAGGTACCTGGAACCGGGCTCGCCTCTCATCGAGTGGTAGGGCTGCCTTGTCTTGTGTCCATAGCATGGCGGATGGCTTGTAGGTACCTGTCCCGGAGCAGGTCATAAAAGTGCTCTGGGGACGTTGTCCTGTAGTTTTTGTTGCTTTACAGGACTGTGACTGCTTCCAAAGTGTCACCGCTGAGTAGTTCCGACAACTTTGCTGAGACTTGGTACCGATCCCCCCCAAACCAAGCCTGCTTGCGGTTCCGCCACGTTCGGCGCGACGAAGGATTTGTCGTTCCTTCGCGCGCTTGCGCAAAAGGTACATAACCACTCCAGTCTCAAGGATTTAGCCGTTTCTGAGGTTTGGTCATTGTCGTGGGTGTGGTGGTCGTGGTTGTGGAATTGGTAGAAGGGTGGAAGGTGAGGGGAAGGCTATGGAGGACTTTTAAGGCGAAGAGACAAGGTTTTTGTCATGCTCAATGAGGAAAGTTTGTTCCATATAAGGTCGGATTATGGGCTGGGTAATGCATATCAAGCTATACCCCGAGTTATTCTTTACTGTATATAATATACTGGGACTTTGATCTGCTCTCACGAGCATGAATAACGCTGGGGGGGAAAGAAGAAGAAAACCACTCCAGTCATCGACTGCAGGGCATGGTGGAAAGCCATCAAGTGTAGTATACTATATATTTCAATATTATACATTGGTTCTCAAATCCGCAATCATTGGAGTGAGACCAGCTTTCCCGAATTGAGTGGGGGGCAGTCTTCCATGATATCTGCAGTTATTCAAAACCACTGAACGCCACGCAGTAACCCGAAATCCAAGACGTCAAGAACTACAAGCGTTGCAACCCTCTAACTACCTACCCAGACCCTTGAAGAAAAAGTAAGAATGCACGAAGGCCGTGGCGAAAGGATGCACAACACCAGGGGTACGGAACCTGACATGCATGGCTGCGGTCGACGCCATGACAGACCCCGGCACGCCCGGGGTGAACATCCACGCCTTGGTCAAGTCGTCCGCCAGACGAGCTACCTTCTCGGCACGGGGCCACATCTCCTCCTCGAACCGGACCACCGCCTCATCCAGCGCATCCGCCGCGCCCGCCCCATCCTCGGCCCGCTTCTCCGCCGCCCCGACGACCGCCTTCGCCAGCTTCATCGCATCCTCCATCGCGACATTGACCCCCTCCCCCGCGAACGGCGTCATCAGGTGCGCCGCGTCCCCAATCAGCGTCAGCCCCCGCCGATGCCCCCAGCGGAACCCAACAGGCAGCATGTGCAGCGACCTAGGGACGCATACCTCGTCTCCGGTGAGGCGAATCGCGTCCCTCAGCGTGGGACACCAGTCCGCGAACGGGCCGCCCTCCCCCGCCAGCGCCCTCCGCGTCTGCACCACGTCCCGCGCATCGTACCCGCACTTCCCTGCGTCGAACCAGTCCGCCGACTCCTGCCTCTGCAGCGCGTACACGCACATGCTCGCGTCGCCCATCTGCTGCGCCGTCAGCCTCTTGCCCTCGACGTTGGCGAACAGGCTGCCCCCGCCGACGGCGGCGTGCAGTTCCGGAGCCCGCGCCGCCGCGTCGGCGGGGATGGACAGCTCGTGGCCGCCCACCCCCGCGAAGACGGGGTCCTGGTCGCTGAGCGCCCTGCGCACCTTGCTCCAGGCGCCGTCGGCGCCGACGACGAGGTCGAACCCCGAGGCCGAGGTGCCATCCGCGAAGACGAGAGTGGACCCGCCGCCGGTGGCGGCAGCCTCGACGTGCTTCAGGTGCCGGCCCCACCGGATCATGCCGTCCGGCAGGCTCTCGGTCAGGATGCGGCGCAGGTCAGCGCGGTCGATCTCGGGCCGCTGGCCGAGGAGGCCGCGCGGGTTGTCCTCGGGGGCGGGGGACCCGGCGTGCTGGAAGTAGACCTTCATGTCCTTGTCGGTGATCTGCATGCGGTCGCCGTCGTAGCGCGCGTGCTCCAGGAAGCGGTCCCACAGGCCGGCCTCCTTGATCGCCGCCAGCCCCGTCGCCGTGTGCAGGTCCAGCGTGCCGCCTTGGGACCGGTAGTTGGGGCTCGCCTCGCCCTCGAACACGGTCACGGTCACGGGGACGGGGGCCTGGTGCAGCAGGCGGGCGAGGGTGCAGCCTGCTGGGCCGGCGCCGATGATGGCTATTTTGGGGGCCGACATGGTGGGGTTCGACCGTATTCTGGGTGGTGGTTGCGAGTAACGAGATTCGAGAAACCCAGTGGTTCGTGGTGCGATTCCTGCAGCCCTGAGCAGCCTTTTCCAAAGAGTCATGGGCTCTAGTCTAGTCATAGACAGACTCTTGTATGTGCTGGAGTAGATTTTATATCATATTAACCACTCGTGTCCTGCCCAGCAATCCAAAAAGCTTCTGGCAACATCCGTGACTCAATTGCAGCAAGCTGACGTGGCGATATCAGCCCTACGCAATTATCTTCGTTAATGACTGCGTAAGCTGAACAAGTGCGGCCGCTTTTCGCACCAAGCATCAACTTTGCGCTGGAATATGCCTCAAATCGACTGCTAGCTTTGACTTTGCCTGATACTAACATAGTGTTATAGTTTGTAAGACTACCTGGGGAAACCGAAATTGTTGGAAACGGACATTGTTAGAGACCGAAATTTGTTGGAAACGGACATTGTTAGAAACCGAAATTGTTGGATGGCATGAAAACCTACTACTACGTAGTGCTTACTAGTGCCGTGAGGATCTATTTTAACTGTACACGACATGTGCTCCCCCTAGTTCCCGAAGGAGTCCTGCCCGCCGACCACAAAGCCAATTTGAGACCAGATTAGAGACAGCTACATAGTCCGAATTACCGAGATAAAATCACCGGCCATCCTTGGCTCGCGATGGATCCTGCGTTTTCTTCCTACCTACCCTTCCTTCGAGACATATCGATAGCCTGGTCGGTCTCAGAGGCTGAATGCAGCCATGATTGAGAAACCAAGCACGGCCAGGCCAAAATTGGCACGCCCGGCGCCGTTCGTTTTGGTTGGCGCGGGGGCAGAAGACGCAGAGCTGGCTTCCGAGGTGGCCGTGGCGCTGGGCCTGGCGGCGGATGATGACGGCTTGCTTGACGACTTACTGGACGACTTGCTGGACGACTTGCTGGACGCGGTGGCGGCGGTGCTGGTGGTGGTGGTGCCGTTATGGACGGCTATGGTTCTGTTGCTAAAAGCAGACTTGCTAATGTGGTGGGAGACCGGCGCCATTGTCAGGATAACACTGGTCGGAATCCCGGGCGAAGTCCCGGTCGAAGTCCAGGCCAAAGTCCACGTCGAAGTCCCGGGGTCACTGCACTGAGCGGTGGCCTCCTGCTTGAGGGCTGGGCGGCCAAGTCAACGTCCTGAAGAGAGGCCATGAAATTCCCAAGCTTCGCTCCTGTGGGAAGACAGAACACCTAAGCCGAGACACTTACCATCAAGATGGGCCTGACTCAGACTGCAGGTCTGCGAGAGACAGATCCCGGAAGCCTGCAAGATGGCATCGAGGTTGGGGCAAAGGCATGATACCCGATCAACGCTGCAACCGAGCTGGGCAAGAGCGGGCTGGAGGCAGCCTACGATACACTGGTCATGGAGGTTGCCTGTGGCAGCTGCCGAGCTGGCAAGAAGGGACAGGGCGAGGGGCGTCTTGAACTGCATCTCGACGACAGCGATGTTCCACTTGGGGGGGAAAGATACGGACGGAGTAGGGACTGCGGAGGACAGCGTCTCTTGTGGGATTTCAGGGAGTGTCTTGGAAACATGTCGAGCAACAGCATCCAGGATGGGCGACTGGGCGGGAATAAATATCGGGAGAAGGAAAACAGAGAGGGCGGAAATCCTTCGTATATCACGGGAGAGCACATCGCGCACCGCGCGTGTGGCCTGCAGAGGCAGGGTTCAACAAAGTCGAGACCCGACGGAAGATACCGCCTGTTCCTGCGAGGACAATTGGTCGCCCGGCAGGATAGGCCCCTCAAGGTGACTATTGCTTGCCTTGCAAGACCGAGATGGCGCCAGCACAATAGGAATTCCGAGGATCCAAGGGCCGGAACTGTGTGGCCAGAGAACTAGATGCAGGGGCTTGTATGACGTAGGAGATGCTGTGCAACTGTGCAAGAGCAAGCAAGGTCAACAATTTTGCAAAGCAACCTGCTGCTCCGTGGTTGGGATATGCAATCAAGCTTCTCGATAAGCTTCCCTTGAGCCAATGTTTATGCAGGAGTAGACGAGTTCAGAGCAATGCAGCATACGAGCTGTGGAGATCCCGCCGCGAACTCTGTTGTGTTGCCTCGATATAATTGCCTGGCAACAGAGTCGAGCGGGACGAACCTAACTAAATATGCGGAGGTCGGGTTTGGGCTAGGTCGGCGGATGGATGGGGGGGACCTAGGAGGTGTCAATGCGGAAAAACACCCAGGTACCTGAACGCCCCCATGGATCTAACGGGGCCCAAGCTTCTACCCATTGCGTGTGTGTAGCCGACTCCTGGACTCGAGAATTTTGGGCTTCACAGACAGCGAGTGTGAGAAAAAAGTAGCTTGTAGGGAAAGAAAGACAGGAAGAGAATGAAAAGGAGACATAATTACTACCTACCTGCCTGCCTACCTACCATTCGAGTACGGGCGACATCTACTGCAACGCAACAAATAACAAAGACGCACGTGCAAAAATCTAACTGGCGGGACACCCCCCCTTGCTCTTGCAGCGACACCCCTTCCTTTGTGTGACCCCGAAAAAGAGCCAGGAAATGGGAACCTCCCGATTCCGACATCTGAAGCACCTCACAGAAATTGACCTTGTGTGCGGTCCCATCACGGCGATCCGAGTCTGTGGCTTCCATCTCTCCATTCCTGGCCCGACTCTCGCTCTCGTCTCCAATACAGCTGGCTGTACTACCAAGCAGGCACTTTCTGTGCAGCCTCTGCGGCTAATCGCCCCTTTTCGGCGGCCAAAATCAGCAAAAGAGCATCAGCAAGCTGGTAAACCCCGAAGATGCAGGCTCTCGGTGGCCCATCGCGCTCCATGCAGCGGCGCTCACCTGGTTCTGAGCCAGGCCCTCCTCCAAATATCCCCCTTCGATCAATATCGCCAGCCGTGGGTGTTGGGACAGGAAGCGGTGTTGCGCCTCGCTCATCGACTGCTTCTGGGAGATCTGCGGCGCAGGGCGGGAGCACACGACGGGCAAATGTGAGTTACCACTCTGTAATGTTTCATGCACTTCATGTTTTGGACCATGGACTTTATGCGACGCATGAACCATCTTTGCCTCCAATTTAGCCTCACCTGTTTCCTACGTCCACCTGGCTCCTCTACTCTCTTCCCAGTCTCTCCTCTCCACTCTCCGCCTCAGTCAGCCCTCGGCCCTCAGGATCGCTAATCATGGCGCCTTCAAAAAAGAACTCGAGTGGCTCCTCAGTGCCTCTATCCCAGATTGAAAAGAGCGTTACCCATCTCCTCGTCGCTACGAAACAGCTCCTCGAAACCCTGACACAATGGTCCCGGGGCCAGGCGACGGACACCCAGGTGTCGGATGTGTACGTGAGGCTGGGCTATGAGTTCAACATGGCCTGCCGCGCCTTTACCGCGATCAACGTCGATACACGAGATCTTGGGAATGTTCCGGAGGAGTTGAGAAACATACTCGAGGCAACGCTGAGCCAAGAGGCCAGCGTCGAGAGCCTCGAGAAATACCTGCCCAAGATTAGGGACATCATAATAAACCTGCTTCATGGCTTGAAGCGGAAACAGCAAAAGTTGAGACAAAGACAAGCGCGGGAGAAGGATGGGGGAGGAGCCGCGGAAGCTGGCGCCGCAGCGAGGACAACAAGTACTAGCACCACGGGGAGCGCCACGTCGGGCTTGACAACACTCCTGAACGAGGGCATCGAGGATGGATACCGTCCGGATCTCCAGCGGGAAGAGTTGAAGGGGGGTGTCAACGCCTCGCCCACACGGCGTTTTCAGCCCCAACGGGACCAGTCTCGCGGTTCAGTCAACTCGGAGCAATCCAGCCTGTCGAGCAACACGATGCAGAACATGCCCGTCCTTCCCCCCTACCCCGGAGACGAGGCGACCATGCCAACGGTGCCATCCACGGGCGACCTCGACTCTTTCCCGCCTCCTCCGCCTCCACCGAAGCAGCAGAGCGCATTGGCAGCCCTTCAAAGAGGTGGTGATCTGGAAAGGAGGGCCTCGCGCCGTTACTCGGCTTATCAAATATCTAAACACCTGGGGACGCCAGGTGGCCCTGGGGTTCCCATGCTCCCCCCTCAGACTACACCTATCCCGAATCGTGGCCGGGGCGAAGTGCGGGAGTCCATGCGGGCCATGCAGGCGAGGGAAACCGCAAAACATAATCGTAATACCTCGAACCAGTCAAGAACGGGCGGGTTTGAGTCCTCCCCTATGAGGGTGCCCAGCAGTGTGTCTGAAGGGCAGGAGAGCTCCGCGGTCGAACTCCCCACCCCCAGGGCTGACAGTCCAACGGCGCAGACACCGGACGACAAATATCCGAAGCCGGCCGCAACTCTGAATGGACCGCTTCCTGATATCCTACCCATCATGGGCGTGGAACAGCCTTTCGACGAGAATCTATTCAATGAGCCAGAAGAGCAAAAGGGCTCAAGTACGCGTGCCGCCGCCCGTGCCGCCACCCCAGAAAAAGCGCTGCCGGTCCCCGCCGAACTCGAGAACTCACCCCCAGCCACGAAGGAGCTGACACTCTTCCTGCAATACAAATCCAAGGTCAAGAAGTTTGTGCTCCCCGAAGGCTACAGCGAGCTCTCGATCGGCCGGCTGCAGCTCGCCTTCATTGAGAAGTTCTCGTGGAACACACAGCAGAACGGCGTCGACCTGCCGGACATCTACATCCAGGACCCTGTTTCCGGGGTCCGGCACGAGCTCGAAGACCTCTCCGACATCAAGGACCGCACCGTGCTAGCTCTGAACGTCGAGGCTCTCGACGAGGTCAAGAAACACATCGACGAGGGAATCGGGTCGCTGAAGACCATCGTAGAACAAGTCAAGCAGAACATGGACGACCAAGGCGCCGCCCTGAAGCTCGTCTCAGAGAGGCAGCAGGAGACGGCCAAGGACATGGCCCGACTTGCGTCCGCCCCTCCACCCTCGATCATGACTCCTCCAGCGGACTCGCCCAGGTCAATCGGAGGTCTGTCGTCTCCACGCAAGGCCGCCACGCCGGCCCAGCTGGGCGAGCTGCAGAGCCTCCGTCGGGACCTCGCCGTCCTGCGGCAGACGTACTCGAGCTTCCAGTCCGAGATCCAGGGCTCGATGGCGGCGCTGCGCAGCAAGGCCAACAACGTCAAGGTGGCGGCGGCCAAGGTGGTGATGCCTGGCGGGGGCGAGGGCGGCGGCGACGCGAGCCACGCGTACGTCAAGCAGGGGCGCAAGCAGCTGAGCACCGACAGCGACCGGCTCGTCAACAAAGTGGACGACCTGCAGGACCTGGTCGAGGACCTGCGCAAGGACGTGGTGCACCGCGGGGTGCGGCCGCGGCCGCGCCAGCTCGAGACGGTGGCCAAGGACATTGCGCTGCTGACCAAGGAGCTCAAGAAGATGGACGACTACATGAAGGCCGAGAAGCCCATCTGGACAAAGATCTGGGAGAAGGAGCTCGAGGAGGTCTGCCTCGGCCGCGACGAGCTGCGCCTCATGGAGGACCTCATGGTCGACCTGCAGGACGACCTCGAGAAGGCCACCGAGACCTTTGCCCTCGTCGAGCAGGCCACCAAGGAGCAGCTCAAGGACGTCGGAGCCGCCGGCGGCGGGGCCGTCACGCTGCCCATCGGCCCTTCGTCGCTGGTGGGCAAGCAGCTGAGCCGCGGCCTTAACAACCTCCTGCTGGGCGGCAACGCGGGCGTCGACCCGGGCCAGGCCAAGGAAGGGGTGCTGGGCGAGGTGCGGGCGCTGCGGCCCAACCACGAGGACCGGCTCGAGGCCATCGAGCGCGCCGAGAAGCTGCGGCAGAGGGAGCTCGAGCAGTCCGACGGCGCCGACAACCCGCTCAAGCGCGAGCTGACCGACTTCGTCGGCGAGGGCAAGCTCAAGAAGTCGGGCGGCTTCGAGGAGGTCGAGCGCGCGAGGAAGGCAAAGGACGACCGCATCCGGAGGGAGGTCTGGGAGAGGCAGAACGGTATCGCGCCCGCTGAGGAGCCGGCGGCGGTGGAGGGGGGGGGCGGTGATGGGGGTGGTGGTGGTGATGGTGGTGGTGGTGAGTCGGGAACGGGGGATGCGACGACACCTTAAGGGGTGAGGGGTGGGAGGGGGAAGAGCGAGGGCTTGCATCGTCTGCATCTTATCTTGCTTTATTCTCGCATACCCACAAGCGACGTTTCTACAACTGGAGTATGGGAATCTGGGAGTTGGGGGGTCCAGGTCTGTTGTCATCATTACTCCCTTTACATATAGCACGGCGAACGTAGTCATGAGGAATTTTAAACGGATGGAAATTAACTATGCTTCTTGCCTTCCTCCCCCCCGTCTGTGCTGACACCTCCATTCTATCCTCTCAGATCCTAGTGCGCCTAGTCCTCTTGGTCTGAGAGCAACGTGAAAACAAAACCAAAAAGAGGTTCCAGTCATCACTCCGAAGACGGAGCCAGATGGTGTGTATAAAGACAAGCTCTGAATTTATGTTGTTCTTCTTGGTACTGTACAATACACTCATAATCACGACAACCCCCTCCGCCCTTGCCGGATCCGGTCCATCCAACTCATCAGCCATCAATGCCATGATATAAAATAAAATAAAAAAGGAAGCATGCGACGAAGAAGAATGTGAAAAAAAGTCCACGGACCCCGCCGGTGCCATGACACCTCGGAAGAAAACCCACCCCGATTCGCATCCCGTAGACGCCCCCCTGGACGATCGGTCCATCCAAGATAGCAGGAAGGGAGGAAGCACTGATAAAATAAAAAGAGAAAAAAGGAAGGAAGAGAGGAAGAAGAATCAGGTTCTCCCCACTCTCCCATGCATGCATCGACCACCACGCCACACCACCCCATCACCGATACCTATCAGACTGCATCCGATCAAACGCCTCATGCGGCCGCAGCTGCCTATGCAAGATAGTCTGCGGCTGCTGCTGCTGCGGCGGCTGTCCCTGCGCCTGCGGCTGTCCCTGCTGCGCCTGAGCCTGCGCCTGAGCCTGCGCCTGAGCCTGCGCCTGAGCCTGCGCCTGAGCCTGAGCGGCCTGCGCCGCCTGCGCCTCGCGCGAGTCCCTCTGCATCTCCCGCATCTGCATCTCCCTCATCTGGTCCTGCGATGCGTACTGCTGCTGCTGCGGCGGCGGCTGCTGCTGCTGGGGTGGCTGCTGGCGGGGGTCTCCATAACCGCCCGGCGTGTAGCTCCGCCCTTCCCTCGGCTGCTGCTGCTGCTGCTGCTGTTGTCCCGGCCCGGGCGTGCTCGTCGCGTATCTCGGGTAGCCACCGCCGCCGCCGGGCTGTCCTCCAGGGGGCGGGCCGGGGTCGGGCCGGCGGGGTTCCGGCTGGAGGGGGAAGCGGCCGCCCATGGACTGGTGGTGCTGATGTTGCTGCTGCTGGTGCTGTTGCTGCTGCTGTTGGTGCATCGCAGCACCCTGGCCCCGTGGGTCATGGACTGGGTAGCCCGGTTGGCCGCGGTCGTCTCTCATGCTCATGTGATGTTGCTGCTGTTGCTGCTGCTGCTGGGGTGGCGGGCCCGGCGTCCACGAGGGCTGGGGCGGCATGGATGCGTTGCTCTGCTGGGCCTTCGCCGGCACGCCATGCTGGGCGCCCCAGGCCGAAGGCCCACGCACTGGCTGGCTGGCCTTGGGAGGAGCCTGTTGGTGGGGAGGCGGGTTCGACGGCCAGGCGGCTTGCTGCTGATGCTGGAGCGCGGCCGGCGGGGGTTGCTGGCCTTGTTGAGAGGGGCCCTGCTGCGACCAGGTCGCTTCGCGACCCGACATGGAAGGCTCGCGCCGGCCTGGAGGCAGCTGGTGCGAGGCGAATGGCGGCGTCGGGGGAGCGGAATGCGGTTGCGAGGCAGGAACGCCATACTGGGGATACGCCGGCTGCGGGGGATACGCCATCTGTGACTGCTGTGCATGCTGTGGCGGGCCAGGGTAGTGGTGGGCCTGGGGAGAGTTTGAAGCCTGGGGCTGGTGCTGAGGCTGATACGCATGCCTCACATAATAGTCCCTATCGGACCCAGGGGCTGCAGACTCGATGGGCGAGACCATGGAAGACCTGGGCACGCCCGAATGATGAGGTTGAGGAGACTGGGTGCTGTATGGCTTGAGAGGCGGCACAATTGATGAAGCTGGACCCGCGTTGCGAGAGTAGGGGAAGACAGGGGCTTCAGTCTCCCGACGAAGAGGAGTCGGGGTAGACGTCGGGGGAGGAGGTCGCGCAGACACCTGCTGGGGAGGCGGAGTGGCGGAAGGCCTCAATCCTGAGGATACATCGCTCAACCTCTTCGAATGCAGAGAGGGGCCCGGTGGGTCTTCATTCAGCAACGCCATCAAACTACTAGTCTTACGCTCTGGCATACGAGATGGCCCGGACGAAATTGCGGGCGGAGCAGCTTGAGGTCCCGGGCCCGGCGCCGAGCTGAAAGGGTCCTGGACCGGAACAGGGGCGGGTCGCTGCATGCTTGAAATTGGCCGTTCAGCAGAAGGTGCGAATTGAGCAGCCGCGGGATCGCCGAGAAGACTGCCCCTGCCAGGCTGGGCCTGAATGGGCTGTGCGTAAGCCTGCGGTGCTGGCGCAACCGTGCGAGGCTGCTGCTCGGGCTGTCGCGAGAGAGACAGGGGCTCTGTCCGAGGTGTGCCGACCCGTTGGGGTTGCGGAGGGGCATAGGACGAGTCATAGTGAGACATCGCATCGGGTTCTTGCTTGAGCCGTGGTGCACGCTCGGCCTGCCGCGGTTGGTCTCTGAGCGAGGGCTCCACTCTCCCAGCCCTGTCTCCGGCTTCGCGCGTCTCTCTTTGCCGTGCGAGCTGAGCAAGCTGCGTAGCCACGTCACTCTGCCAGGCCCCGCGTGGCATCGCCTCTGTGATTGGCGGCGCCGACACGGGAGCGGAACCTGGAGAAGAAACGAGGAGCGGGCCAGCAGGTTTCCGAACGGCTGGTTGCGGCGGCTGGGATGATGCTGGCTCGGGTTCCCTTTCAGGATGCGCAAACGGAACCGGGGGTGGCCTCAAAGGCCGGCTTGACGGCGACGACTCTTGCGATACAACATTGCCACCTGGCTGCTGTTGCAGTTGTTGCTGCTGCTGGTGGAGCTGTTGCTGATGTTGATGCTGTTGTTGGTGCTGTTGCTGTTGCTGTTGCTGCTGCTGCTGCTGCGCCTGCGCCTGAGCCTGCATCTGTTGCTGCGATGGCTGGGTCAGGGGCTGTGGATTCACAGGTGCTTGTGCAATCGGTACTTGGAAGCGGGATGTGAACGCTTGATTAGGCGGCGGCGAGAGTTGGCCCTCCAGCTTGCCTTGGGTCCCCTCCTCGGTTGAATCCGCTGCCACCAAAGCTCGATGGAGCACGGAAGGCGTGTCGTATCTCTTTCTTGGGCCTGCCGTCGGCGTCGGCGGGGCCGGCCTCTTCTCGCCTCTGACTCGTTTAGCGTCCGCCTCGGCGGCGATTGGCCCCCATTCTGGTTTTCCACCGTCCTTCTGACGAACGTAATAGTTCTTTACCTGTTGTCACAATGTTAGCAAACGAACGGGTTCAAGATAGAGGGGGACGAAAGGAGGGGACGGGCCGGACAAACCATAACTGCCGTTTTAGTCTGCATGTGAGCAGCGATGGAACCCCAGTCCGTGCCAAAGGACCGCAGCAGACCGGGGAAGTCGTTAGATTCCGAGACGCTCCAGTAACTTGATGCCTGCTGAGGCGTCCGCACGCGATCCAGCCCAGCTCCCTGCCCCAGATCGAAGGTAGGGAGGCTCGCTGGCGGCGGGAGAGGTTCGGGCCGAAGAGATGGTGGCGCCATAACTTCCGAGATGGACGAGGGCAGCGGAAGAGGAACCCTCTCGGGGCTGGCGAGGGGTGCCTGTTGCACGGGAGCCATAGGTGGCTGCATCCCGCCGGGTGGCATCTCGAACTGCGTTGGGAGGCGCCCAACATCGCCGACTGCGGACTGCGGCTGCGGCTGCTGCACCCACTCCGGGCCCTGGGCTCGCGAGTTCGATCGCGACCTGTTGGCCTTCGAGGCGGGAGGAGTGGGGGCAAGAGCCTGCGCCGGCTTGGGCGTCTTCGCATCTTTGTCCTTGGCCACTCGTGTCCGCCGTCCCTTCTTGGTCTCGGCTTTCTCGCCTCCGTTGTCGTTCTTGGAGCCAGCTCCCCGGCGGCCCGGAGTGGTGGATTGTGTACCATCCGAGTCCGCCGTTGGCGTGGCCGCGGTCTCGAAGCCCCATGTTGGCGCTGCTGCGCGGCGCGGCCGACGGCGCTCCCCGTTCTCGCCATTCTCCTGGCCCTCTTCTCCGTCATTCTCAATATTCCCAAGTTCAGATACCAAGGCACTACTTCGTTGCTTAGCGCGGCCCCTCTTACGTTTCCGCGGCTGCTTCTTAAGCTTGGCCTTCAAGTTTAGTTCTGTCTTCTTGGCGTAGTAGTACTGGATGCAGGCCTTGAAGTCCCGAGTTGGCACGCGCTTAGCAATGTTGCCCCACTGCTTGGGGAGCTCCAGATATGCCGTCTCGAACTGCTCGGCCTCTTCCTCCGTAAAGTTTACGACGGGCGGTAACACCTGCCAGGTGCCGACGAGCCTGTCCACCGGAAGGAGGCCCGTGGTATCCAGGTAAAGTTCTCTATCACGGTCTTCTTGGGTCCAATACATTTCCGGTATCACGGCCTCCTTCTCGCTGCGGTATTTTTCCCTCTGCGTCCGCGCCTCCCTCTCTTGGGCTTCCTGGTGCTCGCGTATCGACTGTTGTATGACGTATTCAAGATCAAGCTCGGTAGAGAAGCGATTAGTAGTTCGTCTGCCGCCTTCCAGCTTGGCCTCGGGGACAGCAACCGGTTTGGTAGTCGCCGTCGAAGAATGCGGGACACTAGAGCTGGCGAAATGGTCCCGGCTCTTGACCGCGGCCGGATCGTCCGACATGGTGAAACGCAAGTACGAGTCGTATCTCTGTCTGTAGTCACGCTTCAAATCCTCCTGCTCTGCAATCTTCATGGATAACTCCTCGTGCATCCTCAACAGGATCAACTCGGCTATGTCGTTACTTGTCTCGCACGCTTTGCGGACCTTCTTGCTTCGGTACCATGGCTTGAGAGCAAAGTCAGGAAGCTCGTCAAGAGGAGGTGTCTTCATGTACTCTCGAACAGTCTCGATCGAGGCAAAATCGATCTCTTCTTCCTCGGTTTCGTCGTCGTCCTCCATCTGGGATGGGCTGGTCCTCCTCGACAGAGGCTCTCCATAATCCGGAGGGAAGGTCAACAGCCTGGAAGCATCGACAGGGACGCCATTAACGCCGACGGCTTGGGGCATGTGAATCAATGGCTCCTCGGTTTCCGTGGCGTCATCCATCTCGGTATCAACGTCGTCCACCCTTGCGTGGGCAGGCACGGAAATGGCAGGAGGCAGTCCTGAACCATCCGTGTCCATCTCCTCGACTTTGGGCTGCGGCTCCGGTTGCATCGACGAATCACCGCCCAACTCGACCGTCGGGAGTGGAGCAGATTCGGGAGCGGGCGGGGCCGATGACCGGGCCTCGTCCACCTCCGACGGAGCAGCCGGTCCTGGTTCTTTACCACCCGCTTTCGAAGGTGGGAACGTGAATCCTTCAGGTACTGGCCCTACCATGTCGTTGATCCCTTCCGCTTCACTCGCCACTCTCGCCATTGCCTCAATTGACACGGCCACATAGCGAGCGACGATGGAAGTTGGAACACTGCCCCCGACACTTTCAAGTTTCTTCAATTCAGCTTCGGCCTTGGCCATCTCCGAATCGAAGTATATGTCCATATCCTCGTCGTCAGACTCGGACGACTGCTCGGTCACAGGGGGGAGAGGCTGTCTCGCAGGCAGGGAGATCTTCCCAACGGGCGTTGATACCGCAATTGGCCTCTTTGGTTTGGAGCTCGGCTTGCTGTGGTCAGAAGCCTCAAGCTTGGTCCTGCTTTCTTTATCCGTGCCAATCTTGGAGCCCGTAAGACTCGGCGGTCCATCAGCATGCTGTTGTGGCTTGCTTTCGTTCGCCGTCTCGGCCGCACTCGCCTTCGAATCTCGTGCCGAGTACGGAAAGCCGGAGTCCCGGTCGACGGACGCACGGGCTGACCGCGTGCCCCTTTGAAGGTTCAACGGGACACCATTCGCCTCGCTGATGTGCAGGCCTCTCAGTTGAATGTCGGCAGCGTTAACTTGGGGTTCCGACTTCGCACCACTACTACGGGGTCGTCGCTCGAAATCGCCATGCTGGTCTGAGTGCGAGGACTCGGGCCGGTAGCCGAACGGTGGTGGTCTTCCCTGCTGCGAGACAAAGCTCTGCGATCTGTTGATCTTTGGGGATTCCGGTATCTTCTTGTTGGCAACTATGGCAGGGTTGATCCATTGTTTGCTGGACCTCTGCTGCTTCTGCTGCTGCGCCCGAGGGCCAACGGGGATTGGCGGGCTACCATCGGGTAATGTTGGTTTCGAGGGGCCGGTAGGTGGCTGTCTGTCGCCCATTATCGGAAGAGACGCCGACATGGATCTGTCTTCGGTCAATGCACGGGGTCCCGTCGGCGGGGCCTTGCCGGTGAGGGTCTGGAGGTCGGTAGACGACGGTTGGCGGCTCGGTACGGATCCAAAGGCGGGTGCAGACGGGGCAATGGGCGGTGGCGATATGTCTTTGGTCGTTGATGGCGATGGTTCGTGGGATACTCGGTCCACTCTAGGTCGAATCAAGTCCCTGTCACCCCGATCCCTAGGGTCCCTATCATCTCGCTGATGAGGCATCCTGTCGGAATCCGGATAGCGGTCTCCACGATCGCGATCATCTCGGGGATCACGTCCCCAGATCCGATCCTGAGAGCGGCTCCGCTGGCTATACCGGTCTCGGTCCTCGTAAAAATTAGCACCCCGCCCGCGTCCTCTATCCCAGTCGCTGCGGCCGCGTGCTCGACCTCCGCGGGGAAACCCGCCTCGGAATGACGAAGGAGCAAACGGTGGGTCCGAATTCGAGGAGCCCGCAGAGAGGGGCCCATCTCTCGACCCTCGTCTGGCTCTTTCGGCGTCTACCCCAAGAGGCGGGTCCCTAGTATCTCGAAAGTCTCTTCCTGGTGGCGACCGTCCTCTTCCTAGCGGGGGGGAGAGCCTCCTCCCCCGGAAACTGTCGCGCCCGTCGCGATCTCTCTCTCTCCATTCTCTTTCGCGCTCGCGACTTCTCTCGTCCCGGAACAGCGGCCGGTCTCTCACGTCGAACTCGCGATCTCGTCCTCGGTCTCGGCTGTCGTCCCGCCATCCGCGACCCCGCCCTCTGCCTCCGCGGACCTGGTAGGCGCCGCTGCGAGGCCCGCTGGGGGGCTCCACCAGCGCTCTGGGTCCCCGCGGGGGTTCCCGGCCCGTCAGCGAATCGCGAAATGCATCGCGGTTCGACTGGAAGGGAATGGCGTTTGAGCGCGATTCTACCGGTGGACGTCCTCGGTCGCCATCACTGTACTGGGAGGCCCTGTCTCCGTAAGGCGAGCGATCACGGGGCGAACGAGAGCGGCGGTCGCTGTCGTATCTGCCGGTGTATCTTGACCTAGAGTGAGGATAGCGGTAAGCGTACGGCACGATGAGGCACGGAGGGGACAAGAGCGGAATCCATAGCCCCCACTATTCTCTCCGTATGTAGTGGCAGCACGTCTGCCGCACCCTCGGTCGCAAAGACCTCTTTTGGGTGAGATGAGGATGGATGTTGGACAACGTACATTGCAGCGAAGGGCAAAAGCCCTCTCGTTCTCTATCGCACGACGTCTCGCATGCGTGGCTTCAATCTTGGGTCTTCGCTCTCCCCGGGGTCTTGTCCAACCGGACCCGTGGTTGCAAAATAATCTTCCAGGCTGGTTTAAACTTTTCAATAACCTCGGTCGTGGATGCCAGGAGCGGATTTGATGATTGGCGCAAACGGAGCGGGACTGGTGGCGATGCAAGGAACCCGTCCGGGAGTTAAAGAGTGTAGAGCGTAAATGCTGAGTGAGACCCCTCAGCTCTTCCGGACTCTGCTAAATCTGAAGTTGACGACTCCACGGGTCGCTACCGTTGGCCTGTTGCAGTGTCAACGGTTTGGTGTTTTGGTAACGAAAGCTTGAAAAGGCTGGACTGGAGGCTGGAACGGACCTCGAATTGGTGCCCTTCGAAAATGGAACCCCATTCGAGGCGCGTGGCGCATACGGCTAGCTTCCTAGACCGAAACCGTCCCTGGCGCATCCCATCTCCACCCTAGGCTATTTTTGGCTTAGCGTTGAGCCCGCCATGCACCATCCCGGCCCACTTGACCAAACCAGCAGGCTGAAGGCTGCAAAATTTAAATGTTAGTGCCGGATGGGTTCCACTTCCTGAAAGGCAACAGCCGGGGGCGAAGAAGAAGAGTTGGGCAGTGAGCCAGTAAGCCAGACAATAACGGAGTAGCTACGCGGTCAAGTGACCTGTGACCTGGTTTGACTCGGGAGGAAGATATCAGATTCAAGCTGTCCTACTGTTACTGTGGTAGAGCTCATAGCGTAGAAGTACTTCTACTCCGTTCGTCCGATCTCTAAGGCAGTGGAGATAGAGTTATCCGCCATCTGGTTTGCGCTTCTTGGCTTTTAAGATTCATACCCTTGGCCCCCATAAATTTTCACCACCTTTTCTTCCTCTCCCCTTCGTATCCCTCTCAAAACGCTGTGTAACGCGCCGGATATGACGATGGGTTCCAATCTCCCCCCCACACAGGCCAAGGATGCCGTCCTGGTAAAGTCGGTCGAGATGCCTCAGGGGGCGCAGAAGGTCGAGGAGCTCGACTTCAACAAGTTCAAGGGCCGCCCCATCACGGCCGAGGATCTCTACCTGGGGATGAGGCACATGGGCTTCCAGGCATCCTCGGTCGGCGAGGCCATCCGGATCATCAATGAAATGGTAGGTGCGCCTGGAAAAATTGGGGGTTGCTTCCTGGACATGGGCTGACTAGGGGGCTCAAGCGGGCGTGGCGTGACCCGGAGACCGGGGAGAAGACGACGATATTCCTCGGATACACGTCTAATCTGATCTCCTCTGGCCTGCGCGGGGTCTTACGGTACCTCGTCGAGCACAAGCACGTCTCGTGCGTCGTCTCAACGGCGGGGGGCATCGAAGAGGACTTCATCAAGTGTCTCGGAGACACGTATATGTCGTCTTTCAGTGCGGGCGGGGCAGAGCTCCGCTCCAAGGGCCTCAACCGCATCGGCAACCTGGTCGTACCCAACGCAAACTACTGCGCCTTTGAGGACTGGGTTGTCCCCATCCTCGACACGATGCTGGAGGAGCAGGAGGCGAGCAAAGGGACCGGCGAAGAGATCAGCTGGACGCCCTCCAAGGTGATCCACCGGCTCGGCAAGGAGATCAACGACGAGAGATCAGTCTACTACTGGGCCTACAAGAACAACATCCCCGTCTTCTGCCCCGGCCTGACGGACGGCAGCCTCGGGGACATGCTGTACTTCCACACCTTCAAGTCGTCCCCTCGGCAGCTCAAGATCGACATCGTCGAGGACATCCGCGGCATCAACACCATCGCGGTCAAGGCCAAGCGCGCCGGCATGGTCATCCTCGGCGGCGGGATCGTCAAACACCACATCGCGAACGCGTGTCTGATGCGCAACGGCGCCGAGTCCGCCGTCTACATCAACACGGCGCAGGAATTCGACGGCAGCGACGCGGGCGCCCGGCCCGACGAGGCCGTGTCCTGGGGCAAGATCAAGGTCGGGGCTGACCACGTCAAGGTAAATCTGTCGCCTCGCTTTTCTTTTTCTACTCTGGCCCGAGGTTAACACTCTCAAAGGTCTACGTGGAGGCCACGGCGTGTTTCCCACTCATTGTCGCCAACACCTTTGCCAAGGAGGATGCATAGCCACTCGACAACCGGATTCTCCGCCTCCCCGGTTCGTGCGTCTGATGGAGCCGTAGCCGATTGCCGCACACCAGACCGGTCCCCTTTTTATGGCGTTCCTTAGCCATTGTGGCAACCCTACCTGTTTTTCCCAACTAGCATAACCCAAAACCCAACCCGGATTGTCTGCAATGGATGTTCCCACCGCCTCCCTATTCCACAGTGCTGGAAATTCCCGCCACCACCCGCACATCCTCCTCACCAACCGTAGCATCCGACACCACCGACGACTCACCCGCACCCCACAGCCCGCCTCTCCAATCCTTCGTCCTCCTCATCCTCGCCTCCCTTGCCACCCAACCGGGTATCCAGGTGATGGCCGCGCACTCCAGTCGTCGTTTCCCCGTCGATAATACTCGCCCCGCAGACAGCTCCGGGAAGGAAGCAAGGAGGGAAGGAAAGTGCATCGTTAGTGGTGGCCCACGCCCACGAACGATTACCTTCCGGCGTCGGCGTTTGAAGGGCTGCATAATGGCATGTGATGACGTCCCGTGGTATTCGCCGTAGCTATGGCGAACTGGCTAGCTACCTAGGTAGATACAGGTACTCGGGAATCGGGGACAGAGCTCGGGTTGTCTGTATCTCCGGTGGAATATGACTTGTCGAAGGAGGGGGGAGGCTCCTTGAATATTTTACGTACACGGCGGGGGCATCTCCGAGATTCCTGACTCTCACGAGTCGGACTTGCACGGTGATTGGAGAGCTCTGCTATTACCGCACCTTCACAGGCAGGAAAGTCGAATGTTATCAAGCAAAACTAGTTGTATTTCTTCGCGAACTCTGGCCAATTGGCCTGGTATAATGCCATGAACTCCAATCGCCGATATACCCGATGGCTGGTTGCATATGTCCTCCTGGTGATACTCAAGTCTGCAACCAGAGCAAGACGAAAACCAAGACAGGAGAGGAAAAATAAGTAAAAAAGGGGGAAAGGTAAACAAAAGGGAGTAAACAATAAGACAATATGAATATCTCAATATAGGTGACCCTTTCCTTCCACCTGCCATGCTTTCATGTCTTCAGAATAGTCCCAACATTAACTCTCCATAAGAGGAGAGACAAATCGCACGCTCTTCCGGCGGCAACCTCACAACGCTCTCATCGAAACCTCTGGCTCGATGGTGGATATAAAGGTGGAATACAGCAGATATGCCTGAAACAGCAGCCACAGCTCGTGACAACGCTGCGTCAACAAAAAGAAAAAAAAAAGAAAAAAAAAAGAAAAAAAAAAGGGAGAAAATAAAGTGGTGTTAGCAGGCCCTCCGCAGTTATTCCCTCTACTATCAAAGAGCTGCGTATTGCAGCCCAAGCTCGGTCAAGCTGGATAGTATGACATTATCATGATCATGCAATCAATGGGTTCATCATGAGACACGTTCCCAACTCCAAGGACCGCACTCATTGCATCGTGAAGGAGGTAAAGCAAATGGCCAAAAAAAAAGGCCCCCCAAAATAGAATATAAGAGAGTTGAATGGGAAGACCAGCCTCTGCGTGCGGAAGATAGAAGATGCCTCTCACATCTGACCCGGACCGTGGGCGGATATGCTTCCCTCGAACAGCTCCAGGACATTGTCGGGCAAGTACTCAAGCCAGGTAGTCGGCATCACGTCGTTCGTCAGTCCCAGCTGACCAATGTCGATCTCCTGGCTGTCAAGCGTGATGACATCCGTGAGCCCTACAGGACCGAGATATGAGTACGAGCCAGACATGAGGCCGCTCTGCGGAAAATCGGCGTGATAGTTCCCATGCATCCCGCCGCCGCCCGGATTATGATTAATTCCATTATTATTATTGTGTTGGCGTGACTGGGGATGCGGCTGGCCATGATGTGGGCCTGCCCCCGAGTCCGTGAGCGTGCTTGCCGGCGACGCGCCGTGAGCGATCGAGGCTTCGTAGTTGGATGAGTGCTGCGATGAAGGCGTGTATGAGGGCGGCGCCTGGGGTTGGTGGATATGGTTCGTCTGAGACATGCCAGCGAGTATCTGCAACTTGGAGTCGTTGACACCGGGATCTATATCATCAGATGCAAGGGCATCGTATTTTAGATGCGATTTCCCAGTCACGTAGGAGCTCATCATGGACGAGGACGACGGCCGATGCATCTTGGGAGAAGGGTGGTTGGGATGATGATGGCGGATAGCAGAAATGTTTGGCTGCGGATAGGCAGGCGGGAACATGCCCGTCGGGGTTTCCGGTAGGCTCTGCCGAATCGGGTCGTAGATCATATTTCCCGGGGGTGTCGCGGCAGACGTGGGAGCCGGCGGTGGTGCCGGAGGCATAGCCGTGGAACTGTTTTGGTATAGCAACGTAAGGCTCGGGTTTGGGGAGTTCGTGGTCCCTGTGAGCGAAAAGGCCATGGGCATGATGTTTGGCGATGACGGGTTCTCGATCCGGGCAATGCGGTCCAGAGAGGTGCGCCGTGGAAATTTGGCACTCTCATACTCCTCGTTGGTGTATGTTTCGCAGTCCCAGATGCCTTTCGACTTCTGGTCGAGCGCCGTCAGTATGTATTTGACGCCGCCCCAGTAGTCTTGGAGGTGTTGCAGCGACTTGTAGCATCGCTGGTAATTCTGATTCGCCGTCGAGGTGAGTAGCGAGTGCTTTGCCGACTTGGAGGAACTGCCCTGGGCCGCCCTGGAACCGCCGGAGCCCGACAACGACTGAGGATTCGGTTCCGGCCGTGCTGAGCCTTCGCGAGATGACGGGCCCGAGTCCTTAACAACGGACTCCATTAGGAAGGCGCATGCTGCGATGTACATTGGCTGCGACGTGAAGGGATTACCAATAAAACTTTTCGGATCTATCAGCTCGGCAAAGGCGAGTATGTCGGAGATCGTCTTGGCGCTCGACATGGACAATTCGTGGCTATTAGGCAACAACTGGATTCGGCTGAGGCCGCCAAACGGCGCGAGGAGGGTTGGTTGGTGGAGGATGATGATCAAAGCATGAAACCAGAAATGCAAGAGGATAAAAGTCGTCCCTTGGCCAGCCTTGACGTACTCCTGAAAGTTCTGCGCACTGAAATTGAGGCGTGGATCTTGCTTCTGGTAGATCTGGGTCAGGTCGCTTTCCATCTGCGCCAGCTTGCTCATCTTGTCCTGGGTGAGGTCGTTTGCACCCCTGATGTTGTTGAGCACATCCGAGACCCGTCCGTAGAGGTGAATGATGCGGATAAAGGTCGGGAACGGGGCGGGCCAGCCCGAGACCGGGTCGAAGGTCGGCTCTGGTAAAGCTAGGTCGAAATCATCGTCTCGAAAGGTTACAGGCCTGCCAGTCCCCGAGGAAATAACTCGGTCCAGGACGAAGACGGCCCAGAATGTGTCCATGCGTTCTTGTTCGACTTCCTGCTGTTCCTGAGGGCTGAGCGTGTCTCCGTCATCGTCCTCCTTGTTTTCGTCCATCTCTCCGTCGCTGCCGCTCCGATTCCATGTCCTGGTGTACCATGGATCCTTCTCTCCTTGGTACCTCACGCCAACCATCTTTTGGAGGCCGAGATCTACGGCCATCCTTATTGCCAGGCCGAGGTACATCCATAAGGCACTGTCCTGGTTCTGCCCGAATCCCTCATAAGCCATCAATAGACAAGCCTGGACTGCGCCGACGGACGGGCAGGGGAAGGTATCGACCGTGGCTGCTCTTGCTCGCTGAGCAAAAACATGGCCGAATTGCGACCTTGCCGCCTTCCCATCGCTCTCGTTGGTGAAGACCGACATCTCTGAAAATCTTGCGGCTACGGCGCACATGGAATCGACCAATATGGGCTCTAGCCTCTTCTCCCTAACCAGTCGAAGGCATTTGTCTTCTCGTAGAAACGGGCAGTTGCACCCCAGCCGCAAGAAGAAAGTCTGTAAAAGACTAAGGATTAACGGATGCACCGGTTCAGGGTCGTTCGGGTCGTAGACTGGGAGATCTTCCAGGCTCTCCAGGACCGTGTCTGCCTGTGGCGGGTGGCTGTAATCGGTGACGTTGTGGCCGAAAACAGATCCGGGCGATACGGCTGAAAATGAGCCCCCTCTGCTCCTTCGCCGGTCGCGCTGGACCGAGACATTGACCACCATCTGCTTAAAGCCAGGGACAATGGCGGTAGGTCCAAAGTATCGAAAGTAAGGCACCCTGTGACTTTCCGTCCGGTTGTCCATGGGCGACCGATTATTCAAGCTCCGGCCATCCTCCGAGTACGACGAGTTGCGATGGTAGGTGGGGGGCCTCCGAACAGTGGTTCCGGACGCTTGCGATCTGTTTTGATCCCACTCATTGCTCTGTGTTCTCGGTCTCCCGGATGGCGAATTGATCGTGGACAGAGAATCGCGCCTCGGTAACGCGTTTTGGGGTGAGAAGGACGTTTTACCCCTGATCTTGCTCTTCAAGTGCCGTCGCTCGTCCTCCGACCCGTCGTCCAGAAATTCGTCCCTCCATTCGTTCTCCAGCTCGGTTCCCATTCCGATCGTCTCTCCTCGCTCGTTTCTGTAAGACACATGTCCAACCCCGTTATCCTTCTTCTTCTCGACGATTTCCGTGTACCCAAGACAAACATGGCCATTCTTCGCGCACGTCGAGCAGGTTGGCTTCTCGCCGGCGCAACGTGTCTTTCGTTTGCGGCATGTTAGGCACCTAGAGAAGCAGTTTAGAAGTGCGTTCTGCGCAGCGTCCCGCTCCGGGCCAGGGCCCACGACGCAGGACCAAGATGGTTGGACGGGGGCAAGAAACGGAGTGCGGGCGACCTACGCAGCATTGATCCTGCGCCGCTTCGACGGCGGTTGACCCTGGTTGTTGACGAAGCGGATTTGCTTGGGCGGTGGTAGAGCTCCATTGATCAGGGTGGTCATTGCGCAAGTTCTTTCATAGCAAACCCATCATGGCTTGCTGGAACTCGTTAGGCTGTCGGCGCTTCAAGACCTCCCAAGGTCGCAGCAGAGCTCGGTCAGCCTAGTTGGTGGGGCAAGAGTGAGTGCAACGACGCGAGTCGGCGGCTGAAAGCGAATGTGCCAAAATGGGACGACGGTGCGACTCTTTGGGAAGTGGCTCGAGGCGGTTAACAGGCGTGTAGTAGCATCGTCAGTCTGCAATTAGGAGGTCAGAATTGTTAGATGAAGTCATTTTGCGCTTTTTGAGAAAAAAAGAGGCGTGATAGGAGGGGGCAATTGCGGGGGGAGCTGACGCGACTTATTTTTGGGGGGGAAGGGGGGGGGAAAGTGGTTTTTTGGGAGGGCATACAGTACGAACAAAGGGACTCTGGTTCGACGTACAGTACAGGGTGGGTGTTTGGTAAGGTGCCGGTTTTTGTATTTGGTGGGCAAGAAGCAGCCACAGGGCGACGAAGTGGACGATCTCTGTAGGGATCAAGAAGGAGGGCTTGATGTAGGAATGGCAAAAGGAAACAAGGTGGCGGTGGTGCGGGGGATAGAGACGAGGGACAGAAGAAACGCGGGAGGAGCGAAGAATTAGGGGGGGTAAATGGGCGGGGAGGAAGAAGTGTAAGAAGCGGAAGAATGAACACACGGGGACAAGCTGACGGGAGGGATGGCAGCAGCGAGGGCAGGGTCGTGTTAGGATGAAGGCTCCGTTATGGGAATGGCATGCGACACTCGATGGCTTGCTGCAGCATCGTGAAATACCTATGCTATGCTCCCCATGCTATGCTCGGCTGAGCCCATCCATCTATCCCACCCCATGCCATGACAGAAAGGAGAATTAAGGCCCCGCTTCCTGCTTCCTCCTCCAACACACACCTGTGTCAGATCGGAAGTATGAGGAAGGGCAGAAGGCAGGACGTCGGGCTTGCAGACAAACAGGCTGGCTGACAGGCCAGCCGCCCTATGGCTGTATGGCTATGGCTGTATCCGGATGTGGGCGCACCATCGTGTGGGTACCTACTACGCTTGCACTGCAAGCCTAGTAAGGTTGGCCAAGGAATAATATTGAAGTTCCAGAGGGGTGCGGGAAGGTTGAAGGCGTGCCGCACCAGAAAGAAGTTGGGGGTATCGAGCATCGATCGAGTCGGAGAACTCGGAGAGAGGCAGGGCGGATGAAGACGGTTAGCTGCTCAATCACAAAACTGCCGTCGCTATCAAAGAGCGGTGCGTCCCTAGTCCCTACCAGGCCCTACAATATGCCAACCATGGTACGAGTCCCAGACTAGCAAGAGAGAATGATTATCTCCTCCCGGGGAACAATTCCACTGCCACCCCAGTGGCCAATACTATCAGTTGCAGCTGCACGCCCATGCACCCAGGGTGCTGAGTGTGCGCGCTGTTTCCTTCCCGCTTCCTGACTGGCCAGATTCACGGCTGGAGCCAAGGCGTGCGTGGAAGCAGCGAGGGAAGGCGCGAAGAAGCTCTCCAAGACATTGACACTTGAGCAGGAGCAAATGGCCGTACTGATACGTAATACGCCAATGACGAAGGCAAGCAGCAACAAAACCGTCCCTTGCAGGAAAGCCAATTGGTTTGAAGGTTTTTTCTCTCCTGGCACATATCACCTACATAGGTACCTAGATACCTTAGGTTATCTCCAGAGCGATTTGTAGCATTTCGGCTACCTATCTACAAGTAGATACCTACCTTTATTCTTGTAAGCCACCTTTGTGACCTTGCTTCGGAAAGCAGTTTTGCAACTCTCATGCAACGCCAACGACAACTGGGCGCCCTGTCGGCCTGATGGCCACCCTTTCCGGGGCCAGAGAGAGCGAGAGGGCGCGATTCGCCAACTCTCCCAATCTCGACCACACCACGGTTCCTGTTTCCAACCCGGACCGACCCTATAGCTCTTGACCAACACTTCTCTAGACATCACACACACCCAGGCCGACCAAGTAGACAAAGTCACGCTTTAACATAGCACCTTACTTTCGCCATCGTGTGTCGTGTGTGCGCCTGGCGACAAATAGCCTAAACAGGCGGGGGGTGGGAATCCCCCACGCGGTCTAGATCGCGAAGCATCAACGTCCAGACCGCCGCCTCGCCTAGCCACAGCTCTCTTCAGAAGAGTTTCGCAAGCCACCGTCACTAGCCACTCCGTGGCACCTTCCCTCGCATTCCTGACGTGGGCCCAGCCACGTGGTTCGTCGATCCCGCCCCGGTCGCCGAACATGAGCCCATCCTCCCGTCCCATGAAACAGAGCCGCATTTTGCCACGAGAAAGCCGCGACGGTGGTGGGGATGAGGTTGTCCTGTATTTCCGGGTTCGTATAACGCCCAATGTATATACCCTCGTGACACCCTTCCGTATCGCGATCTGGCGCGTTGGTGTAACTCGAAACAAACTCCCTCCCCCCAAGTTTGGCCCATGACTTCCCGGCCAGGGGAGATATTGACGATGATCACTTGAGATCGCCCTATGAGTTTGTGAGTCATCGTCCAGACCATTCGCAGGACTCTCTTATTTCTTATTTACCCCTTGACGCCGGCAGCGCCTGTTTTGTTTCCCGTGGTGGGGGCAGTTTCGTTCCCTTCAAACCATCCTTGAGCCCCCGTTCCCTGCCAACGACCCAACCAGATGCGCCCGTTCGCCGTCTCTGAATCGCTACCGCTATAATTGCTCCCCGTATGTCCGTGGCTATCCGTGTGCGCCTCATGTACATACGATACAGGGGTGCAAAACTCCCTAGGCCACCATTACAGCCCCGTCGTGGCCTTAAAGGGATTCGATATATTCCCCCCCCACAATCGAAGCTCAAGCCCCCAGACGAGACCGGCTCACCTCAGCCAAAGACAATATTAACGCCCATATCCTTGCTGACCCGCCTCCACAAATCCGCACTCCTTCCTGCCTTGTGCCCGTGCCCACGTCCGAGACGGGCACTGGTTGGTCGTCTGCTGTCGCCCGTCGCCGGACAAGTTGCTCCTTCCCGCCTCGCCCCTCCTGCAATCTCACCATCCACATAGTACCCCAGAGTATCCCTGTCGTCCTCATGGTCGCCAAGACCTCCCCGTTCCCACTCCTCCTCCTCCTCATCCGCCCTCCTCCACACCTCCCTGACAATCCCCCACGCCCTCCCGATATTCCGCATCCCCTGCCTCCTCTCGATGCCTTCAAACGCCCGCCCCGCGGCCCCGCGGTCCGCGGCCGACACGGCCTCGCACGCCGCCACGAACAGCGGCCACAGCAGCGCGCCCATGGGCCCGCCGGCCCGCACCGTCGCCTCACAGTGCGCCAGCCCCGCGCGCGCGTGCCGCTGCACCGCCGCGTGCGCCCGGTCGAGCCCGCGCACCGTCCGGTACAGGTACACCAGCGCGCCGTGCTTGTAGGCCAGCGCGCTGTGCACGATGGAGTGCAGGCCGTCGCGGTCGCAACGGGGGGGGGGAGGGGGTTGGCGGGGCGAGGGGGTGGCGAAGGGGCAGCAGGGGGGTGGTGGTGAGGTGGGGGAGGAGGAGGAGGGTGAGGGCGAGGGGGGTGAGGAGTCCGGGGTGGTGCCGCCAGGGTAAGAAGTGGGAGTGATGGCGTCTAGGTCCTCGGATGGGAATTCTTCAGCGAAGAAGTCCGGTGGTAGGGTTGGCTGCCACTGGCTGAGGATTGTTTCGATGGCCTCGGCGGTGGTCTCGAATTCGGTGCGCAGAACGGCAACCTTAGTCGAGGTGGGCTCGGCCTGCATAGTGCTCTCCAGCTCCGCCTTCAGTGACAGAAGGGTCGCTAGCCTATGAATGACGGGCCACAGTGTGGTTGCCATGCCCAGCAACGTGTCGACGTTGCTCAGGGGCGACGCGGCCAGGGCCCCTAGAGGAGGGAACGGCTGGAGGCAGCCCGCCGCTGGAGCAGCTGACAGTGGCGCCGTGCCGTTGGAGAGGGCTGCTATCACGTCGTAGAAGCGGAATGCCTGGAGAGAATGAGTGCGTAAGCGTCAGTCATGGCCGGTGACAGGTGTAACATGCGAGAAGCTTGTTTCTGATTCATGCTAAGGTCGGGGTCGGGCATGGCACGTACTCGTTCTAAGAATATGCCTGTGGGGTCGTCTGACGGCTGCTGATTTGTGCACATGATGGTAAGTGCGCCTTTGAGATGGCCGTCTACGATATTGGACTGTCCCCTCTGAACCAGCTATTCAAAGATCAGTCAATGTCGCTCGATGCGGGGAGACGAGATGACGTACAACTTCGTAATATACGAGGAGCATGATTGTGGCCAATAACTCGTTTCTGTTTGTCCTACTATCTTGCTCAATGATCTTGGCCAGCCCCTGAATTGCCTTGTTGTGGAAGTAGAGCGACTTCTCGCCGTTCTCGGCGCACCGATACTCGAGATGAGCACTCGCAAGAGCGTAGATGGCATTCATGACAGGGGAGCTGCTCTGGGTCAACGGCAGCACTAGCTGCTGAAAGGCGTTCCCGGACTCCTCCCGGAACACGATCAGGTGCGATAACACATTGCAGAAGTGGGCGACTAATGCCCGCCGCTGGGGTGAGTCTGAGAACTCGGAGAAGGCGGGCGCACAGAACTCTAGCAGCGGTGAACCAAGCGCGAAGGGGGCTATCATAGCCAAGTGGGGATTTCGCGATGCAGAGTGAGACGAAGGGGCGACGACCGCTGCCGTGGGAATGGACGAAGATCCTCGACGACCACGACGACCACGACGACGGGATTCGCTCGCCCCCCACGTCGTTTCCGCGGTTTCATCCTCGCCTTCTAGATCATACGGAAAGCTGTGGCGTGGAGACGCAATTCGCAATAGCGCGGTCGGAGGCGGGCCCCCGAGGAAGGCAGGAATTAGGGGAGAGGTGTCAAATGACGTCTCGAGAGGGCTAAGGGCGGTCAAGTCGCCCATCTCGAACTCGTCCACGGGCCCATGGTGAGGGTGGCGCTCGCAACCCCATCTTCCGTGGCTGGCGTCTTGGCTGTCATTGCTATCCTCGGACAGCTTGCGTCCCGGCGGGTAAGAGATGGAAATGGGCAGCTGACTGATGGCTGACCTGGGGTTGGGTGCCGTCGAGTTCCGCTTCCGCCTCTGCCGTGGTTTCACGGGCTCGTAGATGCAATCAAGGCTACGCTCAGCACAGCGATTGCATTGCGGCCGTTCCTCGTCACATTTCTTCTTCTATATTTTCCCAGAGAAAGAACGGGTTAGACACGGTTTGTTTCTGGAAGATGACATGCGCGTTTAAGGCTGCGTCGGGCATGTTTGGGAGGGGGGGGAAAGGGGCGCGGAAAGGGGGGCCGGGAGGGAGGCCGAGAGGGGGGCGGCGTGCTGGGGGTAAGAGGTAAGAGGCTAGAAGCTTGAAAGAGCGAACTGGATCGTCGATGCGAACCTTTTCCTTGCTTTGCGCGCGAGTCAGAAACAGGATTTCTCAAAGTTTGGTTCGGGTGAGCAGCAGCAGAGGAGATCACGTACCAAGATAGGCAGCCTGTATTGAAACCAACGAGGCAATGGGTCAGCGGAGATCAGGCCAGCTGGTTTCAGGAATTGGAGAATCGGAGCAGCCCTCTCACCAGCTCTCGATCGCTGCTTGGGTGGTTTTGGCGGGGCAAGTCTCGTGTACAGCAGCATTATGCCTTCTTTAGCACCAGCACGGCGCCGCGGACATGGACCATCGCTTCGTCTCGACTCGTTCGTGCTCGGGTTGCGTCTCGACTGGTACTGAGACAACAGCTTATACCACCATAGCGGCTCTCGGCCCTGGAACGAGCTGAGGTGGGGGAAGACACCGAGCCGTGATCGCCGAGGGTCCAATTAGGTAGGTAATTTCCTGGTTGGGTCTGAGGCAGCTATTTATTCACGATGGATGTAGATTTGGTGTTGATTTCTTGCTTTAGAAGCTGTCAAGTTGTAGGTTACGGGCAGTGAGGAAAAATCTTAGAAGACGTGAAGCTCGCTGGACCCTAGCAGATGATCCAAATTCCATGGTATTTCTTCCGTAACAGGAACCAAGGTTTGAAAGGAAGATCGGCTAGTCTTCCTCCGCAAAAGACCTTAGGTGGGGAAACTTGAGGGGTTGCCGAGATGTGGAGTATGGATATATATGCTTGACGAGAACGATGCCCCCGGCTCCGGCCACAAGAACTCACGATATTTACCGTGGTGCAACCTTGACCTGAGGCAAATGCCAGCTGGCTCGAGGAGGATTACAGCATTTGCTCCGTGATATCAATTCCGATATCCTGGAGTGAAAAGAAGCAGCCAGCAATAAGCCAAGAAGCCAGCCAGCCAGCCACAAAAGCGCTGGGGGAGGCTCCTTCACCGAGATGAAATCCATCTGGAGCTTTTTACGCGGCCCTTCCACAACAGCCCATGTTGCGAGGCGGGGAAGGCCAAGCGGGCGTTGATTGGAGCGCTTAGAGCAACCCGAGATTACTAAGCAGTCAAGGCCACATGGCCGGCAGGGGTACTGTATGTACCTACATACAGCTCGTTATCTGAGACGAATCTACGGATCCGTAGATATTCACAATTACAGTTAACAGACATGGTACTAAGCTGGTTCTGATTTGACCTGGGTATTGCTCAGAACTCAGACTCACAACACAAATCGAAGAGACCATCAGCTGAGTATCAATGTCTGGAGGACGATAACGACCACGCAAGTATAACTAGACTACCAATACCTTTACTTGGACAAGCTGCCCTCAACCTCAATCTCGCAAAACCACGGATCAACCAAAATTTCCGCAGCTGAAGGTCTCTTCGCGGGATCGTACTGCAAAATCCGTCGAATGAGCGCCTTCACTTTGCGGGCTTCCACCTCATCAAGCTCCGGGCCTGCCTGATCGAACAACTCCTCCATGGACGTCTGCTCCAACATAAGCGGTTCCTCCCCTTCCGCGACTCCCCCGAGCCCAAAATTAAAGAGCTTCCTCTCGGGTGTAAAGTACAGCGAAGACGTCTTCCAATGCTTGAAGAGCTCGTCGGGGAGGGCGCCGAGCAGGGGCGGTGAGGGAGAGGAGATGGTCGTCATCTTCAAACTTGGACCCTGGTATGCAGAAGAGGGGCTGTCCGGTGATAAGCTCAAAGACAAGGCAGCCAAAACTCCAGACATCAAGGGTTTTGTCGACGGCTCCGGTAAGAATCAACTCCGGAGCTCGAAGGCCGAGTGGAGTAACGGGCTTTGTCGGGGGGTCCGTAAAGAAATATGCTGTTCAGGGTCGGTAGGTATAAGCACATATATTCATCATGAAAAAGAAAAAGAAAAAGAAACATGTAATCGCAATGGGATGTACTAACCGCCACCCATATCGGATAATTTGATCTTGAAGCCCTCGGCGTAGTAGGTAAAGGGCGCCAGCGGCTGCGCAACGCAAAGATATCGAGGAGCCCACCTATCTTGTTTATCGTCTAGCCTCTGTACTGGGGGCGAGATTGACATGGCCTGCTCATCTTCCTCCTGCCGGAGCACGTCCTCGGGCTTCGAGTCGATATCATCAAGAGTGAAGAGCATGTTTCCCGGCTGGAAGTCCCCATGAGCGATACCATTCTCGTGGAGAAATGCCAGGCTCTGCAAGGACTGCTTAAGGATGCTCTTTGCCATCTGAGGCGGATAGCGGACATTCACTCCCCACCTGCGAGGATTGAATCGGGGTAGCTCCTCGACCATACTATTCACACTCGGACCCATGGGCTCAAATACCAGGCACTTGTGGATGCCATTGGGGCCGCGATGTTCGAACTCGTCCAGGAGCTGGGTGATATGCCGGGCCCTCTCTGCTGGTGCGACTTCGGTGATGTGTCGCAAGATTCGCAGCTCGGTTGTCGATCCCGAGATTTCAGAGACAAGAATCTTCAGGGCGACATATCTACTGTTCCTAAAGGAAATGAGCAACCTTGGTCTACAGCGTCGCGGGCAGACCGTGCAAAAGATGGACTTACCTCAGGTCACGGGCAAGCCAAACCGTTGAGTAGGAGCCCTCGCCGAGCTTCCGGACGACCTTGTACCGGCCATTGTTGAAGACGTTGCCGAGAAGGACGGGATGGTAACCACCTTGGTGGTAATCCTCCACCCACTCACAGGGCGAGGTAATGGTTTGAATCTCCGCTCGTCATCTTTCGGGGCCCTTGATGGCGGGGTGGGGGGAGGGGAGGCGCTCATGGCTGCGATGGAGATGCGTTGTCCAAGAGTTGCCGAGTGGAATGATTTGGAAGGAACGCAGGATTGTGATGGGAGAGTCCAAAACCTCGGGAGAGACTCGTCAGCGTAGGCTGGCCTCAGCAACTCCACCTCGAGCAGTCCTACGCCGAGGCGGGCACGCTGCTCGGCGGCAAGGGGCGTTGCCCCTTCTTCTGGGCTTCTTGTCGAACGAAGCGTTGGGCAACGTCAGAAGCGTGGTGACTGGGGCCACTGCCCAGGAAGTCGGCCTGCGTTGCTATGCTGAAGGAAACAGAGCTTGACGCCAGGGCGGCGGTGGGTGGAAAGCGTGTCGGAGAACAAGGCCGGCGGCTCTGGCGGGAGGAGTCAATGACTCGAGGAAGGGCCGAGAGACGCCATTTTGACGGCGACTGAGTGAGCCGAAGATAGATGGAAGACGGAAAACGGAATCCTGGGTTCAGAACTCGTTTGGCGCCGACGATTGTGTTGGTCGTTCAAGTATTGAGTACGGAGTAGCTGAACGGGTACTCGGCGCTCCAGCTGCCCCGGACTACCACCGAAATCGATGGCCAAATCCACCAAATCCGGCGGTCCCAACAGCGTTTTCTCGCTTTATCCTGTAATTGATAATTGAAGGGCTGAACATTTAGAGGCAGTTATGCGCCTTGCTATTCCTCACTGCCTTGGCAAGGGATTGTCACTGCCTTTTGGCAGGCCTGTCAGGAACTCCGTTGCATCTGTCAGATATCTGCCGGCCCGGTCACACCTACAGCCCCCGAGAGATTCCCCACAAAGAACTGCCCAAGAAGATGGCGGTGATTACATCAAGGGATTGTGATTCCAATCTATGGGAGTAGGTAATCTTGCCTGCTGCAACCTTGCGATTGCTGGCCACTGCTTGGTCTGCTTGGTCAGTAACTGCTTGGTAGGTAGGTGGTAAGTAGTTAGTTATTGAGGAGGAGCTCCTCTCAACCAGTTGCAACCCAAAACGCCATGCCATGCATGTCTTGAGACTTGACTCTTGTTGTGTGTGCCACATCCGAGTGACTGGGCGGAAACAATGCGAGTTAACCGCTCTCCCCACGAGGGCCACCTGTTCCAGAAGCCTCGATTGGATCTGCCATTGAAGGCGTTACCAAAGAGGCTGGCGTCTCTCAGCCCTACTGCAGCACCATCCGCTTCGGCAGAAGCCCAATAGCAAGCCGTGGTTCTGTTCGATCGTGGCTCAGCCACCACCCGTCAATCAGCACTTTTGATCATCACCTTCGTCAATCCTGTCAGCAGGGCTGCCTCCAGCAACTTTCCTTCTACTTCAAAGCGCGACGGCGACGGCGACGGCGGCTACTATCCGACAAGGTCGCTCGAGGTTCTAGCACTTATAGAACCAAAACCGCAATTGAACAATCTAGGTATTTGCCCCCATGTGATGCAGTCGAGGTAGGCAGGGCGCAAGAGGTGACGTCCGTCGTTGTGGGCCAGCATGCGCCGCATATGCCCATGTCCGTCCTCTGTCGTGCTGTTTCTCTCGCTCCTGCTCGGTCTGGAGGTCACGGCATCGGCCCATGCCGGGAAACGGCATGAAGATTATGTGCACAGATTGGAGAAAGTACAGGCGCAGGCAAGGGCCCAGATTACCGGTCGCCCAGGGAAACGAGAGGCATCTATATGCCCTGCGGACTACTCCCTCTGCCCGGCATCTCTAAATGGCGGCTGTTGCCCAGACCGATATGGCTGCGCCGCGGACTCCTGCTATGCAACGACAGCCGGGACTGGTTCAGCTTGCGGATCAGTGGGATACTATGCTTGCGGGTCGGGCGTTGGCGGTGGATGTTGCCCAGAAGGTTGGTCTTGTTTTGTTCGAAGTCCCGGCCTCCTCTCCGCGAGACTGACCAGGTCGTCCAGGATATATTTGCGGCCCCTACGATTGCACCGCCCCGGCAGGGGTCTCAAACGTAATGACAAGCTGCCCTGCTAGCTATTATCTTTGTCCATCATCCTTCAACTATGGCTGTTGCCAGAGTGGGCTCGGATGCGCCGCAAATGCGTGCTACGTTACGACACCTTCGACTTACACCATTACCGAGACTATCACGACTACAAGTGCTGGCGCCCAAATTGCCACGACCACCTTGACAGCCACGACCGTATTGACGCCAACACCACCAACTGCCTTGCCAACTTCGTCCGATCCCAACGCCGTCGCGAAATTCATCCCCACCAAAGTCGATAAAGTAGTCGCATCATCGGCACCCTCAGGCAACGGCGGCAGCCTCACGAGAGCCCAAATCGGCGGAATCATCGCCGGTGCCGTCGCCATGCTCATCATATTCATCACCTTAACCATAATCATCATCAAGCGGCTCAACCGCGTCGCCGAAGCAATCGATTCCCGAAAGGAGTCCTCAGCCGGGGACCTGAACAGGACGCACCCGCCCGGCATGACCCAATACAGCAGACCACCCGCCTCGGACGCCGGCGACGAACAAGTAGCCTTCGCCATCACCAACCGGATGAGAGGTGGTGGCCGTGCCCCCTCCGACTCGGGGTACTCGACCTCGCAGCAGCAACTCCCGACGCCGCACAACTTCCCCTCCAGCACGCTCTCCGACTCGGGCAACAGCGCCGGCTACTTCGACGCCACCCCCGACCGCGTCCACAACCTCCCCGGCCACCACCCGCCCGACAACTCGCGCGCCAGCACAGACAGCAGCCAGGCCGTCTCGTCGGCCCAGCACCACCAGCAGCAACAGCGGTACGGCGCGCACGGCCGCCACTGGAGCAGCGCGAGCGAGCAGTCGGCCAACAGCAGCAGCGACGCCGGCGCCGGGGTGGGCAGTCCGCTTCTGCCCGCCGAGCTGGACACCGACGGGGCCTTCATCCCGGAGCTGCCCACGACGACGGGAGTGGCTGACGTCCGAGGGGTGTCAGGCGGCAATGGTGGTGGTGGTGGTGGTGTACCGGGGGTCGGCCGGCCGTGGTTGGGCCATGCGCGACGGCACAGCGGAGGGCATCATACGCGCGGGAGGAGTGAGGGGTCTGTTTCGGGGGCGAGCGGGGGCGGGGGCGGGAACGGCGTTGCCCTTGATGTGGTGAGTGAGTCGGTCGAGGTCATGCATGGGTACTATGGGCCGCGCGATTAAGCGGGTTAGGGCGGTCCTGGATACCCCGGGGCTGAGAGTCGAGGTCGCCGGGTGTTGCGAGGGCTCCGCCGTGGATGAAAACGATGGGACTTGTCGAAGGTGGAATCTACAAGTTGGGGCGATGGGCATGCTCCCCTGTGCTGGGAGAGTCTTGCATGGTTTTAAGGGACAACGTTTGTCTATTGGCATATGACGGTTTGCGACGACTGCTTCACTATATTTGGATGTGGGATATTCGTACGATCATGAAAATGGGTGTCGGCTTGGACTTTACGGTACGATCTGTTTAGCGAGGAGTTGGATATTGTGACAGACACACGACTCGGGGACACGGGCATTTAGGAGTTACAGAGATATGAGCAACGTTTGTATTCAGGATGTGGGAAGATGCGAGAGCAAGTACCGCTGTGATTTGCAGTCCTAACCCCATATGATATACTAAGTAGGATTAAGCTTATTACTTGGGACATCAGTCCCATGATACTTCTCAGGTTGCGAAACATCGAAATCATATCAACAATGCAGGACATAGTATCCCCGAATCCACGCTACATCTTCATAATCGAAACCCACAAACACGCCAAACTTATAAATTCCGAAGCTGGGGATATCACCCATCAACTAATCCCACTCCCTCCTGCACCTCACTAGCCGCCTACTCCCTCCCCGGGAAAGCCGCCCCCTGCCCACGGCCCCCTACCCCGAGGGCCGAGTGAGCCGGATCAGGGTTCGTGCCGGGGAAGTTATTCCCGGACTCGGCCGACACGCGCACGTCTCCGGGGATGACACCCGGCTGCGCCCCGGCCCCGGCCCCGGCCCCAGCCCCTGTGACGGTACCAGCCCGGTGATGGTTGTGGTGTGTGCTGTCGCCGATGCCGGGAGCGTGGGCAGGGGCAGGGGCGGCTTGAGTTGTGCCTGGCATACCGGCGTTGGCGTTGACGTCGGCGTGTTGGGCCGGATGGGTGTGGTGGGTTTTGTTTGGGTGGCTTTGGGGTTCTGGGTTAGTCTTGGGGTTGCTTGATTGGGCAGAGGGTGGGGGGGGTGCTCTACAGGATGTTCTTGATGGTCTCCATGCTTGGTCTCTTGGAGTTTTAGGTCTTTTGGGTCTGATGTTGTTGAATTGTTATTGATGGTCGATCTTGCCGGTCGTGAGATATCACTAAGTCGAGAGGACGGGCTATTTCAACTGTGGAGTCTGGATAGACCGTACTTATATTCTCTATTGTCTACAACTTCTTTTCTTCCCACCCGTGGACGATCAGTGACGTTGAGGTTTTCCTGCATCGCGGATAAAGAGCCAAAGGGCGTCATTGCTTGCCATCCGAATTCCGCCTTGAGTAGGGAAAACTTGTGTAGAGTGGCCAAAATTTAATATACCATCCCGTGAACTCGCACTGACACTGGCCAGTGGAGGAGCAGATGATCGCGTAGGAGTTGGAAACTTGAGAACGGCGATGATAGACACTGGCTATGACATAGCTGTGGTTGTCATGTGCCGTTGCTCACTGTTCTATTGGCATGGGGGACTGGATGGGCTGAGTCAGCCGACCTGGTCGGATAATCCGCCTCCGAGTGGACGGTGACTAAGTCCAGGGTTCCACCAGGCAGCTCCCGACGACTCCCGCGTGTCCCGAGATTGACTGTTTGATTGCCTCGTTGGAGTGGAATTAAGCTTATTCTTGGGATTGACGTTGAACAAAATCGATCGACTCAAAATCTACAGCCAACACACGTGGAATGTCTCAAGGTGAGCCCCTGTGATGGGTTTTGCACCCACGAGTTGAATCGAAGTCCTCAGGTGGCGTGGATGACGCACGTGGAGGCAGATAACGAGGGGGGGGAAATCCCACCAAAGGCAAATGGAGGACGCATCCCTACAGCGGCTTGTACAGTCCAGGTACCCAGCAGCCCGGCCAACTGCTTACACTAACTAGGTATTTTGTACTAAAATATAGAGAAAGAAAACTCGAATGCCAGGATGAGCGATCCGACGTTTTCGTCGGCGTTGCAGGGAATTATTGAACTAGGTTTCATTCTCGATTCCCGTCAGCCATCGATCTTGCTCCAAGATGGTCATATGTGTACAAACTTTACCGTGGCTTCCCAGAGTTTCCGTCCACGTTCCACGTTCCACGAGCCGATAGTCGATAGTCCATAGCGCCGATAGCGACCATCAGCTGAAATATCAGCCTAGCAACCCATTGCCTCGTGCATGTAGGTACATACCTGCATGTACATCTCGACCGACCATTCGCAAATGGGAAGGTTGGATACGGCGGCACAAAGGTCCACCTTCCAGAACGGATTACTGCGAAGATATGGGTCAGCGCCAATTGGCCACGACTCTCCAAGGTCCAGGCGCAGGTCTAACCAAATCCTCCGCCCTCGCCTCGGCCAATGCACAATATTGTGGCAATAAAACAAACGGTACGCATAAGTCGCACAGTCGGCGCCTCTCAGTCACATATACAGCTAGAGGGAAGCCTGTACCGAAAGCTGAAGTCAATAACCCAGCGGCAGGTTCCTACTGAGAGGCTGTCCAGAGTCGAGACCGGCCAAAGCCCGTGCTGAATCCTCCACGTGTGTGTATTGCTTGTACATACTAGTGTACGTACGCATATGTAATCTGTATTAGGGAGGTAGGTTGGTAGGCACTAGCACTTCCAACCATGTCCATCCATATTTGCGGGGTTTCCGATTATTTGAGGGAAAAAATGGCCAGGGCGACCACGTTGGGGGAGCAGGCGCCCTGTGCCGCAAGGGACAACGACATTGCACCGATAATGGAGACGAGACTCGGACATGCAGGACACCAGCATGGAAGGCAACTCCCCGGTGTGTGTACGTTCCCCGCCTTCCTGCCTTTGATTTCCCCTCCTTGGCCTCATTTCTCCAGCTTCCATTTCTTCCACAGCAACCATCGAGGAGGTGGGGCAAGGGGCTTACCTACTCCCGCTTCGTCGTCGATTATTCCGGGCACCGGGAATTAGCCAAGGCCATCAATCAATAGTCTAGGAGACCCTCATGGAGCTCAGTTCCAGGTACTAGGGTAACGCAATGTCGTGTAGCTCGCATATCCGGCCCAGCCCTCTCCGCCGGATGAATACCAATTTAGTACATGGGCCCAGCTCTATGCGACTAGGCCGAATCCATCAGGCTTCCCCGCCCAGCGCATGGCTAGCTCGCACCATGAGGGTGGGCGGTGGGTACCCTGAGATCCATAGCGCTCGTCCAAGATCCCTGACCCTACGGAAAGTACCCAACCCAATTGCACGTTGAATCCGGGTGCGTGCTCGCCAGCTGCCATAGGTGGAATCGGTGCGACCCAAGCTTTCTTGGTCTGTTAGTGGAGCCTCAGGGGGGCAGAGTCAACTCGCGAGAAGCAAACAGCGCCACCCAGGCCCGTCGCCGCCGACCTGCCTGGCCTGACAAAGCCATGGCTCCGTTGGGTTGGATCGTTTGCTCCTCCTGGAATCCCTGGAAAGGATGGAGGAGTGTCGTTGCTACACTAGCATGTATATATACGAGAGCCCACGGGAGCTCCCACACCTCTCCTCCCTCCCTTTCTCGTTCTGATCTTCACGGAATCAACTGCCAATCAACAATTCCCCCAAGCCACCCACCGTAACATCCTTCTCTCCCGTTGCCGTTGCCGGTCTCAAAGAAACATTCAAAATGAAGTTCGCCGTCGCCCTCTCTCTGGTCTCCCTTGCCTTTGGCTCCGTGCTTGACAAGCGCGAGTGTGCCGGCAACAACTGCAACCGTGCCGTCACCGGCACCCGTGATGGCCTCCCGGCCATGAGCCTGCGGTCCGCCGACTGCGCCAGCTTCCTGCTCACCACCGTCACCCCTGCGGCTGCGTAAGTCCACCTCCGTCGCCCTCCCTCTCTCTTCTTGTTCCCCCGCGGGGAAGGTCAGTTACCTAATATATATATCTCTTTATACAGCACCATCACCGTCACCGTCTACGACGACGACGCACCCAGCTCCAAGCGCGACCTCATCGCCGCCCGCCAGGCCACCGTCACCCCCACCGCCATCCCCCAGTACGCCACGGCCTGCTCGGAGGCTCCCCGCTACGCCTCGGCCTGCTCGTGCTTCGGCGTCACCGGCTCCGTCACCACCGCCCCCACCCCGACCGTCACCGTCACCTCCACCATCGACTACTGCGACGACCTTTAAGCGGGTTGTCTGTTGGGAGGAGCTGGCTGCGGGACGTGTGTTGGTTGTGAGACGAGGGAAGGGAACGAGATGTCGGTGGGGTTGGGTTGCCCTGCTCTTTGGTTCGGCGGGAGGGGTGGGGTGAACGGAGAGAGATTTCCCTGCGTGGCTTGTTGAGTGGTTCCACGACGACGATGCTATGGATTCGATCTTGGGGAGGGAAGCCGGTTGGGACGGAACTACGAAACGATTCGGTTCTCATCCCCAGGTCGAATCGAAAACGGGAGATCCTGATCAGGGCTGGGTCAGGATGCCATTGCTGCTCTCACCTTCTATCACCGCTTCCATGCCTGCCGGGCTTCTGAGTTTGGGCAAGGTGTGGCCACTGTCGAAAATAGACGGGTTTACGATTGGCACTGAAGGATCTGTTTGTGATCTTGACATTCGATGTAAATGATAATACTACCTAGCTAAGAATAACTGCCTTTCGAACCTCCATGGCTTGCGTGTTTCTGGTGCGACCTTTTTTTTTGGACTCGGAACCCGATTCCGATTTTGTCGCACCTGAGATTGTCTCGGTTGGCTACAAGACACTAACGCTGTGCAACGAATACAATTGTCTCAGTTTGTCATCCGGGTCGGCTCGCTTTCCTGAAGTTACTATTGCCGCTAGTTCCGACGAACTTTCGGTAGTAACTTGCGGTACTGAGCGGGATCGTTGTACAAACGTGGGCTGAACTTGGTCCACTGCTCGGACCTTCGCAGAACTCTGGACACCCGCTAAGGTACACCATAGCCAACATTCATGCGGTGGAGGGTTGGGGTGTTTCCACCTACAGGATCGTCCCAGTCCCGCAAACCGGTTTAGCTTTGGCAAGATGCGGAGATCGGATCTATCAAGCTGTATCTCGCACTTACTTGTCGCTGATCCGTCGGCCATTGATTGAACCGAGCAGTGCGGAGAAGGGAACGAACTTGCTGATCGCCCGTCCCCAGATCTATCTGCTGCCAGGCAAACGTTATCCTGGCCATACCTTGAATCCGTTTCTACATATATTTGACTACCTAACCAGTTCTCTGGACGTCGTTGGACGCGGGAACTTGCAATTGGATAGAACTATCCGTGCTGGCGGAATACTCGGTACAGAGGTACGCATATCCGCTGCACTAGTAGAATGCGAGGAGAGCGAGGATCTTTACAAATATAGTGTTTTTCAGCGAGCGACCCGGTTTCCCCATTGCCAGGGCCTGCCGAGTCCCGTCTTGTCTTAGTCATGTCTCTTCACCTCGGAATGGAAGGCGAGTATCGATGCAGGGAGCCGTCGTCAGGGGAGACTGATGCAAAGGATAAACCACTTGGGTTTATCTACTGCGTATTCCGTGCTGCTCTGCCGACCGGAATCCCATGCTTCTGTGGAGCTTTCCCAATCTCCCAGGGTACGAGTCCCTGGCAAAATGGTAATTCTTTGTTGAAATTGCGCGGTAGATATAGGCAACGCACGTGCGCATGAGGAGCCCCTCAACTGGACTCTGACGACAACACGATAACTGCGTAGTGACACACGTGTTGAGGCTATATCTTTCTCCCTTGGTCTCCTGGTTCTGTGGAGCGTCCTTCGTCACCATTTACAGTATTCTCTGCTGTAGGCCGGGATGGCGCTCGTAAGTATACGAGCCGGGCGGAAACGTGGTCTCGGTTTACATGAATGACGAATTCGGCAGAGAGATGCAGGTTGGCGCATCATGCATCGACCGCGACTCTCTGATCGATAATTGTTGGATCCCTTAATCAAGCCAAACATGACCAGGGGTTCGGCTAGCGACTGACCTCACTGCTCAGCGCCCTGAGGATGACATCTTGAGGGACACAAGTCTCACCGCTCGCAGTCTGCCTCTGCCTCTGCCTATTTCTAGTTTTCTACGCAGCCAGAAGCCGACAGACGACAAGGCATCGAGTGAGTTGCGGCTCATTTGATCGGTGCAGGCATTTGTTCGTTTTGCTAGGTTGGTACGTTGTACTGTGTTGCTGATCGCATCAAGCCCCTTGTTGCATATCCCGTGAGGGAGATCAACCTTGCAGATATTCGCCGATCAAAATTCCCATGGCGGAGCCTTTTCCTTGCTCTTTACCAAAACTCTCAAATTTCCAAATTCCGGCGTAGTGCATCGCTTTCTAGCTCATCTCTGGGAGACGCTCATGCTGGGCCGATAGAGGCCAGCACGAGACTTTGGTGGCGGCGAGGGAGAAACGCTGAGGTCGGAGAAGGAGGCGAAAGACGGGAAAGACGTTTCAGCCATGTTGTCGCCGGAACGGGAACTTTCTGCCTAGTTGCGCCCGAAGGCAATACTGGAAGGGGCAGTGTATTAGATCGGAACCCCCCTTGGACGATGAATGGGCTTACCAAGCGGCAGGCTCAGTAATCGCATCGTCACGAGCTTCCCCTCGAACCAGGCGCCGACCCATCATGCCCTCACTGCTTTAGCATAGCCAACACAAGCCAGAGCGCCACGAACCCCCTCACGCGGCAGGGGCATCATCGCCGAGACTCGCACCAGAGGCGCGCAGCTAGACCCCCTCCCCCTCCCCCTCCTCCGGGAGCCCTTGCCTCGCGCCCTCCGCTCCGCCACCGTCCACGCCCCCATCCCCCCCGGTCTGCAGCCCGACGACGCTGTCCTCGGCGCGAGAACCCCTCCCCCCAACAGCCGCCCTTGGCGGTCTGGCGGTCCTGTTCTTGCGCGGCTTCCTGGTCAGGCCGGCGCGGGGCGGACGCTGCTGCTGCTGTTGTTGTTGTTGTTGTTGTTGAGGGGCCAGGGGTGGGGGCGGTTTCCGGGCGGGGAAGTCGTCGCTTCCGAAGTTGGCGAGGCGCCGCCGGTCCCACTGCTGCTGCTGCGAGAATATGTATTTGCAGGCGAGCAGGGCCGCGACGGCAAGGATGAGGAGGAGGAGGAGGCGACGGGGCCGGTGCAGGAGGCGGGGGAGCATCGCTGGGGTGTGATGTCGTCCAAGGAGTATGTGCATACAGGACCTCAGCGGGCAGCGGGGCGTCACATGTCTACGGCCGGGGAGGTTGAGAACAGAACGTCTCCTCCGCCGGATCTGCGGGGGATCGTGTTTCTGGGATTTCAGAGCGCACTCGCTATATACAGAGATAGAACCTTGGCGATGACAGATACGAAAGACGGCCAAGAGGCGGCATAGAAGGCAAAAGGATGGTAATCACGACCTGCCGCCTCGGCGGGCAATAATCCAATCATGCCTTCTTTCTTTCCCCTTCCCACTCATTCCCTTCTCGCTCACACGAATGATCCAAACAGGCTGAAAAATGGTTAGAGCAGATGTATCGCTTGGCAAATCCTCGGGACAGATTGTCTCGTTGCCCTTCCCGCACCGGGTCAGCCGAGTTAACGACGGTGCGTCATTGCCTGCGTCTACGTCAAACGGCCAGCCAGCCATGCGCTTCAATAAGTTAATTATAACACAGCCCTGAAGGACTTAATCCAGTACACACGTACATGCACAACCAGGGGAACGGCAGGCCAATGCACCCATCCGACACCCGATCGCAAATCCTGGGTTTTGGTTACATTCCCACTCCCCAGCCTGGGGGCCCCCCAATTTATCCAGACGAGATTCCGCCTTGGCCAAACGGCGGGGTGGTACGCGGGGCATGCGGCTGCGCGACACGGAACCCGGCCTCTCGGGGGGCGAAGGGGGGAGGGGGGGTTACATTTGGGCTAGCCTGGAAGAGGCTCCGGAGGCTCTTTCGCCATGCCACTACTTCAGCACTTGCCTCGTTAGTTTTCGCCCGCTTGGCATGTTTTACGTGCGGATGCCGAAATTGGTGTGTCTTTGTCTTTCGTCTGAATCCTTCTCTTTTTGTCGGTAGGCGTCTTTTCTTGCCTTGCCCCGGATTTCGAATCCGAAGTTTCTCGGGCTAGCTGGGAAAGATACAGGGGGGAGGGATGTCGCGAGGCTGGCTGGCTGGCTGGCTGGTTGATTGGAGGCCTGGCGAAGATAGTAAAGACACTTCTGAGCCTGCCACTTCTGATTTAATCCTGGCTCTCTAGTCTCCAAGTAGAAACAGTCCCATGTACATTTACACGACCTTCCTTCTCCCACAAACAGGACACTAGATAGGGTAACTTTGCAAAAACAGCAACGCGCGGTATGAACGGCGGCGGCCTCTTAGGGCGCTCGAGAAAATAAACTACAGAAATAAATAAACAGAGAAAACGAAGAAAGAAGGCAAGAAGACGCGGTAATAAAACCACCGGTCGCCGACGAGAGGGGTATCCAGTTTCAACACCGAATTTCGGTTATCCATCCATCCATCCATCCATTGGACGATACACACAGCCTTTAACAACATGAGAGAGATAGAGCGATAGAGGGAGGCGAACAAAAAAAAAAAAAAAAAAAGGTAGAAGTAAACAGACAAGAAACGAAAAGAAGAGAGGTATATATATCCAGAACCACACAAACAAAGACACGAATCGGAGAATAGAACGATCCCTTAAAATCCCGACTGACTGACTTTCACTCCGCCTTCACTCCTCCTCCAGGCTCCCCATCAACCCACTCCCCTTACTACTCTTCTTCCCCAGCTTAAGCAAGCTCAACCTCCTCCTCACGTTCCCAACCTTGGACTCCCCGCCGGCCCCGGCCTCGCCAGCCGCGCCAGCGCCCGCCCAGTCCCCCGCGTCCGCGCCGTTGACCCGCACAACGACGGGCGGCCGCTTGACGCTCCCGCCACCGCCGCCGCCGCCGCCGCCGCTACCGTGGCTGTTCTGCTGCTGCTGCTGCTGCTGCTGCTGGGGGTGATGGTGGTGGTTTGTTTCACCAGCATGCGACCGGAAGAAGCTCCTCCGATTAGGGTTCCCCCCGGCCCCGCCTGGCGCCTCCCCCTCGCCGTTAACCTGCTGCTGTTGCCGATGGTGGTCGCCGTTCCCCATCCGCGGGACGGGCGGGACAGCCGGCACCGGCGGGGGCGGCTGTTGTTGCTGCTGTTGCTGTTGGCTGCCGTCCTTCTTATTCAGCCCCCCCAGGAAGCTGAGCCTCGCGCCGCGGCCCTGGCGGAGGGAGACGGGCCGGACGACCGAGACCTCTTCTCCGCCGGCGGCGGCGACGTTGGTGAGGGGGTTCGGGGTTGGTGCGTCGGGGTTGGGCGAGGCGGTGGTGGTGGCGGCGTTTATTTGTTGCTGTTGTTGCTGCAGGCGCGGGCTCGGGACCGTTGCGGGTGGGGAGCGTGGCCATGTCGGGGTCGGAGAGGTGTTGGGGTCTCGGAGGGGCTGCGGCGGGGCGAAGACTGCGATCTCGGGCGCGAAGGTGCTCTCGAAGTCTGGTGGGAGGGGGTCAGTCAGTCAGTCAGTAAAAAAAAGAAAGGGCGACGACAGGACGGGGTGGTTGCGTGCGGACTCACATGTCTGGAATTCCTCGACGTGCTTGGTGAGGATCGGGTTGTTGCTCTTCGAGAAGCTGGCCAGACACCTCTTGATCATGATGGCGTGGTCCACCAGCGCCATCTTGATGGCCTTCTCCTGCGGGCTCAGCTCGACCGGCTCGGCCTCTGCCTCGCCGCTCATCATGGCCATGGCGGCGGCGTCGTCGTCTTCCCCGGGAGCGGGCGTCCCGGGAACCAGGCGGCGGTAGCGCACGACGCTGCTCTCCGAGGTCGGGTTGAGGCTGATGCTGACGGCGTCGACCAGCAGCTGCGCGGCCTCGTCGCCGCCCTCGCCCTCGGCCAGCTTGCGCTCCACGGCAGTCATCTCGGCCGTCTTGCGCGCGATGCGCTCGAGCGCCGTCTCCGCGGCCGACAGGCGCACCTCGCGCGTCGACACGATCTCGCTGCGGCGCAGGATCGTCGGGAACGGCTCGGCCGTCGTGTACACAATCTTCTCGGCGTAGTGCTCCGCGATGGGCCCGCTCGTGTTGCGCTTCGAGCTGACCGAGAAGGTCTGCGGGTGGCTCGAGAGCAGGTAGTCGCGGATGACCTGCGGCACGCGGGCGCGCTGGAACACTTGGTGGCCGAGGTCGCGGTGCGGCGTGACCGACGAGATGACCAGGAACTGGCCCTCGACGTCGTCGATGTGCTCGCTGGCGACGATCTGCGCCGCCGGGTACTGCTCCTGCATGCGGTCCGTGAAGGCCGACGCCCTCTCGGTGGGCGACCCTTCGAACACGAACTCCTTGTCCCGCAGGCTGGTCGGGAACCCGAGGCCCTTGTACACGACCTTGAAGTACTTGGGCACGAGACTGTCGCTCTTGGAGATGGTGTCGTAGACGGTGGCGATGGCCCGCTCGGTGCGCGCGAGCTTGGCGAAGTCGAACACGTTGGTCTCGTACTGCACCTGCAGCTCCTTGTAGGCGTCCAGCGCGCTGGTCCACGCCTCGCCGTCCTCGAAGTGCTTGATCATCTCGAAGTAGATCCTCTCCTTGCGCTCGAAGTGCGACTGGGCGGGCAGCCTCGGATCTGCCAGCGCCGGCGCCATCTTTGTTGGGTCCCAGTCGTACAGATCCGCGTGCAGCCGCAGCGCGAGGCCGGCCTCGGCATGATTCCTCACATCGGACTGCAGGTTGGCGAGCTGGTGCACGTAGCGTATGAATATCTCTTCCTTCTGCATGTCTCGCAGGAACTCCATCAGCCTCAACCGGTGGATGAGATGCGAGACCTCGCCGGTGCCGTCTCCGCTGTGGACGGCGACGAGGAGGTCCAGGAACTCGTCGACGGTGGCCATGAGCTCCCGCAGGGCGACGAACAGGGGCTCATCGGGCAGGTGGTGGATGAGCTCGAACCGCTCCAGCAGCTCGTTGACGAACAGCTTCTGGAGGATGCTCTCGGTCAGGGGCTTGGTCTTGAAGTAGGTGTCGAGGCAGTCGATCATCTCGGTCTGGATCACCGAGAGGTCCTCACTCAGCGTCCACTCGCTGACGATCATGGTCTGCAGGACCTCGACGGCCATCCGCCTGAGGCCCTCGTGCACACTGAGACAGAGCTCGACGATGGGCCCCACGAGCGCCGGCACGTATTGGACCTGGTAGCCGCCCATCTTGGCGAGGCCGTACCTCGCCCGCTCGTCCGCGCTCGTCTCCCACCCGATCGCCTCCCACGTCCGCTTGAGCAGCTCGGCGCCGTGTTCTCGCACGTCGCCCGCGATCTTCCAGACAGCTCTGCGCTTTTGTTCGGGGAACGTCTCCAGGGCGAGCGACGAGCTCCCGACAAGCTTCAGCAGCGTTGTGAAGAACATCTTCCACAGCTCGGTGTTGAAGCTCTCGGCCTCGTCCGGGTCGGGAAGGAAGGAATCCAGTAAGATGCTAGCGAGGTACTGCAGCGTTCGCATCGTCGATTTGTGGTGGAAGATGTGCACGCTCAGCCAGTCCGCCGGGAACGCCTCGCCCTGCAGGATGCTCATGTGGACGCGGAGGGTGTTCCCCACAACGGCATCGAGGTCGTCATCGGTAAGCTCCAGCTGCATGCCGCTCGGCGAGTTCGACAGCGCAGACAGCACAGCAGATAGTTCTATGGCAGCCTCGTCGACCGTGACCTCCTCAGTGGTGGGCTTCGAAGGGAAGGGATACGTCGTGGGGAATAGGAGGGAGAGGCGGTTCCTCGGCCTCTTCTCGACAGCCTGGATGGCTAGGTAAGATTCGATGATCTTCGGGATGTAGTCTGGGATCTCGGGGCCTAGATGTTCGACCTGGCTCGCGAGGACGGAGCAGCACAGCCTGACCTGCTCCCTCCACTGCTCCGTGACCTCGGGCGGGCTGCCCCAGTGGGGGGCGATCCATCTGACGGTGTTAGCGCTCAGAGCGGATCTCTGCTCGGGATGCGAGAATATGTCCAGCTTCGCGTAGTTGATGATCAGGACGAGCTTGTACAGGACCAGCTTGCCCTTGACCGCGGCGCACGAGTCCATGAAGTCGATGGCGACGTGCAGGATCTCCTCGGTCGTCAGCAGGCCCGCGAGCTCGGGCAGCCAGGTGTGGAAGTGCTGGACGGCGAGGGTCTGGTTGCCGACGAGGACCGGCGCATTGCTGCGCATCATGGCGTCAAGAGCCTTGAAGATGCTCCGTAGATGGCGGGTGAAGCCCGGGGTCGATCCTGTGATCCCGATGCCGGCCTCCTTTGCCTTCTGCTGGCCCCGTGCATGCGTGATGAACTTTAGAATGTGCCGCACCACCTTGAAAGTCGCCCGCAGCCTCCTCGCCGTGTCGGGTTCTGCGGGCTTGGACAGGAGTCGGGTGAAGGAGCGGACCAGACAGGGGGTTGCGAAGGGGTAGTTGAACTTGCTCTCCGCGTAATGGTCGACTAGCGGCGCCAGGTTGAACCGTCGATCGTGGACAATGTCCAAGACCCTCACGAGAGCCGTGAAGACGAGATCTTCATAATCGTCGTTGCCCGAGTACTCGACCAGGATCCCAAACAGGGCATCGAGGACGTCGCTCAGGAGCTTGACGACCTCGATCTCGGCAACGAAGACGAGCTGCTTCAGCAGGTTGGGGATTTCTTCGCGGGGGCTGTCCTTCCACCTCAGCAGCCCCAGGACGATCCTGTCCTGGGAGAAGCGCGTGCTGCACAGGTACGTCTCGACGCGGAGAATTGCCAGCGGGCCCGTAACCTCGGCCTGGTGTTCACCGCGAGTCGTCCACGGCAAGCTGAGATAGCCGCCCCTGCCCGGTGCACTGGGCTGGGGGGACGTCGTGTTCTCGTCAATCCGATATAGCAGCAGCCCATGCGGGCCATCTCGCACGAAGGCCTGCTGATCCCACAGCGGCAGGTAGGCGACAGCGAAGGGGGGGTTGGGCATGTCGGCAATGTGTAGTATAACGTGGCTGCCGTAGACGTCCTGAGGTGCTATTACAAGCCTTATGGTCTGCTTCCACGGGTCTCCCGTGTCGGTCGCGACTGTCCTCCAAGTGGTGACGGCCTCGGTGTTGGACGAGGCATAGATGCAGTTATCAATGCGCTCACCAGTCGATTTGCGGACCTCGAGCGTCACTTGAAGGTTGTTCCCGTGCATGCCGCTCGGTATCGGCGCCGGGCTTGCCCCGGATCTGGACAAGAGAGTCTGTCGGGACAGGATGGCCTCGTCGATGGTCATAAAGATATCGGATCTCGGCTTCGTCGGCGCGCCCGCAAAGCCCATCTTGTTGGTCTTGCATATGCCGGAGAGCACTGTAGGGGTGGCCTTGATGAGAGCGTCGGCGTCGGGGTTGTTGAAAGCTCGCAGATGGACCTGCAGCCGCTCGGCTCTCCTCGACTTCTCGTACTGGCCCGTCTTCGAGTCCATGACTTCGCGCATGGCCGGGTCCCATTCCTCGCCACCGTCCCCTCTCTCGGAGGGGAACCTCGCGGACGGAGCCCATATGCTCACCACATGCTCGACTTCCTCCTCCTGCTTCATGATCGAGTTGAGCTTCAAGACCCCGACGCCGACCGTTCGATCTGCCACTGCAGAGATGCCCTGGCCGTCTATCGAGTGCCGCGGTGCCGCCCTCGAGTTCGCCGTGCTCGGCGGTGGTCCGTCTCTGCTCTCCGGGGCCCCCTCTGTTGCGGGTCTTGGCTCCAGCTGCTCGCTCAAGGAGTCGAGTTTAGGATTCCCTCTCGAAAACGCCGACCTCGTGTTCTTCCCCGCCCACATCAAGCTCCTACGCATCGATTTGTTTCCGCCAGTCAGCGGTGGCTTCGAGTGGTCCTTGGAGAAGGATGACGCCATGCCCTGCGTCATGGAGCCAGACCGCGAGCTGGGCTTGGCGGCGACGAATTGCTGGGGGGCGCGGATCTTCACAACCAGATACAGCTCGGATTCGGCCGATGGAGCGTCCCCAATGTCCGCCGTGGTGAGGTCGGCGAAGAGGGTGCGCATCTGTAGAACCTTCGCGAGGTTCCCCATCTGGCCGCCGGCGGGAACCTCGACGATGTAGCTTTCGGACAGCGGCGTGAGCAAGCCGCCGACGGGCTTGCTGGCCAGGTAGAGCACGAGCGTCGTCGACTCGGTGGACGCGCCTGCGAAGCCCTTGACGTCGATCATGAGGTGGTGGAGGGCGGTGAGCTCGACGGTCGGGGTCGGCGGCTCGTCGAGGAGGCTCATGACGGACTGCAGCTGCGTGACCTCGACGACCGAGTCGTCGCCCGTCAACACGCGACCGCGCACCCGCGGGTCGCGCACGATGACCTCTCCTCCGCATAGCTTGTTCACCCGGACGAGGTCCCACACCGTCTTCTCGCGCAGGTTGTCATACTCCCAAGTCGTGAGTACGTTGTGGAGGAATTGCTGCCTCGAGAAATTCAGCGTCGTGATGAGCTGCCACAGCTTGTCCAGCTTCCCGTACTGCCGCGAAAGCAGGAGCTCGTGCAAGTTGGTCGAGTGCCACTCCCGCAGGCAGGATGCGATCTCGTCGATGAGAGGTTCGGAAGACGAGGTGGGTGTTTCGTCGCCGATTTTCAGCATGGGCACCGGGGCGGCTGGGCGCGGCGCATTGGGGTCGCGCTTGGGGGGGGCAGAGAGCCGGCCTTGTGCCCCGTCCAGAAGGAGACTCGAGTCCCTCGTCGTTCGCCTCGCCTTGCCTTCTCCTAGCAGTCCGACCACAGATATCTCCGGCCCCCTCAGCCTGTCCTTGCGCCTCTTCTTCTCGCCGCCCGCAAGCCCGCTCTTCGCCGAGTCGCTGCCCACGCGCGGTGGGTCTGCGGGTTCCAATGGCCCATCTTGGCTCTCGTTGTCGTCGGTCTCGTCGGTCTCGCCGAGCACCTCGCGGACCTCGACGCAGCTGCGCGGGAAGATGCCGCTGAAGACGCGAGCTTCTAGGGTCTGGCCCTTGATGCTCGTAAGGCCAGCGAGCAGGCTGGGGGGCGCAACCAGGTATCCGCGCAGCCAATTGCCATCTGGGGTCTCCTCGATTATGTAGAGCTCGTCACCAATCTCCAGGGGGAGGTCGGCAGGGCTGGACGCGGTGAAGGGGTATGTAGCGACGGCGAAGGCGATCCGAGGCAGCGGTTGCCAGGGCATTGTGGGAGGAGCGCATCCACCAGAGCTGGGCGGATGAGAGAGATGAGGGATGGATGGGGGAACGCGGGAGTTGCTAGTCGAGTCGAGCCGTGTGGCAGCGGTATCTCTCTTTCGTAGGTGCTCTAGCTCTGCTGTCCGCAGATGGACCTAGAGTTTTGGCAAGAGAAGCTCCCAGATGCGGCTCGGCCCGTGCCTGTGGCTTGAGCCCTGCTTCTATTATGTATTATATGATGACGTTTGTTGTCGATATGGAAGTCATGGGGTTCGTGAGCGGTTGGAAGAAATTATGAGGTCGGGTTATGGGAAATATTCGTATCCAGCTTTGACGCCTTGTGGACGGGACGGACCACTGCGAGTCGAGGCTTGCTAACTGGGTAGGTAGGTGTCGTTCTAGCAAATTGGGAATGTGCGATTCAAGCCGTCGATGGATGCAGAAAATCAAGCCCGACAAAAGAGGGTCAGAAACGAGAGACAATTGCAAAATGGTCAAGCAAATGTGATAAACTGTTGGCTGGTGTGGTCAACACCCCTGAAGCAATCTTGGATTCGAGGCTGGAGGGCGGGGGTCGGTGGTTTGGCGTGGCTGCCGGGCCAGGGTCTGTGCCTTGTTCTAAACTTCCATATTTTTTCCTTTTATTCCCTTTTCCCCTCTGTGTTTTCTTCCATTCCTTCTCGTTCAACCCCGCTGATGTTACTCTACGAAAAGGTACAACTACCAGTCGTCAGTGGCCATGAGGTTCAGGATCAAAGTTTCACACAGCGAGAATGTGATTGATGGCTTGTGGCTGGCCAGTGCTTGCTGCAAGCTGATGGAAGCATTGTGACACAGAAGTAGAGTACAGTACCAACTAACATTCATGGCTGTTCCCCTGAATTCGAGACTAGGCTTCCTTGTAGTGAATCGGTATCATCCTCAGCACAACGCGCTCGGTACTATAACCCCAATGGCTTAAGAGACCCATGAACCCCGTGAATCTCCATACCTACATTATACTGCGTGGGAAGGCCGTTAGGTGTCCAACCACGTCTAGAATCCAGATGGAATGGTTGTAACAGAAAGGAAGCAGAAGAGGAGGAGCTTAAACTCCCGCGAGTGCTCAGGCCCACACGGGCCGCACACCCCTCCCAAGTCTGCCTGCAACCTCCTGTCACTGTGTCACGTCGCAAATATGGAGCCGCAAGATGTATGTAGGTAGCTCCACATGATTGCGCGACGAAGCACTGAGTATGGGTGATGGGTGATGGGTGATGGAGCTAGTGTGGAAGACGGCGAGATCAACGGCCCTCGCCAATTGATTCACAGCAGTCGCCCCGCTTCCCCTTTTCTTCAACTCTCCCCTCCGTCCCCGAAAGTGCCTGAGCGAAATCTCTCGTTCGCTGCAGAACACGGCAGACAGTCACTTGCAGATGTGATGCAGATTTGCGGATGCGCAGATGCACAGAACAGACAATCCAGTGCTACCGAAGCTGCCCTATGGGCCAATTATTCTGCACTCTCCTCCATTTCCGCCCGTTGCTGTTGCGCACGGTTGCCAGCCACCTTGAGCCGGCGCATTAGGACGTGAGGGCTTGAGTGGCACGACTTGAGCGTTTTGATGTCTTGCTGGACGGTTAGATATTGTATTGTCTTGTCCGTTCGGCATTCTGGGAGACGTGTCGTTGCGATACAACCCCTAGTAAAGGTTTGCCAGGTTTCCACGGCCCAAAGCAAGACAAGCTTCAGGTACAGGTACAAGCCGCTAAATCTTGAGGTTCTTCCTTGGCCCGAATTGGGAAGGTATGAAGTTAACTCAGCGGGGCATGACGGCAAATGCCGATGGCCAAAATTGTCCAGGCACAACGTCCAAGCTCTGTCAGCAGTCAGTTTTAACTACTCGTGCAACTCGATAAACTTCATGTGTGAAACCTGGCTGGACGAACCTGCATCAACTTGGAAATTCTGTTCTCGACCCTCGACTCTTCATTCGCTTGAGAGAAGGTTCATCTGAATGCACTAGCGCAACCCGATCATTCAGTGATTTCAGATGTGCGTCTCTCGCATATGGCTTTCAAGCCGCCAGGTGAAGCCCAGACCACCTAGACTCTCAGGCTCAGCATGAGAACTATTTTTCCACGACCCATGGTATGAGATCATCGTTTGTTATGGCGGTAATGCGTTGGCAGAATTTCGACTTCGTCATTTTTATAGCTTAACCTAACACTGCGTTGGAAGACTTGGGACGACTTTGATAGTCATAGCCAGCTAGGGCAAACGCAAGCAAAAGCCAATTGAATTACACCGAATGGTCAGATATACGGTGGGTGCTCTTCAGCCTCTGCCCAATCTGATGCCAAGAATTGCCTCACAAACATTGGGGTCCCAATTGGGTCTGTTGCCTGAGCGACTCTCGCCTTGCCCAGGCTCCTCGGTCTGAGACATAATATAAACATATGTCTTGAATTCTGAAAAGTGTAATCCGTAATGATACAGCGCCCGAAGCCGGTGCTAGCGGAAATGTCTCGGCGTCCGCGGCGTTGGCAGGCCAGCAGCAAGTCTGGGTGCAAGATGGGAGAATGTGGTCTCAATTTACATGGCAGTTGGCAACTGGCAACCCGAAAGCCCTTCTCATGAGCTAATTATGATTATCGTCTGATTCATTTATTCACAGACTGCCCAAGTTCCCCAGCCCCTGGCCATTGTATGAGCTGGGCAGAAGATGAGCAGAGAGTGACAGTAGAGGTTGGGTAGGTCCTACATCGGAGACGGGAGATGTAACACCGAGGCGAGCTCCAGTTTTTTTTTCGCGCAATTGACACATGAATAGGTGCAAACATCAGGCAACTGGTTCCTGACTCAGAAAACATCTCTTCCAGCCATTGAACATCTCCAATTGGGGCTGATAACCTACCTACCTTTGGACCCTTTTTGAAGACATCATCTGCGTTTGTTGCTTTATTCTTAGGATCATCGCCGCCACAATGCTGTCGTCTCTCAGGATCGTATCCAGGCAAGCCGCTCTTCGGAGGGCACCGGCTCTGAACCTTGCTGTGGCAAGGTCGGCCTCGACCTGGGCCAATGTTCCGCAAGGACCTCCAGTATGTTTGTATCGATACCCTATCCTGCGTCGCGTGCACTGACAGATTTCTAGGATGTAAGTTTCCCGGCTGAAAACTGTCGCGCCGATCCTCAATGCTCACCAATGCGCCCTTGATTTACAAAGGCTATCTTGGGTAAGCAGATTGCAGACTATCAGCTCTCTTCAGCTTGTGTTCAACCTCTAAACTTGATTTCCAGGTATCACTGAGGCCTTCAAGGCCGATTCGTTCGACAAGAAGATCAACCTTGGTTCGCATTGGCCTCACCTTTCCTCAATTGATCTCGAAACACTGACGCAGCTTCTCGACGTCCAGGAGTCGGTGCCTACCGAGACGACAAGGGCAAGCCCTACGTCCTGCCGTCCGTCCGAAAGGCCGAGCAGAAGGTCGTTGAGTCATCTTTGAACAAGGAATACGCTGGCATCACCGGTGTGCCCGAGTTCACCAAGTCCGCTGCCGTCCTCGCCTATGGCAAGGACAGCTCGGCCCTCGACCGCCTGGTCATCACGCAGTCCATCTCGGGCACCGGTGCCCTGCGGATCGGCGCCGCCTTCCTCGCCCGCTTCTACCCGGGGTCCAAGAACATCTACATCCCGAACCCGTCGTGGGCGAACCACGGCGCCATCTTCACCGACGCCGGCCTGCAGGTCCAGAAGTACCGCTACTACAACAAGGACACCATCGGCCTCGACTTTGAGGGCCTGGTCGCCGACATCAAGGCCGCGCCCAAGGGGTCCATGTTCCTGTTCCACGCGTGCGCGCACAACCCCACCGGCGTCGACCCCACCGTCGAGCAGTGGAAGGAGATCGAGGCCGTCGTCAAGGCTCAGGGCCACTATGCCTTCTTCGACATGGCGTACCAGGGATTCGCGAGCGGCAATATCGACACGGACGCCTTTGCCGTGCGCTACTTTGTCGAGCAGGGCCACAACATCTGCCTCGCGCAGTCGTTCGCCAAGAACATGGTATGGGCGCAGACGACAGCTTCCCCCGATTTTTTCCTTTTATTTTTTTCCCGTGTGCTTTACCACTAACCCTCGCACCCCAGGGCCTCTACGGCGAGCGCATCGGCGCCTTCTCGATCGTGACCGAGTCTGCCGAGGAGAAGAAGCGCGTCGACTCGCAGGTCAAGATCCTGGTCCGGCCCATGTACTCGAACCCGCCGATCCACGGGGCGCGCATCGCGTCCGAGATCCTCAACAGCCCCGCGCTGTACGACCAGTGGCTGGGCGAGGTCAAGGGCATGGCAGATCGCATCATCACCATGCGCGCGCTGCTCAAGGAGAACCTCGAGAAGCTCGGCTCCGCGCACGACTGGTCGCACATCACCAGCCAGATCGGCATGTTCGCCTACACCGGCCTCACCCCCGAGCAGATGGACAAGCTGGCCAAGGAGCACAGCGTCTACGCCACCAAGGACGGCCGCATCTCCGTCGCCGGCATCACCACCGAGAACGTGGGCCGCCTGGCTGAGGCCATCTACAAGGTCAAGGGTTGAGCGGTACAGTAGCCGGTGAAAGCTGTCTTTGGGCGGTGGGTGAAAGTGGGAGGGGAGGGGGGCGTTGATGTTGTTGGAAATTTGGGTTTAGCGTCTTCGTGCAGCTTGACTTGCTTTCCTATTTTGTACATACAATACAGGCACAGGTAGATTGGTCAAAGAGCAATGCCATCGACGGCGCCATAGAACACTGATTGAGCCCCCCTGTTATACTTATTATCATATGCTATGTTTAACGTCCAGCCCAAGCATCGTCCTCAAGCCCTCCCCAACCTCTCCAAATCCGCCCTCACCTCCTCAACCTGCCTCTCCATATCCCTATACACCCTCGCCATCTCCCTCATAGTCCTCTCCTTCCCCCCGTCCCCCCCCTCCCCCACCCCATAACCCCCCAACTGCCCCCTCAACCCCGCAACCCCCTCCCTCAACCTCCCCCTCCCGTCCCGCAGGTGCCGCGCGTACGCCCCCAGCGCCGCCATCGCCTCGGGCGGGTACGCGTCCCGCCGCGCGACCCACGCCGCCGCCTCGGCCTCCAGCGCCGAACGCCGACACCCCGCCGCCGCCGCCGCCGCCCGCAGCTCCAGCGCCCGCGATGCGCCGCCGTGCTTGGCCTCCAGGGCGCGCGCGCATGCTGCCGAGGCGGTGGCGTGGGCGCGGAGGAGGCGGGTTAGGGCTGCTGCTGCGGCGGGGCGGGAGGAGGATGGTGGTGGGGGCAGTGGTGAGGATGAGGTGGTGGTGGTGGTGGTGGTGGTGGTGGTGGCGGTGAGGGCGGCTTTGGCGTCGGCGAGGAGGCGGAGCTGGGTTGCGGCGTGGGTGGGGAGGGTGGGGATTGCGCGGTGGATGTAGGATGGGTTGGTGTTTGGGCTGGCGAGGCGGGCGAGGTGCACTGCTGAGGTGTGGAGGGCGGTGGAGACTAGGGCCGTGAGCTGCGGGAGGAGGGTCGGGAGGTTGCAGAGTGGTGGGCTTGTAAGGAGGAGGGCGGTCGACTCGGCGGGCAGGGGTGTCGATGTGGTTAGGAGTGGTGGGAGGAGGAGAAGCAGGTCGAGTAGCTCTGGCGGGAGTTCAGATGTGGTGGTATCGGGCCGTGATAACGCTCTTGGTCTTCGTGCTGGCTTGGGGGATTCGCCCGGGTAGGCGGTGGAAATAGCATCGATCAAGAGGTGGCGCTTTGCTGCCTTCAGGCGGTGTTTCTTCAACTCCTAAACTTAGTCGTAAGCTTCTTGCAATGCCAGGTCGCACTAATACGGCAGAACATACCTCCCGCACCGTCTCACGCTCCTTCATCGCGGGGTCGTTCTTGGTGGACCCATCAGGGTTGAGAATGACGGTCGTTAGGGTCCGGTAGAGGGCCGCGAACTCGGGGTTGTTCTCCAGGACAGCTTCTTCAATAGGCGGAAGCATGTTGGCTCTGGAAATATCGCGGGAAGACGAGGTTTGTTCCTGCTGATCAGAGGCAGATTCGCGTGTCGGTGTAAATATTGATGGAACCAATTGACCAATGTGACATCATCCCGCACAAGCCAATGGTCGGCCCGATGAAGACATCTGCCAGCTGGCAGAACTTGACTGCCAGAAAGGAAATTTTGACGGACCTTCATCCAAGCTTCACACCTCGCACCAAGGTCGCCGTCTATCTCTTGTCGTACGGGTTTCAATTGGCGTCCCAAAACCACGATTCGCCGATGAGACGCTCATAGAGCCCACCCTACCACCTCAAACCCGGCTCTCGTCCAACCAACATCTAAAATGCCGCCCTCACTACCGCTGCTGCCCCAGCGGCTCATCACAACCCTCCGCCTCCCATCATCCAGCACAACGACCACCCTCCTCCGCACGACCCACCACGCCTTCAGCACGACACCCCACCGGACCTACAAGCAAAAGACTCTCGACCCGCCGATCCCGAGCCCGACGGGGCGCGCCCCGGCCATCCCGCCGTACCCTCTGGGCCCGCGGCAGGTATACAAGCAGTCCAACACGGGGCTGTACGGCCCGTCCCGGATCCGGTTCGGCAACCGGGTCAGCGAGAAGTACACGATGAAGTCGCGGCGCAAGTGGCGGCCCAACGTGCAGCAGAAGCGCCTGTGGAGCGCGTCGCTGGGCGCGTTCGTGCGCACCCGCGTCACGTCGCGGGCCCTGCGCACCATCGACAAGGCCGGCGGGCTCGACGAGTACCTGCTCGGCTCCAAGGCGGCGCGCGTGGCCGACCTGGGGCCGTGGGGGTGGAGGCTCAGGTGGAGGGTCATGCAGACCGAGGCCGTGAGGGAGAGGTTCCGGGCGGAGAGGGAGGCGCTGGGGTTGCCGGCTAGGGAGGACGAGGGTGGTGTCCTGGAGGAGGGGCTGTTGGATGGCTTCCCGGCTGGAATGGTCGCTGAGGGGGCTACGGCTGGGGAGCTGATGGAGGAGGTGGACAGGATGATTGAGAGGGAAGAGGAGTTTTCGTTGGAGGAGGGAGTGGAGGAGGAGGAGGGGTTCATGAGGGAGGAGAAGCCGTTGAGGGAGGTCGATACCAAAGCCTAGGTCATTCAAGAGCAGTGAGGGACGAGGAAAAGACACTTGCTGTCACGGAAACTCGAGAGATGGTTGTATCATATTGTGTATAAAAACTCACTCCACGGCTGTAACATGGACTGTGCCCTGCATCTTCCGGTATAGTCTTATCTCGAGTGGTTCTCCATCACCAACATGTTTCCAATTTTAATCAAGATCTAGCTAGATGTGTGGTCAAAGGCTTGAGACTGAGGCCAAGGTCTTTGGGAACACGAAACTCGGTTCCCTCCAGGCCTTCCTCTAGAACCTCAAATCCCAGTTGATCTTGGGTCCCAGGTTGGGCAGCTCGTCAGCGACGCTCTGGACATCCTTGTCGCCGCGGCCGCTCAGGCAGATGACCACGTCCTCGCCCTTCTTCATGGTCTTGGCCAGCTCGAGCGCGCCATAGATGCCGTGGGCGCTCTCCAGCGCGGGGATGATGCCCTCCAGCTGGCTCATGAGGCGGAACCCGGCAAAGGCCTCCGCGTCAGTGGCGGCGACGAACTTGGCTCGCTCGTTGTCCTTCCAGTTGGACAGCTCCGGCCCGACGCCCGGGTAGTCCAGCCCGGCCGAGACCGAGTGCGTGTCCTGGATCTGCCCGTGCCGGTCCTGCAGCACGTACGTCCGCACGCCGTGCAGGACGCCCTTGGTTCCGGCCGCGAGCGTGGCGCTGTGCCGCGCCGTGTCGACCCCGTCGCCCCCGGCCTCGACTCCCAGCAGCTTGACGCTCGGGTCGTTGCTGAACGGGTAGAACATGCCCACCGCGTTGGACCCGCCGCCCACGCAGGCCACCACCGCGTCCGGCAGCTTGCCGCGCTTCTCGAGCATCTGCGCCTTGGTCTCGGTGCCGATGACCGACTGGAAGGTGCGCACAATAGTCGGGAACGGGTGCGGCCCGATCGCCGACCCGATGATGTAGTGCGTGTCTTCAAGGTTGACGACCCAAGAGCGGAGCGCCTCGTTGACAGCGTCGCGGAGCGTCCGGCTGCCGGCCTCGACGGCGATGACCTTGGCGCCCAGGAGCTTCATCCGGAACACGTTGAGAGCCTGGCGGCGGACATCCTCCTAAAGCGGGCGTTAGCAGGTGTGATGATAGGCACTGGCAAGGCACAGAGAGAGAGAGAGAGAGCGAAGGCACTTACAGCACCCATGTAGACGGTGCACTCCATGCCGAATTTGGCGCAGACGGTCGCAGTCGCCACACCGTGCTGGCCAGCACCGGTCTCGGCGATGATCTTCGTCTTGCCCAACCTCCGGGCGAGAAGCAGCTGGCCCAGCGCGTTGTTGATCTTGTGGGATCCCGTGTGGTTGAGATCCTCCCTCTTGAGCCAGATGTTGGCGCCCCCGGCATACTCGGTCAGACGCTCTGCCAGGTGCAGGTGGCCCGGGCGACCCATCCAGGGGTAGTAGGAGCGGTACTCCTCCCAGAAGGCCGGGTCGTCCTTGATCTGGTTGAATCCCTCCTCCAGCTCGGACAGGCAGTCCATCAGCGACTCCGGGACGTACTGCCCGCCGAACTCGCCGAACCTCTCCGGGATCTTGCCGTGCAGCGCGGCCAGCTGCGCCACCAGCGCCGTGTCTTCCGCCTCCGCGTCCGCGTCCGTGATGACGCCATCGACGTGGACGGCGCCCTCGGGCTCCCGCGCCGCGCTCAGCGCCTCGACGATGCCGACCTCCCGGGTGGTCTCCTCGTCGGAGCCGGGGGCCCTGCCGCCGAGGTACGTGCAGAAGTCGCGCACGGCGCTGGGACCCTCGCCAGGGGCGGCCTTCTGCAGCGTCGTGACGATCATGCTGCCGACGACGACGCCGTCAGCGATCTGCGCGACCGACACGAAGTGGTCGCGGGTGCTGACGCCGAAGCCGACGGCGGCGGGCTTGTTGCCGCTGTACTGCTTGACGCGGGCCAGTAGGGCCGGCAGGTTCGCGTTGAGGGTGCCGAGGGCGCCCGTCACACCCTGCCGAGACACCACATAGATGAAGGAGTCGGCCAGCTGGCAGAGGATGCGCATGCGCGTGTCCGAGGTGGCCGGGGCAATGAGGGGGACGTAGGAGAGGCTGTGGAACCGGTTTGTTAGCTGACGTCCATGGAGACCCGGTTGGACAAAGGAGACGCTGAGTCATACCCTCCCTTGGTGCAGAGCTTCCTGAAGGAGACGGCCTCCTCGGGCGGCAGGTCGACGACGATGAAGCCATTGACGCCGGCCGTCTTGCAGTCGACCAAAAGGCGGTCCTCGCCGTACGCTCGCAGGGGGTTGTAGTATCCCATGAGCAGGACGGGGGCCTTGAGACCCATCTTGCGGGCCTCGCGGACCATCCCCAGCGTCGACTCCATGGTGACCCCGTTATTCAGGGCAACCTAGGTTTTGGTCAGCGGCCGTCAGTGGGGGCAACTGGAGGATCGTCTTACGGTGTTCGCGGTCTGGATCGTCGGTCCATCTGCAATTGGATCGGTGAAGGGCACCCCGAGCTCGATGATGTCTACCCAGAGGTGAGTCAGCGTTCTGTTTGTTGGCGTGGTGCCGGGAGGATAAAACGCATACCGGCTCCGCCCTTCTCCATGGCGATGAGGATACTGGGAGTCTCCTCCGCCGTCGGGAAGCCAGCAGTAACATAGGTAACAAGCGCAGCCTATAGAGAGAGGCAGTGTTAGCATCTCTTTCTCTTCAATCGTCGTCGCAGAGCTGGCCCCGTGTTCGGCCAGCGGTCAACGCAACGAGCAACCCCGCGGCAGCAAAGGAGGGGCAGATTTCAACTTACTCTGCCCTGCTCTTTGCAGCGCTGGAAAGTCTGTTTAATGCCTTCCATCTTGAAGGAATGTTGTCAATTGAGTCAATGGCAATACCGATAAACACTGGAAGCAATGGGATGGTGTTTTCGACAAGTTTGGAGGACAACAACGGGTGTTGCGGAAGCAGGTTGGAAGAACGGAAGAGGCTTGTTTGCTTAATACTCCGTCTTCTGAGTCACTCGCACTCCCTCGCACTCGCTAGGAACTCGTGCCCGCCCGCCCCCAAAAAGTGGGGCGGACACATAGTAACAGGGCATGTTCTCGAAAATATTTTGCTCCACATTGAGATTCTCCATCATTGCCACCTTCACCGACTGCGGAGAAGTTCTTCAAAAATTGGAGCACAATGGGCGGCTGGCACTGTGTGATGATTGCCACTCCATGCTGTGGATGGCCTGAGTGGGCCAGAGGATGAATTGGATGTTAAGTCTCACGTATTCCTAGGGGCACGACGCATTTCACGACGGGCCAGCATCTTCTCCTTCCAACGAGTTGATCTATATCCACCTAACCTAGGTAGTCGCCAGACGATATCTCGCCGTCGACCTTCCGGGCTGTAACCAAGATAGAACCAATCGCTACCAACACCTTCCATTCCTCGAGGAGAGGCGATGCGTAGAGAAAATAGTAAATGAGCAAAACTTGTGGTATCTCCACCGCCCCTGCTTGCACTTCCGCTCTAGATGATGATAGGAAATACGCCCCATTAGGGCACAAATGAAACCAAGTAATAATGAATGCAACCGTGAAAAGCCGGCCAGCAGAACGCCAGCACCGGAACCGTCTAAACCCTGCCTGTTCCGGGAATGCAATAAACCTTCCAAACCGCTCTCAATGCCCCCCTCTTCCCCCTTTTCCAAGTAGAGGCACAACTAACCAAGCCGAGCCCGTTCCTACCTCCCGGCGTCCTCAACGTGCCCGTAGCTGCTACCCCGCCAGTACCCGGGACTCCTCAGCCCGCCCGCCTTCCCGCCGCGGACCCCACCGGCCGCCAGCTTCTCGTCGCGCGCCGCCCGGGCCTCGAAGTCGTCCGCAGTCGCGCTGGCGGCACCGCCACCTCCGAACTGCGGGAATCGTGTCCGGACAGGGCCCCCCGCCACCGCCGCCGTGCCTGTAGTAGCAGTGGTGGGGTCGGCGGTGGTCATGGCGTAGCGCTGGCCGCCCTCGGCGCGGGTCCTGTTGGGGGCTGCCATGCCTGCGAGGGCGCGGCAGAGGCCGATGAGGATGATGATGATCCAGATGAGCAGCAGGGCCGTCGAGATGATGGCCTCCTGGACGATGCCCGAGTGGAGCATGTCGGTGACGTGCTCGACCGCGCCGGTGATCTCGTCTGTCGTCACGGAGGCGGGCGTGGCGAGGAAGCTGGTGAGCTCGCTGTCGCCCTGGATGCTGTTGGAGGCGCCCTGGGAGAAGGTGTCGTTGGGGAAGAGCGGGAGGTCGATGCGGGCGTGGTCGTGCACCCACGTCAGCCCCTTCTGCACCGAGTCGATCTTGATGCCGATGAGGCAGTGGATGACGCCCTTGACGACATTGTACAGCACCGTGCCCTTGAAGACGGTGTCCAGCGCGTCGTTCATCTCCGTCTCGAACGTGTTGAGCGTGTCGTTGACAGCCGCCGTCGCGTTGACCACGTAGCCTAGCACGTCGTTGTTGATCTCGTCGTTGAAGTGGCCTACCACCCCGTTGGCGTCGTTGGCCCACCGCACCGACACCCCCTGCAGCGTCGTCACCACGTCCTCGGCGAAGTTGCCGACCTGGCTCGCCAGCGCCGGCGCCTCCTTCTGGATCGCCCGCAGCAGGATGTACTGGCACAGGCACGAGAAGAAGCCCGCGATCGCCAGGGAGAGCACGAAGAGGGCCGGGAACGACGTGGCGTACGCGATGGCCCACCGCACCAGCACCTGGCGCCGGCCGGAGAACCTGGACGACGCCTTGATGCCGCAGATGGCGGTGAAGGGCCGCGAGACGATGTAGATGACGTCCATGGGGTCGTAGCCGTATTTGGTGAAGACGTAGGCGTCCCGCTGCTGCCGCCGCCACCGGCGGATCTCGAGGTACGCCATGGGGATGCAGGCGGCGACGGCCAGGATCGAGAGGACGACGATGAAGGTGATCTTTGCCTTGGCGATGAGCTCGAACATGGACTGGAAGAAATCCCTGATAAACGAGTTATCGGAGCAGAAGCTGAGTGCCTGCTTCTCGGCGACCGGGAAAATCGACTTGTCAAAGGCCCAGCCCGAACGACTGTTGTTGAGCTGGGTCTTGACCAGGTCGAAGGGGATGGAGATGGCGTGCTCGGTGAAATTCTTGACTTGGTCAAAGGTCGGGATGGTCTTGTTGAGCTGTATCAGGTCCTGGACAAACTTGGTATCGTCGACTTGGATGTTCTTGAGGTCGTCCAGGTGCCCGGTGATGTCGATCTTTGGCGGATCGATATTGGCACCGAAAATGCTGGCGCTGCTGGAGATGGTGCTGAACGCACTGTTGATGGCGTTCTGGATCTTGCCAACGTCGTCCGAGATGGACTGTGTGATCTTGTCGATGGCATTGTTCATGAAGTCGGTGGCGCCCTCGACGGCGCTGACACCAACATCCAAACCGCCGTGGATAAAGGCGGCGATGAGGCAGGCGTACGTCCCGACATACATGTTGATGACGAAGAGGATGAGGGCCTCAACGCCCGTGAGGATCATCATCAGGACCTCGACCATTGCGCTGATGGCCTTGTTGATGCCGTCGGCCGCGAGAGAGTTGACTCCAACGGAAAGGTAGTGCGGCATCGAGGCCATGGCGCTGCCAATATCCTCCACCTTGGTACACGACGACAGAGCCTTGACCTTGGCATCGCCGATATTGTCGTTGAGACTGCCGATCCGCAGAAGTACCCGGACCAGAACGAGGAGTAGTAATATCGTCCACCTGTTGAGCCAGATCTGCGATAGCCTTGCGCGGAGGCCCAGATACGGCGTGACGCCTGGGGCCGTATCGGCGTGGGGCAGGAGTTGCTCCTTGCCTAGGCTGGCCATCTCGACAGATTCATGGTTGAGGGAAGGGGGAACGTCAGGCCAAGCGGCCCCAGACCTGTCCTTGGAGGCCATTATTTCATGATGTTTAAGGAGCGAGTTCTCAGTCCAGCTGAAGAAGGCGTCCAAGCGGTCTAAAAGCTGAAGAGGCTTGGAGTGTGTTTTGGAGATTACTCGAGGAATTAATAAATCGAGATATTATGGGAGACGGCGAAGGAGAGAGAAGAACCGTAGGAATTCACAAATGAGATTCGTCAGGAAAAGAAGAAGCAAAAAAAGCCGACACACTCTATATGTCCATGACTGTAAATGTGGTGAATAGTGAACGAAGAGCAAATAGACGGGAGGGCGAACAATAGGTAACAACAATAAGGTGGGCGGGTTGTGAGCGTGGTGGGTGACTGGAGACAATAAAGGGAATCCGTTGACCACAGGCACACCTAGTAACGGACGGGCTCATGACCTGGCTTCCAGCAAATTGGGACGTCGAGCAAACAATGGGAGCCCAAATTAGAAACCGCCTTCCTTTGTCCCGGTTCGCCAACTCAAGTCGAGATGCGAGGGGGTCCTTCTTTGTGAAGCCCCTTTTAAGCGCGAAGGTGGTTTTACTGCTAAGCGCTCGACGGCTCTCAGCCAGTCATTGCCTTTGTCTGGGATATCGTCAGGCGACTGCCCAAACACCCTCGTTTTTGATTCGGAGAGCTACTCGGAAGTCTCTAACGGGGCTGTGGCCCCCTAGGTGGCAAGGGGACATATCGAATGGATTGCTTCTATTGTTCGCACTTGCACAATAGGCGTTTGAATAGAGTCCCAAAATAGACACCGCCAGATATTCCCTTTGGACAAGGTGAGTGAGACCAGGCCCTAGGGTGATTTACCCCAGCTTTGATCAAATCATCCGGGGTTTTACAAAATAGAAGTCCCACTCTGAGCATCGGGTTTTCTCAAGAGTCGTCATCGGTTTGAGACGACTGGACGCATTCAAGTAGAATGAGGAGGCCCATGCTTTCCGAAAGGTCGACGGTGAGTCCAGAGCGCGGCAGGTGGCAAGTGGAGGATGGCTGAGCCTCCTGGATGCTTCCTGAGGCTCCTCTCTCACTGGTCCTGACATCATCGGCGCAGACAAGAGGGCCCCAATTCCAATCTGTGAGGCGATGGAGGAACAATGGGAGAGAGATCAAGGGTTGAGTTTTGGGGGCGTTGGGGGCAGGGGTCTAGCCCACCAAAACATTACTGGCCAATCAACGCTCCCAAAACTGTTAGGCAAGGCAGGATATCAGACCAAACTCAGATCCATCCCACAAAGACGGGACCACATAATACGGAGATACAAAGTTGCGAGTACAGGGGAGTTCCTTGTGATGTCGATGGAAAGACCAGCCTGACAATTCCCCCAATGAATTGTAACCCGTTGGTGATGTTTCCATGCAAGCAATAAAACCATTGGCCCTCACTCCCCAGACGATTCCCTGTGGAGCCGCTTTGGTCTCGGGAGAGGCCCCACGGCTGGATTGATTGGCAGGGGCTTGCCGCGACGAGTGTTTTCTGCCAGCCGGTTGGTTTGGCCCAGCGCCTCCCGAAACATTACCAGGAATCAATTTTGCCACTAGGCGGACCTCATTGCCTCACGAGAGGAGGGCTACGATAGCAAATATGAGATCCGTTTTATAAGCTCACCTAGTATCCAACAGTCTCGGATTGGTTGTACCCTTTCCTGCACCTATCTATTACCAGGAAACCCATGATTTTTGTGACCATTGTCGGTGACAGGGAACTCAGATTTAGGACCAATGCTGAAAAACAAATACACAAAAAAGTAAAAGCGAAGGCGAAGGTTCAACCAAGTTTAGCAGATCTGCAGTGCGTGGGTGGCCAAGGCGATCAACCAGATGCAAAAGGCCGGGCCAATGTCTGACATTTTCTGGTCAACCAGATCTGACCAAGGACGGCGCGGATTGAGGGCGTAGCAAGGATATTCCAGATATAATGGAGGAGGAGAGCGGGTGAGTTTTGGTTCGGAGCTGGTGACGACCAAACGAGCCCAGCGGTGCGGATCCACTGCTGAGGACTGCTTTGCGCCACTTGACCGTTGGACATGCGACCACTGTCGGCGACTTGCATGCCGATTCCATCGGGCTGGTGAGCTGGTCGGTCACGGGGGAACCAGTTCGCATTTCGGGAGTGCAGCGCGACCAGGGCGTCGAGCTAATTAGGGTGGCTGGGAGGATGGTGGACCGAGCGAACGAGACGGGCCTTACCGGCAGCCCGCACCCCCTCCAGCTCCCCCGGCTTGATGCCGGTGTCCGCGTGGCGGCACTACGGTGGATCTGTGAGCTAAAAGTGCCCGGGCTAGTGCAAACCCCCAAGCCAGCTGGCCAGCCCTGACTCTGCATGGCAAGATGTGGGAGCGTTGTGACCACACAGTCAGTAACGACGTTAAATGAGTTCGTGTCACCCGTCAGCAATCTCCAGTGGAATGCGTGCTGCAACGGTCAACGGGAAAATAGACGGTTTTCATTATATCTGAGAAGGGGTCCGAGCTGCCCCTATTTATCGGTCGGTCAAGGCTGTGTGTGGTTGAAAATTTCCAGCTGCCGGTGCTGGGACCCATTTCTAGCCAAAACGGGCCACTAAGCTGGCTGGGCTGGCCTGCATCCATGATGCCGGGTCGAGGGTTCAGGGGTCTTGATTGGTGTGACTGGGTGAATGTCAGGGGCACCAGCCAGGAACAGGGTGCAGCAAGGTAGCAATCAATTGGGCAGGTACCATTAGTTAGTGCAGTTGGGTGCCTCACCACCACAGGATGATGCCTGACATGCTGTGGGTGGATTGGGCTCCAAATGTTGCTGCAAAGTAAAAAACCATGCCTGGCGGAGGCTCAGAATCGATGGGGTCGCGGCATCTGATGAGAAACCCTGCGAGACATGCAGGACTGCAGGTTCGTCAGGTGGTCTCAGTCTTCAATCCCCAATGGCCTGAGGATGTTGGTTGGGAATTGGGACTAAATTCGCCGATGGGGGCTTCACCCCAGCAACAGCCCGCCGCTAACAGGAGTGACGTCTGCAATGAAACCTCTGCCAAAAGACCAGTGATTGTCACAAACCCGAATCCAACCCTCCTTTTCCATCACCCAAATTCGAGGTGCCTCCAACCGAGGGTGCTCTCTTGTATTCTGCCTTGTTCTTTGCTTCTAGGCCTGGGTCTCAATTGCTGCTGGTTTTGTGCTGAGAATGATATAATTGTCTTCCGTGCACCTCATTTGCCCTCCTTTGTGCGCGCATTGCTTTTTTTGCTTTCACACTTTCACACTATGCCTGCCTAGCTTCCATTCCTGACTTCCCGTCTTGTCGACTATCCGAAACACAGTCAACAAGACAGACACCCGACCTGACCATCAGCGACGTCTTGTACCAACAAACAAACCCCCGACCTTCTCAGCTGTTCAAACACTGTTTCCGCTACCAGATCTCTCCTATTCTCCGCGAATACTGCCCCTCGCCCCTCGCCCCTCGTGCTCTTCCCCAAGTGGCTGCATCGCGATCAACACGGACAGGCCGCCCTACGGACTTGCAATAAAACATAACTGCTCCCCACCGCGTTACACTTTCTGGGAGCCTGCATTTGAAGTCCCCAGCCCTGGTACCGCTGGTTGTCTAGCTGCTTTCGCGGCGAACGCCTCCTTTCCATGTGTCGTGCGTAGATCAGCGATCCCCCCGGCAGGAAACAGAAAACCGGGTTGCAGGACCAAGCCACACCACCAATATTCGCTCTGTTAAGGACCATCGCCCCTGACACGGGCATCGAACCAGGCCAGCCGTGCTTCCGTTCTATCGATACCCCTTGATACCCCCCACCCCAACAGCAATCCACCTGACAAAGGATTACGCTACAACTTACAAGCATCATCCTGTCTGCCCAGCGCACTTCGCCTTTTGTCCCTTCGTCATTCAGCTCGCCATTCGCCCACAACTTGACCGACCAGGCCAAGTCTCACACGGCATTCCCACTTCCCACCTTACATGGTGGAGACAAAAACGAATATACCCCTGGACTGTGCTTGCCACCCACCATGGAAGGTATAGCTGCCCAAGGTCAGATGGGGGAGCGCTCTCGGCCTGCTCTCCCTCGCACCGGCTCCAGATCCAGCAACAGCTCGACACAAACGCGCATGACACCCCTCAGTACCAACAGCTCGCGGTCTCACCTCCCTCCGTCTCCCCAACTCAGCACCGCCAATCCAGCACACCGGCTTCGCCACCGTGCCTTGAGCCGGGGCTCGCTCGAACCCCCCAGGTCTCAGTTATCGCGCGAAGGTTCCGACGACCTCAGACAGAACCTCCCGCCAGTGTCGAGCTTCTTACAGGAGCGCCTACAGAGAGAAAGAAGGGTGGAGAGCGAAAGATCGTCGAGCAGGATGAGCAATGACCCCATGAGCGCGTCGCTGGATCTCAGAGCCACCCAGAGCTCTCCAGCTCGTAGCGGAACCTCGGATGGCCGCCGCCCGCGGTCTAGCGGCGGCGCTGAATCCACAAAGAAGAAGGGACTGGGGCTCAAGGAGATGGAGCAGGTGCGTTTATAAAACCCTCCCCAGCGCATACATGAACTCCCGCGGAACTGACACAAATTTGCTTCCCTCCGCAGACATTATCGACGCTGCACAAACAAAACTTCGACCTCAAACTCGAGTTGTTCCACCGCCGCGAGCGGCAAACAGTATTGGATGAGCGGGTAGAGAAGCTGGAGTCGGAAAAGGGCGAGGTTGAGAGGATGAATGACAGGTTGATCGAGGAGTTGGAGAAGCGAGACAAGGCAGTGGAAGAGGCAGTGGCCATGATCGTGGTCCTCGAAGCCAGAGTCGAGCAATTGCTGCGAGAGCGGGAGATGGTCCGACAGTTTGACGCCGATGGATACTTCAATTCGCGGGCCGACCAGTCGACCCCGGGGCCCGATATGTCGACGCCTAGGATGATGCCGTTAGAGCCGCTGAAGGATGACCCCAGGGCCCTGGCTAGGATGCCGAGTTTCTTGTCTGAACATAGCGAGAACACCGAGAACCTCCGGAACGTCTATCTCGGCGTCCGCGGGAGTGTTATGAGCCTCCCTAAGATGTCTGAAGACGGTCTGGATGGTGGACGTGGCGAGCTTGATGGGATTGGAAGCCCGAGCTTGAGTGTCCTCAGTGAGAGCTCGTTCCTCAGCATTTACGGTCAGAAGGAGAGCAGTCCTTCTTCAACGCCTGACGTCAGTTCTGCAACGTTGCGTGTGTCTCGCGACGACGGCGCATCGGCACACCGACAGTCAAGCTCCAAGTCGAGGATCGCCACTCCATCGAAGGCACCACGCCAGCCCGCCTTGCGAGGAGCTAGCAGTGGGTCGGCCAAGTTCCAGAATATCAATGACATCCTGGACGTAGGGGGTTCGCCACTGCAGCGCCTGGAGAAGCTGGAGAAGACCCTCACAGCCATGGAAGATGCTTCACGGTCCTCGAGCCAGGACAGAAGGCGTGACGCCCACTCATCCCCGAGTGGCCGGCCCAAGCCGCCAACCCAGCAGAGAACGAAGCAGGAAAAGCGGGATGCTTTAGAGAGGGTCCTAACCAACGCACCTCTAGCCCGCGAATTGGCGCATCATAACGCTCTGCCGCCAACCCCTGACACAATTTCCACCTCGACTTTACGACGCTATAAGAACTCGAGCGACACCCTGCCCAGGGACCCGGACCTGTCGAATGAGCGTAGCTATCTCGCGCTCTCCGAGACTACTGCATCCCAGCTGTCTGCCACCGATGAGAAGAGCGGCTTGGGTGGCTACGAAGGAAATACCGCGTCGCAGCAGGCATCCACCGCGGCCCCTGACAGCCGCAAGGAAGCAGCCGGCAGCCGCAGTTATTACGACAACCACCGCCCGTCGGAACACATACCACGGCCGCGATCTGCCGACGAGACTACGGTATCCCATGGACGCGGTCGTCGCCGGAGTGATTGGGACACAGATGACTCGGGCGATGATCTCGACGATGCCGACTCAATGGCCTCGAGCTTCGACTATTGGATGCGTGAGAGTATGAAACCGAATCGTGTAAAGGTCCCCAACCCCCTCAGCTCTGCGTCGCAGGCCGGCAGCCGTCAACATGGCCGCGTGTCGCCCGACCTTTTCTCCTTCCCATCGACCATCACTAGTGGTTGGGCGACCGATGCCATGTTCGGTTCGCTTGGCGGACAAGGCTACATCGGGGCTGGTGGAAGCAGCGTCCCGACCCAGGGTGTCTGGTCGCAGACACTCGATGCGCTGGGCAATTCATTACCAACGCCCCTTTTCGACTCCGGGCTTGCAACGCCCGTACTGGGTGGCACCGGGATCCCCCCGCCTCCCCCTAACAGACGATCCAGCCTGCACGCGCGTACCGGGTCTTCATCGGCAACTAACCCCGCTGTCGGCTCTCCAGCCCAGCCCAGCCCGGCAACCGGGAGGCTCCGGAAGAGCCCCGAGAGGAGACCGCGGTCAAGGAGCAACAGTGTCGACGTCCGGCCATCCTCGCGGGGCCTCGCGCAGATGGGATTCGCCCAACCCCGCGCCCCGACGGCCCCGCCTCAAAACCCCATGCCGGGACCCGACGCGCCCTACAACCAGCAGAAGCAGCGCCACTACCCGCCAACGGCCAGCCAGCAGCCGCGCAGCCGCGGGCTAAACAGCCTCTTCCGGCGCTCGACCGGAACGGCGGACCCGGCGGCCCCCTCGAGCGCGCCGCCAACTCAGACCTCGTTCAAGAGCAGCCAGCCGGCCGCCCCCGGTCCGCCGATCGTCGGGGTGCCCTCCTGGGGCAGACGCGCCGACCTCGCCGACGACGACAGGGCCAGCGCGACGCCGCCGCCCATCATGCGGAACAGGGTGGCCACGCGGAGCAGCAGCTTCGACGAGGGCGTAGTGGTCGACGGGCCCGGCGGCGGGGGTGCCCCCGTGGGCGTCATCCCGGGGGCCGGACCACCTCCCCAGGCGTCGCCGGGGGCGGCGGGCAAGGCAGATGTCGGGGGCGGCATGCGCAAGTGGCTGGGCCTCGGGCGCGTCAGCAGCCTGCGGAATCGCGCGACCTAGTGGACGGCGCGCCGTGGGAGGGTCCGTCGACCCGACCGGCCGAGGACGACTTTGGTGTAGACCCGGGGATTCCCGAACAACCGTGAGGCGCGTCCCACCTCCGAACTTACAGACGAATGCTGCGGCCCCTTGCCGCTGGACTTACGGTTGGGCCTGAGCTCATTTTACTTCGGTGTATTTCTTTCATCCTGTTGTCTTATTGGGGAGGTATTGGGCTCAGATTTCGGCGCAAACGGCGGAAAATAAGAGAGAGTGAAAAAACACCACACAGGAAACAGGCCATGGTCCCAAGACTAGGTGCACATTATCCGGGATAACCTTTTTACATATGTCATCATAGCTTTCTGTTCTTGTTCTTGTTATCCTTGCTTTACTTTACACTGGCCTCCGCGGGATTAGGAGGGATTGTCAACAGCATCGGCGATGCGGCCATCAACACGGGGAGATGGAGGGACAATCAAGTTGGGAGAGAGTATGTACTTTAGCTGTTGCAGTTGCCTGCCCCTGGATCGGGGCGGAGAGGCACTGCTGTTTATTCTGGGTTAGGTAGTTTTGGTAGGAAAATAGTATATCTGTTCTCGCCAGAATCTCGCAACAAGCTTGCCGAAGGACGTATTTGGTCTCGCTCATACTCCAACAATGGATGCCCGCCCACCTCCCGCCTCCACACTTCTCTACCCAAAGACCGAACTTCGATTTCGCAGAGAAATCTAAGGAGACAAGGAATAATAGGAGACAGGCAACGACATATGAATCTATCCGTATACGGGTAGGCTGTAGTCTACCACTATCAGCACCAAATAACTTCGACAAACACTAGTAGATATATCAAGGTTAGCTGTACCTGCAGCCCTATGTCTACAGTTTAGAGCTGCTTGTCTGATAGATTGGAAGGCAGAGACTAGCTTTAAAGCTTGCTTCCTCCATGTCTCCTTCCTCCGGCTCTCCTTTCTCTAGCTTTTCCTTCTCCAGCTCTCCCTTTTCCAGCTCTCCTTTTTCCAACTCTCCTTTTTCCAACTCTCCCTTTTCCAACTCTCTCTTTTCTAGCTCTTCCTTCTCCGGCTCTTCCTTCTCCGGCGCTTCCTTCTCTAGCTCCTCCTTCTTTAGCCTTTCCTTCTTTAGCTCTTCCTTCTCCAGCTCTTCCTTCTCCAACTGCACCTTCTTAACCAGCTCCCGCATCTCGTCTGTAGCACTATAATAGTAGTTAGTACAAAGCTGTGGTTTTCACCAAAAAAAGGACGAGCTACTACGCACATCTTCCGGAAGCGCCGGTCCTTGTAATACAGGATAGACAAAAGGAGGTGGAACTTGAACGCATACACGGTATTCCGCCCGTCGAAATCTTGTTCCGGCTGCGAAATGGGGACATGCTTCCAGTACTCCCTCATATAAGCCGGACCGAGTCGGTATCGGGGATTTCGGCATATGCCGAGATCCGCTGTAGTAGGACGAGTCAATCACTGGTCTAGTACAGACATGGAGGAAGGCAGCGAACCTTCATTGTGGCCCCAATAGGCGCACGGGTCGAACAAGCAGACGTCAGTTGAATCAACCCTCGGCTTGACGTTCCCCGGCCACAAGTCGGAATGGATTAGGCAGGGCTGTATGCTTCTCCCGTTCGTCTCTAGCGGTCGAAGGTAGCGAGGGATGACCTCGGCGAGGAAAGCAGCCTTGAGCTTGGCGAATTCCTCATCCGGACCATGGCGGCGTTCGTCCTCGTCGAAAAGGGACTTCATCTGCCGCGTCCAGCACTCCTCCCAGGAGCGAGACCACGTGTTGTCGACAGGGACGTTGGCAAGGTGGGTCGTTGTCTGGAAGCCGAAGCGTCCGTCCGGCGAGTTCCCCATGCTGCCCAGGTGTAGAGCAGCGACTGCCGAGCCCCATTGCCTGGCGCTGGGGACGTCATCCAGCATGTCGACGAACTCGCACATGTAGAAATGTGTCTGCGGGTCGGCGCTGTACGTTCCCCAAGCGACTGGCCTGGGGACGTACCCGGGGATGGCATCGTGCAGGGCGCTTTCTGCCTCGTAGCTGCCCTTCATCATGTTCCTCCCAATCTGACCCGTTGCGGCCTGTCGGGTCGTCTCAGCTGGGGATTCCCGGCTGGAGTTCGGTGAAGGAACCGTATCATACCTTCTTGAATAACTCTTCAATCCTGCCATTGGAATGTCGAACTCTTATCCTGACGGTTTCGGCCCACAGGCTCTGGCCGGACGGGGTTATCGACAGAACCTGACAGTCCGAAGGGAGATCTCGGATGTGTTAGCTAGGGTTGGGCAATGGCACTCAAGAGAGGGAAGCTCTGCCCAAGCGCTCTTATACAATAAACTTACGGGCCAGGACACTATCATCCAGACGATCCCCAATCGGTCCCTTGGGTTTCGTTGGGATTGGAGCCTCGGCAGGTGCCATAGGGAAAGTACAAGATTGAACAAACTGGAATATAAATGATATGGAATCTCCGGGAGCGTGCCATCTCTTGAACGCGACGAGGAACGGCGAAAGGCACCAATATATATAACGACCGAATAAGGCCCTGGACGGACCACCCTCGCCCCCCGCCCCCCCCCCCCAACTAAACCAGGAAGAGCTGCTTCACAGATACATGGCCGATTGGCCGTTCTGTGGTTCGACATGGGTCGATGGCGGTATTGCCCCGCCGTGTAGTGTAGCATCAGCCGCCCATGCGTGTTCCCGACAGGCTACCGAATCAAAAACCACCACATCAAGCAGCAGGCTGCGTAGAAACAATGTTTCAAAGGCCGAGAGATAGACCTTCCACAACCCGAGTCTCTCCATCAAAGGGCTAAAATGATACCGAGGCAGAGGTACCGGGTTGCGACACCTTCTAGAGCCCCGTTCCTCCCATGATGCCAGACCGCGTGGGTGACGACGACTCGAATATCCATGTCAATAAGGAGCCAGTTAGCTAACCCTTTCAAACCCCGCGCTTAGAGTCCCCAGCATGAGCAGCAGCAGCACCAGCAGCACCCAGAGCCCCCCCGATCCCGATCCTCGTCGCTCGTCTTCATCCAGAATCGCCTCCGCCGCCTGAGGTCCGCGCCCGAGAAGAGGGAGCTCGCCGAGCTGCCGGTCGATGTTCGCGGACCCCTCGGCCTCAACCTCCTCCACGAGCCGTCCGAGCCATGCATTGACTTTATCTTCGTATGTCGTCCGAATCGCGTTCCCCCCAAGCCTGCACATTCTCCATTCAATACCAGGAACTCCGCTAAAGCTTCGCCCACACGACACAGATCCACGGCCTGGGAGGAGGTTCCAGGAAGACATGGAGCCACGCTCCTGGTCGCGGCTTCTTCTGGCCGAAGGAGTGGCTGCCTTCGGAAACGGGGTTCAAGCACGCGCGCATCCACAGCTACGGATACAACTCGGACTGGGCCGGAAGCAAGCGGAGCAACCTGACGGTCCATGACTTTGGCCAGGCGTTCTTGGCCGACATGTTGAACGCGCCGAGCCTGCGCAAGAATGGCGACGTTAGTAAGATCCGGGCAGGGCACGTTGGCGGTGCTGTATGTTCGACCGGGCTAACGACTCTCTCAGACCCCGATAGTAATCGTCGCCCATAGCATGGGCGGCTTGGTTGCGAAGAAGGTGGGGAGGGGGTGACCCTAATATCTGGTCGAGAAGTGGACTAATCGTCACTTGCCAGGCATATCTCCTTGCGACAAGAGACCCGATATACGAGGGCATTGCCCGACGTGTCCACTCCATGTACTTCTTGGGGACTCCGCACCGAGGCGCCTCCGCATGCCAGCTTCTCAAGACCTACCTAACTGCCTCAGTCGGTGCCGGTGAGAAGGCATTCATAGACCAGCTTCTGCCAGGGTCAGAGGTTCTTCAGGTAAGGAAGATTCCCGTTTCTTGTTTGCATCATCCACCATCCACCCTTTCTTCTGGTTGCTGTTGACACGCCTGCTGCAGACAATAAACGAGGAGTTTCGACACGTTTGCAAGAATGTGAAGATGTGGTCTTTCTTCGAGGGCCAACCGACTAGTGTTGGGCTACGATCATTAATCATCGTCGATAGGGAGTCGGCCGTGATCGGTACGTGGTTTTTATTCTAGAGAATGTTTCTGCGCGCGGAGACATTGCCTTATTTCGTTTGTCTGGACTGTTCCCAGGCCAGATCAACAACACGACCAGTTAACAATTTGCCTAAATTTAGGTCTACCTGACGAGCATGTCCAGTTCCTTAACGCTGACCATCGCCATGTCTGCAAGTTCGAGAGCCCGGCGGATCCTAATTACATCACGTTGCAGCGGTGTTTTCTGACGACCATTGACGACATCGAGCGAGGGGGTAAGAGCTCCTGGCAACAGTACGACCCTTCGTCCGTGATCTAACAAATGCCAGCCATTTTCCGCCGACAGGACGAGTACAAGGCCCAGATGAGCATCGTTTCGAGCATCTTGGAGGTTGACCAGAGACCAGAGGCAGAACTCCTGCTGGTCACGGAGAAGCAGCAGCAAGGGTCATGCCAGTGGCTGACAAACCACGAGAAGTTCCAAGAATGGCTCGACGGCCCTAACGAGCTTGCCCCAGTCAGTCCGGGCAAGAAGTCCATGCAAAATCACTGTCGGCGGCTGTTCTGGCTCAACGGCAGACCGGGAACAGGGAAGACTGTTTGCGCGGGACACATTGTCAGGTATCTCGACGCTTGCAACGTGGACTGTTCTTTCTACTTCTTCAAACACAGCGACAAGGAGAAATCCACGGTCTCAGAGCTCCTGAGGTCGTTGGCATTCCAAATGGCCGCTTCTAATTTCGAGGTTCGCCAAGTACTACTCGCAATGGCTCACGGCAACGAGCGCGTTAGCAAAGATGACCACAACATGATCTGGAACAGCCTTTTCCTGGGGAGGCTTCTACGGCTTGACTTCTCCCAACCCCAAGTCTGGGTCATCGACGCTCTCGACGAGTGTTCTCATAAAGGGCTCGCAACCCTCGTTCAGATGCTTTCCAAGATCGACAGTCGCGCCCGTCTGCGAATTTTCGTGACGAGTCGGCCCGGTGGGCATGTCGAGAGGCTGTTGAGGCAGGATACAGCACCTGTAATCGAAGTCCCGGTCGAGGCAGAGAACTCCCTCGGGGACATTGAACTCTTCATCAAAACAAGATGGCCCCATGTGGAGAACCGTCTTCTGGTGTCGGAGGTCCTTTCGAAATCGAACGGGATCTTCCTTTGGGCTTCTCTTATCATGACCCGAATGGAGGAGGCTTACAGTATCGAAGACATGGAGGAAGTCATTCGACAAGTTCCTTCCGAGATGAACGACTTTTACTCCAGAATCGTCGAGACCTTAGCGATATCCCAGAGTGCCGAGATTGCCAAGTGTATCCTGAAATGGGTTATATGTTCGCCGCGGCCGCTGACAACAGACGAGATCAAGGAAATCGTGAGACTCGATATCAACAGAACTTTGACAACTTCTGACAGGCAACTGGAGGCTCTCTGTGGTCATCTGATCTTTGTTGATAAGATGGCTCGGGTCCAGGTCCTCCATCAAACGATATCTGCGTATTTGACGCAAGATTCGCGGTCAGAGGGTGTGGTTAGTCGTGAAGGTCAGTCATCGACTTTCAGGATCGCCCGGGCTGAAGCGCACGCTCGGGCTGCTGAGCTGTGTTTGATACAGTTAGCTGGAAAGGAGTTGTCACCACCTAGGACTCGACGGGCCCCTACTCCCGGTACTCAGCCCAGGGTCTCGCTTTTCTTAGAGTACTCTCGTACGTACTTTGCTCACCACCTAGCCCGGTCCTCGGCGGCGCTTGATTCTCCCCTCCTGCTCCTCAGCGGCTTCCTGAGGACGAACATCCTGTCGTGGATCGAAATAACCGCCAGAACCGGAAGCCTGTCTCTCCTGACCAAGACGGCAGAGAACTTGAGAGCATATCTTGGACGACGAGCAAAGTATCGGCCGCCTCTGGGATCAGACGTGAAGTTAGTGGAGGACTGGGTCAACGACCTGATCCATATTGCCGTGGCCTTCGGGCCCAACCTCCTCGACTCGCCTTCCGCAATCTACTTTCTAGTGCCACTTCTCTGCCCACTAGCCTCCATCATCCACAAGCAATGCGCGAAACCGTCAAAGGCGCTCAAGGTCTTGGGTTCTTGCGAAGAGGATTGGGACGACAGATTGTCCTGCTTCGTATACCCCACGGATGCTCTTTCCGTGGCCACTTGTAGCCAATTCCTTGCCGTCGGTCTGGCCAACGGCGACATCGTCTTGTACGACAGCGAAAACTTTGAAGTCACAGCCACCCTCAGCCACGGCCAGCAAGTCAGGCATGTCGCTTTTGGTACACTGTCTTCCGTTCTTGCATCATGCAGTCCACGGAGACTTAAGCTGTGGAGCAAGGAGCACACCTGCTTATGGACTGCCAACCTCGACACCATCCCCTTGGACCTTACTTTCGGCTCCGACGACTCCGAGCTATTTCTGCCAAACAGGGAAAGCAGCGTGAGCGTCTTCAGCACCGCCGACGGCTCTCCAGCAGAAGAGCTAGTTTTGCATTCGACGTCCGACTCGGATTCCTCGGATGGGGAGAACCAGGCTGGCAACTGGGTGCCACCGTCTCTCATTCGAATCTGCCCAGCCCAACAACTGGCAGCTCTACTCTACCGAAGCTCGACCATTACAATATGGGACACGGAGCGCGGCGAGAAGCTCGGAATCTTCGAAAAGGACGGCTGCGAAGACGTCTACGGAGCGCCCCAAGCGCTGGACGCCGTCTTCAACCCCGTCTCCGAACTCGAACTGCTCGCAATCGCATACAAGGACGGGGACCTCGTCACATGCAACCCCTGGACGCTGGAGCAGGTGTGCCTATACGAGATCTCGGTGCAGGTCCTCGCCGCCTCCCCCGACGGGCGGACGCTCGCGACGGGCGACAACCTCGGCGTGATCCACCTCTTCTTCTTCGAGACGCTGCGGCCAATGTACCGGATAACGGCGCTCGAGGACCGCATGATGGGGATCGTGTTCGCGACGGACGGCCTCCGCTTCTTCGACGTGCGCGGCGGCGCCTGCAACGTGTGGGAGCCGTCGGTCCTGGTGCGCAGGGGGGCGGGCTCCGACGACAGCTCCTCGGAGCCGCTGAGCGAGGAGCTGCCGCCGCAGTATGTCGCCACGGCGTCCGCCAGGATGCTCGAGGACGCGCGCGTCATCGCTACCACGGCGCAGACCGCCCGGGGCGATTACCTGTTCTGCGGGCGCGGCGATGGCACCGTCGATGTCGTTGAGCTGGCGACCGGAGTCGCCGTCGAGACGCTCGCTCATCATGCCAAGGGAGTCTCGATATCTCATCTGGAATGGAACGACGAGAAGTCTCTGCTTGTCAGTGTGGACTTGTCGAGCCGCTTTATCATATCAAACTTCTCGGCCGCGCCAGGTCCCAAGTCAAGGTGGGAGAGGGTTGGCTCGCAGATTGATTGCAGAGTCTCGGGAACTGTCTCACAGGTTCTGGTGGCCCCGGATGGCTCGCGAGTTTTGATCTCGACCGCCAGCGAAGACGAACTCAGAGACACAGCTAATGGTTGTGTCCTGAAGAGTGAGCCATCGCCGGGACCGAATAGGGGCTGGATGACGCACCCGACGGAGCCGTCATGGCTCATTCTCTCCCATAGCGGATCGTTACATATCTACGAGTGGGCTTCGTTGAGCCGTCTTACACCGGCAGCTGGTCTCTCACTATTAGCCAGCAACCCGGGACCTCTACCTCCCTTCTGCGGAACATGGTTCTCTAGAGCCGGGTCACCATATCTTGCTACTCTTCTTGGGGCTCCAAATGACAGACGACGTCAGCTGGTGCTTGTGAACGCCTCCAAGATCCAGCTCTCGGAAACCGCCATTGCCGTCGAGGCCCTGAAGGGTCAGCTCTGCGGAGGCATGAAACTCCCGCTCGGTTTCTTCAAGTCGTCATTCTTCTTCCTCGACATGAAGGGATGGGTCTGCTCTGTTGGCCTGAAAACGGGCGTAGATCCAAAGTTTTACACGCGGCACTTCTTCATACCTCGGACGTGGCAGTTTGGGTCGGATTTGCTCATCAGAGTCGTGTCCAGGTCTAGCGTCGTGTTTGCGCATCGCGATGACCTTGTTGTCTTCCACGGGCTCCTCGACCTTGAGGAGAAAGTACTGATCGGGGATGGAGATTGATTAGTAGGGTGATGGAGGATCTAGAGTAGACGAGCAACTCATAGGTTTATTGCACGACTTTGATGATATATGTGGATGTTCAACGGCTTGGTGGCTCGTGAATCTATCTGGTTGGCTAGTCTCTAAACCGTCTATGATTACTTGTCCGCCGGAGGACTTTTGATAAATTTGTAGCCATCCTAGCATGCTCATTTGCATCACATATACTCCACTGCCCAGCCAGACAAGTGATAATCATGGCGGTTAAACCTGCAAGTTGATTGGTGGTCACAACCCAGTTTTACTCGCCAGACCACCACAATAGTTGGCTGCACCGACGACGATTAATTTGAGCCAAAGCCATAGCAGGGCCAACAAGTTGGGATACATGGAGACCACAGACAACGACGTCGAGGCCTCCAAGCCACCGACCTCGGCAGCGACCGACACCGCCGCCGAGCCTCCAGGCCGGGGGGGCATCGGCGGCAATCTCGCGGGTCCGGACGATCCCAAGCCGCCGCCATACTCGGTCTTCACGGGCCGACAGAAGCAGTGGATACTCTTCGCGGCGGCCTTCGCGGCGGCCTTCTCGACCGTCAGCAGCTACGTCTACTTCCCCGCCCTCGTGCCCATGGCGCGCGACCTCGGCGTGTCCGTCGCGCTGGTCAACCTCACCGTCACGTCGTACCTCGTCGTCGCCGGCGTGGCCCCGGCCTTCATGGGCGACGTCGCCGACCAGAGCGGCCGGCGGCCGGCGTACGTCGTCATGTTTGTGCTCATGGTGGCGTCAAACGTCGGCCTGGCCCTGCAGAAGTCGTATCCCGCGCTGTTTGTCCTGAGGATGGTGCAGAGTGCTGGGTCGTCCGGTATGTAACTTTGAAACAAATACTTGGGTCGTCCTGCGGCGGGATTACGGCTGGAAAACATGCGTGCTGATTGTTGCGGCGTACAGGAACATACGGAGCTGCGTACGGTGTGATTTCCGACATCACAACTTCTAGGGACCGTGGTTCCTCGGTTGGGATCTTGCTCGCCTTGTATGTGCGAACCCATAGTAATTACTAATTCATACTAAAATCAGAGGATCTCTTTCTTTCCCTTTTCTGACCTCTTGCCCTTCAGTTCAAGCCAAGCACCTAGTTTCGGCCCCGTCCTCGGGGGAGCCCTGGCTCACACTCTCGGATGGAGATGGATCTTCTGGCTCCTTGCCATCCTCACGGGGACGCACTTTCTAGCCCTGCTCCTCTTCCTCCCCGAGACGCAGCGTAAGATCGTTGGTAATGGAAGTATTCCCGCCCGCGGCATCTACCGGAGCCTGTTCCCGATTTTCATGAGTCCCTCACAGCTTCAGCCCCAGAGTGGCGATGCCGCACTGACTACACGGAAGAGACACCACATTCCCAACCCGTTTTCGTGTATCCCCATGCTCTTTGATCGTGGGAACATATCCGTCATCCTGATAGGGTCCATCACATATGCGGTGAAGATGACGCTACAGGCGTCGTTGGGAGAACAATGCATCGAGATATATGGTTTGAACTACTTGCAAGGCGGACTGATATATCTCCCATCGGGCATCGGGGGCTCTCTAGCTTCCTATGGGACAGGTATGTGCTATTTATGACCAATTCTGCTTGTCATTTATTAAACTCTGGAAACTCGACTAGTTGCTGATGGAGCGACCAGGCAAATATCTCGATTGGCAATACAAGCGTGTAGCCGCTAGATTAGACCAGAATCCCAGTCTTCGTCAGGCCAACGATATCACGGATTTCCCGATAGAGAAAGCAAGGCTATCTGGGATATACGTGTTGGCCTTCTCGAGTGCTGTAGGAATCGCCGGTTACGGCCTGGGGCTGATGACAAGAACTGTTAGGTTTCCACGTCGCGATTTCTTATCCGTGCTGTGGTCTAACTGGACTCTGTTTTAGCACATCTCAGTCGCCTTGGTCATGCAGTTCGTCACGGGATTCGCAACCTCCAGCATATTCACAGTGAGTGGTTCCATATCTGCCACAACTATCCATTGCTCACATTTCTTTAGATGTGCGGGACGTTGCTTTCCGATCTCAACCCTACTCGCTCAGCAACGGTACAAGCATCCTACAACTTGGTGCGATGCCTGGGAGCGGGCGCCACGATAGGGATTCTGAAGCCGTTCATCAACCGGGCGGGGGTTGGTTGGTGCTTTGGGTTTTATGCTCTTCTGCTGCTGTTTATTTTCCCTCTTGCCTGGATTCTGCAACGGTCTGGGCCGAGTTGGAGGAGAACCGCTGTAGCGGAAGCCTTAGGGAATGTGGTCGAACGTGGGGATGGTAGTGAATCTCCTATAGAGAAGTAGAGAAGTAACTGTAGAGGAAATGAGGGTGTAGCTGTATATATTGGGTTGTCGGAAGCTTGTGCAAATTTCTAGGACGCAATAATTATGGAGAATGTAGGGCAACCCAAGCTACCTATTTGCAAGAGAATAGGAACTGAACTAGAGATGGCAAAGCCAGTGTCTCATTGCAATTTTGGTACGCCCTCCAGCCCCTAGAACTGACTGCAGTCAAAGACTAGGACGGCGAGCACTTAGACATTGTCCAAACAGGCTCGAGACAATTATTATACTTCAACCTGCCCAGGTCAAGATCTTATCAGCGAGAGATTTCAGAACTTCGACTACAGGAAATCCGGAGTATCTAAATATTTCAGAGTCCTGCTGGCATGCTTCTTAAGTTGCTGTTTGGTTTCTTGGCCATTCGGAGGCACTATGTTCCGTCTTCTAATCCTTATTGGTGCTTGAGGTGGTGTCGCGAACGATGCCCAGCTCAGCCCAGGCCATGATCTTCGCAGCTCCGCAAAACAGGACGAAATCACTCAAACTCTCCAGCTAGACCGCCACCCGCGTCCATGGCTCTTTGCGATAGGTGCCAGCGTATCAACGTACTCGAAATAATTCTTCAATCCGTTCCTCCTGATCCTTCCCGCCTGGCTGATGGCTGGACACATTCAGATACCTACGCTTCCCTCAGGTCTAGTGCCGTGACCTGCTCACTTTGCTCCATTTTTCTCGGAAATGACCCCATGAACCAAAAAGTCGAGATTGATGATGATGACTGTGTGAAGCTATTGCCGTTCACGAGGGAGCGCTGGCCCCGGGACGAATCATCTGCGAGGCATGGGGTTCCGTTGGCGGGTCTGGAGGTCAAAATCGGTCCCAAGGGCAAAAATGCGATCAGTTCCGTGAAGCATGTTCCTATATGGACAGAAAATGGTGAGTTCGGAGAAACGCGTTCGCCAGATCTACTTCTAGGCATGACTGACAGGTCTCACCAGACAGTCCCGAGGAAATCAGGCAGTTCATGATGTCCAGACCGTGCGGGCCAGTGGGAGATGAGACGATAATAAAGAGATGGCTTCGTGCCTGTCTGAGGGACCACCCGGGCTGCAGAATCCCGACGCCCGGGGTCGAGGGAACCGTGGATGAAGAGGCTGTAAAGCTTCCCTCCCTTGTTATCGACATAGGCTCCGCGGCCCCCTTTAGCGACCCGTTTCTCGTGGAGACCCAGGGCCGCAAGGGCCGGTACGCGGCTTTGAGCCACTGCTGGGGAAGCGGTAAGGCTACGAGGACGTTGAAGGGAAACCTCCGGGACCACATGACGCGCATCCCGATGGGGGAGCTATGCGCCAACTTTCAGCACGCTGTCGAGATCAGCCGGAAACTGGGGTTCCAGTATCTCTGGATCGACTCCCTGTGCATCATCCAGGACGATGGGGCCCATTGGGAAAGCGAGTCCGCGAAAATGGCCGAAGTCTACAGTCACGCGTCCCTCGTCCTCTCTGCTGCTAACAGCTCATCAGCCGACGAGGGGTTTCTCAAGAGCAGGCGGCCCCTTAAGTCAGTCACCCTCCCATTCAGATTTCTGGATGGAACAGCTCTTGGCCACTTCACCATTGCGGAGCAGACATCAGACGAAATCTACCGAGACGATTTCAGGAACGACGTCGAGGGCGGGCCCCTGGCCAAACGCGGCTGGACTCTTCAAGAGCGCTTGTTGGCGAGGCGCAACATCTTCTTCGGCCGCGATGAGTTCCACTGGGAGTGTCGGTCCGCGCGGTGGAGCGAAAGCACCGACATGCGGCCCATTCGTTACGTCGACGTCAGTGCTGGGCTGGCATATTTCCGTGGACTCCCACTCTTCGGTGGGCATGACAAGCAGGGCAGATCGCAGCTCCTCAACGATTGGTACATGTTAGTGTTGGAGTTCACGAAGCGCAGCCTGACCAAGAAGGACATCGACATGCTTCCAGCCTTGTCTGGGATGGCCAAGGTAGTGGAGTCTGCTTTCCGCGCTGAGACACACACGGTTTACTGTGCTGGCTTGTGGAGCCATGACCTTCCCCGTGCGGTACTCTGGAAGAGTTTCGGTTCCGAGTCTGGAAACAACACAGCCCTCCCAGGCCCTTCCTGGTCCTGGATTTCTCAGGATGCCAGGATATTTCCCGCCCGTGAGGAGGCTGACGCGGTCATTGACATCTCCAACATCAGCTGGGATGTGGCTCTCGCCGGAACGGACCCCCACGGGAGAGTTGCCCAGGGGACTGTTACATTCCAGGGATACATCAAAGAAGTGCCCTCAATCAAGCTCATCCACACGGAAGATTCCAAGAGGAGCAGAAGCACCCCCTACCCCCTCTCAAATGCCCTCGTATACGACCACATGTCTCAGCAAATCGGCGCCGTCGTTCTCGACGACCCGTCGGACGGGAGAGTCTTCAGCCAGAAGCTATACGCCGTGCCAATCAGGCATCTGATGTCCACCTTTCAGTCCGTTAGGGAGATTCAGGCGCTCCTGTTGCGGGAGGCTGACGAGGGAGCGTATCGGAGGATAGGGGTCGTGGACATGATGGGGAGCAACGCCAATGATGACCACTGCAAAGACGCCCCTTTTGCGCAGCCGCTTCAGGTGTTCTTCTACGATGCCCGAAAGGAGATGATCCGTTTGGTTTGAAATTTTGACAGTACACGGGTGTTAATTATGTGGCCTCTCCGTATAGTCTGTATGTGGCGTTGGGGTTGAACAGGTAATGACAACTCGGCAACTAGAACTGTATCTAACAATACAGTTACGAATTATTTACTAATTAGTGAAGGTGACTGCGTAGTCCAGAACCTAGAAGCAAATTGCTAAGAATTCAAGCTAAGAAGAAACGGCAGTCAGCTTACTCACTCTCAGATGATTTTGTGCAAGCTTTGTCTTCTAGGAATGGACCGAGTACCAGGGATCAAAAATTTAAATGGAATAAATAAAAAAAGGGGAGAAGACAAAGAAATACGCAAACATGGTCACACGTTTCAAGCCAACCAAAGAGACAAGAGATTACTAGTCACATACTAGAAGCACCATCGCTATGTCAGTCGCTCCGTGAATCTGGCACATATCCCCGGTTAGCAAATACTCAACGTGAGAGTCTAAGGAGCCCGAGTCTTATTCTCAGGAGCCATGGCAAAAGTGGCTAGTTTGGCAGGAAGCAAGAAACGACTCCCTTGACAGAACCTGAAAGAAGGGCCGGGGGGGGGGGGAGGCAAAATAGGTTGTGGAAGACTAGAACGTGAAATTGAATAAGATCTGTCGCCAACGGTCAGAACGAGGCGCGGAGCCTAATCGCGGCCTGGTGGCACCAAAATCACCCAGTGTGTCCGTCAGGCAAAAAGTAGGGGGAGTCAGGGTATTTTCTCAGACTTTTCTTGCCCAGGTCATTCTTGTCTCTTCACTCTCTTCGGTTTGGTCGAGTTAACATTCTGGTTTCTTTTCTCTCTTACTTTCTTCTCGGTTGATCAACGCATTTTTCGATCCTGCACATCAAGCTTGTGCAAATTGGTGTAAAGTTCATTTTTTTTTACCACCAAGTTGGTATTGAGATACCAGGGAGCTTGTGGTGTATCACGGACACGCCAACCCGTAAGCCAAGTCAACCTTCTTAAACAGTAAAACGCTTCAGAGGTGCAATTCTAAAACCGCCACAGGAAGAGAATTTGAGCTGGATTGTCGAGATAAGCTGGCCTGGAGAGACGTGCTAACACTGGCTGTGGCAGACTTTTGAACGCAAAACACAAGAGGCATTCCATAAGATTTCGTTCCAGCGGACGGACTGATGTATTTACCAGACTCGAGGTTTCGGGGTAAGACCAAAGCCTCGTTCAATGAATAATTTCAGGGCGTAACAAGGGCATCAGAATCAAGGGAATCTCTCGGGGCCAGCGTCTGTTTACTTCAGGGGCTGTGCGGTACGTTCGAACCACCTGTCAACAACCTATATTCCGGCCCGTTAGACACCTGCAATAACAACCGTCGGAGATAAATAGATGCAAAAAGCATCTGCTATTTGGGCATAATGCCAGTTATTGCTAGAAGTATCACGGAGTTCCGTTCTACCTCAGGGCTCGTCATTCATGACGTCGTTAACCATCCAAACCTTTGATTCCGGCGTGATGGCCAATTCTCTGTTGCCAGAGAATTCTTCAGAACCTCACTCCAACACCCAGAGAATCACCTTGCCGAACCTTCCAAATCTACCCGCGGACGGTTGAGTCCTGCCATATCTACCCAAGACCAAGACCAAAACCAAAACTAGAAACCAAGCCAAAACCAAACCCCGGTAACGCCGCGCTTAGCCAACGATCCCCTCTCCAGGCACAGGGAGAAAAACAAAAGATGGGAACACATAATTATGTACAACGGCGCGGTATCTCTCCTCGAGACCCGCTTCAGTATATCCTAATCAACAACAGGCCCTTCCCTCCCAGTACTTTTTTACCTTCCCCAGTACAGCCAGCCAGACGCCCTTTCTCAGGTTTCCGTCGCTGTCCAAAATAAAACGTTATGTGTATGTATGTGCATACAGTCAGGGTGACTTCACCCTCACTCCTTTCCGCCGTGGGTTTCGCCGACGCGCGGTAAAGGAGATACGAGAGATATTGCCATCTCGGTGTTGTGAAACGTACTCTCACCATCTTTCCAAAACGAGCGTTTTAAGATCATGAACACATAAAGATATATGGTGAGGGAAAAAAAAGGAATAAGAAAGAAAGACACTGGGGCGAAAAGCACGCAATAAGCAAATGGTAGAAAAGAAGACACACTATGACCTAGTGTTATGATGTGTTTTGGGGGTGGGGGTTGGGGCGGGGTGCTCTTGAACCATCAGGCGAACTGATGGTTGAGAGGTTATCGGGAGAGAATAGGAAAGGAAACGACACCACTCTGAATCTTCTCTTTTTTCTCCCATCATTTTCGGGGTTTTCTCGGTCTCCCTCTTTGCGGTGACTCACTTCTCATCTTCCACCCAACGAAGCAATTCTCTGAAACAAAGCACCTGCAAGAGCTCATTGCGACGTGAACGCAATCTCAAAGGTAAGGTCGGACAGGTCGTCTCCCGAGGCGGGGATCATCGACTGCTGAAGCATGTGGTGCTCGCCAAAGCCGGTTTGAGTGATGGTGGCGTTTGACGAGACGGGAGACACATAATTGTTCCCGTCCATACCCACCATGGTGTTGGCCAGGTGATGGCGGGCCGAATGTGCGCCAAAGCCGAACTGCGATGATGATGGGATGGTGATGGGCATGGACGGTAACATTGCGGGGTCGATGGGATCGAACACCATATCTCCAACGTCATCCAGGTCTGTATTGAAGCCACCTCCGACACCAGCGACGTCGGACATGTCAAGATATGGGTTGACGATATTTTCGATATTTTCCGATGTCGACACGGGGAAGTCGGATGATGTATTGGCCGTGAACGACACGTCGCCCGCTTCGGGTTCCATGTCGCCCTGCTCGGCGAACCCCATCGACTTATCGTCCGCAATGAAAGCGGCTGGGTCGTCGGATGATACCTGGATCTGGGTCATCCAGAGCTTTAGCTGGCTCATAGGCGGCCAATCGCCGCCTCCCTTGCCACTGCGCTTCTCGTCCGCCGTGTTTCCGCTGCTGTCAGCCGCGGCACCGTTGGCGTTCGCGTTCGCGTTCTTTCCGCTAAGGCCCTTGCGCGACGGCTTCTCTCTGAAGTGTGTGCGTCTGAGATGTGCTGCGGCATTATAGTAGGCGCCGTACGGCTTCTTGCTGGTGCATTGCTTGCAGCCGCTCAGCGGCTTGATCGGCTTGAGTGCTGTCTCAACGTCGGGCTCGACGCAGATGAACTTCCTGACGACGCTCTTGTGCTTGGCTTCGGTGTGGCGGCGCAACTCGTGCTCGCCACGGAATCCGTACGGATGCTCCTTACACTGAGTGCACTTGACCCTGGGATGCTTTGGGCGCTCGTACCTGGCCTTGGTGATCTGCGTCTTCCCACCCTTCCCCTTGGGCCCCGAGGATCCGGGCGGCTCCTGCTCGACGGTCCCGACGGCTGGCTTTGGCATTAGCTGGGTCGTGCGGGCTGCGTTCTGGTTTTGCCGGGACAGAGCCTCCTTGGCGCGGAGCTTGAGGGACTGGCTAGACCTGGCGCTGTCTGACCTCTCCATTTGCTGGGTGTGGTATGCCGCAGTCATCCATAATTCTTCGGGGGTTTCGAGCGGCGATGTCGAACCATGACTCGCTTGTGAATGAGACCGCGCCATCATAAGGTGATCTGCAGTGGCGCCAGGAACCGATGACGGGAAGTGGTCGGCAAGATTAGCGCCCATGCCGCTAAAGTCTTGGTCATGCCCGCAGGTTGCGCGCTTTCCCAGGGTCGTGGTGGTGTCTAGGCCTTGGAGCTGCCCGGAACTGTCATGCCGGGTATGGCCGGACGTGGATTGCTGAGAGCGGATACGGATCATGCCGATCTGGCTAGAGAGAGATGCGTTGTCGGTATAGGCGTGGCTGTTCTGTCTGCTCATCATGGTGTCCATCGTGGGTCCGGATGTCAGGGATCCGCATGATGAGACGAATCCGAACTGGGAAAAGGATGGGTTGGCTTGGACGGAGAGGTAGTCGCTGCTCATCTGTCGCGGCTGCGCATCTTGATACAGCGAAAGGAATTCGCCGGGGTCCATTGCCCTCCCGCTCTCAACCAAGGTCTCCATGGGGCCATGCCTTTGGGGAGATACCTCCTCTTTGGCTAAGGAACCTCCGTAGACAAAGGCGGTGGCAGGCTGACGGACTGGATCCTGGTTCAAGTAGTGGTCGAGCATTGGCGGGCCGGTCCTGGGCTGAGTCCTCGGGTTTACGAGGGGAATTGACTTGGACGACGTGCTCGACCTTGAACGGGCCATCCCGGAAGAGCGGACCGAGGCCTGAGGGGGATGAGCGGTTTTAGCGCGCTTCATCGGCTGGCCGATACTGGATTGCCGATCCAGGTCCCGATCCCGATCCCGATCCTTGGGGTTGGGGGGGTTAGTCATGGAGTACCAAACAACTCAACTGCGCAAACGGAGCCTTACCGGATATGCATGTGTTGGCGGAACGGTGAGGTTGGCCGACGGGGCAGTTCGAGGCACGGCATTGCGATTTGAGAAGCCGAATACATCCTGATCGGCGGATCGGGAGGGTGAGGTGGATAATTGGAAGGTATTCGGAACAGGCTGGGAGTCGACGAAGTCGGTGGTCAGAGATATGGAGGCTCTTGGCTGTCGGCAAGCATTCTTCAGGAGTGCGTTGAGGTCGCGGTGAGCCTGTTCATTCTGGCGTATCGCCTCCTGTATGGTCTCAACGTCGACGTGTTGTTGGGGCATAGTTAAAACCGAGCGTCGTGTTCCCTGCTCGACTGGCTACGGGTCGAGTCGCTGCAGCCTCGTCGCCCAAATGTGCAAAAGAGTGAGGGGTAATGGAGGAGGCAAGGGACCAGCAGCGAGGCGCAAACAGGAAGAAACAAGTCGCCAACAGGAACGAGATTGCTTCAAGAAGGAATACGGCTACATATGACAGGCGATGAAGAGGTCTGCGGTATTTAACCAGTGATCTGGACAAGGCTTTGGGATTGGGACATGGGACGGAGAGCGGCAGGTTGGGTAACTTCGATGGGTCAGACACATATATGGGATGCCCACACACCCGAGAGGAATCCCAGGACCGCAGGTAGACTAAAGTACCCCATACCCCCCCATGGTTTGGGGGGGGGGAAGCACTAGAAGCACACGCTATTTGCACACGGGTAGGTGCGTACAGATGAGACCTTGCGCCTGGCCCAATCAGCCGATAGTGATTATCCCAACCTAACTTCCAGTTGGATGCACGTCGGTGTGGGTGGGAGGGAGGAGGTGCGGTGCGCCTTCTGGCTACCGAGGCTACCGAGTCTCAAGTCGGCCTAAACTGGTTGCTAAAAAGAAGGTGTAAAAAGGAGAAAAGGGAACATAATAACCAAGCCACGACCTAGCGCGGCGACAAGAGATGAGATTCGATGAGCATGTTGAATGGTTGCATCGAAGCCTGACGAGCGACCGGCAGACACTAGCAGACCACTAAAAACGGCTGCTGCCTTATCCCGCACTACAACCCCCAAGGTTCCAGGAAGCAGCGACGAAGGCATGTACAGCAAGTACAGCATGTACAGCACAGGTACATCAGGCATGTGTGTCTGCTAGCTTCCCATGTTGCCCGACATATCAGTCCCACATCCTGATCTGCAAGTTTGCCCGCCCAGGCGGGCAGGAAATGGGCCAGTCTGTGCTATCCGTCAGGTCGTTACGGGTTTGATGGGGGTTCTAGCAGGGGCACTGGGGACCCACCCCCTCCTCCCCTCTGCGAATGTGCTGGCTAGCGCCTCCTTACCCCTGTAGGAGTGGTCAGGTAGGTACCACCCTACGTCCTGCCCGGTGCCCCGACACTGAGGGCCTCAGTGTCGGGGGCAGCTACATGTCACTTGTTCCAAGCTTTTTGGCTTGGAGAGATCCCTCAACGAATGCCAGCCATCAAGCCGCCATTGGGCCAAGGCGCAGCAGGTGACTGACAGCTTTGGGCCTCTATCCCATCTTTCTCCCGCATCGCATTGGTCTGGTTCAGCGAATCCCCTCCAAGCTTTGGCCCTCCCAGGAGGGCGATTGGCTGAAAATGTGTCGCGAAAAGTGAGGCGACCGCCCTATGGACGTTGACTGGACAAAACTTATCCTGCCCATCACCGCGACGATGCGGACCATATTTCGGTGTGCGTAGGTCTCCAGGAAAAGAAACGAGAGAGAGGGAAAAAAAAGGGGGGGGGGTGTTTTGGTTCAACCTGGAAGATGATCGTCATCTCGTCGCCGAGTCCCGTCCCTTCATTCCATCCATCCTGTGTAAAAGCTGGTCCGGGCAAACCGTGCTTTTCCCCGTCCGTCCCCATTACATTTCAGTTCCTCGAACCTACTATGCCACTCCAAATACCAAGCATTCATTCGTTGGGTTTCTGCTGCCCAACATCAGCAGCCAATACCGTTTGGATTCCTTGACCTGCAACACTGCAAGTCGCTCGCGCTGCGCCTCGCCGACTTTGTAGAGCCTTGATTACCTCAGCGTGGTGGCTGCGAGCCATTTTCTCGAAGGTCAGGCGAACCATGTCTCAATGCATGTAGATTGGGACCAGCCAGACCTACCTAGGCACGGTAGGGTAGCACAAGCATGCTACTCGTGCGTACCCGCCCCCACCTTAATTGGATTCATTTTGGGTGCTGTTTGCGAGAGGCTTGACCGGCCAGCCACGACAGAGACGGCTTGCTGCCCTTCAATGTCGACATCAGCAATGGGACGGTGCGGGAGCACGTTTTGCCGACCACGCCGGTTTTCGCGTGCTGATTCGCTGTTTCCAGCTCGCAACGGCGCACCACCGTCCTGTCTCCGAGGTACCATCCTCTTCGGCGCGGCGGCTTGCAGTCGAGGTCGCCGCCCAGTTCGAGACCATCTCGGCCCCGTCCAGTCGCCGGAATCGTGCGCGTAGCCGCGCTGTCAGCCATCGCTGACACCTCCGCAGCTCCCCCAGTACATGCACCATGTATCCAAGAAGCGCCCCGACACCGCCGAAGAACGTCATTGTTGCAAGACCGATACAAAACCCTCACGGATAATTGTGGTAACAAGTACAATTTTGACTCGGATTCGGGAAGTCTCAATCCAAGCTATGGTCCACTTCTACCCCAGCCTGTCAATCCTTCCCTCCGTATCTGCCATAAGGATGTAGGATCAACCACTCCAATGGGCAAGTCCAACTGATGAATAGCGTCGCCATGGGAGCCGATGATACCGGGACACAGCGGTTGACTTTCAACCCGAAGTGAGTATGAAGTAGTATACTCCAACGTGGAGACGACCCTTTCCCAGGCCCGGATTACACGAGGCTCCAGGTTCATTTCCCAAGTACCACGCCAGACGATCGAAGTTTTCCCAAAATCCCGACGGTATATAAATGCGCAAGCTTGTCCCTTCCCACCGTTCCATAGGGCCATAGTGTGCAGCTTCGGCATTTGAAGTGCAGCTGCCCCAGCATCTTCCAAGAGATTGGAAACCTTCCAACGATCCTCCGCCTGAGTGAGTAGTCGCGACGTGAGGACGAGGGACTGCAGCTGGCCCCAGGTCCATAGTGGCTGACGCGCTTGGAAGAAATGCCATGCATCGACCATGAATGAAACGGAAAGTTGTTGGAGGTCGAGGCTTCTATACGCAAAAGCCGCACCGACCGTAGGTTCCGCGATCCGGATAGGGTCGGTCTGATCAATCGTTCCTTGAAGGACTGTGATAAAGTCGTCGTTGTAATCTTCGAAGATTGATAATCTCTTGAGCCCCTTTGGTAAATGCGCATCGATCATGGTCTTATACTCTACAGTATAGACGTTAATAGCTAGAGCCTTTCCTTCCGAGAAGCGTAAGATGCGGTGAGGGGGTACTTGATATTCATAGGATTGCTTACCCTTGTCATAATACCGTTGTTGCATTCTACCCCATACTTGCCATGGCTCATAGACTATACATTCCAGTCGAGGAAGCTTGTCTAATAGAAGCCTCAAAGCTCTAATGTTAAGCCGACGACGGAACTGTCGACGTAGTACAAGCTTCGTGACCACGTGAAGTACAGGGAGTTCTTCCCGGGAAGTCAACCGAACCTCCTCGTAGAGTCGCCGCAAAGAAACATGGCAAGGAGCAGCAACCTGTTGACCGTCGACCCAACCATGTTTTGGATCGTGTATAAATTCCTGCAGATGGTTTTTCGGATCGAAAAGGATATCTTTATCCTCGTCATCGGTTCCGAAATAAAAGTTCTTGAAGTAGTGTTCCGTGTCGCTAGGGGATTGTGCGCTAAGCTCCAATGCCAACCCATCGCCGGCTGGGTTCCAGGTGCTTAAGATAGTAAAGAGTTTCGAGATCGCTCGACTGATGATGGTGTTGTTGCTTGACATCCACGACTCCGACTCCATCCATTGACAACTTCGACAGGTGTATGGTCGGAGCTCTATGTTCAGCCAGATGTGCCTTACGAGGCTCCTCTGTCGACTGACCATGTGTTCCAAGTTATTTAGGGAAGATGCTCCCAGCTTCAGTCGACCGAAGTTCTTCTTCTCGATGAACTCCGCCCATTCGTTGCAGACTGAAGCATAAGAAGCCAGGGCACGGTGTTCCTGTGGAAGTAATTCCAGGATCATGAGGCGTATCTCCATCGGTAAGGAAGGCCAGAGTAAGGTGCTCGCCATGATGAAGGTAGTTCGACGATTGATGGTGATGGAGATGCAAAGATTTTGATAGCAGGTTTTGTGTTGCAATGGTGCCTTTTATACTCCAAGTTTGGTGGCACGAAACTTTATGAATCTCGCCATCCGTGGGACTTACTCAAGGTTGGGAACCTTACGACCGCCACTGGAAACCTTCGACCCACGAGTGGAAGGGGAAAACTGGCCTCGCCTAGGAACCAAGGAGCTACGGGGAGGGCAGGGAGGTCTAAAAGAGCACGCGTCGCCCGCTTGGAACCTTCTCCTCAAGTTGTAGCAAGCTCTCTTCTCCTCAAGTTGTAGTAAACTCTTCAGGGACTTGATAAAACCATTTAAGCTCTCGAGCTCACCCCGTTACACCCTCGGCGACATGGAGAGGCTCAGAATACGTACTGAGGCGACGATGGCCTATCAGGGCTATCGAACCTTGGTTGTGATGGCTAGGGCTCGAGCGCACGTGGTGAATCAGTATTTAGAGGGTGGATCACCTGAGGGCCAACCACCAGGCGTGTCCCCCTGATCCAGTCTACCTGGGAGCTTGCAGTCCCTTTGGGACTCAGCGCAGCTGCCTGCCATGGGATGCCCGCAGTCATGAGTCCATCTCAACAGTCGCAAGCTTACGAAGCCCTGCTCACGACTATTTTGCCACTTCCAGGACCCCTGATGGCCGGCCAAAATCGCGAACGCGTTCTGCAGGAGCGGCAGGGCGGTCTTGCAGACAGTTGTGTCCGCCCATGAAGAGCTAGCCGACCACTTGGGTTGTGATTGTGACAATGGTCGACCAGCAACCAGCTATCCTCCACCAGAGGAGTCCTCGTTGACCTGGCATATCGAGACAAGAATCAAGAGAAAATAGGAGAAATCGGTAAATGGTAGATGCTGGGCCTGTTGGATGTCCCCGGGCCGTACACTGGGATTGGAAGATGGCGGCGTGGGGAAGCTCTAGCCAGGCGCCGAAAACAGGGCCAAGGCCTAAGTTTGGGGCTTTCGAAATTGGGCTCTTTCAGGCTGCTCATCTCAGCATCCGAAAACGGATTTTGGTGGGCTTGAGTTTCTCGTCTCTGTTTGTTGTGGCATGAGGCTCAAAAGGCGGTGAATAGGACAGTACATGCAGGTGTTGCGTACCGCCGCAAACACCACGTCCAACAATGGCTTGGCGATGGGCTGCCTAGACGTTAGGCATGCGGATTATGGCGACACAACAGGCCGGGGAAGTCGTCCGGAGAACCAGCGCGTACCATGTATGCGGTACACAGTATCTACCTTTGCTTTCGGAGGCCCTAGAGATGACGCGCAGCAATAATCGCTGCGTGGCGAAGCCACTTTCTTGCCAGGGTCGCCGTCGTCGCCTTACACCGAGATTGTCTCCAAGGTGAAACAGTGCTGGCGCAGTAAAGAGCCCTGCCGGGATGTGCTCAGTCCCATTCCAAGGTTGGCAGCAGGGCTGAAATTTCTGACCCAACCCGGTCGCACGGAGTGACTCGACTGGTTCGCCGTGTGGCCCCGCCGCTGAAAGCCTGGCTGACCCTTGCGCCGGGATATTGTTGACGCCAAGCTGCAACGGAAATGGTGAATGTGGACTTGACCGGGAGTATCGGCCTGGGTTCTGCACAAGGCGCACAATTATACTGCAGTATATCCGGTGCCTATTGATGACGGTGAGGAAGGTAGGTATCTAAGGCGGTTGTAAGTGGTGTCGAAGACCTGAGGTGACATGCACAGGGGGGGTTTGAAAAGCACGGACCCCCGAGTAATCGGTGCTGGCTTCCGATTGCCGATGATGCCACCTTCCAAATTCCATATCAACTGGCCAAATATTGAATTCAGGTTAGCATAGATGTTGCCCCAACCAAACTGGCCTTAACCAACCCTCGTCTTCTGCTACATGTGAGGGAGAAGATGTCACCAGCGGCACAATGCGCCGTCTAAATCTTGTCCTGCTCGCCAGCCTGCAGCTCTGCAGAGCTCGCCAGCCTCGTTTCAGCGTCCACGATGACCTGCTAGCTTATCCTCAGTTTGAGATAGTCTTCCCAGATTCATACATCTCCGAGTCCGACGCGCTGGCCCTCCTCCGAAGCGCTGGAGATCCCCATCCGACATATGCCGCCGAATTCTCCTCGCCGTCCGATCTCACGAGCAAGTTCGCCGCCGACCTCAGCCGCAGCGGAGGAGATGCCGACGACGGCAGTTCGCAGGTCTCCGAGACATACGAGTTCATCAATGCACCGCCGTCGCGGTACCTCTGCGCGATTCCGGTCCTAGCGCCGCCGCCCGCCCCGAACCAGACGGCCAACGAGCTGGCAAGGGAAGAGGAGGAACGAGAGCTCAGTCGAGCATCGGCCAAGGGCTGGGAGCTGATGAGCGGTCTCGATGGCCAATGCCTCTACTTTGTATCAGGCTGGTGGAGCTATAGCTTCTGCTACGGCAAGGAGATTGTACAGTTCCATTCGCTGCCGGCCAGCGGCAAGAGCGGCGGGCCGCCGACGAGGGACCCAAAGAGCTCGGAATACGTCCTGGGGAGGGCGCTTCACGACAGTCACCAGCTAGACCACACACGGTCGGACCACCAGCGGCACGCGAACGAACGGACAGGGCAGCAGCAACATGACGCCCCGGGCGGCGGTGCCGACGCCAACACACCCTCGACCATCCACCCCCCTCCCAACACGGAGCTCCTGGTCAAGGACAACCAGCGCTATCTGGTGCAGCGGCTCGACGGCGGCACCCTGTGCGACCTGACGGGCCGCGAGCGCACCATCGAGGTGCAGTACCACTGCGCGCCGCACCTCACCGGCGACCGCATCGGCTGGATCAAGGAGGTGACGGCCTGCGCGTACCTCATGGTCGTCCAGACGCCGCGCCTGTGCAGCGACGCCGCCTTCCTGCCCCCCAAGGACGCCCGCGCCCACCCCATCAGCTGCCGCGCCGTCCTCGGCACCGACGAGGAGGCCGAGCGCTGGCGCGCCGCCAAGAACAACGCCGAGGCCGCCGAGATGATGATCGGCAGCGGCGCCAAGGACAACACGCCGCAGCCGCACAAGGCCGGCGGCGGCAAGGCCAATAGCGGCAAGATGAAGAGCAAGAGCCACCTGTACAGCCAGAGCCAGAACCAGCACGCCGGCGCGACCATCGGCGGCGTCGTGGTGGGCGGGCGCCGGGTGCTCGGGACCGGGACCGACGGGAAGCCTGCGGCCCGTCTGCCTCCACCGCGGCGGTTCGCGTCGTGGGGCGGTGCGGGGGGGCCCCTGGTGGAGGTGCTGGCCAAGGCGAACAGCAAGGCCGAGGGCGGCGGGCTGGAGCTGCTGAGCGACGAGGAGCTGAAGAACCTGGACCTCAACCCCGAGACCGTCGAGGAGCTGCGCCGGGAGCTGCAGAAGATGGCCGGCGACAGGGGGTGGAAGCTCGAGGTCGTCGAGGTGCCCGGCGAGAACCTCGAGTTCAGGGGCGTCGTGGAGGAAGATGACGGGGACGACGACGACGACGACGACGGGGACGACGGGGCCGTGGCGGAGGGTTGGGCTGGGGGTGGTGGCGGGCGGGGACGAGAAGAGCGCCATAACAAGGCGGGTAAGGGGGGTGGTGGTGGCGGTTACGAGGAGGAGGATGAGGGTAGCGAGGAGAAGTTCTTCAGGGAAGAGCTGTGACGGGATCGTCGTAAGTGGTTGGTGGGCAGTCTGGAGCCTCTTTAGAATACAAGCATGATATGATAATGGACGTGTTTTCCTGGCGTCTACTCCGTCGTTCCCTATCCGCTTTGCGCCAACGGCCCGTGACGGGACCAATGAACAGGGAGTATCATTCTGAGTAGTCCGCCTTTACCCTCTACGTAACCATCCATGGATATCATCAACCAGACCTGGACGTTCCTAGGAAGCGGGATCTTCCCACGATCCATGGCCCTGGACCACCAATGGTTCTCTTGCTGGGTGGCCGGGCCCTGAACATCTTGGTTTTCCCAACCCCTGGGCGCGGATCTGATGTTAGCCGCTTCAGCTCCTGCGCTATATAAGCACTACTTGACACTAAACCTTCCACGTACGACCATACCCAGTGGAGAACTCGGGATCCCGTCCGCTCTCCCATAGATAAGCCACTGAGGGCCGGATCAGTAGTTGGGTCGGTGACGACCAGCGAATCCCCGGTGTTGTACGTTTTCTTTTTTTTCTTTTCTTTTTTTGAAGGCCAATTTTCGGGCACCCTTCTTCGTTTATCTTCCCCCACACCTTGGAAAACTCGACATTGGCATTCCTTGAATCGGGCGATTGGTCTAGAGGTATGATTCGTGTTTCGGGTGGGAAAACCCTCACATTTGTTGTGAATATACGAGGTCCCGGGTTCAAATCCCGGATCGCCCCTTTTTTTTTCCCTCGTCTTTTGTTTCCTCACGCCATGATATGGGGAAGGAGAGTTGACATCTGGAAGGGTTGTGTGTCTTTTAACCACATATCTAAAGCTCCTATCAGTGTGTAGACACAAGTTTAGAGCTTAGTGGCATAGACAGGTCTCCTTAGTTTGTGAGAGTGGTGCAGTAGTTTAGGCGTAAGATGACGAGATTGTTAGCTACAGAGGTGGAAAGCCATTGCGGATTTCTATCTTCTGTTCTGTTGAAAAAAATGTGGCAGCGAACTTGGGACTTCAGGTATCTCATGGAGGTTCTTTTGAGCCGTTGAAAATGTTGCCAACGACGACAATGGAAGCAACACCTCCCAGCTTGTGTTGATGCAATGCTAAGGGTGACACGAGTAAGCACCAAGCAGGTGATATGCTGGGAGATCATGTACAGGCGAGGGATGCTGGAACGGGATGACTTGGTAAGAGTAGGACCCTTATGACAGCAAAGTAGAGGGTCTTCAGGGTTATGTTATGTTACATGACCCCAATATGGTCACCTCCTTCCCGGCCAGCTCAGGCCTGGCCCAGCTTCAGCCCATAGCCTCGCTAGAAGTCGTCAACTGTAACCGAGGGGCCCAGTGTGTCTCTTCGAGGATGAAGATCTATACCTGTTTCTTAGGCCCTGTTCGCATAGTTGTAAATGCTGCAAAACTGTTAGCGCCACCAGGTACCAATTCGATGCATATGGACCACGCAAACTACACACCTTACATCCTCCTCGTTTTCCGGGGGTTTCAGCCCTTCGTCTGCTACCTTTCGCGTGCCGGTCACGTTCACGGGCCCTCTATTGGCGACCAACATCTTCGGAGCCCAGCCTCATCTTGTTCGTCCTCAATGAACGCATGTTCGGGGAGGAAGAGCGCGACGTTTTAGAAGGAAGATGACCGATCCATCGATAACTGAGGACTCAGTTTGATCGCGAATTGATTCTCCATCTGTAACAACAACCTATCTCAGCATCATAACCACTTTCCGAAAGACAAAGCGGCGTTCATTGCAACAGGGCAGTCAATGGACGTCCTGATGATCCGTGTCCCAAGAATCTAAGCTTCTACACCAGGCATATTGGCACAGCAGTTAAGTTAAAGCAGTGGTGGAGTTGACTCGTGTATGCTCAATCAGTCTGATCCTTTCAGCCTTGCATTGTCCAGGTTCTGCATCTCTTCGCGACAAAACTCTCTTAAGTAACCCATTTAGTTTCGCCAGAGTCGCTAAATGCTCTGAGTGCTTTGTGTCTCGTGGCACAGAATAGAGATAAGCTTCCCAGACGCCAGTTCGAGTAAGAAAAGGATGGAAAAGACAGTTAGTAGCTTTAAGCCAATGCAGCCAGCGTCTGTTTGGAGCTAAAAATGATTTTAAAACAAAAGAAACCATGCTCTGTCAAATGCCAGACGAAAAAGCGGCGAAGGAAAAGGCATGGGCAAAAAAATAAATGGGATGCAAAAATGAATCGAATTCTGGCGTTGCCAGATGAGGTTTCCAAAGATTGGGGTAATGGAGTATTTTGGGCCAACCCACGGTCACATCTGGTAAAAGACAAGGTATGAGTTCGGTTGGGAGGTCCCACTCCAGTTCAAATTGGTCGATATTTGGGTTTATATACCCCCGAGTAGGTAGCCCCATTTTATCAGCACGTGATCACCTCAACTGTGCGCAGACAGGGCAAGACTTCAGCAATCACAACAGGGGACAAGGTACCTACCTTGGGGGCACACACGGAAAGCTGGAATGGAAGTTAGTTGATCTTTATTCATCGCTTAATGTCTTCTCAGCGCCCATACAGGCGAAGCATTACCTCCAACAAGGGGGCTCATATCCCAAGCCCCTTGATGCATAACCTATTTTTCCCTGTCCTGAAAGTTTTGACCCCATAGCACCGTCTATGCCCAGCATTATCCCCAAGTGCAACCCAAGACAAGAGCTAGACAGAGAACCCCACCTATAACTGCTCTGCAAACATATATATATATATATATATACAAACCATGATCGCTACAAGTAAGCAACCCTACTCGAATTGATCCCCACACAGCAGGAACCAAACCCCAAGGCAGGGACCAGGGGGAGGGGCCCGGGCCCTCTTCCCTAGATGCGCCCCCCCTCGACGACCTCGCGCTCCAATATCTCAACCTCCCCGGTCTCGGCGGTCCGCCTGCGCTCCATGACCCACCGCGTCTCCCCGCTGCCGCTCTCCTCCTCCTTGGTGTACGAGATGCTGTCCGCCGACCCCTTGTGGCGGTGGCCCATCCCCGAGGCCCGCACCTGCTGCACCTGCGGGGACGTCACCGCCGGCGAGGTGGGGGACATCGCGGCCTCGCGCTCGCCTGAGACCGGGCCGGTCTTCATCCACAGGCCCGACCCGGCAAGGCTGGTTTGGCCGGTTGCCGTGGGACTGACGTACTCGGCCGAAGTCGTTTCCTCGGCCTCTAGGACGGGAGGGCAGGAGCCGCCGGGGGCTGTTGGCGACGGGGCTCGATGTGCCTGTCCTGGTGGCGAGAACAACGGTGATGGGCCCCCAATCACGCCGAGGGGTATAGCCGGTATCTGTGGTGGCGGCGAGGAGGGAAGCGGGGGAGGTATCGACATGGTTAGCGTCGGGCTGCCTGAGCAGCTCGCGGTATCAGAGTTGCTCCAGAGGGAGAAAGACGAGTTCTTCCTCATGTGTCCCAGCCCCGATCCTACGCCCTGTAGGCCGGACCCGAGAGGCGAGCTTCCCCCTTCGCCGGGAAGTCCGGCGCCGCGATCCGACATGGGGCTCCCCTCGCGCGAGCTAACCAGGCTAGCCTGCGATCCACCCCATGCTTTGGACCGGAGGCGCAGCAGAGCAGAGAGGCTCAAGTTGTCATCGTCGGCCATCATGGCAAGCTGCGCGAGGCCGGGGCTCTGGATGGGGCCCGCACTGCCACCGCCGCTCCCAACGACACCACTCGGCAGGGCGAGACTCATGACTGAATTTCGGTTGGAATATTCGGAGCGTTCAGTGATTGGAGTCAGATTCGGCTCTCTACACACGATCCGCCCGCTGGTCGACCGGTTGAGACTACCAGCGGGGCCGAAGTAGCCTCCATTGGCGTATTGGTAGAGGTTCTCAGCGCTTAGAGACTTTGGCGGAGACGACGTGGCGGAGGACGATGAGGAGGGGGGGAGGTGGGCATGGTTGTTCTGAGACTGATTGATGGGCGCCAAATAAAAACCAAACTCCTGCCCATAGAAGCCATCAAGATCATTGGCCAGGGCACTGGCGTTCGCCTCGGCGATGATGGCCTCGTCGTCAAAGTCGAAGTCGTCGAGATTTGGAGAAAAGTCGTCGTCCTCATAGCCGTCAAGAGGATTTTCAGGATGTGAATGCGATTCGGACGAGTCCGTTGGAGAAGTTACCAGCACGTCGGCGGCAGGAGTAGGAGATGAACCCCTTCGGAATTTCCCTGACGCGGCAGCTTTCTGTGCTGCTTCAGCAAGAGCAGCCTGGTAGGCCATGTCCTGTCCTGTGACTGGTATCACTGGCTTGGGTTGTTCAATCCCGTGTTGCGCTGGTCCGGGATCCTCTTCCTGATCTTCCAGCCTTGGCGGGGGTGCAAGGGGTTGTAAACCAACACTCAGCGAGGTGTGAGCCGTCGACGGAGACACAGCGGACTGGGCCGATAGGCGCGATGTTGTTTCTGATTCGCGTTTTGCTGCTTCCGCTTGGGCAGCTCTCAACGACTGACCTTGGGCGAAGGCGCCTGGGATGGGACGACCATACGCGTCGGTGTCGTTCATGTCAAATATGGATTCGTCGAACGCCGTGCCATCGTACTCAAGCGTGAGCTCGCCTGCCAAACCCTCATCGAAGTATAGGTCGTCATCGTATTTGGTAGCAGCCCTGAGCGCGTCTACCGTTTGCAATTGCTGACCTGGTTGGGGTGCCGCTGCACCATCGTCGCCCCGAGCTTCAATGTCGAGCCCCTGGATGCCAAGCCCCGAAATAGCCTTGTCGAGCTTCGAGTGGAGATCTTGGCTGGAGAGAAAAAGGGGAGATGCCGATGGTGCCAAGTCCGGAGTGGTGTCCTTCGTCATGGCAAACCCTATGACCTTGCCATTTGCATCCCTAGGTGTAGGCAACATGCCAGGTGTGAGTGGGCTCGTTAATGACGATTGGGGATTCGACCTTTCAAACACAAAGCCTGCAAAGTTCTCCTGGTCATCGTCCGGGTCCATCTCTACCTCGTGGCGCTCCTCATGGCACTCTTCGTGCTGCTCCTCGTACTTCTCCTCGTACTGCTCCCCATACTGCTCCTCCTCGTAGGGCTCGTCGTCTTCAGCATCGGCATTAACGCCGGGAATCCTCTCTTCGAGCCCGTCATCCTCCATCATGGCATCATAATCGAAACCTTCGTCGTCAAAGTCATCGAATCTGGAGTCCCTCTGATGATCCACAACAACGTCCGTCGTCTTCTTCTCCAGCTCCCGTTGCCGGTGTCTCTCCTCGAGCAGCTTTTCCTGCTTGGCAGCCCCAATCATATCGAAACTGAATCTGGACGAAGTGCTCTTCATATGTTTGGGGATTGCCGATATCGTCGATTCCCTATTCGGGACCCTGGAGAGTGAGACGTTCCGTGAGTTGATTGTCCGAGCGGATGGTGTTGATTTGGGCGGTATTGATGCTTGTCTAGACGACGTGCTCGATGTGTTGGAAGCTGAGGTATGGAAGGATGAAGCGGTGCTGGCCGGCGGACGGGGCTCTTGGGGAAGACGTTTATTCAAGGAAAGGCGCCTGCTATCTGCCTGAGTCGGGTCGGGTTGATTGCTAGCCATGTCAGGCAGTCGTGAGGGCCCGAGATCTACAGGCTCGTCCCGGAGAGATTCCATCCTGGGGTTCTTGGTACCATCGTGCCTGCCAGTGTATGGAGCTGATTCCACTCCGTCAATTGATCCTGGCAATATTTGCGACTTGTCCAAATCGCTCGACGACCCCAGCGTAGTCGTGGATCCGCCGGTGAAGCCCTCACCAACTGTGTTAACCTTTCCTGGGCTAACTTTGCTTGGCCTTGGTGCGCCGAAGTCGTGGAATCTAGTGCCCCTTATGCGGGGGTCATAGGCTGGCGGGTCGGTTTGAGAACCTGGCGCAAGCGGCTTGGAATCGGGTGACTCCTGCGCTGTCCTGCGCCTCATCAACAAGGTAGACATGGGATTCTTCAGAAAAGGGAGGCCCTTCCGACCCTTCGGGGGTTCGGGGGCAGCAGTGGGCGCCGCGAGTGTCGTTATTGACTCGTTCGCTATTCGCATGCCGGATGGCCTCTTTCCCGCTACTCCTCCCGAGAACTGTTGACGGTCTGTTGGGGCGACAAACGAGGACCAAGGTTTTGGCTCCCGTTCCGCGACTGCGGGGGGCCTGGGTATTGAGGCCCCAGTATATATCGGCGGTGGAGGGGATTTCGCTCGAGAGAGACGGCTTTCGGGTACAGCCAAGTTTCCACGGGCAGTCCCGTTCGCCGGTGGCCCTTGGGAGCCTCGCTGATAATTATGCAATGCCATCCCGCCTATGAAACCCGAGTTCCCACCATTGTAAGCCTGGCGAGCTGGAGGAGAGCGCGAGAAACGGGAATCGGGTTGGTAATCGTCGCCAAAGCCAAGGCTCGACTCCGACTCGAAAGATGTAACTCGGGAAATGGGTGGGAGGGTCGGCGGCAGGTTCGAGGAATTGGGAGAGCGGGGGCGAGATTCTGGGCGAGGCGAGGCATCCTGTATCGTCGGCGGTTGTTCGTGAACCGGCGTTGACTCCCAAGGCGAAGACGACGCCTGTTCAGCAAGGGGGGAGGTAGGATTGGACGGGCCACCACGCCGATGGAAGCGGAGGTGGGTCAGCATGCTAGAAGGTGCGTGGAATGTGGTATCGTCCTCGTGATTGCTTTATACGGGCCTGAGATCGAGTGTGAACCCGGAGAGACAATGGCGCCGCAGCATCATCACCTCATCGACGCCAGTAATTTCGACGCGCTCCCTCGAGCGGGACGCGAGAGGGTCAAGGGATACACGGCAAGTGGCAGCGGGTATTTAAGGAGGAGGATGGACAAGATAAATAAATGTAGATAAATAACTAAGAATGAGGCAGCTGCGTCAGAAAGACTGGTTCATGGTGCTTGCATGATGTTTAGTCCGAGGCTCAAATCCCCAAGATCTTGCACCCCATCGAGTGTCCCTAAACTTGACGTGCAGTAATTAGTCCGTACCTGCTCCTCTCCTGTACTCGCTCCGCCCCACCAGCAAATACGAAGCACGTGACTGAACTCCGGACTGAGATGGGGCAGCCGTGCAGCCGGGTAGATACAGAAGGATGACCGGAACATTGAGAAAAGATGGAATTTTGACAGGTAGCTCCGAAGTACTACTCCGTATTGCACATGCCACATCGCCTCTTGAGTAAGCAGGCAGATGGGTGCCTATTTCTCTGCTGTCGATCGGCGGAATCGAGATTTGACGAAAACGGTGGCGGACTGTCATTTGGTCGATCCAAGACATTGGCTGGCAGCCGGTTTGGGCGGCTCAACGAAGAGAAGGGGCTGCTTCTTCTGCCTTGCCGTTCTCGGCTTTCAAATGGCACCGGAGAACCCGCCCGTAATGACCTGATGAGCACATCAGCCAATGCCCCTCGCCGAGCCCTACGACTTTAACCGTTCCCGGACGAGACACGGGACCGATAGTTGGGGAGCAACAACCTTCCATCTGGGCCCCCCTTTTCCATCTCTGACCTCGCAAGCGGCATACCTCCGCCTCGCGGTTGTACCGTCTGGGGCCGCGCTGGGCCACGAGTCCCACGCCATTAGGTGTCGGACGGAGTACACTGAGCAACCACGAGCTCCTGCGGTGGCTTGGGAAGCCTTCCCCTGCCAGCTGTTCTACCCTCCGCGTGGAGATGTCCCTCCCATCGCTTGACCGGCAGGGAAAGCATGGTTATTCGGTACTGCAACAAACGCCGTTCGAGGCCGCCATGCATTATCAAGCTCCAATGGGGTCGAGCCGTTGCCATAAAACTAGTCGGGCTCTGTCTGGTATCGTCATGAATTCCAAGCCGGCTAGTCAGTAAGTCGCTCCTCGACTCTGCCAAAGCAGCCATGTCTGCCTTTGAGTAGGGTAGTATTACATATGTTAAAAAACTTAACGCAGAGTGGAAGAAGAAGAAAAAATCCTCCTGTCTAGCTAGGTAGGCATACACCCCTTTCCATCCGTTCATCCCCCCATTCCAGCCGACTGATTTTTGGGTCGTGAAGTTGTAGACGTGAGCGAAATTCCTTAACAAAAAAACTCCTGATTCTTTTTGTAGTCCCTTTCCTTCAGCCAATGCATGCAGAAATAGCAAAATGCAAAGGTAAAAATGCAAGCCAGAAAACCTCGTCGCATAAGGCCGTGTCAGGACGCCGTTTCCCCCCTTCCTGTCTCCTCCCCAGTGGCGTTGCGTGGGATCACCTCGTGGAGGGGAGCCACGCGACCCTCAGATGCCGCCCTCCGGAACCGGATCCTCGTGCCTCGCCGTGCTCCCCTTGCCCCTCCAGGTGCTCACGGCCTTGATATTCGCCGCGGTCTTCTCCTGGTCGGTGCCGTAGGCGCGGGTGGTAAGCTTGATGAGGGTGTGCAGCGGCACGGGCAGCCAGGGGCTGTCCTCCTGGTTCTTCTGCATAAAGTAGGCGTAGATGCACCGGATGACGGCCTGGTGGCTGATGATGAGTATGTCCTCGCTGCGCTCGAGCTCCATGATGATGGGCTCGAGCCGGATGACCACGTCGCGGTACGACTCGCCGCCGCGGTAGCGGTAGTTGTACTTGTCCGCGTCGCGTGCCGCAAAGTCTTCGGGGAAGCGATCCTTAATCTCCTGGTAGGTGAGGCCGTCGCACACGCCCGCGTCAAGTTCGTCCAGCGCTTTCCACTGAAGTTGGTTGTAGTGCTTTGGGAGGAACCGCGCTGTCGAGATTGTCCGCTTCAGAGTGGAGGTCCAGACCGTAAGGGGGCGGTCATCCTAAAGCCAGGTCAGTGAGTGAAACAGGGAGGTCGGCATGCTTGGGAAGAGGCTAAAGCACATCCTGTCCTTGCCCAAGTGCCGCTCCGAGGTAGCATTTAACTTACACCAACTGACGCGCGAACGAGCTCCGGCAATTTACGCGCGTACTCCTCACCGCGGTGGGAGAGAACGGCGTCGCCGCCAATGCGGCCCTCCAAGTTCAGCATCGATTCGCCATGCTGCAAAACGTTAGTAACACATCCATTGGTTTATTCGAGGGCGGTGCGGTGCCGGGGGGGGGGGGGGGGGGGGGGGGGCAACTACCCACATAAACCAAAACCTACCCGGGCCCAAAAACCAGGTAATGTATTAAAAAAAAAAAACCCCCCTGGAAAAAAACATAAAAGCGTATT